AACATCTTTTTAATGCTCATCCCAGTGCGTATCTCACGTATGTCATGCTCCTGGAGTTGTTCACTTAAGGAATGCCACGTCCATATTAATTGTCCCCCTTTACCGCGCTCAACCGTACATTCATCGCTCCAAAGGATACGCTGCCATTCACGCGGTGTATAAGTCTCATATCTTAAAGCCCAGGCTAATCTCTTTTGCGCATTAAGAGGGAGAATCTCGGGTCGCTTACGCTGCTTCCATTTCCTTTTATGGATTTGTTGAAACATGTTTTGTATAGTGCGAATAGTAACTTTGTTATCAACCGCATTCCGAAGCTCCTCATATTTTATATGGGGATTTTGAGTTGTCAAATCAATAAGCTTCTGTTTATCCTCCTCCGTTAACTTCGCTGGGGCTCCGGAACGAGTTTTTGATCGTTGATTTATACGCTCTTGCTCCTTCTTGATTGTATTCCGAATAGTTGTCATAGGGATTTCTGGGTGCGCCCTGTGTATCCGTTTATAACCCCAATGTGCCTCTGTATGAAGCTCGCATATTCGAGCCCTCATACAAGGATCAAGTTCCCTACGCGCTGTGCGGCGTCTTGGTGGAGGCATTTTATTCAAAAATATAGATTTATAGGTGTTATATACAAATTTTTATTGGTGACCTCACTCAGTCAAGATAGGCAATGTATGTATAGTTTGGCCGCAACGGGTCACCTGTCGTTGAGGTCTTACGCGCAAAGCGTATGACCACAACGTCAGAGAGGGCCCCGTCCGCGCTCCCTTGTGGGGAGGCAATTGTCTATATTGTAATGGCACTATGAATCTATGTACATAGGGAGGTGGGTGGGAAAAATCAAGTCTTGACTGCGTGAGAGATGACGAGCAACTTGCGGAGGGGAGCGGTTGACTCTCGTGAGGCAGTTGTAAAAAGGAAGAACCCCGCAGTACGCAGTGTGTGTGTGTGTGTGTATATTTAACGGCCGTGGTTCGTGACTTGCACGCTTCCCACCGATCCCTACTGGGACATAGGCCGCCAAGGGGTAAGCCTCGGGCTTCAGGTCCTATCAAATTTATATACAAATAAGAGACTCTTTGGCGCATTTCCATAGCTGCTGTGGTCTTAAAGGGAGATCTACTTCTTAGTGGGTTTTGAGTATTTGCTAGCTGCAATGGTCCATCTACGCTCCATGACCCATCATTCTACCACTATTATACTTAAGCAGTGAGTTTGAAAAGAAAAAGGGAAGAAGGAAAGAAGGAAAGAAAGAAAGAAAGAATAAAGGAAAAGAGAGATATAAGGGGGAAGTAGGGCTGACTTAGCTAGGTGCTAAGGAGAGGTTGGCGAGGATAGATATCCTTAAAGAAACGGGTCTCTGCTAGCCATAAGGCTAGTTTTCGTGTTCCTTTCGCAGTGCCTAAAAGAAAAGAGATAACTTCAGAAGGGGGTCCAGATGGACGAGGGACTCATCTCTTAGCTATATAGCAGAAGAAGAAATGTAGAGGTGCTTTTCATGCTCTACACCGACAGAGAAGATAAGCATCATCATGATTAAAGCGTTCATGGTAGTCTGTAAAGTCTCCATGACCAGTACGGGCCACAATAATACGGCCAAGGTCAAGTCAGTTGAGTTGAAGCTCCCCAGGGCGCTTAGGAGAAGTAGTTATTTCTAGATCTTGATAACTCTATGGTGCCACCTTCTGCCATTGTGACTGAGCAGCGGATAGGGATTGAGTCTTGGCGTATCTCTTTAGCGAGGCGTATGAGGATTTGTAAGGAGCAGGAGGGATTGAGGCAGCTCCCTCTTTGGCAGCGAGATCAGCCGCTTCGTTCTCAGGGATTTTAGCGTGTCCAGGGACCCATCGGATTTGGATAGATCCGCTTTTGGTATGAGGAAGCCTTTTGCGAAGTGGCCAGACAGCTGCAAGGGTGCGGAAAGATTCAAAGATTTCTTGGGAAGATCCTGTAGAGGGAGATAGAAGGCATATAGCAACTTCCAGGTTGTCAAGACAGATCCATAGGTTGGTAGTAAATTGAGCTGTTGGGTACGCTATTGCTGCTTGAGCGCCAGCTAGAGCTGCTTCTACTTCTACGTCAAAGACCTCTTTCCCGTGTCCGTATGAGAGTGAGGAGCGGAGGAACTAATGGTGTGCTTGAAGTCCAATATAGCCACCCCCTATACGTCTGTCTGCTAGCCTAGACCCATCTGAAAAGATTACAATATCTGAGCTAGGGATAGTACGTTGAAAAGCCATGAAATTAGCCGCTGCCTATTCCTTAGTGCATCCTATGGGAGCTCCTATTCGAGCTTGAGCATTCCCACAAGGCTCGCGAGGGTGCTAGGGAGCATATTAGAGAGGGTTTATCTGTTCAGAGTTTGGGAGGGCCAGTGTACGATGGGCAAATCGGCTGGTTTGTCGGCTATTACTAGCGATCTGTTCTGCGCGTCTTCGAAGTGGGTGATAAGGGTCAAGACGCCATAGGCGGACAGTTGCAAGGAGGGCTATTCAATCTAGTTCGATTTCTGGTGGAGAGAATCCAGACTCTCGATAAAGGACTGGCTTTGGGGTTATGCGGAAGACTGGAAGGACTGCTCTTGCGCCTATTAGTATTACTTTAGTTAGTTTCTCAAGATGTTCTCCAACTCAGTTTGAAATCTGGAAAGGTCCAGGGCGAGTACGTCCTGGCCACCAGGTTTCTGCGCCATAGTATGCTTTATAGAGTACACAGGCTGATATAGCCTGCTATAGTAAATCAGGTTTGACTCCTTGAACAGTATTCCCTAGAGAGCGAAGAGCGTTGGCCACAGTGAGAGCTTTAGATGCTGTTTCTCTAACGTGCCATTTGAATGTTAGCTTTTTGTCAAAGAGGATTCCTAGCCATCATAGATATAGCTGTTTAGTGTTTTCTGATATTGTAATAGATCTAGCTTTCACTGAAGGTGTGCGGGTTAGGTCCTAGTCTGCTTTATGTTGGGAGAAGTGAAGAAGCTTATATTTATCTAGTGCAAATATAATGCCCTCTGCAGCGCCTTAATTAAGAGCTTCTTAAAGTGAGTCTGATAAGGCTTCGCAATTAGTAGCAAGAGAAGTTGAGATCGCCAGGTTGGCTGCATTGTCCGCGTAACCAAATCTGTTCCTTGGGTTTCCTAGACGGAATAGGGGCGCTATGTAGAGCATGAAAAGAATGCCAGATACTGGGGATCCTTGTGGAAGACCGCAGGCAATGTCTGTTGAGGGGCCAATCTCTCCATCGAGTCGGATCTGAACTGATCTTCCAGTAGCGAAGGAGGCAATCCAGAGAACGAGATTGGTAGGCCAGCCCTGCTCGCGTAGTCTGCGGATCAGTCTGCCGGGAAGCACGGAATCAAAGGCGCCTTTGACATCTAGGGTAAGGAGTGAGGCAGTCATGCCTTGATTTAGTGCTTGTTCAACATCATGTGTTAGGCATGTGGTCAGGTCAGTTGCAGATCTTAGTGGGAGAGCCCCAAATTGTTGCCTTGCTAATACTTTATAGTGTATAGAGATCCATGCTATATTCTGTGCCACCAAGCGCTCCAGTCCTTTGCCAAGTACTGATAGGAGAGCGATTGGTCTGTATAATCTAGGTGAAGATCAATCAGTCTTTTTTGGTTTCTAGATGATTGCTAAGATTGCGTGTCGAAAGCATTTAAGATGATAACCAATCTTTAGGCACCCTTGATATAGCATTAGTACCTTATCTTTGATCAGAGGCCAGGCTACTTTGAGTATGCAGGTTGGGATTTTATCTGCGCCAGGGGCTGTGTTTCCTGCCTGAAGTACTGACTCCTCCACTTGTAGCATCGATATATCTGGGAAGTAGAGACTAGTGGAAGGCACTGCTGGGGAGTCCAGAGGTATGTCTCCTGCCTCTGCCGAGTTCTGGAGAAGATTTCGGACTAGTACGTCTCGTTTCTCGTGTATAGTAACTGCTGGGAGGCTGTTGGGCCTTAGCGGATCTTTTAGTGGAGGGCTTCGGAAGATGCCTGTAGACTTATGCCATTTGCTCATGTCAAAAATATCCTTTATTTGTGTTACTGTAGAGAGCTTCTCTCGCCAAAATTGTCATTGAGACCATCTAGTTATCCTGCAGAAGTCTGTCTTTGAGCAGAGACCTAAGCGATAATTGTGTAAAGCTTTCTTGCAGTCTTTGTTCTACCATAGTTATTCTATGCCTTGTGTTATGGTCCTCTTAGCAGAGCCTCTATATGCTCCTTGAATTGCAGATGTCAGTTTTTCAGCAAGGGCATCAAGATCTTCTTCTGTTGCGGCTGAGCTCTCGATGTCAGCGAGATTAGAGGCGAGGAGCGAGAGGAAGGAGGTATGGTCTAGTGTGTCAAATCTCAGTTTCTGAGCTATTTCCTTGTATCTCTGATCCCATGGAACAGTGGTAATTAGTGGTTGATGATCAGAGGTAGCATCTAAGTGGCTCGCTATGCTAGCTTTGGCTCCTGCGAGTGCCAGAGGGCTTAAGGCGAAACTGAGGTCTAACACGTTACCCCTTTCATGTGTGGGACAGTCTATGTCGGAAATGAGTACTAGACCCTGGAGATCCAGCCAGTTGATAAACGGCTCTACAAAAGTTGTAGGGCTGCGTTGTAGCGAGGGTTGCCATCTGTTATGTAGTAGGTTGAGATCGCCTGCAAGTATTATTGTTTGAGGGAAATACACCTCTGGCAGGGTTGTGAGAGCTTTCGTGGCTTCACCTGCTCTGCTGCAGCCTGCTGGGGCATTATAGATGTTAACTATCAAAGCGGACTTTTCTATGGGCGAAAAAATCTGAAGGAACAGGAGATCTGAGGCTTCTTTAGTGTCAGTTGTAAAGGGGTGTAGCTAGGAGGTCCGGATGCCTTTCTTCTTTCGGACATAGGTGAGGACTTGTGGTTAGCCACTTATTGCCTAGCTATCAGTTGGGGAGAAGCATTCATATGATGGATGTTTTTTAGTGATCTGTCAGCTAAGGTCTTTGAATGTATATAGTTCTTGGATTAGGATAATATCAATGTCGCTAGTGTATGCCAATGTAAGGGCTATTTCATATATGTCTAGCACGTGCCCTACATTTAACTGTAGGATTTTGAGAGGCGCCTTTTAAGTTGGATAGTGATAGATCATAGCTCCTGTTCAAGAAGAGAGGCGAACCAGTTTTATGGTTAAGGGGTTATAAAACGGACTGCATGAGCTATAATGGGAGGATCTTCAGTTAGGGCGTGAGGTAGGGGGATTACTAAACGGAAAGGAGAGATAATCTTATAGATTGAAGGCTGTGATGGCATCTCATCTAATACCATAGGTGTTTCTTGTGTGCCTATAGAGAGCTGAGAGCTACATCCTTCTTCAGTTCAAGCTTTTGCGAGGTTTATGGTGCAGGATTTGCAGATCTCTGTTTGTTGAGCTTTAGTATGTTTAGTATTGCCTTTGGGGCGCAGAAGGCATTCTGGGAAATCAGCTAGATGTAGTCCATAGCAGTATATGCATCTAGGAGGGCATTGATGAGGCTCTGGGGCTGTGCAGCAGTTGACATAGCCCTCTTCAGTATGCTCTGAGGAGCCGCATAGTCGGCATCGAGAGGGGCATACACAGGATCGTGCATTATGCCATTTCCAGCATCGTGTGCATTAAATAACTGTTGTTTTCTTAGAGAGGTGACGAGCATTGGTGATAGTGCTAAAAAGATGTAGCTGGATAGGCAGTGGTGATTTCGTGCCTTCTGGAAAGTTAACAAACCAGCTTGAGGAGAGAGTATCAGGGTTGACAGCGCTCGTAGTGGTCTCGCTAATAGATATTGGCTTGAGCCCTGTAGTTTCGCTAATTTCTAAGGATAATAGTGTAGGATTGACAGGGATTAGAGAGTATTGACCATCCAAGATTTAGCCAATTTTCCTTGGCACGTTGGTGACTCAGTACGAGACCCATCGGGAGCTGCGTTCTATCTGGCAGTTAACAAAGAATGCAGAGATCGTCTCTTTTTAGACCTTAAGGGCTAGGAGGGCTTCTGGAGATGAGGGACATAGTGCAAAGCCAGTCTTTGTAGCTTGGACTTCTTTTAGTGCTGCACTATTTAAGTTTAGTTGAGATCGTAGACTAGAATAGATAGCGTAGGCTTCCATTTTTCTAGCTGCATGGTCAGCTAGGAGGCATACGAAGAGCCAGATGTCAGGAAGGGATTATTTCACCAGAGGCATAGGCTTTTTGATGGAGGCTTTAGGGTGAGTGGTGGGAGTTGATTTGACCGGGGCATATTGGGTAATAGTCGCATAAGTTGACTGGTTAAGGCCTGAGGGGGGACGTGAGGGAGGGGGTGAAGGGAGTAAGGGATTTAGGGTGGGGGAAGAGGAAGGGGAAGGAGACAGGGCAGGTAGAATGGAGGTCGTCGAGATACCACTGATATAAGCGTTGAAATGTTGTTGAGCTACCGAGGCGAGGTCATCGCTTAGAGCGGTGAGGGCTCTCAGTAGGTGAGGAGCAAGGCCGGTGGTTTGGCTGCGGTGTTTATCAAGGAATACAGCTATGGGTCTGAAGATCTTCTGTCCCTCAGAAGCTCTTGTTGTGGCTGCAGACGTGGATTCCAGAAGGGCTGTCTGTAGAGGGCCGTCTGTACCAGGGCCTTTACGCGCCATGGTGTTGCCGGGCGCGTTGGGACGCGTCAAAGGCTGCACTCCTGGGAGCTAGGTGGTAGAGAGGGTTGAGGATTTTGAGCCTCCGACTGTTTGATATAAATAATTATAAGGAAGTCGCCTATCAACTCGAAAATCAGGTTGCAAGAGTAAGGGGGACGGGGAGTGGCTAACTACATATATACGCGGCACGCACGTGCCGCGTTAGACTAACTGATATCCAGTGCCGAAACGCGCTAGGTTTGATATTCACGTTCCGACAAATACTCTCTCAACATCAACGCCTACTGCTGGAACAGCTAATAATCCCGTGCAGCCGCTGCCATGTATGGATATTCACCTGTATGACCTCTCCATGAGCTTAGAATGCCTATTAAGACAAATTATCGCTCATTTTGCAAGCCTTCAATGATCGATACTCCGGACCCCAATATACGCGGCCCGGTCCATCCGTTTCAGCGAGGTTGTGCTTTGGGGTGAAGAACTTTTCCACCACTATGTTGTCGGGTATAGAAGCCAGGAGGCTGTGAGATGATCAAACCAAAATTCAGATACAACATCAGATTTCCGACTCACCATAGCCAGCTTTCTCATACAGAGAGATGATAGAAGATCCTGAACTTTAGATCACAGTTTTCGGTAATGTCTTGTACTGTAACATTTAGGGCTAAAAGGCGTATCGGCTATTCCCTTTGATTTGGGTGAAATAAGCACTAACCAGTACCTAAGTCAATGCTGACGTTCCAGAACCGATGTCCAGAAGTCTTCCTAGCTAATAAAACCTCCATATTACACTCACTGAAGTCCTCCTTCTGGTACTGTGAGAGCCCCACCTGTAGTGGGATAATGAGGTACCACTACTGTAGATGAAACAAACGATCCTACGCAAACAATTTCGCATAATGGCAGTAGTACACTTTGTATGCCTTATCAGCCAGGATCAGACATAACAATACGCTTAATGTATACAACGGCCTATTCAAATTACTGAACACCTGAAGATAACTGACTCGACTACTTTCTATATACTCCGTATTTGAGCAAGTTTTCAGAGCTAAGGTAGACGCACGGTTCAATGACTGCATGAATGCATCTTAGCTGGCCGGGGTCACGAAGATTAATAATGTTGCGCGGAGAGGATGCAGGTGACGCAGGTGACAGGAGACTGTGGGAATCCTAGACTTGATTTTTCTACAGGAAAATTTTGACCACGAAATGTGATTTACTAGCTGGTATCTGGTTCGATATTAAGATTACCACAACGGTCTTGATCTGTGTTTGGAAAGCAATTCATATCTTTCTGGATAGACTATCCTCCCAACTGAAAAAGTAAATAATTTTGCTGACTATTTTCTCGAGTCGAGACTACTTTAGCTGCATGATATCGTTGCAAGATAGAAGCAAGAGTCAAATGATTCACACTAGTTTATAGTTTATCTCTTTTAAGGTCACCCTCACGCTCAGCTGAATTAAGTATTGTGCATCATTTATGAGACGAGAAGCTCAATAATGAAGCATAGGTATTATCCGAGGCGTCCCGACGACGTAAAAAGAGATTTTATGCCCAGAAATACCTGGGTTTGATGAAAGATGATTAACTGGGTCTGTACTTCCTGAATATATAATATAATGCACTTCCCTCTAAAAGGTTGCTTTGTGTCGTTCTCTAACTATCTAGGTAGGTAGCACTGTAGCAGCAACCCACGGTAAACTGATATCTGTCCTAATTAACGACGTGAGCCGCCTTGACTATAGGTAATATTTCCTTCTCCCTTTTCCGAATATCTGGATGAAATACATTTAATACATCAACCTGAAATACATTGTTGCATACCACATGCGTTCAAAATATCCGGTCTTCATGAAATTGACCCATGCTCTACAGGTTATATTTTACTTATTCACGCCCTACTGAAGTCAACATGCCTTGTCAGACATTGACGGCTTTGTTCTGCATTATTTTTACTCTTACGAAAGCTTATCCCCACCCTTCAACTATCGATTCAACTGGATTCTCTTCTCAATGCTCCGATATAACGTTTAACACCAATTGGCTTGTGGCTAACTGTCCTAATGAGGCTGGTACTTCTATCTCGAGTGCTGTATACTTGCCATCACACGTAACGAATACGGAGGGAAAATTGGAGGCAAGTCTCCTGTTCAATTATCTATATAACGACTGTAATGCTAACGGCTTTCTGTTCATGAGTCACTAGTGGAAAACAGAGTACGTCATGAATAAGTTCTTAGAAATAATCACTACTTGAGTAGAAGATATTTGCCATGGAAGTGTACATTAACCAGATACAATCATCTAGTGGAGCCTACGAAGAGTCCTGCACACAGTGCGAATTGTTAGATGGCGCCGCCACGTTGCAGTGCTATTGCACAGGAACATTCGCCAATGAGAGTGGTAACTCGACATTGAACCTGGGTACGACATGAATTCTCATTCACTCTTTTTAAAATACTATCATTGGATATGTCAAACACGGTTTCTGACATTTTGCTGCAGAGGAATATATTGCCAATTACGACGGTCATCTTCTCTCCAGTCTCGAGGGGACACCGAGCGTCCCGAGTGACTCCTCGCTTGCAGTACCTTCCAATGTTGTCTTGAGTTTAAATGCTTTTGTGGGGACCGGCACTTCATGCCCGAGCAATGAGGGGGCTTATTTGAATTTTGTAGGACCCGAGCCTTGCTGGGGCCTTTATGTTTCTCCTGAACCAGTAGTTTGGAGCTCATTTCGGGCTACCTCGAATCCTGGATGGTCCATCAGCGTTTATAATGTCTCGACTTGCACTGGAACTCCCATAGTTACTTTCGACCAGGACAGCGTGAATGATTGCATTGCAGTTGGGCAAGATGGGGGCATCTATCTGTCCATCATGCCACTATGGAACTGGGACTAAATGCTTCTAGCATCCAAGAGACAATAGTGTGGTATGTAAGCTGCTGTTATAATCTGCAAGGCTGCTTGATAGCTGATAAGTTATGCTGATCAGTTATAGCTGCATAGGTCATCTTGATTCGGACTCTTTCAGGAAGATCGTGGTCACCGAATAACGAAAGTCTGGGAGGGCATGCTATGTAACAACTTGACAAGCACTTGGATATATATTTAACAATCAAGCAGAAAGGCCTCGCACGAAAAGCAACGCCTCCATCTACGGTAGCAATAAGCCAATTCGAGCACTGATCACGAGATTGAATACTTACCTGATCGACATTCTTCCTATGAGTAGTTGTCTAGTGCTTGTGGGGTAAGCCGTAAGCGTAACCATATGTAACGATATTAGCCAAAATACGCCAGTGGTTGATTGTCAAATATTCATTTCCAACAACATCCTAGATAATGCAATAATTTCCATTCAGAGTACCAAATGCGGAAGGCCAAAAATATTATCATGTACTGGAGTGACACGTAGGTTGCATATTCAGGTTCATGCCTATTTTCTAACCCTAACAGCGGACATTTGAATGCCGGAGAATCAGATATACTAGATTACTCTTGTATTGGCTACACATAGCATTGCTTTTAGCCGGCGGTTGAACATTGGAATATCTTAAGCCTCTCTTGATTTCTGTAATATAATGTTCTAATTTATTTTCTGTTACTAGTCCGGCTAATTGCCTTGCGTCGAATGACGAACCCAGGCTAATTCGGTCCATGCGATTTTATACTCATCATCCACCTTGGAAGTATATAAACCCACATTGATATTGTCTATTCAATTGGTCGCAATGTTATTTTCAAAGCTTTAAATGTTATTACCTTAGGTAGGTAGTTTCCGCGTATGGCTGCACTTCCCAGTCAGATGTCAGTGTCCCATCATGTCGGAGAATGTGTCTAATTGAAATTTACAAATTGCAGCGACGTTATATGCCACCATGCAGTCATTACTTTTAATTGTTGGGGTTCTGCTTTTCTCTTGCGTAGATGCCATCAACATCTACGTCTTGCCTGAAGGAGGCAACGATACTAGTCCGCTCCAATATGGACTCATGTTCGAGGTGAATCAAATGCCAGATTTCTGGTCTTTCTGAAAAAGGTCAAACTTTTGCTAATATCATACAAAGGATATAAACCATGCTGGGGATGGTGGCCTATACGCTGAGCTCATTCGCAACCGAGCATTTCAGGGTAGCACTGTATATCCCGCCAATCTAGACGGCTATGAACCGGTGAACGGCGCAGTATTAAGCCTCAAAAATCTCAGTAACCCCTTATCTTCGTCAATGCCGAGTTCGCTTAACGTCGCGAAAGGAGTCCAGAATGGGATAATTGGCTTCGCCAATACAGGCTGGTGGGGAATCGAGGTCAAACCACATAACTACGCTGGTTCCTTCTACGTTAAAGGCGATTATGATGGAGACTTTTCAGTTTCGCTTCAATCTATAACCACTGGTGACGTTCTCGCCACAGCTAGAGTTAAAGCGCGTTGTGGAGTTCATGATTGGACTGAACATAGGTACAACCTAAGACCTACACGACAAGCATCAGACACCAACAATACTCTGTCTATAACGTTTGACACCAAGGTAGATGACATTCCAACTGCAGATTGTGTGATTATCTCATGTGTTTCGCAGGACTTGAAAGACGAATCCCTTGACTTCAACTTGATCAGTCTATTTCCGCCGACATGGAATAATCGTCCGAATGGTCTAAGGATTGATTTGGTGGAGGCTCTATCTGAGCTTGACGCGGTAAGATCGATTTATTTCAGAATTTTCTCTCCCTGGAGTACTGAATGAGTGAGTTAGAAATTTCTTCGCTTTCCTGGTGGTAGCGATATCGAAGGACTCCTATCTCCCTACTGGTACAAATGGAACGAGACGGTAGGCCCACTAAAAGACAGAATGAGCAGGCCTAGTGCCTGGGGTTACGAGGAAAGCAACGGCATTGGTTTGATTGAATACATGAATTGGTGTGATGATCTTGGGCTGGAACCAAGTGGGTAATACCAAAATCGCTTTACTTGTTGATTCGACATGAATATTTCTAACAGATTAATTTCAAGTCCTCGCTGTTTGGGACGGTCATTACCTTTCAGGTGAAGTGATAAATGAAGCTGACCTACAACCTTATATTGAGGATACTCTCAACCAACTTGAATTTTTGATGGGATCTGTTGAAACTACTTATGGTAGCTGGCGAGCATCACTTGGTTATCCAAAGCCATGGAAGATAAACTATGTTGAGATTGGAAATGAGGACAACCTTTATGGTGGTTTGGATACATACATTGCTTACCGGTTCAAAGCGTATTTCGATGCTATAACAGCGAAATATCCGGATATCACTGTAATGGAATCCTTGACCGGGATGCCGTCCCCCCAACGTGCCGCAAGTGACTATCATCAATATACGACTCCTGACGGGTTCGTTTCTCAATTCAGCTACTTTGACCAGTTTCCTATCGATAATAGGACTTTGAATGGTGAGTAATTGATTCAGAGAATTGGCAATTGGTCTCAAAATAGTATTGATGCATTAAACAGGAGAGGTTGCCACTGTGTATCCGAATAACCCGTCAAATTCTGTGGCCTGGGGTAGCCCTTTTCCTTTGTACCCGTGGTGGATTGGATCTGTAGCGGAGGCTGTTTTTCTTATTGGGGAAGAGAGGAATTCGCCCAAGATTATAGGAGCCAGCTATGTAAAGGCCTATCTTGCAGCTGCGGTTATCGAGTAGGACTTGACTGATCGAAGTGCAGGCACCTACTTTTCGGAACATCAACAGCTGGGCTTGGTCTCCGACTCTCATAGCTTTTGATGCAGACTCGTCACACACTAGTCTCTCTACAAGCTGGCATGTAATAAAGGTATGTCCTCTCTCCAAGTACTAGAACATGAACAAAGCAACCGATAGAAAAATGGTGGACACTAAATGGAACAGCTTCTTTCACGAAATAGAATTGCTCACAACCTACCTACAACCTCTAGTGAAGGTGGCATCGGTCCCATATATTGGGTTGCAGGACAAGGTGATAAGCCGGAATCTTACTTGTTCAAAGCCGCCGTTTACAACAGCACAGGTGACATGTCTGTTGCTGTCACGTTCAGTGGAAGCAGAGCAAAATCTGCGACGTTGACTGTTCTATCATCCCAAGATCCCAATGCCTCAAACTATCCAGGAGGTCCAGAGGTAGTGCAAACCAATGTCTCCTCGGTAGTAGCTAAAAGCGAGGGAGTGTTCCAATTTACTCTACCAAATCTTAGTGTGGCAGTTTTGACCACAGAGTAATAGACCGGGGATTCAGTATAGTTATTAAGCTCATAGCTTTTAAATCTGATCGCTAAAATCCATTTTTCAGATATCTATCATCATAATCCAACCTAGGGACGTAAGTCCTATTTCAACAGCCAGTAGGCAGTTGAAACTTGTTCACAGTTACTCGGATAGGACTAGGGCTTAAATGAGATACTTAGAGTATGCAATAGTTCCTTTTCAGAGATTTTAATAGTTATCACAGACGAATCCGACAGGAGTGGTTTGTCGATGGTGTAGTTACCTGTTTGCTATTTAACAAAACCAGATCTCTTACTAAATATTCATTCCTACTACATAATAGCTCTCGAAATTAACCAATTTTGTCGAATTTGTGCTATAGGTACAAAGTATTTAAAGACCAAATAGCCAGTATTCCGAGGTTCTCCATCCTTTCGACTCCCATCAAAACTTCCTTGAAGATTTCGCTGGCGTATTTGAAGAGGCCTATAATAATCAATAACTAACTGAATTGCGAGAAAAAACTCCATATCTGTCCTGGAGTCCAAGAAGAACTTGCGCCAGCATCTGTCGCCAGAGGTTCATGGGGCCCGTCGAATGCCACCCACCACACTGGGTGGCCTGATGAGCACCCTGAATACTCTGTTTTGATATGGGTGCCACTGCCAGCAGCAGGCGCAGGAGGATTTGTTGCGGTACAGGCATTGTCCTTGACAAATGTGTCTCTTATCTGTTCGCCTAAAGTGAAAGGTAGGACACTATCACTGACACCGTGCTGCGCATAATACGCAACAGGCTGTGTGCCCGGGCTGCAGCCGCTGAGATTTGCCCCGGACATGACAGCAACAGCGCGGAAGACATTAGGACGTGCACATGCTAGTGCATAAGACATAGCACCGCCGTAACTCCAGCCCATAGAATAGACTTGGGTTTTGTCAATGCATAGAGCATCTTCGAGAGTCGACAACATCTGGTCAGTGAATGTTATATCTTCACCTCCTGAGTTTCCCCACCCATTGTTTAAGCCCTGAGGAGCCACAAATACGGCACTGTTTCCGGCAAGCGGTTGTATGCCGTAATATGATCCGCTGACGACATCCTGCATTGTCCCACCAAGCCAGTGGTATCCAAATATCAACTTGTAGGGCTCACTGGGATTGTAGCCCTGGGGGAGCGTCAGTGTGTACTGGCGTTGTTGTCCATTGACAGTGGTCGTATATGTACCGCTATGCAGTGTCAATGTCTTTCCGCATCCAGAAGAGACACTGCTCGGTGATGACTGCTCGCCCATCACAGTCATTGAGAGTTGAAGGAGCAGAGCTCCCACAATGCTTATTGAGATCATAATGATGGAAAGAATTGGTGAACTATATGGAGACAAGGACTTTAAACGGCTACATCAGAGTCTTTCTTGAGTCTTCACAAAGTTTGAATGAAAATTCGGAACTTGTAAGAGCGTATATCTCATGCTACTTATATCCTCATAAGAAGCAGAGGCAAGATGAGTTCATTGTGCTCTGTTTTAGCTTCTAATGGCACATCTTTGCATCCCATCTGCCGATGCTCATGATTTCGGCTAAATAATGTAGTCCAGATGTCGTTCATGTTTTCAAAACTTGTCGCCTTTTCGGGGAGTATCGGATTATACCTATCCCACCGCTAGACAGAGACTCTGAAGTTATAGAGACAACTGGGGAATATAAACCCCGCATTTTCTCGTATCTGACCTTGTACTTAGTTACTGACGAGGATCTTTATTCTAGATACTCGGGTCTGAAACCGGTAAGCTTAAATGTAACTGGTACGTTACCCTAATGAAGATAGACAAAATCTAAAAAGAGGTTTGCTCACAGGAGTTGAACCATGGAAAGCATTGTTATTTGTGGTATTTGGATGCCTGGCAAGCATGTTCTCAAACTGGAAGCAACATCGTCAGATCCCCATAACTGGTCGCCTACTAATAGGGTCTTGTTTCAGCCAAGCCTGTAGGACAGCACGGACAGGTAACCTCAATTCAAGCAGTATGAGAAGGAGCTGATCATCTGCCTCTTTTGTATTTCAAACTTTCGCGTAGAGTCGGGCTTATTCAGAGATTTGAAGGAAGGATAATTGTAATTCCTCGTGGTAAATTTCTTGTTCCAAAAGTTCCCCTCATCGGGCCTTTGTCGAGACGAGTCAAGCGAAACAAATAGCCGTGGAAAAATCAGATCCCCCATAATTGGGCAGAAGAATGTGGATGGTCCAGCAACGTGTATTTATTTATGGATTCGTAGGAACAGATCACTCCCCAAGGTTTGTATGGCCGGAACTAGGTATCCACTAATAGTAGTGCATTTCCCAACCTAGGTACATTAACCGTGAAGATGGAGGAAATCCGGGGATCCTTCTTGGAGTGCAGATCCCTCGGATAAATAGACCTCTATCTAACTAGGTACGGGTGCTCCAGATTCCGGACAATCCCATGCAATAGTAAACAAGTAATATAGAGAGGTTCTTGGATTATTATCAGACTCGTCGTCTGGAAACTACTAATACAGAAAGCAGGAGGATTTTTCTGGCTTCACTATCGTCTTAACGTATTGAAACCGAGCTGGTCGACACTATACAAGTAAGTCACATGCACAACAAAGCCCTAAGAGTCACGCTACGTACATGAGCATAGCACAACAGGCACCTCAAGTCGACATTTGTTCATTCTTTCGCCCTCATGTAGATACATCTTTCATTGTTACTCGGCATGTGAAAAGGTTAGGGACACTCTATTCTAGCTATTTGAAGTCGTGGAGTAACTGGGTCATATCTCACGTTATGATGTTTTCCTGTGAAAAGGGTGTGGATTTCGTACTTTTACCCATGTCTAGCTAAATTCTGGCACTTATCAAATTGAAATCCTCAGTGGCATTCTGTTAGACTAGCTTTAGTCTGACGTCGGCAAAAACACGATGATTTGATAGGTACATCAGCCACTGCAACTGCCAAGTCAAGCTGTTTCTTAAGCAATCTCGCCTCGTCATCTCTCTCCAGGGTAATGAGGCATTCAACTAGGCCGTGAAGAGACCACACATTGTTCGGATGCTGCATCGCCCGTGGTAATACATCATTGAAACCAAGGTCGGTAGTATAAACATCCAACGCCTCCTCAAAGTGGCCTTGTTCTAACAGTAACGCGCCGTACGCATGTCTAGGTGGTTGCATCCAACCCCATGGCTCGTCATAAGGAAGCTCCTGGTCTAATTTAATTGCATCACGTAGATGTGCGAAAGCTTGGTCGAAGTTGTTCTTTCTGTACTCTATTTCTCCGTTAAGCATCGCATCAGCAACTTGTAGTATGTGAAGACAGGAATTATTGAATAACATCCTGGAAGGTTGTACATGCATCAGAGATTGTTTGAATAATTCGCGTTCTCTTTCTGCGTCGTGGACATTGCCCAAGGCAGCATTTGCGACACCCTTGGCGTAGTGTAGCATTGTGGTTGTCACGGTGTACAACGTTTGGTCAATGGGTAGTTTTAGTGTGAGTATCTCTTCCCAACGCCCAAACCTGATAAGGGCGTGAACACGCATGGCCATAAATCCTTCTAACCAGTCTGCCATTGGGGGTGACTCGACTCGTAGTAACTGTTCGGGAATACTACGTTCCAGTTCCTCTACCGTATCCAGTGCAACTCGAGATTGTCCGGCAAACATAGCCGCATACAGACGAAAATGGAAATCATGCACTCTGTAAACGGTATAGAACCGGAGTGAACCAGTAGTAGCAAAATATTTCTCATCAGCTTGAATGGCCCGGGTATTCGACTGGACTGCTTGACGATAATCACCACACAGTATATCTAGATGACTGGGCATGTGATTGAGGTGTCCAGCATCGGGTACAAGGCCGCGAAGGTGATCCGCAATTACTAATGCTCTCTCCGGTGTTGTAGACATTTCCATGAGATGGATATACATATGTAGGATCCCGGGATGTTGCAAGTCCCCGTCCAAGGAGATGGCATGTTCCAAGACCCTTTTAACTTCAGGTGCGCGCGAACCAGGGTTAGGCTGTCCAGTCTTCAAGTCCCATAGCTTCCAAGGTGTCAGGTTCATGAGCGCATCTGCATACAGCGCAGCAATGTCGAGATCATCCGTGTGATTCCGGTAGGCAATGCCCATGCTTTCGGCGTAACCAAGATTCCAACCCGCGAAGATACGTTCGTTTCTTTCATTTTCAATATTCTCAATGGTTTCTGTCGGGTAACGATGTGTGATAGCGTCAATAAGAGCCCTTTCAGCGGATGTCACAGAATCCACCGCTACATTTTTGGCATGTATAGCCGCTCTGTGAGCTTCTCTTAGGGATGTGTGAAGATCCTTTCCGTCGAACGTATCCCACGGCTTGTTGTAATTCGGGCCAATAGCATATGCCAATCCCCAGTATGCGATGGCACACTTTGGGTCATCCCTTATAGCATTTTTGAAACAGGTCACAGCTTCCTCGTGATTGAAGCCAAATGTCCATATGAGACCACGATTGAACCATATTTGAGCGCTTTCTGAATCTGTCGTGACAGGACGATGGTAAGACCCAAGATCAAAATAATTATCTGGTTTGACTGGCGTGAGATCCATTGCACTCTCCTATTTGATTTAGCTATAACAGAGGATGTTGAAGTAACGTCAAGAATAACGTTGAACTGACTTGATCTTAAGATCTAGGGTGGGGTGGCACATTGCTTGGGTAACCCCTCCTTACTCTCCTTATCGAATGGTATTCGGATGCACCCGGGCATACCGCTCTCTATCATATGGTTCCTTCCCTATCTCAAACTCTACATGCTATTAATTACCGACGGACTTTCGAGAATTGAAGATTTATCGCATGCTATTGTCCAAGATTGTTATGGAATATAATTTGGGTGTACAAATGCTGTACGTCTTGCCATTCATCTTCTCTTCACCTAAGTAGAAATCATAAAAATGCCTGACACGATCATGATGATATTCAGCTGAAGGAGAATACAAGATCATATAAATAAAACCATATTCAGAAACACGTGATGCCGGGCGCAACTCTTACTTCATTTGGCATGATAGCCCGTGGTAGCTCGGGATTCAGGAACGAGGTGTTATCAATCCAACACCGACAAAGGCAAAAGTAGCTAGCATTGGGGGTATCAAACTCATGCAGACATCGGCGGGAATATTAGACGAAAAAGCAGCCGTGTCGACAGACTTCCCTGAACCGAAAAGATTGATGGCGCCATAGACTGCTCTCAAGAGGGTCATGGGTAGGGAGAGGAGGGCGGCATTGAGCAACTGCAAAGATGATGGTTAGTCTCAGCTCGAAGTTATACGGTAGGAACGAGATTAGCACCAGAGCCCCATTGCGGAAGGACTCGTCGTTTGCGAGTTGATTGAAAGAAGCCGGGCGCTGCATAGAGAACACTGTAGCAAGGAATAGAATCACCCAGCTGATGAATAGTACAGCGAACCCTCCTTTAAGAAGCCCTAATCCTGAACCGGACGAATCGGGCTTGACGAGGTTTGAGATGGAGACTGCAATGAGGGCTAGACCAGCTGAGACGAGCATATGATATTGCAACACGACTAGCCATTCAACCTTGTGATTTCTGATGGCGTGACGAGCGTATCGACTGGAAAATACTCGGTTGTCAGTCTAAAGAGCTTGATAGGCAACAAAAACACAAACAAATCAAGGAAAGGCTTACGCTTCGTGGAGGATACCAGCCGCTCCAAGCAGCAGTGGTGATAAGCCAATATTATCAACAATCAAGGCTCCTGAGGAAAGGTTATGGTCTTGATCGCTCTTGTATTTGAGACCAGCGGCTATCAGGGGATTGTACAATAAATGACAATGTAGGACCATCCTAGTAGTCCTTGCAGCCCATGGCCGACAGGCAGTATACTGTGGGAATGAAAAGGATACTATAGATGACGAGCTCTGCCAGGTCAATCGCTTTGTCTGCGTTGGTGGGTAGCATAATGACTATTGCTTCTGCAATCTTCTTTTCTGGTGGCAGTCAATCTGCAGGAGCTATCTGTAATCGGCCTGTTGAAGCTTTTGGGGAGGTGCATTCGCATTTATCAGCTCGAAAAGAAGCTGCCTTATATAGATACAAGTCAGCTACAGATCATCTTGACCACGAGAACAAGCATCACAATGAAACGAGACTCCCGAAAATCCGTGCTTTCACCATATTCGATTTCCCAGTTAGGTTCAACAATTAAGACGACAGTATCATGCTCTGTTGCATCTGATTGGTCAACAGGGCGAACCTCGAACACCTTTCCCGATTGAGACGAAGTGAAGCCCAAAAGATACCAGTCCCTGATTGGTGGGATGTCATGACTAAGCCAAGGCTATGGGGGCGAACTGATTAAATGAGAACAAGAATGAGCAGGAGCTGAAAGATCAGCAATTTTATTGATCTGACGAGAAGCTTAATTGACAGGAATAGAATGGGTATTATTGACCAGATGTACTCAGTAGCAATATCGTTGTTATGGCCACCGAATAGAAAAGATGTCCAGGGCTCGCTTAGCACAGAGCATGTATACAGCCAACCGGCCCCTCCAGGGCCATCGAAGAAGCCTCCAGAGAGGTGGGATAATACAGTATCAACCTCAAAAAGCACAGAATTATCTAGAGTGAGTCACATCGAGAGAGCCTGAGTCAAGACTAGATGGCGTGGCGATATCTCGGTAACGGCAATACATTGTTCCGGCAGTCCCGTGACTTCTTCCCACACAAACCGAAATTCAGCCCTCGCCCTCGCTAAGCCCACCCTCAGCCAGTGTACGATTCGACACTTCTTCTCTCCCATCACCAGACTCGACTTTTCCATCTCGCTGTACTTGTCTCCATCCTCAGCATCTCAACATGGGTAAAGTTCACGTAAGTTGCTTCTAGTCTATGATTTATGCCATGCCCAGCGACCGGTATTTCTCGTGATGGGCCGTCTGCGATATCTATGAGTTCACTGCAAAACTTGCGCCATCCCCATTTTCGTCGCTCGATATCCCACCGCCGATAATGTGTGTTTCGTACATGGATATTATATGAAACCGCTCTATTCGAGTCTTCGACGCAGTCACAGAATTTTTGATCGAATGAAACAGGAATTTCCGAATGACTGTAGTCGCACGACCCCTGGTGAAAAATCGTGGTCCATCCTGCTTTACGATCGCTACCCGACAACATCCACACCACTTATAACGAGTTTTGCAGTACGCGCCAGACGAATGACGAGCCTTCGCGAGAAACCACTGGGATATCATTTCAACCACCTGGAAAGGCAACGGCGCTGACATATAATAGGGAAGTTTGGCTCGTGCCGGTAAGGTCAAGGCCGCCACCCCCAAGGTCGACAAGCAAGAGAAGGTACTGTGGCCTTTACGCAACTTATTTGCTGAATCACCAACTAACAAATGGGATAGCCCAAGCAACCCAAGGGCCGTGCTCGCAAGCGATTGGTCTACACCCGCCGATTCGTCAACGTCACATTGACCGGCGGCAAGCGCAAGGTGAGAGACATTGTCCGGACGTCCTAGTACTCTCCTACTAACTGATCTCTCTCAGATGAACCCCAATCCTGGCTCATAAATCATCGGAGTCTGCTATTGAATGAAAATGACGACTGAAAAAATAAAATGTCTGGCGAGTCTAGACTATCAGTGGGCGGAGCAGCCTGGACTAGGCTTCTGTGGTGGATAGCTTAGAATAGGCAGATTCATGTGTTCCTATGTCTGGTATTAAATTTTTTCGTTGCGCCTATGCAATTCGGTGTTTATCAACAAGGGATGGTTTTTTTTTGAGGTTTAGTTCGAGATAATGCGGTGTCATGTGAATGCATCGACTACTCTGATAAAAATCATACATAGCGGCGGTCGGGAGTGAAACCTCGACCGTCTAATGCATTGACAAGTGCACGACGTCTTCTAAAGCATATCAATAGTCATCGTAGACGAGCAATAAAATTATTTGAAAAGAAAAAACAAGAGAGACAAAAAATCAATGGATAAAAAGAAGCAATAAAGGCCAAGAAATTTCCAAAGATTCAGCAAGGGATGAGTGCAGCAATCCACGGTTTCGAATGGTAAAAGGCAATTCGAGAGTTCTTCGTTAGACTGACTGCATCCCTAGTGGGGCTTTCCCAATAATGACCTATATCCTCTCAAAAATTCTGGGTTCGACTCCCGCTCCGGCACTTTATTTTTCTCATTCATTTTTCCACAATTCGTCTCGTCTTACTTTATGGACAACTTACTTCTATAAAAGTTCGGTCTATGAATTTTTTTTCATTCAAGTTATCGGCCTTGATTATAGTATGAAATTATCCTGATGCTATTAATCATACTCGCTAGCAGACATAAGCCTACTAAGCCTGCTCTTGAAGCTCTTTGATCTCCGAAGGCCCAAGTAATCCCAAAGCCTGTCGCCTTGTCGGTGATTTGGGGTCAAAGAAGGGTTTCTCAGCCAAGGAGGTCACTCTCGTGCCGTGCCTCGGCTCGAGACCCTCGTAGTCCCAGCTCGCATTGTGGATTGTTATGCTATTACTCTGTCAGCTAGCTAATTCCCTATGTGATGTAGCGAGCAACATACCGGTTGTCCCACAATGCGCTAGTTCTAGGACTCCATTTGAACCGCACTTGAATATCCGGGTTACGCTCGTACACATCATACAGATAACCCAGAATCAAGTCGCTCTCTGCCTTGTCAAGGCCCACGATCCTTACCGTCATGGCACGATTTACCCACAGCGCTCTCCAGCCAGTCGCCGGATGCGTGCGAACCAGCGGGTGCTCTCTCTCGATATATTGAGGCCCTGCCTCGGGATTTTTACGATCCAGGTATGTATGTGCAGAACGATAAATTGCTGTCTTACCGTCGATGAATTTTCGGAACGAGGGAGACAGTTTCTCGTAGGCAGAATAGCCGCTCGCCCAAAGTGTATCGCCACCAACGCTAGGTATGGTATCGTTGTGAAGATGCGTGATACCAGCAGGCTGATTTTCGTGAACGAGGTCGGTATGCCATGCGGACGCCCCTCCAGTTTTGCGGAAGTTCGGTTCGCGTTCTACAGCTTGAAGAGCGGGCCAGAGAACTGTCACTCCAGGGACACCGGGTACTTGCCCTACTTGCGGCTTTGGATAATATCAGATACGTGGTCATTGGTATCTCTCGCAGGGGAAGCAGCAACGTACGTGGACTTCCACCTCCCCAAAATGTTCTCCTAATTCTTTCTGCTGCTGCGGAGATAGATCCTGGTCTCTGAAAAAGACAACGCTGCGTTCGGCAATGAGCAAGGCTAATTCATCTCGCTGTTGATTTGTCAAATCCTTAAGCTGCAATCCGACAATCTCGGTTCCAATATGGCGTGTGAGATGGATGACTTCTTTGGCGGCGCCCAACAATGCCTTCTTATCCGGGTCGGCGCGGCTCCCCGCTTCCACGTATTCGCGAGGCTGATTACGAATTTTATACACGTCGTCAAGATACAGTGGTTTAGCGGGGTTATATGGATATCCCTTTGATAAATCAATACCGGCCTTGGTAAGACGTGCAATCGTTGCCGGAGGGATCTCTAGTCCATGGTTATCCTGCTTCGTCTGTACGACGAAGTCGGTGATGGATGGGGAGATTGGAGCTGGAGCCATTTGCGATGATACTTTAAGCTATGAAGGATGAACGATGCAGAAAACTACCAGGTAAGAAGTAATTATAAAACAAAAAAAAAAATATAGTAATGATCCATGGATATTCCGTCTCATTATATACCAGATATCTACTCTCTGTCAAGTACTTCAGTATTCGCAATTCCATCACATCGTTCTTTCAAGATTAATAATTCCCAGAGTTGTGATGATTGGCTGCTGGCTCTATCAAAGAGGGGAAGTGTTAGGGCAATCATCTCATCAACCACCGCAATTGCACAATCGTGTCTTTCGAATTCCAATTTACATACTACTACAACATTGCTTTTACTGTTGCATAGTCGTATGACATTCTTCCAATAGACAATTCCATACTGCTGATTTGTTGATCCGTTCAGTCTTTGTTAATCTACTTACTGTACTGACATTGGTGTATGAAATGGCATGATTTCGTACTAAAATGGAATCATGAATAGTTTGCCATCTAGCGCATATTTTCTTATCTTAGAAGTACCTGCAGCAATACCTACCCGTCGTATTTTGTGACAATCATGATAGTAAAAGATCTCGTATTGCCTACATTAGGTGACATTTGTACCGGGTATTCGGATCGAATTGGAATGAAATAGTCCGAGATATTCGAGGCTCATGGTGAATTTTGTGGAGAATAATGCTCATAAGAATCCTTTCTAGAAGCTCGCCTGAACTCTCATCGTATATAGTAAAATAGGTGGCCGATGAACTTGACACCATTGATAACCCTAGATTACTCAACTTATCATTGCGGATGACACACCACAATGACCGGACCATTGAATCAGATTGATAGAGTCGCTGTGATAGGTGCCGGAATAAGCGGTGTTGTGACAGCAGCACATTTGCTGAATGCAGGTTTAGAAGTCACTGTTTTTGAAAGGAATAAGGAGGTCGGTGGTGTGTGGTATGAATGGAAGGTCTCTCTGTGTTAGGAAAGCCTAGCTGCTAACAATATTTGATCAGGCTTTTTGATGATAGACAGCCTGTCGAGTCGATATATCCATCAATCAGGCCCTCGGAAGCAGAAAAGACTGGAGATTACGAAGAGATTCAAGAAACCGATCGCATTGTCCTCGAACATGCGCCTCCTGGGTATGACAGTCCTCCCATCTAGTAAAAATCACTAGTTAACTATATATTCATATACAGTCCATGTTATGTTGGTCTACGTAATAATGTTTCCACGCCACTTATGCGAGTTACGTTGAACGCATGGCCGGACAAAACGCCCGATTTCGTGTCTCACAGAGTGATGAACGAATACATTATCGAGACATCGCGAAAATCGGGGGTACACGCTGTGACTTTATTTGGGGCCAAAGTAACCAATATCGAAAAAGTGAATGAAAAGTTGAAATGGCGCGTTTCATGGACTGAGCTTGAAGCAGGTGACGAAGTGGGAAAAGTAAAAGAGCAAAATAAGGATGATGTGAGTCACTTGGAATTTGATGGCTCGGATATTTGTTTCATACAGCACACTCATATCAAATCAGCTTTTTGACGCAGTGGTGGTCGCCTCTGGACATTATCATGCGCCACGCATCCCAGATATACCGGGATTGGCAGATATCAAGAGGTTATGGCCGTCAAGGGTTTTCCATTCAAAGGGTTATCGAAGACCTGATAGCTATGCTGGAAAGGTGAGTCTTCCCAACAAGTTCATTAATATGTTGATCTAATTCAACAATGCAGAATGTGCTTCTTATCGGCGGAGGCGTATCATCTACCGATATTGCTCGTGAGCTCGGACCCGTGGCCAAATCCATCTACCAGAGTACAAGAAACGGCCCCTTTGACTTGGGAGAAAAAATGCTACCTGAAAATGGCACTCGAGTGGCCGAGATTGCGTCTTTCGATTTCGCAAGTGGCAGGAGCATCGAAGAGCCTTTGACAGCAGAAAGTCACCTGCCCGTGAAAGTGCAACTCAAATCGACCGACCAAGGTACAACGATTGATGACGTTGACTATGTCATAGTTTGTACTGGCTATCATTTTACTTTGCCGTTTCTACGGAGACTCCACGAGGATGATACTGCTCCCACAGATGCTAGTGATACGGTCCTGGTCACGGATGGAACACAACTACACAACCTGCATAAAGACATCTTCTACATTCCTGATCCGACATTGGCTTTTATTGGAGTACCTTTTTATACAGCAACGTTCACCTTGTTTGAGTTTCAGGCCATTGCTCTAGCAGAAGTATTTGCCGGCATTGCTCGATTACCGTCGGGTTCCAACATGAGAGAAGAATATCGAGCTAAAGTTGACCAAAAAGGACTGGGCCGCAATTTCCACAGTCTCAGAGGCGAAGAAGAGGGATATGTTGAGGAATTGCTTGACTGGATCAATTTCTTCCGAGACAAAGTTAGATTGCCTCCAATTGCGGGATACACGGAGACATGGCATGAAGCCAAGGAGATACAGAGGCAGCGTATAGAGGAGCTGTTTGGAATTACTAGGTAGTCGATACTGCTATCAAGTAACTTGGCGCGGATAAAATCTTTTTGATATTTCGTTTCATTCTCGAATACCTGCAGCGAGTAAAGTAACAAGGCAGTTATCATGACCATCAATAAACCAGCTTACTATTGTGGAGAGCTTGGGTCTGCTGATCAGTAGAAGGAACAATAACAGGTAGTCTGATATAACACGGCGTTGCTATGCATATCACGCCATCAGTCAGCCGTCTTTGGTGATTTGCAACAGATGCAAAGCTTGAATTGTTCAAGCATTCAAATAAGCAAGCAAAAAGAATACGCGTTATCATATGTTCGAAGATTTAATAGGTTTATAATTTCTACACGCGGCCTTATCTACTCGTATAAAAGTCACGCCATTCAAGCTCCCGATGAGATTTGCACTTATAGCCTCGTGTATCACCCCAACTGATTGGCCGCATATTTCGCAAGCAGAGCTCACAATGATAGAATGCATCTCCAGTTATGTGTTGTTATTGTTGTTTCAATCGACATGGAGCAGGGGTCGATCTTGTCCAATCAGCCCCGAATGTCTGGGGTTATTCCGCGATAAAAATTCTGCATATTATATTAGACCTCTGCCCTGGTCGCTGGTTCTTTTGCCATTGAACCAAGCAACAGTCTGACCGTTGTGCTTGCGAATCAAGATGACCGGCGCCGTGGGTTTTGAGAATGAGCGGATATCATCTGAACTATCCGACACGGTCGTCCAAAAGGAGACCAAGCGGAAGTGGACGAGTTATGTTTGGGACACCTTGGATAAGTCACCGGAAGAACGTCGCTTGTTATTCAAGCTAGATACCGCGCTCTTGACGTTTGCGTCCTTAGGTTAGTAACCTAACAGCACGAATGAGTTGGCGAGAATAAAGATAGAGGGCTCGGTTGACAAGTTTTAGGCTATTTCATTAAGTATCTTGACCAAATCAATCTCAATAATGCTTTCGTGTCCGGCATGTAAGTCACAATAAGTTCATACACCTATTGTAAGACTCTAATATCCCGATCCTCCCAATAGGCAAGAAGATCTCGGTCTGTACGGAAACCAACTGAATTATATGACCACTTGCTGGACCGTCGGATATGTCATAGGGCAGATTCCGTCCAATATGGCCCTGACTAGGATCCCGCCTCGTTATTGGATTCCAACAGCAGAGGTACGCATGCCATCTGCAGCCCTTTGACGCTTCCTTCCACTCACATTAGCGTGCAGGTTATATGGTCGGTTTTGACCATGGGTCTGTCGAGAGCCAGTAGTGCCCGCCAAATATACGTCATGCGCTTTTTCATCGGTATGCAGATTCATTGACGATCGATGAAACACAGCTCACGGTGAATAGGTCTGGCTGAAAGTACATTTTATCCGGGCATGCAATATATAATCGGCTCCTGGTATCGCAAAGACGAACTGGCAAAAAGATCTTGTATCTTTCATACTAGTTCTGGCCTTGGTTCTATGATTTCTGGTTATCTGATGGCCGCCGTTTACCATCTCGGCGGCAGAGGAGGTTTCAAAGGCTGGCAATGGTATGAACCCAAGCCAGGAACATGGGAGACCTAAATTGATTTTTGGGTGTCTAGGCTGTTCATCATTGACGGAGTCATCTCCCTACCTGTTGCTTTGGTGGGGTTTTTCATCCTACCCGATGTGCCCGAGATTAGCAACCCATGGTACTTGACTAAAAAGGCGAGTCCACTGGTGTGACCAGTATACATGGCTTCCGATCAATAATTAACATTTCTATATTAGGAGGTCGCCATAGCGCAGAGGCGAATGGAACTAGAAGGCCGCGAGCCTCGTCAGCCATATACAAAGGCCAAGTTCAAGAAAATATTCTCTTCATGGCATATTTACTTCTTGACAGTGTTGTACATGTATGCTTTGAAGACGTTGAATGGTAATATTACTATTGCTGACGGGATTTACAGATCCTTTAACAACTGCAACGGAGGCCAGCCGGTTCTTGCACAGTAAGAGTCTTGCCAGACAAATTTGGATGTCTCTGTCGTGTCTAACAGAACAACGACAGATGGCTGAAGCATTCGAAAGATCCAAAATATACCATCCCACAAATCAACGCATACGCAACAACACCATATGCTGTTCAGGTTATCACAACGCTTATATACGCTTGTAAGCACTACCACTTCGCGTTGTTTGTGCACATGTCTAGCATCCGTACTAAATTACCAATACACATACAGGGACATCAGATACTATCTTCAAGGGTAGACGGTGGCCTCCTATCCTGTTCGGTGCTGTAAGTTCTTTACCCATCACCGCTGGACACACATCCGACATTGTGCCTTTGCAGTCAATGTTATGAATATAAAGCTAATTCTTTCTTTAACAAGATATCAAACATTGTATGTGGCGCTTCTCTTCTTGCCTGGGACATACCCCGAGGCTGGAAGTGGTTCTGTTACATCTATTCCGGCGCTGGCTACGGCCTAAGCGGGCTGTGTATGGCGTGAGTATATCTATAGCTTCCATGCGCCTATTACAGTAGTCGAAATAAGCTGACAACACTAAACTTGGCAGCTGGGCACATGAAATCTGTACCGAGGACAACGAAGAGCGAGCACTTACCGTTGGCTCCATGAACGAAATGGCATACGTCTTTCAAGCATGGTTACCCCTGATTGTTTGGCAACAGGTGGATGCGCCAAAGTATCATAAAGGCTGGATTACGATGATTACCATGTCTTGCATCTTAATAACTACAACGTTTATCGTACGATTTTTGCACAAGAGAGAGAAGTGAGTTATCTCGTTAAAATCGTTAATCTCCTTCCAAGGTTTACTCGGCCATTACTTCAGAATGCCTACTGACTCAAGTACCAAGGCTTAGGAAGAGTAGGACTCATCTTAGCCAGGACCAATTCCATATTTATGGAGAAGACCCTCACCAGCGCTCAACGGTTATCACATCGGACGAAGGGTCAACAAATTTGAAAGTGTGATTGCGTCTCGAGACTGATCATGGAGCTTTTCTTTGCAGTGTTGAGTTGTGAAAGAATGGCATGACTTTCAATAGATACACATTCAGCAGTGTGACGGAACAACACTGAATGAACTTTTTGTGGCTATATAGAGCTGGCCAGAAATGTCATCTCGGAAAATCAGGAATAAGCTTCAAGGTCGTAAATATAATGTACGAATGATCCATGCGGTTAACGCAGGTTGTTTTCCACCTCCGGGTTGATTCAGTTGAGGTGTAACAAGATTTCCACTAGAAGATATACACAGTCATTTAATTGTATTACTTGTGGCGGGGCTTCCAAGGTTGATTCGAACACTAACCGTCATAAATATTGTAAGATCAATGGACGTTCAGGTCTTCAATGGATCATGACCCCAATTTTTCAGACTTTTGTAGCTTTTGCTATTCGTATTTCGCTTCGCCGTCTCCTCCTGGGCCAGGTGCCTCTTGCAATAAGCGACTACCCGTCGCATATGCTGTAAGTCATCGCTATCGTACTGACTTGGATCTTTGTCAGGGTTGTGTTCTAGGATCGACACGATTTTTCTTCCACTTTGATGGAATGCAAATTAGTTTATGCTGACCGAAGTACTCGGATCAGTTTAGAGTAGAAGAAAAGACAAACCTCTCATGACCAATAGTTTCAGTGTCGCTCGAGTCGGATTTATGCCAACCTGATGCTTTAGACAGGTCTCCTTGAAGCCACTCGCGCAGCTCTGGGGCAGACATGTTTACGAGTGAGTTGAACTCCCTGATATCCTGCAATTAGCAAAAAACGAAGCTGTAAGTAGACAGCCACAGGAGACGAACTCAATAACGGTGTTGTCGTCTTTGACCATTGCGATTTTCCGTGCTCTCTTGCTGATTTATCGGACGGCATTAGTAAAGGGAAGATAGAGACAACGAGCCTATTTTGAATAGATATTAACCACTACAATACATCATGCTCACATAATTATTTCCCTTGATCGATTCTCTCTCAGGCAATCGCGGCGCAAACCCTAAGATTTTGATCGATCTGTGACATCATTCCGCCACTTTGTCCGTATTTCCGCTTTGGGGAATTTCAAGATTTTGCCCTAACTGGTACCGGCTGTGAATTAAACGAGCCTGAAGAAGCAGAAAATAAAGTACATGTAAATGACCTTTGTGATACTAATAACGAGAAATGAGATAGTTCCTCCGTTCCACTCCCGTCCAGGTTTTGACTTGTTCGATCTCGCCTCTTTTTATAGCAACGTACGGCTGGATAATGGCCTGTCCAACCGACTCACATATCGTCGTGTCAGAAACCAAGGAATCCAAACTTTCAGTGAGCGACTTGGGCAATAATGTGCGAATCCCCAATTGCTCCCTTTCTTCTGGAGATAGCAAATTGGCACCTTTGGGACAAGGACCAGCAGTCAAATTGATTCCTCTTTTCATACCGTCTATGCCTGCTGCTAAAATAGCGCACAACGCAAGATAAGGATTTGCAAATCCATCCATTAATTTCAACTCGAAATGGTTGGATTCAATTCGACGTAGAGGAACCTCTTTGTTTTCCCATCCCCAAGCAGCATATTCACCGCCGCTCCAAATGCCGCTCTGGACACGGGCATAACTTTCCTGTTGAGGGAGGTTGAAAGCTAGGATTGCAGGAAGATGCTCTAATATTCCAGCAAAGAATGACTCTTTCGTCTGATGTCCCATATTGGTCAAGGGCACAGGTGAGGACCCGTTCGCATTGCAGGAAATGTGTACATGAGCTCCGTTCCCGGCGTGTGATTCCGATGGTCGTGGGAAAAGAGTTGCTCTAAGTTGATGCATTTCAGCGACTCGGGAAATGATGCCACGGGCTCTGATTAGGGTATCGACAGCCTCCACGGGACGCGAGGGGGGAAGAACAAATTCCCATTGCCCGGGAGCAGCCTCGGCGTGGAATTGCTCGATCTCTATTTCAGCAGCCAGCAAGGTCTTTGCAATAATCTCCATCATAGTCAAGTATTGTTCGTCGTCTGTCGTTAGGCTCTGAAAGGAATGATCCTTATTGACAAGTTGATACGCGGTGACTTGTCCATCAGCATCCTTAACCCTCTTCATGAAAACCACTTCAACTTCGAATCCAACTACCGGATAACATCCAGTCTCCTGGACCATAAATTCATTCAAATGTTTCAGTCTGGATCGAGGGCACTCGGGAATTGCAGTCACCCCATCTTCCTGCACAGCGTCTGCAATAACATATGTCCTTCCAGAATTTTCAGGATGTGGGTGGAGTGTCGAAAGATCAGGTTTCAAATAAAAAATTCCCAGAGGATCGCCTCCCTCGGCTAGATAATCATGGGGAAGAAGGTAGAATATTGCCCTTGTGAGTGAGAGTGTCTGGTTTTTTTTGATCAATTCTGCAAAGCGGGCTACAGGTATTGCACGCATAAGGATGTTGGCGTTGTATCCCATGAATTGTACAAATACGAACTCTGTATTAACATTTGTGTTCAGGAACCGTTGCCACAATGCTATGTGAGCATCTTGAGATGCCATGGTCGCTAGAAAGAAGTTGGTATGTGTAAATAACAGGCAGTATAGCAAGTAGCAACTGTATAATGAACATTTGAAAATCCACTATTTTTCTTGAGGACAACCTTAAAATTTTTTTCCCGAGAGTGCAGCTGGAATGGATGGGTATTTATACCTGTAGCATCTCATCTCATAGACAGAATCATCCCTGTGTGCCAAGTCCACCAAGTCACACGAAGACCAGCTCCCCGCTATTGTGTAACCATATTTGAAGCCAAACTGCCACCGCAATTCAATCCCGAGATCTATCCTTGATGCCCTGAGCGATATCCACAGACACGAATCGTGGCTTCGTTGGACAGCGGAACAGGTAAGGGCAACTTATTACCCGATAATTTGTGCTTGTCAAGCAGTGGGAGTTCATTTCCAACCCAATATTTGTTTAAGTCTTGCCCTTGGAGTAAGTCCACTGCTAATAAGGGGAGAGATTTTTCGATGTGAGCTTCACCACGATGGAAACTGGTAAATGATGCTCTTGGCAGAGAGCGTTACTAGGAGATGGAAGCTCATTTCAATATATTTCCGGCTTTAATCAAATATCAAGATTTATATCGTCAAGAATGAGTGGCGGCCCAATCGTCCGGAATCCTAAAGTCTGGTGGTATTTCGTATCGCCCATAGCAATGGCCATCATTGCAGTTATCAAGATTGCAAATTCCATAGAGCCGACAATAACAATCCGCTGCACGCGGACAAGCCGCCGAGTTAAGTTTATCAAGTGAAATAGCACCATTTTCTTCGATCTCCTCCTTCTTGATGAACAATATGTGCCAGAGATATGATAGTATACGCCCGGCCACACGATCATCGCTCGGTGCTGCATCATGACTGGTATCAAGCAGCCATTGGCGCAGTGCGATGTATTCCTGAAGCGAATGTTGAAGGATATTCTTTCGACCGACAATGAACTGCGCACAGCATTGCGAGCGGACGGTATCATGCTTCCCAAGCTTACTGTTAGACTGCCCTTTTCCAAAGAGGGTCTCAAAAGCCGCTGGAAGAGCAAAATCAGACACCGCTCGTGCATCCCATGGACTGATCATGGCCTGCAGAGATGTTTCTATGCTTCCTTGTGGCTTTGCCGACGGTGGGCAGGTGCTTACACTCCAGTCGCAGCGTAAATTATGGTAACCCCATGTCTCGAGAGAGGCATGGACATCAAGAGCCTTGAGCAAAGCAGCGTTGTCATAAGTGGGCTCATCATTATGCCAAGCCCAGCGGGAACCGTGAACAAAGACCACTCCAGCTTCTGGTATGTGATAGTAGTTATCGATGATAAACGTCAAATACACTATTGCCTCATGTCCCCTATTGGCAGGTACTTGGAGATACTTTGATGCATGATCCACCGGCGAATCCACAGTATAGATACATGGGTGATATTTCTTGGATAATGGATCGATCCATGACGCGTCACCGTCAGCTGCTACACGCGCTACTACCAACGCCGGTTTTTTGCTACCGGCTAGGCTGGGACACGCGCCACGTGAATCCGGCTGCTCATTTGTCGTTGATTTGTATCGTATTTCGGTCCATGCCAAAAGTTTGTTTGCTGCGCTCTGGGGGCGATTGATATAAAGAATGAGCAGAAGAACACCGAGGAATACGGCGGACTGAATAACGAATCTGTCAACTTTTCGGGGCATTTGAGATGCTCCTTTCCATCATATAACAAAAAATGTGCTTCGAAGACAAGGTGTTTGTCAATGTCAAGGCTGATCAAATGCACACAAAGCCTCTCTGTTGTGGTGCCTGGATAGCCCAGTGTTCGCTGTATGTGAGCGTCTAGTAGCTGATAGGCGTGATAATGCGGTCACCTTGACAAATATAGGATGCTTTTTCAATGAGCTGCATATAAATATACTCTCCTTTATATATATAAGATGAAAAGATGGATTCTTTGCAAGAGAAGAAGAGAATCCTCAAAATATCTCAATTTGATCGTGAGTTACCGAGCACTCCGATTGGTGGATTAGTCTTAGGAGCTGACGTAACTAGTCTAGCTTCTTTAAGTATAGCGCAATTTAGTATAACCTGTTGGAAGCCTGGTGTGAGGTATCTGTTGGACGGAATGGTATTTTTCAGATGCTCCGGATTTCCAACAAGGTATAGAATCCAAAAGCCAACCTCAAACATATAAACCTTCACCTTGTGCACCTGAAACTCGACTTGAGACGTCATGGTCGCATTCCTCGGAACAGTGAGAGCCCAAGTCTGCTAGTTGCCAAAACATCTATATAAGTCCGGCTTTGGAACCCGATGTATGCAGAAGAAGAGAACAAGAGATACAATTTGTTAGCAAACCTGTGTCACTAACTCCTACTACATATATACGGATTCCAACATAACCTTAAACTGAGATGAGAGTCTATTGAACCCTAACCCTACGGTAATATTAAGTTCCAGTCGATCAGGAAGAGAACTCGTTAATCATACAATGAATATAACGCTATGATAAAATACTGGTTACTGCCGCTAATAACTACTCCCAATAAAATGAAAACATATCAGTTCCTCGGAATTCATCTCCATATAAGGCTCCCTTGGACGAGCCTCCAGCTCCCGCCGTTACAATCAATGGCAAGAAGTGCTCGGCTCCATGTTGAGGATGCATCGTGTAAGCATGAGGAAATTCTCTCCATCGCTTTAGCTTGGCCAGTCTCTCGTTAGCATCCTCGGTCAAGACAGCTTCATTCAGGACTCCGGACCACTCGCGAAGTTTCGACGCTAGATCTGGCGGAAAATTTGAACCGCGTGGGAAGAGTCGCATGTTATGGAAAGTGGCAAATCCAGATCCCAGAATGGCGATATTCTCTTTGCGTAATTCTGAAAGCACCTGACCAATCCTATAGTGTTCTTCTGGGTCCTCGCTTTCGAGGACGGACATTTGAACAATAGGAATTGACTCGTCTGGCACGATGAGCTTCATCGGAATAAAAACGCCATGATCCCACCCTCGAGTCTCATCGAGCTTCGGCGAAAGTCCCGCCTTCTGAAGGCGTGTATATATCTCTTTAGCGATTGATGGAGACCCGGGAGCATCGTATTTGATCTTGTAAGTTTCGGGTGGAAAATTATAATAGTCGTAGTAAAGCTCATGTTTTGCGCCCGAGGAGATTGTCGGACGCTGTGTACTCCAGTGCGCGGTAACAAGGATGATGGCCTTAGGGGCTTCGGGAGTACCGACTTTCAATAGCTTTCGTACGCGATTCTCCCATGATTTTACCATGTTTTTATGGCTGGGCTCGCCCAGAATCGGCATAGGACCTGGATGAGGGGGGATTTGTCAGTGCATGCAATTTGAAGTGCGGCGTATCGACATACCACCACCATGACTGACACAAATTGCTGGTGCCAAAGGTACTTTTGTTCCGTTTGTGAGTGTCATTTCTGAGACTGTTGAGATTCCTCGTCGAAAGAATAAAGATGTAATAATGCCCATAAAAGTGACGATGGCAAACACGCTGACTATGGTGGGGAATCGCTGACCGGCCATGCAACGGACGAAACGGCGTTAAATAGTAGTACACCGAATCAAAGAGAGAGTATTAGTTGAGTTACAGTCACTAGGGTTCTTATAGAATGATAATATAAGCAAAAGAAGAACGCCATATTTGCAATCAATCAGACGAGGATTTACAATTCTTAGTCAACGCTTACAATTAGCAGCGCGGATTGTTTCCGCACTCCTTCCTAGCCAATCATACGATGTATTAGTAATCAGCTTTGGCTCTAATGTAGTTAGCTACGGGATTTCAAGTTCGTTTTGATCAAGACTTCAGCATTCGATCATCACACTGCGAAACGAGCCCGAAGTAGATCCCGATCCACGATTTCATCCATCTTTGCCAACAATTCGTCGACGTCCCATTTCGCCGACAAGAACCTTCCACTCAATCCACGTATACGATCCTGATTGCGAGTCAACCAAACAATAAATGCTCCTGCAAGGTCCGGAGATTCCGTCAAAACTGGATATTCTGTGATTAGCACTACTTGAACAAGGTATTTTGAATGAGCAATGCATACAAGGTAACATGCTTTGGGGCACTCTCGCTTGCTTCGCAAAATCGCTCTTGATTCCGCCGGGATGCACTGACGCGAAGAAAATCCCATCTTCTCCCCCGTTGGCTACCTGTTGCTGCTCATAAAGCATTTCGATGACACGAGTTTGTGCAAATTTGCTTGCGCAATAATGAACGTGTGCGACCGGACCAATTACTGTCGGTGCAGACATGGAACTAATGGTAATAAAAGCTCCCTTGAAAGATGTTGATGCCGCAGACTCGTTCAAGATTGGAATAAATGACTGCGCCGCATAAGCTGCGCTGAGGGTATTGATATTAAACGCATTCTGGAAGTCCTCGATTCTTTCTTGTGCAATATCGCTAACAATCGGTCCGCTATAACCGGCATTGACAACAACAGCACCAACAGTGGCGCCGAATTGTGCTCTTGTAGCATCTGCGACCGCCGCGATATCAGATGCCAATGAAACGTCACATTTAAGCACCAGAGTTTGCAGTGTTGGGTTGATGGTTTTGGCCTCGTAGGCAACGCTCCCAACTACATCTAATCGACGAGCTGCCAAGACAAGACCTGTCGCTCCGGCTTGAGCGTAAGACCGTACAAGCCCAGAACCGACAGCCCCGCTAGCCCCTAGAATGACGGCTGTAAACGGCTGCAGCAGTTTATTGCTTCGGGGGTCGATAGCAGGGTAGACATCCGAGTGTTGGACAGACACAAAATTGCTAAGATCTGCTGCATTCGTTTGACTGGGAGTTGAATTCACCGCCATGGCTGCTGTGCTAAAAGTCAACACGGATGAGTTCGACTTCTCGTTACGTATTATTGCGTAGTTTTGGTGCATATGAACTATTGGATTTCTTTATATCACTTCTCGGCGGACATTACGGAGATACCAAACGGAGATAGAACCGTAACCGCATGTCTTGCTGTTGGATCATATTCACCCATCACTGAGGTTGACCGTTAACTACCAAATTCTGCTACCAGTTTAGGAATACAATTATCGATTCTCTCTGGCCAACACAATCATTTTTCAAGCATTCAGTCATAATATTTCTGCGGCACACCTGCCAGGATCTCCCTCTCTGGTTCATTGACAATTCCAGTTCTGAAACGGTGGTCCTTTGCGATCCTGGCACGAGCCCATTCTGTGGTTACAAGTATCAGTCTCATTGAATATTAAATAGCTCGTCAAGATGGAGTCACAAAAGCAGGAATATCCATGGATGTAGAGCACAAACCTTCTGCCGTGACACCTTCAAGTGCCTTCAGGTAATGCTCAGGCACTTGAATACCTAGCCTCTGGAACAGCGGACTCTGCAGAGGTTCCATGCGAACTGCAGCCTCTGGTCTCGCGAAATAAATCAGGCTCAATCTCGGTTTCTCTGCTTGATCAACAGGTGGTCGCACGACGCGATGCACCGTCGATTTCAAGAAGCCGCCACTCAAGTACTCAAGTGCATCCGCAATATTGACAATTATGGCTCCAGGCTCGGACTTGACGTATCTCCACGAATTGTTATCGTCGGGGTTCTGGAGTACCTGTAGACCTGCGACTGGTTGGTGGAAGAGGAAAGTTAGGGTGTTGTAGTCTGTATGACCCTTGGCCCAGATGTTGCCCACCTTGGCATCCTCCTCGGCTGATCGTGGGTGGTACTTCATATATCTCAAGTACTCAAGTCCATTTTCCTCGTACCGATGGCGCTGTACCAGAGCTTCGTCGTCTACCTCGAGAACATAGGCAAATAAGCGGAGCAGGGGTAGGAGAATTTTGTCGTGGATGTGCTAATGATTGGGAACATCTCAATTAGTCTTTAGTTGCAGCATTAAAACCAGGATGAGGAAGAGAAACCTACCAAGGAGAACTCCTTGATCTCTTCATAATAGTCCTTTATCAACTGGGGATGTTCCCGCTCATGCTCCTTGGTAAATTTGGGAATATTGTAGCGTTCATCATTATCTCGTGAACTCAGTTCGCCCGTTGCACGTGGCTTGTATCCCCTGAAGTCACCTGCCGCAGTATTACTTAGATACTTCATTTTCTCTTCGAGAGGAAGCTCGAAAAGAGCGTCCGCAATAGCATATTGTCGATTGATTTGCTCGTCTGTGAGGCCGTGGTTGGTTACGTAGAAGAATCCTATGATATACATGTTAATTCACTATTTTACACATTGCTCTAATGTTGATCTGGGGAGGAACATGTTTGGAGGTGGGCGACTACCATTTGTATTGATGAACCTCAGTACTTGCCCTGCTAGGACTTCTTTCCCGCCGGGTTTATCGAGTAAGGAAATATCCAGTCCCTCGAGGTCTGCCCAACTCACTGATAACACACTATTAGTTCTATGTATTGAGATGGAGTAAGAGGTGCTGGAAAATTGGAGTTATATTACGATTCTCCGTCGTCTGCGGCGGCGGTGTGTAGGGCTTCAAGACCGAAGAAGCAGAATTAGAAACCATTTCCTTATGTTACCTCTTTAAGGATCCGTACCCAGGTGATAGAGTTCAACAATAAATCTTTGGCGAAGCTAAAAGTGCATCAAGTACATAGTTATAGGTAAACAGCATGAAATAACAGACACGAATATATATCATTCTTCATCATCACCAGTTGACCCTTTATCACCGGACCATTCTCCGATATCACCTAAATCCAATCTAGATGCAAAATTACGATCTCTTAGATGAAATTGATTGGCTGTTTCATTGCGGCATTGGGGAAGAGAATCACATCATCCTCGCGAATTGAAATATTTCCTAGTTAGGAAATAAAGACTGCGACATGTCCGCACGGCTCTGTCAGTCTTGCTTTGTCGACATGAACCTTGGAAAGCATCGAATATCATTCAAGATTATTTCATTAAATTTGACGGGCATATCAACGACTGTAGTACTGAAAATCTACAGGAAGCTTGCATATATAAGGCAGATTGCCAGTCCAACCAGAACTAGACATTGCCTTCAAGCCATCCAGTTGAGTTTGTAACCTTCCAAGCTTAAACGATTTAAGCTTGATTTGACCTCTTCCCCGATAATCTGATTATGATTCTTATCAGTGCGGATTCTCGTATAAACATCACGCCATTCAATCAACGCTTCACGCTATCTTGTCAGACCGGGTAGCAGTGCGATTTTTGAGGTAGCAATACCAGCTGTGGTAAGAATTGACGCGCAATCTATACACTATATAATACTTATAAATGATTTTCCGTGCCCTAGAAGAATGTGTAAATCCTGTTGAGAAACCATCGTTCCGGTAGTAGCCAATATAACAATGGAGAGGAAGCACCTCGATGTTGCGGTTGCGGAAACCAGGGTTGTCGCCGAGAACAGCCACCCATCAGACAGGAACTCTGTCCTTGAGCAGCCCAATATCAACGACCAAGATAAACCTCCATTGCCATTTCGACGCCGACTTAAGCATATTGTCTGGGACACCCTGGACTACACACCTGCAGAGCGAAGATTTGTTTCCAAGATTGACTTTTTTATCTTGTAAGAGACATCCACACATTACATCCATATCTAGCGCACGGGTTGATGAAAGATATCTTACTTAGAACATGGGCCGGTTTCTCTTATTTCTCCAAGAATTTGAATTCCAATAACCTCTGTATGAAGCCTACACAACCTGGGTATTATTAGCTCGTTACTTTCGCTAACTGGTCTTGTCCGAATAGCAAACGCATACGTATCTGGAATGAAAGAGGAGATCAACGTCGTCGGCAACCAGTATCAGACTTTTATAACTATGTGGACCATGTAACTATATCACGGCCATATTCCGGGTTTGACTTGAAATAACTAACTCTTTGATAGCGGCTATGTTATAAGTCAGATTCCATCACAGGTCATCTGTACGCGAGGTAGGTCATTTCATGGAGACGATTCTCTTCAGCATCGTGCTACTAAAATAAACATTTGCAGTACGACCGTCGATCTGGTGTCCCTCGTGGGAGCTTCTTTGGGTTATAGTAACATTTGCCTCTTCGTCCGTCAAGACACCTCACCAACTATACGCCTGTCGCTTCTTCGTATGTTCGAAACTGGATCTTATCCGTATCTTCAAAACAATGAGCTGACCATTCTTTCAGGTGGGTCTCGCAGAAGGCACATTCTATCCAGCAGTACACACTGTCCTGGGGGCTTGGTACACGAAAAGAGAGATCGCTAAAAGAGCCTGCATCTTCTTCGGGTCAGCGTTTGTGGGTTCGATGTTTAGCGGATACCTTGTATGTCTCCTCTCACGCACTGTGGTTGCCATCAGCCTAACATTTAATAGCAAGCAGCTCTGTATACAGGCATGGACGGCGTCGGCGGTCTATCTGGTTGGCGGTGGCTGTTCATCTTTGACGGTGTCATCACCTTTCCCATGGCAGTGTGGGGTTATATTGCCCTACCAGATCTACCCACTAACACCCGAGTCTTTTGGCTTAAGCCGCATGAGAAGGAGCTGGCGGTACGACGTATAAAGGAAGCTGGTAAGGCTGTGGGCGAGCCAGTTACGTGGGCTGGCATAAAAAGAGTGCTGGGGAAGTGGCACTTCTGGGTTTATACCGCTTACTATACGTGAGTACCTGATTAAAGTGGTGTGTATGTGTCAGAGACATTAATGCCAATTTTGATATTGGTTGTGTAGGTTCTTCATTTGCAGTGAAAATATTGGATCATACATGAACCTTTGGTTGAAAAGTCTCCACAAGTATGCCCGTTTCCTTTTGACTTATATGCAATGATTATAGCATCAACGGATCTTCTCGCACATGCTGACATTCTAAAACAGATACTCGGTGGCTGAGATCAACACCTATCCAACCGTTACCAACGCAATCACAATTGTCACTAGCTTAGCCTATGGCTGGACAAGCGACTATATCAAGCTACGGAGCCCGATTGTTTTCTTCTCTTTGTGTGTTTGCTTTTTCGCAGCTGTCAATTTGGCTGTTTGGGATGGTGTGCCGTTTGGATTGAAATGGGCATCTTATTATCTGACCGGGTGAGACAAGAACTTGTGGAAAAAGAAATATTATCTGCTGGGGTGTTTCTGAAGTTCTAACGTCAAACTCTTAGATTCGCGCAAGGATCTGGCCCCGTTTTCTTGGTATGTTGAAAAGAGCATTCCTTTCCCATGGGAGCTTCCACCTGGGCACTTGCTGATTCAAGGTTGATAGACGATGGTGAACGAGGTTTGTGCAGGCGACAGTCTCGAAAGGATCATTATTCTCGGCTCAACAAACTCTATTGCGTATGATTATCCGTCTTGACATCCATATAAATAACATTCATGTTCAGCTAATATATTGATCTTCTTCAGGTATGCCTTCAATGCATGGATCCCACTCCTATCGTATAATACAACATATGCACCAAGATTCCTGGTTGGAAACTCGATTACAGTTGCCTTAATCATATGTGCTGCGATGACGCTGGCGCTTGCTGTATATTTGGAGAGAAGGGATAATGCGTATGTATACTCTGTACACTCACGGAATTCATTACTTAGCTGGCCATACCTTGGGAGTTTATCTCTGCTGCAGAATGCTAACTGCTTGCTTGAATAGAAGGAAATATGATGTTGGCGAAGAGGACGCAACCTCCAGTCCGATAGTGGCAAGCCAAAGCGAGGAATGGAACGCGGGTAAAAGCGGACGTGAAGGGCTCGCCGGAGCAGTAAGGGATTGATGGGTTGATTAGATCACCTCAGTGAAGCGAGGCTTGACAATGGATAAATAGTTTGCTAAGGAGATTGGTGAGATCCGGTTTTCCGAGTGCTGAATGTAGAAATAAAAAAAGTTGAAGGGGTATATTGAATATCAGGCTTCATGGCGTAAATCTCATTTTCAAGAAGATAGTGTCGTTGAAGCTGCATTTTCATAAACCGTATCGCTTTTGTCACCAGAGTACACCTCCACCCAAAAAGAAACAACGAAGCAAGACGTGCAGGTAGTCAGAAAGAGCTCTGCGACTATTCCTATCGATATATCGATTGCATTTTCCATGACATGAGGTTGCTGTGTGTCCGCTAATACGTTCACCCAACTGGGAATCCACAAGTTCCTCTCCAGTACTCCAAGTCCGAATGCGTATTTTGATGTACGACTGGTTGGGTCGACACCGAAAATAATCCAATTTTCCAAGGCATAAGGCAGTTCAGGCTTAGTTGCTGGTGCTACTGTAATATAATGACTCGGATTATTCGTGCATTTACATATTCGAGTCAGAGCACGCTCAGTCATCGTAGCTTTGCACCTGCGCCCAGAACTTTCTTGCTCCGTGTGCGCAGGCTACCTCCATCCAGGCAAAAGAGGTCATCACATCAAGCACCTCTTCCCAGCCTTGGAGGCCCAGTTCAGTGTATAAATCGCGAGCCTTGAGTGCCATCCACTGCCTGAGATCGGCGTCGACATCTTCGGCAGCAATACCGGCGATAACCACACACCACAGTTGCAATTTCAAGACCCAACGATTATGTTGCAGGGCATAGCCACAATTACTGATAGCGTCACGGATTTGGAAAACTATTTTGACTCGAAAGCGACGAGAAGACGGAACAGGGAAGGTGACGTGAGTCGTGAACAAGTAGGTAACAAGCCAGCACATTCCATATACAGACGATGCCACCTCCATAATACTTCTCGCATAAGCGGTTGCTTGTTTGCTCCCTTCGAGCAATGACAAATCCGCTATGAGACTAGGGTCGTCGGACAGGGTAGGAAGATTCAAAAATCGATACTGAACCAGGTTTCGAGCATCGGCCATGAGATCTCTTACAGCTTTATCGTCCCATTGCGGTACTAGCATGTTCATGCTTTGCGCCACTTGACTAATTTCCACAAAAACTTGTTGAATCGAGTCGCGAATCGAGAACATATCCAAGCTTGTAAAGCCGGAGCTGGTAAGAGGAGGGAGATCCGAGGGTGTTAGTCCGAGGATATCTAGCGGTTCTAGCTCAATTAACGACTCTCCAAGATGATTGCACATGGGAAAGACTGGTTTTGTGCCGGTATGCAAAGCGTACTTCAAAGCGGTGCTGAAGGCCTTTCGTTAGCATCATCTTGAAATATTCTGGAGAAAAGCAGTCTACTTACTAAGCAATCTTCCACTTTGCACCATACAACTGTATCTTGTCAAACCCTCCGTGTTGGTCTAACAAAGCTAACAATCCTTTCCAGTGTACACGATGCACTGGCTGATATCCATAGATATTCAGGCCACCGAGCGGTTGCAAGACATGATGGAACGGATTGTAGTCCCTTTCTGTGATACTTGAAGGAAGTTCGCCCATCGGGTCGCTCACTGAGAGTAGGCAAACACTGACGAGAATTGCATCAAAGGCTGGAGTGCCAATTTTGTAGGTTGACACGGCTCGGCGTAACTCGCGTAAGGCAGTGTATCTGTAGTGGGATTTTTCCATTTCTCGTTGGTGACGATCCGAGTCCGCTCCACTCCACAGCATAAGCTTATCCCTGTGCACTGCCGAACTGAGACAAAGGACGTGGAATATAAGAGGGTCCGGTGTGAGTTGGATATACTCGCTTACTATTTTCGGACTCCATTCGCGACCGTTTCGAAGCGCAGGTATGAGGACTTGGAAAACTAGATTTGACTCTGGTTAGTACATCATCGTGGATAGTGGTTCAAAAAACAATTCTTACAATGTTGTATCAGAACATTGCTATTCGGACAATCCTTTTTGCCAAAATTTTGCTCGAAAGGGTCGAAAACAGAAGCCCCAATATTCATTTTTGGATCGCCATCCCCTCGCTGTCTGTCTGTTATTATGTCTTTTGCAGAGACTACTTCGGTAAGCGTATCGGATGGATCTTGCTGTGACTCATGAGAGATACCACCGCAGGTCTCGCACACATCAAGTTCATCGTCGTCAATGGGGGGAGTGGGCAGCTTGGACTCGGGAGGGATTCTCGACTTCACTGCTCTCTTTTTCTTCCCTGCCTTATTCTTCTTGCGACGGCCGTCATCTGGCGAACTTGGTCTCGTGCTCACTGAAGGAGGCGAACAATGACATTGTTCTGGACTATCTGACAAATCCTTGTTCCGCGTGCCGACCCCATCCTCTTCGGCCGACGGTGGAGAGACTTTGTATTTCTTCAGGTAAACCCGACGCATTAACTGAGAACGTAAATGCCGCCGAGCATCTCGCGGGCCAGCGTTCACGATTGTCGGAGCATTCACGAATATGAATTTGTCGGCCATGGCGAAAATTGTATGTTGTGAGGTAATGACTGAGTCGAGCACCGACCGCTAAGTTCCGGTTCTGATCTCGGACTGGTGTTACGTGTGCTGTATAAGGCATCACAAGCCATCACCAGGCCATACTTGCCGGGATAGGTGCGTACTGAAGTTAGTTGTGAGTTTTGTCCGAGGACACGAACGAGCGCGAAGACCTCGGAGTTAGTGGGTGTCGAGAACGAAACAATTGGGTAATAATATTAAGCTGTCGAGGCCGGTGATCATTCGTTGCACAGCCAGATGCCGGAGTTGTCACAGGAATACGTCGTTCGCGATTTGGCGGGGTCGAGCTATTTAGGTTCTTGTGTAGTTGAGGGCACTGCACACTCGTTTTCTCGAGAGTTGTCTGTCTGCCTGTGAGAAATATGGAATTGAAGTTTGAGTCAGTTAAAGCTTAGTACGAATCACAATCGGGACTCCATAGTGAGTTTAATAAATACCTTAGTGCAAAGTTTAGCAGTGATTCCCATTACTAAGAGAACTTCTACGTATTTAGGGCCGATCCCCAGCCAATTAGCTGTGATAGAGCGGACTTAGACTTTTCCATTGAGGCCCTTGCCGGCTTAAAGTCCCTCCGCGACTCGGTAGAAAAAACGTATGTACCAGCCGTTGCTCCAGGCTCATACACTCAATCCGTTGTTGAGGAAATTTGTCGGCGGTCCATAGTTATGATGAAAAGACCACACATATCCGTAGTGTGTACGGAGTATCTTAATTATTATTTAATCAAAGACAATGAGCGGGTCAAGGCAATACAGTAAGGTTGCTCTTTGTGTAACCACCGAGTCAGTCCATGCGGTAAATACGAATACGCTGGGCGTAATTGTACGTATGGTAATATAAATTCTATTGTGATTGGCCAATCTCATCAAGTCTTCAAAAAGTTCCCGGAACCCGGTTCGATGAATCAGACGGCCCGTGCCACTGCTTTCATCAGCCAATAATCGTGCTATTCGTCTCTCCACATTGCCATATCCGGGCATTCCTCATGCTTTAAGATTTTTACCATACTCATCCAAGACGTCAGAACTGGAAGTCGAATAAGGCGCTATCTGCAAGCTCCCGGACAGATGCAACGCTCTCACTTATGTCAGTTGCTGACTATGCCTCAAACATCATGATTCAGGGTGCATACATCTTGTTAGGATCTCACTTAACATGTGCGGGGTCAGTAATGTTACGGGCGGAGAAAGCCTGGTTACCAAGCATGACAGAGTACTCTATTAACTACTAGGTACTTCTCTCAGGAAGCGGGACGATAACAATAATGACTTCAACAGTGCTGAGAAATCAAATCCATTAGTTAACCGAAATGCGATGCTCCATGCAATAATATGGGAACATCTTTCTTTATTTTCGCCGGAACCAGCACCTCCTCCGTCGGGACTTCATGAAAGAGGATGCATGACCCCTCAAGTGATGCAGTAACATGAAATAATCAACGTTCTTTTCGTGACAACCCACCACCGGACAGAAATGATAGTCTCTATTATCAACCTGCCGGTCTTTCGTAAGACTAGAATGTGACTCTAGGACCAGATCAATGGGATTAATTGTCGTGTTCTGAGATACGAGATCTTCATCAGCATCCGGAGCGCGGCAGTATCTAGCTATGTTGCATCTGTACATGTTGTATTCCTCTAGTTTTGTCGCGGGCGAATGAAAGAGGAGTTGGCTGCCGAACTGAAGCTGTTGCGGCAAGTCCTCATTCGATTTCACGACTGATGGTGTTCGTCCCAGCACCATATGAACATTTGATAGCGGGACATCCCCGGAGAACTGAACAACTATTCCTCCTGACGGCCGCCGATGCTCAACTTTCTCAACGCAAACATCAACCGGAAGCTCTCCTTTAAATTCATGAAAGCGAGCCAGTGTCGTCGGTTGCCCGAAGGCAGACGTAAAAAACTCCTCAAGCGTTTTTGACGTAAAAGTACGAGCCAATCTATATGCTCCTTGGAATGTTTGCTCGAGAGAGTCTGTAACCCAGTTCCCAGTGGGTAACTCCCACAGGTCCAGCTCCATACTAGACACCTGACTGGAAGCTGATCTCGCTAGACGCAGTAGAGTTAATTCGCTGTTTATCTCGACCATCAGTCCGCTGGCTATTCCGCATTCTTTCCGGACCTTATTGCTCTTCAGATCGACAAGACACCACTCGCCGTCCAAGGCTAAGCGAGAGTAGTTAAGCTCCCAAGACGATGAGATAGGCAGGGAACATGAAGGGAAATGCTGAATAGGGAATATTTGCAGTTTTTTCACAAACCAGGGTTGCTGCTCTTTCTCAGGAAATCTTCCAGTGAATTTCTCATAGCCCTGTGGACGAGTATAATCCACAAAAAAGTGCTTCACGAATGCAACGAGAGTCTCAACGTCACGTCTGTTAGACATTGCCCCCAAACTTGCTCTGATGATCCCAGAGGGCTTTCCACCGCGGACTCTGAAAGGTTCTCCGCACCGATAACCCTCGCAATAGTTGCGTCTCAGCTCCCAACTAGCCAGTTCTAGGTGTTCCGCTATACCACCTGGGTTACACACCCCGCCGGTACGGATCTGGATGTTGCACGCGCTCGCAAGCGCTTCGAAATAATCATAGTGGACCCATGCCCCATTCGATTTGCGAACAGTGAAGGCAACAGTTGGTCCTTGGGAGTCACTATCCCCGTATATGCTATTCTCATCTTTATAGATCTTGCATACAGACTTACCGTTTGCATGCTTAAGCCGCGATAGATCTGTATATAGTTGTAGCGCAAGGTGAGATGCGTGATTGGAGATTTCGTCCATAGAATGAAATAGACGATGGTGTAGGACTATGCCGGTATCAAGCATTACAAGATTGTGGAACGGTAAAGTGCCATCCTCCAGAACCTCATGTACATGATGGATCTTTTTGGCATGGAAGTGATCGAATGCAGTAACCATATCCACCGTACCGCCGCCAAAGTATTGGCGAGATAAGAGAATCTCGCTGGATTTCCTGCGTACTATTAACGCTCCCAGGTCTGGCATGCCAAAAATCTTATAGAAACTGACACTAACAAAGTCAGGTGCAGCATCTGGATCAGATAGATCAAGTTGTGCCGAGGAACAAAAGGCAGCTGCATCCAACAGGGTGTATAGGCCTTCACGGTTGGCGTGACCTTTCTGGCGTATGCGCTTCGCCCATTTTTTCGGTGTACGATGGCCATTCATATTAGATTGAGCAGGATATCCAATCAGCTTGATGAATCCGCTGTCTAAAACCGGACGGTTGGTGTTGTCTTTTCGGATGAGGTCATTGGGAAGATAGAAATCATCATCTTCATGCAAGTGAGGGGATTCAATCCACTCATCGAGGGATTTATCCGAAGAGAAACAGTGATACCCTTTGTCAGCCAGTTCTCGAACACCAACGAGACTTGTATGAGCATCTGTGTGATACCCATACCAAAACCCCTTTTCCTGGAAGCAGTTTGCAACCAATTTTATTGCTGCTGTAGCGTTGGCGACGAAGACAATGTCGAAGTCATCGGGATCTGCACGGAAAAAGTCCAGTACATGCTGGCGAGCTTGATTCACATATTCTGTGGAACGTAGGGAAGAAGCAGATTTAGAGTGTGGGTTACCAAGTAGGTCTGATTTCCATAGCTTTGCTGAAATATCGATGAGGGATTTGGCGTATGGCGTCGCACCACCATAGTCAAGATAGCATGTTTCTTTATTTTTCATTAGGGTTAGTTTTTGGTGTATTGGTATCGATTTCAGGCAAGCTTACTGTTTAGGCCAGGGTACTCTTTTCGACGAATCTTGTTGATGTCATACATTTTGATCTCCTTTGAAATAAGAACTTCTCATGGAGCTGGGTCTTCCTGTAAGCGGTCTGTAAGATTCCGAGCTGACAGGGAGATATTAGATCCTTTATATAGGCAATTTACCGTGGTATAACCACTTCCACACGTATAGAACCCGAGTATATCCGGCCTAAATATCTCTGCCTATCTGAATAGGAAGTCATTAGGAACATCACAGCGCCGTATGCAGCTTGTCAGCAGGTACTCGAACCTCAATCTACAGGCATACCCGATACGCATTGTTCTTTTTAGCCGTCCAGGTTTTCTTGCGATATGCATTATCAAGTTCAGGACGCTTTGATTACTAGTTTGGGTATCTGGACGGGCAGAGCTGAAAGTGTCAGCACTTTGGGTTGCTATTGGTGAATAAGGGTTCATCGAGAGTCTTTAGCCCCATTTCTGGATTCTTTCAAAGTAGTGGCAATCTGAGCCGGTCGTACTGTCCAGTCGTAGATGATTTAGTATGGCCTGACTGATAAGATTGCTATTTGTCGACGTGGGTGCTTATGTACGTCGGCCTGTACTGGTGCACTATTCGTACGACTTCGGCTATAAGTAATATTTAAGCATGGAGGTCTAGAGGACCAAAGAGCATGGCTGATTACACGTGGATGATGCTCATGTTCTTTCGTTTTCGTAGGACGTGCCTTACATGAACCAGTCCTACGGATTTGCTGTTTTTTTGTGAATTAACATCAAACAAGAATGTCCAATCCGAGTGGTTGGCCGCCTTCTATGTTATATCAGCCTTTCTTTTTCTGTTTATACTGCAAATGTGCTGCTCAAATTGTCCCCGTAAAGTTCATTGGGAGCTTCTTTTAACGTTTGACTCGGGATGCATGAGCCAGACCCCCTTCAGGACTTTTTCAGGGTTCGTATCGGTGACTTCAGCTCTCTTATTTGGTTGAAAGAATAATCGAATAAGCGTTGCTGTATGTAATCCCGGGCTGATGGGCTGGCTGGTTGGGTTGAGAATTGGATTACTTTAGCGAGCTTGAGCCTCGCGGTGACAGTTGCTGGGAATTCTGGAACCGTAACATCAAATCAAGCAAACATCGACCGGCAGTACTCCGTACATAGGACCGAGAGATACATTATTGTGCTGGTGTCACTATATGCATCCTCGCTGTTGTTCTTTATGTGAACCCCTCGGCACGGCACATAACTCCGTGATGATCGTATCTACTTTATTGACCTCGTGAGTGATAATTGTCGGCGACAATGAGATACTTCTGTTCTAAATGCCTATCACTATGGACACTACTTTGTGCTGCCCCGTCTTTCAGCTGACAAAGAACAGATCGGCCACTCTTTGTTCGATTCCTTGGATGAGAGTCTAGCACTTGATATAAGACAAAGACTATTCGATTACTAGTCACAAGAAGCATATGGTGTCGAATGCTTCAGCTGCTTAGTTCAATAATAATAACGTTAATTCATCCACTATAGGTTGCTCGTAAGGTATTAATGGGGGCAATTATGGGGCATTTATGCATAATGGACGGTCAGTCTGCCGCCGAGGATTGTTCCCAGGTGGTACAATCTAATCGAGGTCCAAGTCCATCGTTTTGTAACAAAGCCAGCTGAGCGATTCCAGGAAATGGAGAAAATGTGCATGAATGGCTCTTCCATGAACCAATCTAGGCAGTGTATCTCTGCGTCGAGGGATTTAATCCAGAACTGACAAGGTACGGGCTGTGTAGCTAATCAGCAGTTCTCAGCAATATATCACCATGTAACATTGGCACTTCCCAAATTCCACCATCCTGAGGTCTGAGGCCACCAAATGACTTTTTACTAGTAGATTATAGAATGCAGCGTGGCAATCTAGAACATGACTTCCATTCGCTAGATGAGGAGGCCGCATTTGTCTCCGAGTTGGTTTACGCATCATGGTTCCTGCTGAAATCCCTCTGAACCAAAGAGAAGTACTTACTTTCAAGCTCAGCCCAAATTGCCCTAGTAATGCCTTGTATCCTGCAGTCTCTTAGAAATATGACTACCTTCCAGATTTAGTATTTGGGAAACTCTCCGTTGGTGAACGGCACTGTATGTAGCTGAGTTACCTTGGATGATTGCAAATACACTTGCTCTGCTACTTAAAACAGTGCAGCGTGACTACTTTAGTACTTATCGCATTTCAATAATTTAAACAGGCAACCCCCATGAACAAGTGTGGCGATATCGTAAGCCTCAATTTTTAGATTGTTTCTTCCTGCTCCACTACGCCCAACAACTCGCATTATTGATGTGCACTATTTGCTTTAGCATTACGATCTATCTAAAAGCATAGGTATCGTATACTAGTTTCTAGTGGGAATCTAAATGCTAGATAATCGACTGAGGCGCTGCCTGAAGCATGCCGCTTACTTTGTCGTGAATAATATCTTTGGGAGCACGCATCGTTGTCTGCCGTTCTTGGACTTAGCGAGCGTGCTTTCATGAGTCCAGATTTTACCCTGTAGACCCAGTAGATTGCACATCTACGTCGGTAGGAATTTGTAAAACCCAAAGATGGGAGCGTGCTGCTGCAGTTCTACAGCTTTGAAAAAATTCGATGTCTTTATCCAAAAATGGATATCTTCATCCGACCCAGACATAGATTTAATTTAGGTTAGTTGAATGCAACACGATAGAGGCCTGAGAAATTCATCATCTATATTGTTGACCACCCAAAAATAAGGTTGTTTTCATCTGTCTTTACGTAGCATATTCTTAATTCCTCCTACCGACTGCGTTGGCGTACATTCTGTCCAAGTCACATACCTTATTGCCGGCGGGTCATAAGTGTCTCTCATATCTCTTAGCATCATCGTGCAGGTAGGAGCGCGGAAATAATTGGCAGCTTTTTTAAATTGCTTGCAGTCCTTGGATGTTTTCTCTATTTCTCCTTTCTTGGAATTGAAGAGATGAATCTGATTCTTTCTGGTAACTTCTCCATGGCACATATCGGATTCCGCTGAATCGGACGACCTGACACATCCACTTGATTATTGTGTAACATGGGCTATTCCAAGGACCTTCGTGTGCCATAGGATGGGGTCGAATGACTCTTCAATACACTCATCACACGATGAAAAATGATTGCCCAGTTAGCCTTTCTGACTCTTGGTTACAACGAAGACTTCTCAACAGCCATATTCTATGTCCTCATTATAATCCTTGCCTTTAAATTTCTTCAACGCTTGACATCTATCTATCTCGAATACCAGGTTTGTCCCATCTGCAAGGTTTAAGATAATTCTAACCGTGATATAGGAAGGAGTGACTTTCGCCTCTCGCCACGGTGCCAACCGCCCCCAGAATTGCCCAAGAGATCGCCTCTCGGAATAGATCGTATCAAAGAACTATGGGATTACAATACTGAAGGTAAACTTTTAGTTTTCTTATGCACGATTGCTAATGACTATGAACCACGTAATAATCTCACACAATACCTGTTATTCGGCCCTCGTGCATTCCATATTCTTCACCCCAAGAAACTCGAATTAGTTCTATCTACCAACTTCTAAGGTGAGTCTCTCAACTCATTGACCCTGACACTTAACGTTGATATATCTGTAGACTACTGCTGTGGTGCATGGCGGAGCGTCTTCTCTCCACTGCTGTTGTAGATCAATATCTCCCTTCATTGGCACACATGCAATGATATTGTCTACATGTTCACAGAATATACCGATATCGCGGTACTGAATGCGAGTAAATTGCCTACGCAATAAATTCCTTGATCATTCCCAGAGTGGACCCTCTTGGGTGAAAATCCCAGTCCCTGTTTGGAAAGTCGATGTCTAACTTACGAGCAAACATTGACCAGGACGTCGAGAATAAAATATTTTCGGACAGTTTCACGCCCGCCCAGCAAGTTCTGGCGAAGCGATTTCGTCTAGCTCCGCAGCACATCCTCTATAACCCGCTTGGTTTCGGTCAGGCTTGCTCAAATGTTCACTGGTTTGTGGAATGTTGTATTGAAAAATTGAATCTACCAACTTGCCAAGTCACGGAGGGAGAACAAGGCAGTTTTATGGCCTAAATAGCGAAGGAATCTTTCAGCAGGAAGACCTTCGTGATCAACTTGTGAACGTACTATTTGCTGCGAGGGACACAACGGCGTGTTGTTTATCTTGGACGCTGTAAGTCTGTAGAAGCTGTTGACTTGTTATATTAAACCTGCTGACTTACATTAAACTGAGTGCAACCAGCTCCTTGTACGTCATAACCAAGTTATGCATCGTCTCCAAGAGGAGATTGACTCGGTCATGGGAAACTCCGATTACCCAAGTAGAGAGCAAATCAAAAATATGCCGTTCCTTGCCCATGTGATCAAGGAAAGTCCGTATCTTGTGTCCTCTGCGCTATTCGTCACTGAATCTGACCAATGTAATAGGCCTTCGACTATATCCGCCAGTGCCCCTGAATAATCGCCAAGCTATCAAAACCCCTATGCTTCCTACAGGCAGCGGCGCCCATGGCGATGCTCCCATTTTCGTGCGAAAGGGAGAAGTAGTAGTGTTCCCACAGTATGTCAATTCATGAAAGCAGAACATCTACGGGGCCGATGCGGATGCTTTCAGACTGGAAAGATGAGAAGGGAAGAACTTGCAAGTATTGGCTGGTTTTACTTGGTCGAAAAGATCATTCGCAGTTTTCTCTCTATCCTCTATTAATATTTATAGTTAGGATTGGCTGAAGAATTATCTCAGAAATGTGTGGGGGCCTTTGTGACTCCATGAGCACTATTTTTGATACTGCTAGCACGCTCAACAGTCACCCTGCATCCATCAGCACACGATATAACGAGCGTCAGTCGTTGTCTTTCGCTCCCAGTAGGCTCATTTTCGTCGCCTATAGACAACGCGAAAACTGCGCATCTCAAAAGTCTGACAATTGTATAAGAAATCTGCATTAGGGCAAAATCTTCGCCTAAGCACCGTCTTGGGCCGAAAGTGCCAAGCAATGAATGCGCAGTCAGCTAGCCATTCAGCCTCAAAACCCTCGACAGGAGTCGAAAAACTAGGAACAGCAATGTAGTCGAGGCGCTACGATAGAGCTAATTGGCGAGCTATTCTCAAATATTTTGCAATGAGCAAGGCCAAAAGCAAATAGTAAATAATATGGATGATGAAGTCTGAAAAAATCTCCGCGGCCCAAAACGCAAACTAACTACACTTGGTTAAATCCAATAATCTAAGACCAACTATTGGCTCGTAGCCCCATTTCGAGGGGAATCTTATAGTTCCAGTGTAATGATTGGTCAGATCAAAATAAATCACCCAACTCCTGATAATATCACTGAGCATTAATGCTTAAACAACTTAGAGCTTACACTTATAACAGTGTAGCATTCTGTTCAAAGCTGAGAAGGTGTTTTGTGCTAACCGCCGCGCTAAGTAGGGCCAAGTCACCGCCTCCAGACACTGCCCTTTCACATTTAGAACGTTCCGGATCGGCCGGGCACGAGAACGAGTCAACAAGAACCAGAGGAATGGTATCAAACTCATGCCCCGTAGCCTATAGAATTCGCCTTTATAGCCTAATTTAAACATACGGCAGACGGTGTGCTTCTCCATTTATCTGGGCTGGATACCTAGTTACTATTTTTACAAACTCCGTTCGCAAAGTAAAAATAAAATAAGCTCTCGCTGTACAGGGCATTAGAAACGCCACATGTAGGGTCCGTCAGTTGTTAAGGCTGACCTTGTTTAGTGGTATAGTTTCGTCTTGTACCAGTCTCCAGTTTCACTTTCCACCTAACAAGTAAAACGACGGCGGCAAACCATTGATATCGCGAGCCACCGAGCATACAACGTAGCGTTCAGTAGAGTACTCCCTCATCTTGTTTGCAAGCCCTGGCCAGGAAGACAATGGTATTGCAAAGAACAGATCTATTGTTCATTTGTAATTTGTCTTTGGCTACAAATCGATCCTTTCGCATCCCAAGATCCCGCGGGATCCAGCTAAAACCGCCATATACAGATTGATCTACCCAGCCACCTAGGGAGTACGAAGTTACATGGAAGAGAACAACATGACTACGTAGTACTAGTTATTATTATGTTTAGAAGTTTAACTAAGGTTGCATCAGCGCTGATGAATTCGTTTCAGACCATTAGCCCTATTTTAGTCGCCATGAAGTGATGGACACCTCAAAGGCTCAAACTGAGTTCGGCCCCAGCACTTGACCAAACTAGTCGATCAACTCCATATTTACTGTTCCATCGCCTGAAACGGGGCACTCGCATCTATTTTAAAAGAATGCCGAAACCCCCATAGCCATAATATTATTATGAAATAGAAATGGTACTTTAATTCCTTGGGTCAGGATGTTACAGTACAAGCGTGACTAGATTCACGATCTTGCTCTGAACTATAACCTTATTTTGCACTTGGATCTCTAACATCCGAAGTTGAAGTTCTTAAGATCTTGGGTATTCCCTCGTGAATCAAATCATACTCTCGAACTTCACGGCCTCATAAGTAAAAGAAACAGTCTCGGTTTCTAGTCCAGGAAACCCCATATACCCAAAAACGATGAAAGGAGTCACCTTAGTTGCTGCGGCCTGTCCGGTCATTCTCGGGACAGGGGTTGCTGCTTACAATCTCCAATGGGATGTTAATTCCAGCAACTTCCTAGATTACTTTGTTTTCGACACGGTTAGTTGGAAGCCCTCCATCTATATTACTTATGGATAGTTTCGCTCATGAAGAATGAATAGGAAACCGATCCCACGAAGGGATTTGTCAACTATGTTGATCAGAGCACGGCATCCAATGACGGCCTTTACAAGACGAACAACAACCAGATCCACCTCGGGGTAGATAGCACTACCATGCTTGACTCATCTGCAACGGGTCGAAACTCGGTGCGCGTCTATAGTCAGGATACCTTTAGTAGTGGAATCCTAATCACAGACTTTGCACACCTACCCGTTTCCGTCTGTGGTATCTGGCCTGCATAGTAAGACGTTCCCCTGCTTGTCCTTGTGAAAATTGGTGTTGTTCCACATCTAACTTCTGTCGCCAATATGAAGCTGGACAATCAACAACCAGGCGAACCCCTACGGCGAAATTGATATACTGGAAGCATACGATGATGTTGCTGGGGCGTACGTCTCTCTGCACACTGGCAATACGTGCACTCTTTCGAACAGTGGTTTCACTGGAACAGACGTTCGTACTGACTGCACTCTCTCCAACGGTGGTGGCTGTGGAGTCCAGAGTACGTCCAACCAATTTGGCGCCGGATTCAACGCTGCTGGTGGCGGTGTCTGGGCCCTCTCTCTTGAAGATTCGCTTCAGCTTTGGGTGTTTACACGAGATGAAATCCCAGCGGACATTACTAGTGGTAACCCAGATCCTTCCAGTTGGGACACTCCTTTGTTTAAATTCGATTCAAACAATGGGTGTGATGTGGCTAGCAACTTCATTGACCAGACAGTCGTATGTGTCAACTTAAACTTCTTCATACTTTGCTTGGCTGCTGAACTGACAATTGTTATCTAGATCTTTAATCTCGATTTCTGCGGTGACAATGGGGCCGGTGGTCAGGAGTGGTCGGATTGGACGGATTGTGCTTCCTCCACAGGTCAATCGACATGCAATGCTTATGTTGCTGCAAACCCTTCGGCGTACTCTGAGACTTACTTCTCCATTAACTCCATCAAATTATACCAGTGAAAGGGTGATCACAATCTATGGGTAGCTACGGGCAGATATATGCCCAGGTGTATATACAGCTCGAAATTGTAGGATATATGAAATCAGAGGTCTTTTATTTCCATGTCCCTATCCAACCTTGTGGTATGACGAAATCTGAAAGACGAACAGCATAAAACGCTTTGTATATCGTGTGAGAAGAGTGCTCGAATTGCCTAGGTACTCCAGAACACCCGACTTTAGGCTCTTGTCCACTGAATATGATGAACATGTGTAACAACGATAGATGCTATAACCAAACCCTAAGCTCTAAACCTTGGACGAGATCGGCCTACTTCAAGACCAGTTACTGCCTTAATTCTTTGAAGAAAACCTGTTCTTCATATGGTTTATGCTTCGACAGTCAAAGGAGTTATGTACACTGCTTTCAATATTGACATGGCATGTTCCCATGTCATCTTATCGCATCTGGACGTCTGCATATGTGAAAGATATCAAGTCATTTTCATAACATGCGTGTTGTGGATTGCTTCCAAGGTCCCACTCTTCATGTAATTGAAATTGAGAATCTCGATCAGACTTCTTCTTTGAACTCGTCACCCTTTAGGACGTTGGAAGAAAACCCAACCGTTTTTACTTCCTACGGGAATCTAATTCCACCGGACCTCTCGTTTCCATCTCTGATAATGGGGCTGAGTTGTATTGATTATTGTATGTCTGCTGCGGTTGGACGTATGTATTGGGGTTCATGGGTGTCATGTTGTACGACTGCTGTTGATGCCCTGCGTCAGAATAAGGGGACGTCTTCGCACTTGCGACAGTCTCAACACCGTAGCGATTCGATTTCCGTCGCTCTCGGAGAGCCCATCCGATTGAAGCAAGTGCGATTAGGGCTAAGGGAACGCCGACGCCCACTCCAACGCCCACCCCAACGGCAACAACGTGGTTATTGTTACTCCCTGACGATGTTGAAGACGATGCATTTGAGATAGTGGTGTAGTCCGACAGAAGTGCGAAACCAGGAACGATACTCGAGTCCGGAACTTGAAAGGTCGAATAGTTGAAGGCGCAGATTGGCGTGTTGTTGATGGCGTCCATATTATTACAGCAATACTCCGCGGTCCCCTCCAGATATGAAAAGAGGATTATGGAGCAGCCACTGTGGTTAAAACTGGTATCTGCACGAAAAAGAGATCCATGTCAGTATACCATCATCTCCATGCGATACCCGCGGAAGCAGTGCAGTGCGACGTCGAGATCCTATTCAATCACTCACCCTGCAGGCAGTAGTTCGGACAATTTCTACTATTCCATGACTTGTCTGTACAAGATGATCTAGCCAACGTATTTGGCTGGCCCACGTCCATACAAAGACCATTTGAAAGGCAAATACCTCCTGCCCCGCAGCATGCTACATCTGTTCCATTTCCGCAAGGCATGTCATTTTGAGCAATCGATCCGTCTGGATAGTAGCACGTTGGCTTAGCGAGGGCAACAGCCGACAGCGACGGGGAGAGGACGGCGATAAATGAAGTGAGCAAGAGAGCCGTCCTTTGTAGCTTGGTGGTGCTAAACATTTCCAGGATTATTCGCTCGCCAGACCTTTCGCAGGGAAAGGAGTGATATTAAACCCAGCAAAATTCCGTATTCGATCCGGTGTTAGAAAAGGTGAAATTCTATAGGTAGCGACAGGAGAGAATTTCATGCATGGTACGAAGATATTCTTGCGGCGACCAGTAGATTCGGGGGATCGAGAGTTATTTATTCTTTCCATGGATAAAACAATAAACCACCGATCAACTCCACTCGTCCAGTGGGAGAATCCTCAGCTCGTCGATCCAGTGTCGAACAGACCCCTTCAAGTGGGCGCTTAATTACTATCGTGACATAAGTGGGTTTCGCGTTGCCTCTCAGGTCCCCGAATTCTTTTTTAACTTAGTGGAGACTTGCAGGAGTTGTTGGCCCTACTAGTTATTTGACCCGCTGCTTCTTATTGTCTGTGCCAATCACCTAATGTTGGGAGGAGATTTATCACTCTCCTGTCAGCTTATCGGCAAGTGTGGACACAAGTTAGCAAGTTGCAACCGAGGACGACCGAAGAGTCGAGGCTTGTCTCTACTCTGAATTTTAATAGAGCTGAGGGTATTAGAGCCAACGAAGGATTTTGTCAAGGGAATTATTGCGACATTACGATGTTCGTTAGGAAAACGTATTCTATAATATGACAGCTTGCACTTAGCTTCGGGGAGCTGGATCTTGGAATGCGATTACACTCAGAGTAGAATAGCTGAATTTTGAGAAATCGAGGCTTTTGCATAGAGATCTGGATCGTAAGCAGTATGTATTTGCGTCGATATTCAAACGCCTAATTATAGATATACCATCACTTAGCAAGAGTATTTACTACGTACTCATGGAGACATTCATGAACGAGAACCACAACAGCCTTACGATCAGCGAATTCTGAGCTGTGTACAGAGTAGTCTCGGTCACTTTGACCACCCAACTAGCCTGTTTTACCACTGATCTACATTACCAGAGGGTGGACTTAGAGGCTTAACTTCTCCCTACAACTCTCAGAGACTTTTGATGTCATCGAGGCGTATGGATTTATTGCTACGGGATCACTGGTTCGTTTATTTTACAGAAGGCGCAGCATCAGAACATACCGGTGGTTTTGTTAGCCTACTTCGGCATGCTCAAAATATCCACGAATACATAGATATTATTGTTCATGCGATACCCAGGTAGTATAGAGTCGCACTAGGGAACTCCGTTTAATTTATCTTCATGCAGAAGCTACTAACTGCTTTCATGTTTCAGCTACACTGATTTGTCGAACTAGGACTACAACTTCACTATTTTCGTGTATGCGTTTACTGGACACTGTAGTTTGAAGCTTTATCAAGGTATGATAAATGTATGGATGTACCCTGGCATGTAGCTGATATCAGTTATCAGCATGTGGCCCTAGAACAGTTTTTTGAAGCTGTACGTATGTTGAAAGAAGGACATGAAGTGAGCATCAAGTCGAGATTTTTAAGTAATGATAGCTCGAGCACTGAATTGATATGTGTTACTCAAACTCATATTCTGCCACCATGCACATACACTAAAATCAGGCCATAAATAAGAGGAACTCCAATAGAACAAGTCCCATTGCACCCGTCGGTATTCCGTCCATTGTCAGCCCGGCTGCGGCACTTGAAGCAGTCGGTGTATGATGTCTAATAGGAATTGGCGTGGATACCACCGTGACCGAGGCCGATGCTGAAGCAGAGGGCGACTTGCTTGGAGCTTTCCTAGTAGCAGTAGGCTTGGGAGCAGAAACTGGGACTGAGGTGACAAAGCTGCTAGTATTGAATATCTCGAATTTCCCAGTTACATGGTCAGAGTCGGGGCCGTTGCGCAACCGGATAATATAGTTTGTGTCAGCGGCAATGAAGCCTTTATCCGGCGTATATTGAAACATATAGCCGGCGTCTATGATTGGAACACTCTCCCCCCGTGTCAACTCTAAGTAGAAGTTGTAGCCAAGGAAGAGATAAATAGTGACGTTGGCAAACAAATTGTCGGTATCATCAACGATCCATGAGATGGGAAGGCCTTGTTGGATGTCTATTCTGTCACCTTCCTTTGGAGACTTGATTTCCAGGCCTGATACTTGGGCTGCGTTAGCGAAAGCCAAGCGAATGCGACAGACAACCAGTATCGCACAAGCATAGAGAATCTTACCCTGAACCAAGGATATAACTCCTAAAAGGAGAGCGAATATGCTGAACGGCCTCATTTTTGCAGTGATCAGAGTTGGATGTTCGATTGCGAAGATATCAATGTTGCGCATGAACGTTCTTTCTCTGCATGTATATGAGTACAAATCGAGGAAATGTCCTGAGGAATTGGCTACGGTGTTTGACTCAATGGTAAGAGTCATCATTTTTGACATATCATCGAAGTTGGGATGATCAATGAGAGCATTTCCTAATCGGGGAAAATCGAGGGATGGGATGCCACACACCACTCACGTTCACCATCGCAGAAAGCGCAACGGATATCAGACTTCTATAATCAAACCGTTACCATCGTTCTGTATTTGATTGACTAGTTAACAGAAATATGCAGGGCCAATCTTGAGCAGTGACAATGACTCCTTCCTCGTGAGATCTGGCACTCTCGGAAGGCATCCGGTCTCCTCCTTTCTCCCTGCTAGAAAGAAACTCTTCTTCCTCATTCTGTTCTCTCATCTGAGTTGCATCCCTTTGATGTATTATCGATGCTATTAGATCCCTCTATATGCATTCATTATCCCGTTAAGTAGAACTCGGCGTTGTGAAGTGAAACTGTTTCAACATGAGTATCCCTCCCGACTTCGCTCCTGGTATCGCCGATCCTATTGAAATAACAATTTCAAATATCAATCGCCTTGAAGATATCACTCCAGAACTTATTCATTCGGTCCGATGCGGAATTGCGCGTCCCCTCGCAATCCCAAGATTTCCAGTACGTTCTTGGGCGATTCATCTCCTAGTAGGGATCTTTGGCTGAACCTCTTTCATTTGCACAAGGTTACGCTTGACGAATATCTGGAATGGGAAGCCAGACAGTCCCAGGAAAATTTACAAGGATTTGACTTCGACCCTCGTCAAGAACGTTTTGTACTACGCCCACGACTAATGCTGCCGGCCCGTGGAGGGATGCGAGGTATTGTTCTTTGGCTGCGCACCGCTTTAGAACACCTGGGAGACAATTTAAAAGGTTGGTCTTTGGTGCAAAATAAACGTAAATATTCCATCTGTTCTTGATCTCTATTTTGTTTCACTTCCTGACCCGGATTCTAGCTTATATGCTCACCGGAAACTACGAGGGTATAGTGAAGAGACCACAGACAGCGCTGATCAAAGCAAACAAATCTTGGCCATCGGTAGTAGTATACGCTGAAACCAACGAGGCAGAAACGGAAGTCTTGAACAATGTGAAGCAATGGCTGTACGGCAGCAATGGAGAGGTACAACTCGTGATTGTTATCATAACTCAGGAACCTGACATTCCACCCTTGGAGGGCTCCTGGCTTGAGGGTCTTGATTTTCGTCTATGGCATAATCCCTATCAGCTTGCAGAACATATTTACAACATAGAAAAGAATAAAGAGAGGCCAACCATAGTCGGTCAGATCACCTCAACCGTGTGGTTATTGGCTCGCAAAAACTGCCATGAGGACGCCGAACGCCTTCCATCATCTCCTTTCTATACATTCAAATGCGACCTTTCGCAGGCTTTGTATCAGGGCTCCGCTTCGAACACGTTTACAGGGGTGCCCTACGTGGATACGCATCACTACTTTCATTTGGAGAATGTCGCTGTGCCTTTTCCTTTCCACACTTACAACGATTCCATCAAACGAAGCGTTATGCAATCTATACAAGACCGTGCTAAAACCATTGCCATTGAGGTCTGGAACGATCGTCAGTTTGTTATCTGGCAAGAAAAGCTGATCAAAGCTGGCTTTGGGCCTCAAGACCTTTGGGAAACGCCTGAAGACCGTCAATATATGTTAGAGTGTATGTTTTTGAGATTTTGACCTCTTCAGTTTCCCAGTTTAGGCCTACTATTTGTTTAGTGATGTATCTCCCATTATCCTTAAGGGCCTAAGTACCTGCTTAGTTATATTTCAATATCAGCACGAATAATGGATGATCCATACCAATAGTTCTCTGATATTGTTCACCAGGCGCAAGATTGAGTTGCTGATAACGACGATAGTATCTCTTCAAATTACGAGGAACTGTGTCTTCCTGCCGGCCTGCATGCATAATGCGTTAATCGCGTACTACTTCGATACGAGCGTTACACAACCATTAAGCGGGGTTTGGTATTATGCTGTCTAGTCAATTTTGTTTAAAAGTACGCAAGTGAAGATATCCACCGACGCAACATCATCCTGGATAATTTTATGTCGTTGAACTATTAATAGCAACTTCTATCATGGACTCAAGATATGATTTCAGGGTACTTATAGTCGGTGGGGGTGAGAATAGCTTGAAAACGCACTGTCCAGAATGAGCAATTGTTTCTAATGGTTGTTAAAAGGAACAAGTGGTCTTGCCCTTGCTCATGGCCTCCAACAAGTTAGTGGACGATTTCCGGTTCCTTTTTGGGATTTACTCATGATACTATAGGGGAGCATACGATATACTCTTTTTGAGAGAGATCCTGAAGAGGTGTATTGGAATAAGTCTCGCGACTGGGGTATGATGCATTATTTTATCTATCTCTGATGTTAAATGCTCAACGAGTCAAGGTATGCAGCTACATTGGGGCAAGGAATACCTTTTTAGCGTGATACCGAATCATATCCAGTCACGTCTAAGAGAAGCCTTGGTCGATCCTCATTATGACGCTTATGGGCCCTTTCCTCATATTAATGGGAACACCGGCGAGGTCATTGCAGAAGTTCATATGCCTGGAATAGTGCGCGTATCACGGGAAAAGCTACGAAAGTTACTGGGGTGGGAGACAGAGTTGAATATGATGGTATTTACGTCCCCAACTTTCTTTAAATTTCTGCTATCTACTCTGTTCAAATCAAAGGTACGTATGTTATTAAGATTAATTGCAAATGTGTCTAGTTTGAGAAGAAACTAGTTAGCATTGCTCATGGTGAGGACGGACTTATTACAGCGTCATTTTCGGATGGCTCTGAGGAGACGGGCAACCTGTTAGTTGGTTGCGATGGTTCGAGGTCCAAAGTGCGTGAACACCTCGTGGGAGAGGAGCTTGGGAAACCAACTGATATTGGCATGACTATGATAAATCATGCCGCTGGAGGCTATACCGCGGAGCAGGCTCTGTTGTTGCGCAAATATCATCCCATTGGGAAGATTGCGTATCATCCGGATTACTATGGAAATTTTCTCCTGGCCGGTAAGTAGATACATAGATAATATTCTCCGTCGAAAATGATTCTGTCTTGAATCAGTGTCCATCCATGCTGTCTGAAACCGGCTAATAAGTGAACAGCCCTCGACTGCTCCAACCGTGAGAACCCCGAGGAATGGAAATTCCAAATTCAGCACGCCTGGTGGGGACCTCCCTATGTTGACGATCTCAAAGATCAAAAGACGAGACTGGAGTTCTACAAAACTCGATGTTCAAAAATGTGTGAACCTTTTCGTACGGCTGGTGTTGCGTTACCCAAGAACGAAATTCTTCCTATTGATCCATCGCAGCAGTGGGCTCCTATTGAATGGGACAATCGCCATGGCGCAGTGACGTTGGCAGGAGATGCTGCTCACTCTATGTTACCTCGTGAGTTAGCCCATGATTGCTTTTTACACTCGGATAATAATGAAAGGACTGGATTAGACCGCGGTCAAGGCTTGAATAATGCCATGCAAGACGTCGCAGAGCTTTTTCGCGCAATCAAGCAGGTTGTTTCTGGTCAACTCAGCCTTGAGACCGCTATAACCTCTTACGAAACCGCCATGCGTCCAAGGGGTGCGAAGGATGTTGAGCTCTCCCTTGAGAGTGCTAAGAAGATGCATCTATCTCATTTGAAGGAAAGCCCGTTTTTGAAAATAGGGTTTCATAAGCAGGATACTTGGGGGGAAATTATCAAGGAGAATTGAGATTCATTTATCAAATCTGTACTGGTTCTAACTAAATACATTTGACCTTGAGAAAAAAAGTTGCCATAATAACAGTTATCAATTGTGTATGAAACGACAGGGTAAATATTTGTTTACCTACCCACATAAATACAATACGAGATTAATAGCCTCGTGTATTGAGAAGATGATGAAAATATGGACATGTACTGAAAATGCACCTGTCGTAGGCTTTGTTTCCATAATCACATCCTGAAACCACAGTCATAGTTCCATATCCAAGGTACTTTGCGGCGACTAGGACAATGCCTTGTTGAACGCATCAGCAGCAGCTTGTCCCGACAATTTTGAAGCAGCTGAGGCCGCGCTCTTGCATGTATCCAGAGTTGTCTGTGACGCCTTACAAGGGTCGTTCAACCGGTCACAAATGAAGTTGGCCACCACTCCAATATTGAGCGCAGAGCCATGATTGAAAGTCGCTTTATCAGCAGGTTCAAAGGAGTTCTCCTTGCGACCATCAAAGCCGGCTCCGAACTTGATGAAAGGTGAAGCGTTTTTGCAAGAGCCCAGGTCAAGGCTGCTTGTGCTGGGTGTAGTTGATGTAGAGGCGTTGTTGTTAGTTGCAGCATTTGCTCCTGTTGCGGAGTCCGAGGCTCCAGTCGAGGAAGAACAAGTACCTGTTGATGCTTGGTTACTTGAGGATGCTGCCGTCGCGGTGGGTGCTGCGGCTATGCCAGCTGAAGAAGATGCTGCTACAGCGGCGCTAGCGGATGGAGCAGCAGCTGCGCTGCCACCAGCGGATCCCACAGCAGCATTAATCTCATCTTGGGTAACATCAGGCACAAGTAGATTCTGTGTAAAAATACAACCAGTAGGATCATTTTGGTCATCACCTGCACATTTCACAGATTAGAATTATATCTTGTCGTCAGCAGTAGTTGACTTACATGTTTTTCCTTTGCCGGTTGTGTCTCCAATTTGACCCGGAGCGAAAGTTCCACTCTGGATGGCAGTAGATGGATCACCACCAATGCTTGCAATCTGCTTAGCCAGCTCCAGAGCAATCTGTTTGTTAGTTGCAGCAGCTCCGGACGAAGCGGGGTCTTGATGCTGCTGTAATGCTGCAATTTCCGGGTTCTTCGCTTTGACAGAAGTGCATTTCACGCTAGCAAGACCGACCGAACCAGTGTTGCGTTCGAGAGTTCGGTATACAAGAGCTGCTGTCATACCATTCACATCTCCGGCGGCTTTAGCGTTGGTGAAAGCCTGATCGGCAATAGCTTGTTGAAGACAGTCGAGGTCCTTGATCGAGCCTGCACCTTGCGCGGCGGCCTTATTTCCAAGAAGACCAAAGACTGGATCACCAATATTGTCAGGGTTGTTGGCGGCAAGAGAAGCTGCCACCGTAGCGATAAACTTTTGATGGGAGTGCTCTTGGGGAACTTCTCTGCGAGACAAGGGTCTTGCAGTAGCCATGGCGGCTAAGAAGAGAATCATGAGAGATTTCATCGAGGTCGACATATTTGAAGGAATTGCAGAAATGGGTATTGTCTGGTTGGCAAAAAGTTTGCTGTAAAGAGGGTAAAAGGATGTACCTAATGAATGGACAAATAGTATGTAAAAGTAACGAAAGAGTGAGACCAGCTCAGAAACAGAAAAGAATGACCGAGAAGAGAAACAGAGAGATTGCACTGCAGTGGTTAATGATAAAAGTTTTGTGACGGACGAACAAGAATCTCTTATATACCCTTACAGAGTGTCGGGATGCTCGGAGCAAGGGTTCCAGGTCAATTGAGCATGAAGAACCCTTAGTCAAATTGAGATTTCATAGTGTATGAGATAAACTATACCACACCGGTAGAATCACCTGTAATGACAGCATTCCGCCAATTATAAACGGGTGGTATCTAGAGATCACATCAATAGCAAACAGCCAGTTACTTTACCCGCGCATACGCAATATGTTTGAAGTAGATGATTCAAGGCGAATATCATATCATGCGCCAAATGTGTATGATGGCAACATAATTTATATTAGCGATCCATATTCCCGACTCGTGCTGTCGGAGTATTCATAAAAGCACTATATGTATTGCCTTACTAGGGTTAGCCGTGCTGCCAGGGGCTGTAACGTGTCAGAGCCTCAAAAAGCTAAAACCGAGCTGGTCTCGAGTAAGACCACTCAGGAGCGAATCTCGAGGTCGGGTTATTGTGGCCTCCTGCGCCTCAAAACTTTTGGGCGTAAATAGTCGAAGTTTTGAAGGAGTGTCTATTGTTAATGGCATTTCGGATGCCCTTTCGGATTCTATGTAGCACATCCAACAGGAGTACCAAGATCCTCGATTATTGTCAAGTAAGATAATTAGTCAGTCCACATGCTGAATTTTGACGTAATAACATCAGTCTGGTAACACCTTCATGCACGAACAATCATCAATACTTGACTCTCCAAGCACTTCAAACTTCCAGTCTGAGTGTGCACAGCCCAGGCTTGAAAAATGTTTGCTGTATCCAGCGGCGCGTCATGCCCGGCTGTATGTATCATAGATTACGTACAAGTATCAGAGCGAGAGGGTGGTGGAAGAGTACGTTTTTGAGATCGGTATGTATCTTCACGATGTCGGAGTTGCTGGTGAAAGAACTTGGCTGACTCAGCCAGCCTCGCCAAGCGGATAAACTGATAAGCCGATAACGCTTATGGTGTGCTTCTAAGCCCAAACAGGATAGCTTCGCTTAGGTCAGCCCACAATGGGAGAAGTTCCGCCCGTGTAAAACATCTCCGATCATTTTTGGCGGTTTGTACTCTCACCACCTCGACGAACTACTAACGACAACAGGGTCAAGATGTGAGTTTACTGGTGTCAATGAACTTGTCTTTTATTTATGAGAGAGCGTGATCGCTGACATTTATACGTTTTCTAGGAGTCACCGAAAGTACGAAGCGCCCAGGCACGGTTCGTCTCACCATCTCGAATTATATATATACTGAAATTTTCTCGGTTCTGTGCGGTCGACTAACACAATAAATCACAGGCTCCCTCGCCTACTTGCCACGCAAGCGTGCCGCTCGCCATCGTGGAAAGGTCAAGAGGTTAGTCGACAGTCGAAAAATCGAATTGGAACATTAGAGCTAAAGTTTTTTTGTGATATAGCTTCCCCAAGGATGACCCAAAGAAGCCCGTCCACTTGACCGCCTCCATGGGCTACAAGGCCGGTATGACCACCATTGTCCGTGACCTCGACCGTCCCGGTGCCAAGATGCACAAGAAGGAGGTTGTTGAGGCCGTCACTGTTATTGAGACTCCTCCTGTATGTCAATTCTCAAGCCAGGTGGGGTTGGTCAGTCATGCTGATTTTTTCTGCTACAGCTCGTTGCCGTTGGTGTTGTCGGATACATTGAGACTCCTCGTGGTCTCCGCTCGCTCACTACTGTCTGGGCTGAGCACTTGAGCGATGAACTCAAGCGCCGCTTCTACAAGAACTGGTACAAGAGCAAGAAGAAGGCTTTCACTCGCTACGCCAAGAAGCACACTGAGAGCAGCGCGGCCTCCGTCACCCGCGAACTCGAGCGCATCAAGAAGTACTGCACTGTCGTCCGTGTCCTCGCTCACACTCAGATCCGCAAGACCCCTCTTAAGCAGAAGAAGGCACACTTGATGGAAATCCAAGTCAACGGTGGCTCCGTTGCCGACAAGGTTGACTTCGCTCACGGTTTGTTTGAGAAGACCATCGACATCGACACCATCTTCGAGCAGAACGAGGTTATTGATGTCATTGCCGTCACCAAGGGTCACGGTTTCAACGGTGTTACCTCTCGTTGGGGCACCAAGAAGCTTCCTCGCAAGACACACAAGGGTCTCCGTAAGGTTGCTTGTATCGGTGCTTGGCATCCTAACCACGTCCAATGGACTGTGGCCCGTGCTGGTCAAATGGGTTACCACCACCGTACATCCGTCAACCACAAGATTTACCGCATTGGCAAGGGAAGCGACGAGGGCAACGCCTCCACTGAATACGATGTCTCCAAGAAGACCATCACTCCGTGCGTACTTTCTGCATATTCTTTAAAGAAATGAATGCTAACACACTCTTTAGTCTTGGTGGTTTCGTTCGCTACGGTGAGGTCAAGAATGACTTCGTCATTGTCAAGGGTTCCGTTCCCGGTGTTAAGAAGCGCGTTATGACTCTCCGCAAGACTCTCTACCCACAAGTCAGCCGAAAGGCCACCGAGAAGATCGACCTCAAATGGATCGACACCTCTTCCGAGTTTGGTCACGGTGCTTACCAGACTCCCGCCGAGAAGCGTGCTTTCATGGGTACGCTCAAGAAGGACTTGGTTACCACTGTCTAAAAAATTACATGATTTCTTTTGTCTTGTGGTTCTGGGTTGGTGTAGCGCAATGCATGAATTTCTTTGTCTAAAATGAATACCTTATCCCTTGAAAAATTCAAAAATTCAACCAGGGTACATGTCCTGACCCTACATAATCGTAAACAATGCGTTTTTCCTCACTTTAGCATATTCTAAGAACTTGAAAGTCGCAGGATTTACAGACGCCAACTGCGATGACAAATGTTACTACAGTTGTCGCCTCGTCGCTCTTTCGATTTACCGACAGGACAGAGAGCTGGCCGTTTGTGCCGATATTCCAATGAATCGCTGATCATGGATCATGATGGATGGCATCGAGACTGAGCCATTTCTCGTATGCCTACTATGTACTACGGTTGGGGCCGGTAATTTTGTTAGTACGATTTTTAGGCGGTCAGGCTCCGGGGCTCACCGCCTTTTAAATAGAATATTGACCATCCGTCTGCTTTCAGCCTTTCAAGCCTAGATATATGACATTTGACGATCAATATGGCCACCCCCGAGCCTACCAGCCCCCCTAGGGCAACAAGCGCAGCAGCTCTCGAGCCATCTGATTCCAGGCAGAATTCAGCACGGCTGAATAGGGATGAACGGATCCGAGTATTAACCCTTCGAGATGCTGGATTTACATATCTTCAAATCTCTCAGCAACTTCAAATTAGCTATCGCCAAGTCCAATATACGTGCCAAAGCCAGCAAGCAACCCCTAAAAAGGCCCGTGGCAACCCTCCGAAGCTCTCCGAGGCTGAAGTTGATCATATTATCGAATGGATTACTTCTTCGAAGCGTACGCGACGTATGCCTTATTATAAGGTTATACAAGAGCTTAACCTATCTATTGGAAAGCACGCCCTGGCTCGAGCTCTTAAAAAACGAGGTTATACACAATGCAAGGCTCTTAATAAACCTCCTCTATCAGATAAACATAGACAAGTACGTCTTGCCTGGGCCCTAGAGCATTTGAATTGGACGACTGAACAATGGAATCGTATCCTTTGGTCTGATGAAACATGGGTTACTTCAGGATTTCATACGAGAATCTGGGTAACTAGAAAGGCTGGTGAAGAGTTAGAAGAGACTTGCATACGATCCTCTCCTGCACGGAAACGTGGATGGATGTTCTGGGCTACTTTTCATGGGAATAACAAGGGTCCGTGTTTATTCTGGGAGAGGGAATGGGGAACTATTAACTCGGAGAGATATTGTCAACGGGTTATACCAATTATTGATGGCTATATTCGCTTATTACGAGACGATATCTGGCTTCAATTTATGCAGGATGGGGCACCTGGCCATGCGAGTAAGGAGACTCTCGAAGAGCTTCATTCTCGTGGGATATATCCAATTTATTGGCCAGCATTCTCACCTGATCTCAATCCAATTGAAGCAGTATGGAATTGGATGAAGGATTGGATTCAAGAACAATATCCAGATGATGAGCAACTTTCTTATGATCGACTCCGTGAGGTTGTACGAGCTGCTTGGGATGCACTGCCTGAGCAGTTTTTGAAGGAGCTCATTGACTCTATGCACGCTAGATGCCAAGCTGTAATAGATGCTCGAGGTGGTCATACAAAATATTAGATTAGTAATCAGATATGACTGGCAGAATTCATTGGATTTCAACCCCTGTAAAAAAATCGTGCTAACAAAATTACCGGCCCCAACCATAGTACACCTTCCTTTTCTAGGCAAGTGTCTAGCTATCTTCGGTTAGTGGCGGCCGCTGTATGATTTCCGTTAATTTCAAAGCGTTAAGAAATCTGAACTTCGAAAGAATCAGTCTGATAATTATCAAGTAATACGTCAATAGTTCTAGATTTCATTATGACTTCGGTCTTGAAATTCAGAAGCATGAATGGGCATAAATATCGACGTTACCCCCATCATAGAATGTCTCTTTTCAACAGCAGCGACAACAACAAAATCCAATCGTACAACTCATTTCAACGTTCATCTACATGAGAACCACACTCCGTCATCTTTGCCAAAGATTCAATCCTAATAAACCAACCATGTCGAAACTCATCACTGTATTTGGCGCGACTGGCAACCAGGGCGGCTCCGTTATTCGAAGCGTGCTGGCGGATCCTGTTCTGTCCAAAGAATACAAGCTTCGCGGAATTACCCGTGATATCTCGAAGGAATCTGCAAAGAAGCTCTCCTCTCAGGGCGTTGAGATGGTCACTGTAAGTACTAAGAGTCTATTCTTCCCGCCTTTATGGTTAGCGGACATGAATTTTCATCTAACTTGACCTAGGCGGACATGTCATCTCCATCGTCTCTTCAGGATGCTATCAAAGGCTCCCATACAGTATTCTTGGTGACTAACTTCTGGGACACCATGAGCAAGGACACCGAAGTCGCTCAGGGAAAAGCCGTGGCAGATGCTTGCAAAGAGACTGGAGTCAAACATCTTATATTCTCGTCTCTCCGCAGCATTTCGGAGGTCACTGGAGGGAAATTACCCAACGTTCTTCACTTTGAAGGCAAAGCTGAAGTTGAACAATATATCCGGGATAGTGGGATTCCAGCAACTTTCGTCCTCGCAGGTTTGTTTATGACAGGCCTTAGTGGAAGTATGATCCAGAAAAGAGATGATATCTGGACACTGGCATTGCCTGTTAATCCTGAAAAGGCCAAGATTCCCGTCTTCGACGTGGAGGAAGATACTGGTAAGTGTGAATCTAATCACTTTACTTCTCTCAGTCTGACGAAACTCTTCAGGCAAATTCGTGAAAGCGGTCATCACGCACTTCCCCGATACCATCGGCAAGCGAATTCTCATGGCGACAGACTACCTGACACCCAAACAAGTCACAGATGAGCTTGCAGAAACCTTTGGAGTCAAAGCCGCAGCCGTGCAGATTCCAGAAGAAACATTCAAGTCCTTTTTACCTGGACCAATTGCTCAAGAAATGCTTGAGAATATGCTTGTTTTGGAAAAAGAGGGCTATTTTGGCGGCGAGGGCTTGGATCAGTCCCATGCTCTTCTCGAGGATGGTGTGACATCGTGGAAAGACCATATTTTACGCCGTTCCTCTACATTTACTTAGATTAATTATGTGCGTGTATAGGAATGTTTGGTGTTAAATTAGTTCTTGTGTATACTTAACCGCTCTGCTCATTCAATCGTTTTACTCATATGTCCGACTCCATCTAATACTCGAGTTGAATCGGTCACATAGGGCTAGGGCTTGCGAGCGGGCACCGGCTTTGGTTTAGCCTCATATTCAATGATCATGCTGCCCATTCAGAGAAAAAGGAAACATTTTTTGAAGTTAATCGGACCTTTTGCAAAATAGAATCCTACTGTTTCTGAGATTTAGTTTCCAGGGTTCTAATCAAATTGACCTTTTTATTCACAGCCTTGAAACGTCCCAATGTTTGAGCGGTCATTCACTCAGAACATGGGAATGAAAGATATAAAAGTTCGCCCGGCTACGGTCGAAGATGCAACATCTATATCACAAATTCATTACGAGGCGCTTGGGAAATTCCATAAATTCTATTCAGGATTCCTTGCAAATAATCCACGCGAAATAATCCCAATAACCACCGCGACAGCTCTAAAAGATCCAAAGAGTGCCTTCCTTGTCGCTGTGGATACGGCCACGGATCGAATCGTGGGATTTATTAGATACTGGATAGTGAAAGAAGAAAAAAATGAAGCAGAGATGACAGCAAAGAAGAGTCAATTGGATCGAAGTCAGCCGGAATTCACCAACTTGTTTGCTCCGAAAGAGCATGTGAAGAAGTTGTACGAAGAGTTTAGTGTACGAGATGATGAGATGGATGCTTGTTATGAGGAGGTAGCGAAGGGACAGAGACATTACTGTAAGCTATCTTTCCAGGCTTTCAAAGTGCCCTAAGTCGGGAATGACTGATTTATGGACATTGCAGACATCAAACATCTCATGATAGACCCAGCCCAACAACGCCGCGGGATCGGACAGAAGCTACTCTCTGCTGTTCTCGCGAAAAGCGACGCAGAGAATCTACCTACTTTCCTTACTTCATCAACGGAAGCTCATCCATTGTATGTAAAATTGGGATTTGTCGATATAGGACCGGAATTCAGGATTGATAATGAGGCTTGGGCGAGTCGGATTATGGAATTGGAGAGGGAGATTGGGGTGGATGAGAGAATGAGGCTTAAGGATGAGTGTGTAGGACTGTATGAGGTGGAGAATTGTATGGTCAGATGGGCAAGTAGATAGACACAAAGAGTGATATACACTCATAACAAATAACTAATAATAATTGTTGTGAAGGCTCTTAAGTGTGGATGAGAGTATATAAGGGTTAGGGTAACATAAGCGATCACCGGATGCACTCTTACCCCGCCGAACGAGTATTATCTTCAAAATCCAACAACATGGTCAACGAAGCAGATATTTTAAAGGCAATTAGTGATCTGAAAGCGCAAAAGAAGCCTCAGTATGCTAAGATTGCCAGGAAATACAATGTTGATCGTACAACGCTGATGCGGCGATATAAAGGCCAGACGGTCTCAAATTAAGAAGCGCACTCAATTTACCAAAAACTCCTTACAAATGCACAGGAAGAAGTCCTTCTTGATCATATATCAAGGCTTTTAGCTCGCGGATTGCATCCAACGCCTTAAATTCTTTGAAATATCGTTAAAAAAATCGTAGGACATGATATTGGCGAGTGCTGGGTTCGGCGATTTTGCCAACGCTATGAGAATCGAATTACCAGCATCTATTTGAAAGGAATTGATCAATCGCGCGAAGTTGCCGATAATTTAGAATATTTAGAATATTTCTACAATACTGTATGAGCTTTTCATACAATCACTTCTAAAACTGAAGTTAGAATGTAGCAGAACTAGTAAATATGTTATAGCTTGCAGAAAAGATCAAGAAATACCGCACCTCTCCATCAAATATTTATAATTTTGATGAAAAAGGATTCCTTATAGATATATGCTGTACGAGGAAACGGATTGTCTCAATCCATCAGCTTGGTTCAAAGAAATCATTTAGGTCAAATCAAGATGGCAGCTGCGAATTTATCTCTCTCCTTGCTTGCATTTGTGCTGATGGCAAAGCTCTTCCTCCCAGTCTTATTTATCAAGGCGAATCACGCGATCTACAGGCTAACTAACTTGAAGATTTTGACTCATTATCAGAAAAAGCATACTTTGCATCTTCTGAAAAAGGATGGACTAATGACGAGCTTGGATTATCATAGTTAACTGTGATATTTAATCCTTATACGAAGGAAAAAGCGGCAATTCAAAGCGTCTCTTAATCACTGATGAGCATTCAAGTCATATCAATCTTCACTTCATTGATTATTGTGATCAAAATGGGATAATTCTTGTTATCTTACCTCCCCATTCTACACATCGATTACAGCCGCTTGACGTCGGAATCTTTTCATCTCTCGCAAGTGCATATTCGTATGGGATTGACCAAGTAATCCAATCAAGTTTTGGATTCTTAAGGGTGACAAAGCAGGTGTTTTGGCGGTTATTTCGCGCGGCGTGGCAATCAGCTTTAAGCTTTCAAAATATTCGATCAGCCTTTGCTTCACCAGGTATCTATCCCTTTAATCCATTAAAGGTCATTAATGTTCTCAGAAAAAAGACACCTTTACCAAGCCCAGGCGATAATGAAATAGATCGAAAGACTCTAGGATCTATTTAAGCAATTCGCCGTACGATTAGGGCTATTCAACAAGAAGGAGATCTTACACAAGCCACAAAGCTTGTGATGAAAGCAGCACAGAAACTGATCATACAAAATGAAATTCTTGAACACCAATATAAAGGCCTAGTTAATGCGTTAGTTAATGAGAAGAATCGCCAAAGACGAGGCAGGCCTTTAGGTCTTATTGATAAAGAGAACCCTGGTGAAGCCCAGTTCTTCTCGCCGAGCAAAGTTGAAGCTGCCAAACAGCGCATACGAGATATTGAATTCTAGAAAGATCAGGATAAGATTAATGCAGTAATTCTTCATACGCAAAAAGTACTTGAGCGCGAAAGGAGAGATCGAGAGAACCAAGAAAAGCAAGAAAGCCGGATCCGTAAGCGAGAAGCAAAGAAGCAATAAAAAGAGCTTGAAAAAGAGCAGCGTCGCATAGCGCGGGAGACTAAAAGACAAGTTAAACATGATCAGGAAATGCAAGAGAGGCAGATACAGCTTGAAAGAAGACGATCTAAGCGTGTCATAGAGGGCAGTGAGGAGGTTTTTTTCAAAGAAACAGAAAATAGAGGTGACTTGTTCGGGCCGAGAAATTAATCTACCCGTGCGGTTTAGGGATTAAATAATTATATATAGCTATTTGGTACATTATTTCATGCACTGTAGTAAATTTTGATACTTAAAACTTCATTTGTTATGGAGATATCACCGAATTGCGTGGTAGAGTAATTTGCGGAGAGGAGTGAATCCGGTGATCGCTTACGTTATATATGGACTGCTGCCTGAGGAATCTATCGCAGCCTGGGTCATTGCGTCATGGCGTGTTCCCCCGCGACAGAAACTCTCCCCAAAAGAACATTCAAGTGTTCAACAAATGACTCGTTTTCTTAAGCATCTTGCAAAGGCTTCTATTTCCCTACCTCTTACATCCAAGACGACGTTTCCAGTACGGTCACTCATCCTACGACCGCAACGAACGGATCTCTCCCCCCAACTCGTATCCCTCCCTACATATGGAATAAGAGCAATGGCTTCGGATTCAGACTACATGGCCTTCTTGGATAAGGCAAACCGACAGCGCGATGCCGGAAGCAACGAAGCGCACACCGAGTCATCAACGCTACCTTCCAAACAGGTACGCACCGAAACTGTTGAGAGTGGTGTCAAGGTACCGGGGCCCTTGAAAAAGGTCGATGCGTTTTATGTGTCGGAGACGGACGAACCTTTTGAGCCTGTGGCTCTGAGTTGGAAGGGAGCGTCGAGTGGGAAGTGGCCTGAGAATGGTATTTGCTTCTATCCCAATACTCTGGTTTCATCTTCAAAACTAATCTGTTCTCTTGTTTGCAGATGAATTCGCATCTTTGATTGCCTCTGGATCCAAATCAGACATAGCCAACTCTATTGAGACCCTCTCCGAAAAATCGTTCGACCCTCGAAATCAATACAGCAGTGTGATCAAAGCGGTCCGTGCAGCGGTTGCAGCCTCAGATTCCACTATCAATGAGAGCGACGTGGAAGTCAAGATATATCGAGTCGAGGTCGGTCATTCTAGGGTAGAATACTGGATTATCGCCCTGGATGGCGCCGAGGAGAAGATTGTTGGGCTGAGAGCGAAGGCTATTGAGTCGTAGTATACGCAACGGTTGGTGAGATAATATTGCTTATCACATTCGTGGGATTGTATTTATTCAGCACTGGCATACTGTATTTGCTCTCATGTCGTCAATTGACCATTAAATCATAGAAATGTCTACATATAGCTTGACTACAGAAATATCAGTTCTACTGAAGGAGAGTAGATAAGAGTGGGCCGAGACCGGCGGTGACTCAACGAGTTGCTGCCGCCAGAGAAAATTTCCCCACCAAAAAATATACCCTCGTCCGACCTGACCGACATTTGTTTATCTTCTTCCCATTGCCAGCTGGAATAATTATTTTGTCTCTGATCAATTCTTATTCAATTCACTATACACTCTCATTCACAATGGCTAAGCCCAAGGTCTGTCTCGCATACTCTGGCGGTCTCGATACCAGTGAGTAATCTCCATGCGCTGATGCAGGATTTCCTCACTAACAATTGTGTCAGGTGTCATTCTCAAATGGCTCATTGAGCAAGGTTACGATGTTGTCGCTTTCATGGTACGTATTTCCTGCCGATTGTTCGCATTGACGCATCAGCTAATCTGCATCCAGGCTGACGTCGGTCAAAACGAAGACTTCGCTGCCGCCGAAAAGAAAGCCCTTGCCATTGGTGCCGTCAAGTTCGTCGTCGAGGACCTGAAGCGTGAATTTGTCGAAGAACTTTGCTTCCGAGCAATTCAGTGCAATGCCATTTTTGAAGATCAATACCTCCTCGGAACTTCCTTGGCCCGCCCGGTCATTGCGCGCGCTCAGTGCGTTGTCCCTATCACGATAAGGGTATGAGATGCTGACAATCGTAGGATGCGTGTTGCTCAACAGAATGAGTGTGTTGCTGTGTCTCACGGTTGCACTGGCAAGGGAAATGACCAGGTCCGATTCGAGTTGGCTTTCTATGCTATTCAGGTAATTTGATCTCCGAGACTCAGCTAGTATAACAAGCTAATGAGAATAGCCCACTATCAAAGTCATCGCCCCCTGGCGATTGCCTGAGTTCTTTGAACGTTTCGCTGGCCGAAATGATCTGCTCGATTATTCCGCCAAAGTCGGCATTCCCGTCACATCCACCAAGGCTAAGCCCTGGAGTATGGATGAGAATCTTGCACACTGCTCTTATGAAGCCGGTATCTTGGTATGTCGATTTGTTCTTTGGTATAAACACGCACTCATATTCTGATAGGAGGACCCCAACATCACTCCTCCCGCCGATATGTGGAAATTGACCGACTCTCCTCTTAACGCTCCCAACACCCCCGAGGAGTTCTCCCTCTCATTCGAGAAGGGTATTCCAACTAAGCTGGTTACTCCCTCCGGCGAGACCGTGACTGGATCCTTGGATATCTTCATAGCTTTGAATGCTATTGGTCGCAAGCACGGTATCGGCCGTGTGGACATTGTCGAGAACCGTTTCATCGGTATCAAATCCCGAGGCTGCTACGACTCCCCCGCAATGACTATTCTCCGTGCCGCACACGTCGATCTTGAAGGTCTCGTCCTCGACCGCGAAGTTCGTTCCTTGCGTGACCAGTTCGTGACCTTCACCTGGTCCAAGCTTTTGTACAACGGTCTTTACTTCTCCCCCGAGCGTGAGTTCATCGAGAAGAGCGTGATCGCCAGTCAAGACACCGTCAACGGAACCGTCCGTCTTTGCGCCTACAAGGGCTCTGTCTCCATCCTTGGTCGTTTCAGTGAGACCGAGAAGCTCTACAGTGCCGAGGAGAGCAGTATGGACACCTTGACCGACTTCAGCCCCATCGACACCACCGGATTCATTGGAATTTCCAAGATCCGTCTTGCTAAGTATGGTCAAGCCAAAGCTGAGGCTGGCGAGAGCTTGAGCCGGGCATAAATTGTAATTTGGCTGTAATGCTTTTTTTTTTCTTTCTTTTATAGGTTGGACTCGGGAGTTGGATGTTCTTCGCGTATGTGACAATAGATTTACATGGCCGGATAACGTTGGACTCTTTGTAATGATTAAAATGAGTTGAATGAAATTGAAGATGTCGTTGACTTTGGTTCGTTACGTCCGCGGTAGGCGACCTTAGAATATCTCCGTTCTGGTCAACATTAATTTTAAGGACTTGTGTCATTTCATGTCTACAGTTCCGAACTCGCAGCTCCAGTTGTTGTTTCGCTTTATTTTCAATGATGACTTTTGACGCCCAAGTCTCGTAAAATGTCGCCAAAAGGCGATCGCCAATCTATTAAGAAACTGCGAAAATCGGATATTTCTGCCAGTCCTCCGAGACTCGCTCGACCTTCCCGCCTGGTAAGTCTTCTATAAATGCCAAGAATGTCAACACCATATTGTTATATAAAATAAAAAGACAACAGCAGTGATAAATAATACAGATGAGGTTTATATCTTCTAGTTCTGTTCTCTATCGCCATCGGCTTGGCACCTCTATCACAAAGGCTGAAGGTTTCCCCGCGTTTCGGCAAGCCTTCCGAACAGCGTTATCGCCACCAAAACAACAAAAACAACACTTGGTCAGAATGTCGTCTACAGACACAAACACAGGATACAGACAAGCCAAAGACTGGAATGCAACTCAATATCTCAAATTTGAACAAGAGCGCACTCGACCTGTTCATGATCTTCTGGCTCAAATCCCTATTTCTTCTCCACGACGCGTGGTGGATCTAGGATGTGGCCCTGGTAATTCCACGGAGGTGTTGGCGGCACGATGGCCTAACGCGCAGGTCTCAGGCATGGATTCATCGCCTGATATGATTGAAAAGGCTCGCGGAAGACTACCAGATACGAAATTCGAGCTGGGTGATTTGAATACATGGGCGCCTACCGACAACAAGGAAAAAGTAGATGTGTTCTTTTCGAATGCAGTGTTCCAATGGGTTCCGTCTGAGAAGAGATTGCCGCTTATTGCTCGGTTTATTGAGATGCAGGCTCCTGGCGGTGTATTTGCCTTTCAGGTTCCTGATAATTTCCTCGAGCCATCGCATGCCATGATGCGTGAGACGGCTTCCGATGCGGATAAGCCGTGGTTTCCTGTTCTTCAAAACCGCCAACCGGCACTTGCGCGGTTCCAGTCTACACAGGAAATCTACGATGCATTGATCCCGTTATGTCGGAGTCTTAATATATGGCATACACACTATTACCACATCCTGGAGAGTCATGAGGCAGTTGTCGAATGGGTCAAGGGGACGGGGTTGAGGCCGTTTATTGATCCGCTATCAGAGGAGGATAAGAAAGGGTTTGTAGCGGCGTATTTGGAGCGGTTGAAGAAGGTGTATTCTGTATCAGTGGATGGGAGGGTCCTCTATAAGTTTCCGAGATTGTTTGTTGTTGCTGTTAGGAAGTAACCAAAGGAGGCAATTCTGCTGTACAACCCTAAACCCTAAGCCCTAAGTCATAAACAGATTAGGCAGTAAGGAAGCAGTGGGTCCAGCAGTGAAAATTCTTATCTGATCGGTGAAGACCCGTGATTGGCTCATTTTGATCCACGCTAAGCTCGTTTTGGTTAGCTCCTGCTGATTGGCTGGAAGACTCACCCTCGGTCAGTATTGTCGGCTTTCTTTTTACTCGTTTCTCACACCGAGTCAACGAGCTGAGAGTCGACTGTCGGCACTGTTTCTCATATTTCCGGGATTGGAAACGGAAAAGTCTGACTGCTAGCAAATCAATGATTGGGAGATAGCGCTCTGCAGATCGCGTGCATCATGGGCTTTCCGAGCACGGCTTAGACAAGTCGACCCGAGAACGTTTTAGGAATGTCAGATTCTACTACGGAGTACGTAGTAGGCATATTCATTCTACCATGTCGTCGAGCGCTTCGAATAAGCAAAGCAGGAAAACGCCAATGATGCAAACCTCTGTCATCCCTTTACCCCGTACTTTGGCTTCATCGTGGCCCAAAGTGCAGGTCGAGCAGAGAAACCCGTCCCGACATGGCTTCCCGATGTGATGTCATACGAGAAGTGATTTCTTCCGCGTCAGGAACAGTGGAGAGTGCAACCAACCTCGACACAGCCAAACATATCCTGCGATGCCTCACGAAGGGATCCAGTTAACTGATCCACTGGCTCTGCCCTAATGCATCTCACTCCACTTAGACGGTGGTTGCGGTGGGATCGTTTCCTCCATAATCCCCACGAAACATGAGCCTCGCACGATATGTATAGCTGACGCAGTTGACGATGCGGCCCCTCACCTACTCCAGCGGCGAGGTATGATGTATGCCGTGGAGACTCGTATCGCTCACCATCGCTCATGATTGACTGTTCCACTGACGAACGCAGAGGACAGATTTTTCAGACGTTGGACTCAAGCGGGGGAGCACACACACACACACACACACAAAATAGCGAGCAGATGGATATATATAAGACGTTGGGACCCCTCGTCCCCTGACTTGGAGATTGTTTCCTTGGTCCACCACTTCATTACCCCGTGTCTCCGGACTTTTCGCTGTCTCTTTTGTCATTTCATACAAAACCCCCAAAAAAAGGAAAGAAAACAAGAAGGCGAGACAGAAGCGGGCTTCTCCAATATGGCTCCTCCCACCTACGCGGGGATGTCAGGCAAGCGCCTGTCCCTCTCCATCTCAACTATCGGAACAATGGGCTTCTTGCTCTTTGGCTACGACCAGGGTGTCATGTCTGGTATTATCAGTGATAAAGCCTTCAACGATATCTTCACCGCGACAAGAGATGACTCTACCATGCAGGCCTTGGTGACCGCTGTCTACGAGCTGGGATGTCTTGCTGGCGCTATGTTTGCTTTGTTTCGTGGTGACGTAATTGGACGACGCCGAATGATCATTATCGGTGCCAGTGTCATGATTCTCGGCGTCATTATCCAAGTTACCGCGTTCCCAGGACATGTGCCCCTCGCTCAGTTCATGATCGGTCGTATCATCACGGGTATTGGAAATGGGATGAACACCTCGACTATTCCTACCTACCAGGCTGAATGTTCACGAACTACCAATCGTGGACTTTTGATCTGTATTGAAGGAGGTACTATTGCAATTGGTACGTTGATCGCTTACTGGATCGACTACGGTGCACACTTTGGGCCTCCTGATCTTGTTTGGCGATTCCCCATCGCATTCCAGATCTTCTTCGGCATCATTATTATCGTTGGCATGTACTACTTGCCCGACTCGCCTCGTTACTTGATCACACGAAACCAGATTTCAGATGGCGAATATGTCCTTGCTGCATTAATCGGTCGTGAAGTCCATGACCACGAGACACAGATCCAGAAACAGCTGGTGCTTGACTCTGTCCGAGCATCTGGCGCTATGGGTGAGGACGTCCGCTATAGGGATTTGCTCACGGGCGGTCCTACCCAGCACTCCCGTCGCATGTTGATCGGTGCTTCTTCTCAAATCTTCCAACAACTCAGTGGTTGCAACGCTGTCATTTACTATCTACCTGTGCTGTTGCAGCAGTCCCTCGGCCAATCGACCAATCAGGCTCTACTTATCGGCGGTATCAACATGATTTGCTACGCCGTCTTTGCCACTTTCTCATGGTTCTTCATTGAGAAAATCGGTCGTCGCAAGTTGTTCTTGGGCGGCACCTTCGGTCAGCTTACTGCCATGATCATCACCTTTGGTTGTCTCATCCCCGACGACAAGAGCGTGGCCAATGGAGCTGTATTCGGTCTCTTCCTTTACATGTGCTTCTTCGGCGCCACCTGGCTACCACTTCCATGGTTGTATCCTGCCGAAATCTCTCCTATCAAGACACGTGCCAAGGCTAATGCAGTCTCCACCTGCTGCAACTGGCTTTTCAATTTCACTGTCGTCATGATCACACCAGTCATGGTCTCTAGCATCCACTGGGGCACATACTTGTTCTTTGCTGCCATGAATGCTGCCTTCATCCCATTTATCTGGCTGTTCTACCCTGAAACTGCTGGTCGCAGTCTCGAGGAAATCGATATCATTTTCGCCAAGGGATATACCGAGAAGAAGAGTTATGTTACTGCTGCTCGCGAATTGCCGAAGCTTACTGATGACGAGGTCGATGCCCAAGCTGCTGAGTTTGGTCTTGCTAGGAGCTCTGATGAGGAAACTGAGAAGCACATTGAGGAAAGACGCTCATCTGAGGGTGCACCGGGAGCTGTCAACCCGATGATCTATCCTTAACTGGCCTAAACTTTGAAAGGAAACAGAGTTTCCAGTTATGACGACACATAAAAACTTTTATCTGTGATATTTGTCTCTTTTTTAATGATGCAAAACTATGATACCAATGACTCGCATTTAGATAACTTTTCTGTTTATATTTGGTTTCTTGTTTCTTGTTTCTTGTTTAGAACGAGGATACATGAATGTATAGACAGCTAGAGAGTATGCAACGAATAAGAACATTTTAAAGTCTCTTTGATGTTTTCAAGAGTATGCAACTTGACTGAACGTGTCCTTCACGATATCGCACTGCCTCTGTAAGAAGTCCATGAACGTGTTCAGCCCTATCCCCCATGCCTTAACCTCTTCCATATCCACCAGTTTATCCATATCTCTCAAATTCTTATGCCACGACTCTGGCTTATTCTTCGCTGCTGCTTCGTCGATCTCCTGATCCGATAGATAATAAGCCGAAATACTTTTCCCGGAGACTCTACTCAAGCCTTCCATAATTTCTTCGACGGTGAGAAGCTCTGATGCGACTGCAATAGCCCTCCCACTGAATCGTTCTGGACATACGAATGCGGCTGCGCAGAATTTCGCGGTATCCGCTTCATCCGTCATTGGTAAGAGTGTGTCTCGCGTATACGACGTCCTGTAGACCCCCGTAATCGCGAGATCAGGATTCACGACACGGATTTTGGGACCGATGAAATTCGCCATGAAGTTACCCGGCCTCAGGATGGTGTAATATTTGAACCCTGCGGTTCGGACGAGTTGTTCCATTGCTATCTTTGGATTTATTGCCATTGCCAGCATACCTGTTTCAGGGTTCCAGGCGGCTAGGCGATCGGGCCTGTCGGTTCCCATTGTCGTTGATACGACGACATTGTTTATGGTACCAGTTGCTTTAGCAGCGGAGAGGATGGTGGTTGTGTATTTGATTGTTGTGTTGTGGTCTGCTGGTGGGATGACGAGGAAGAGTCCAACGCAGTCTTGCATGCCAGATTGGAGGGCAGCTTCGTTGTCGAGATTGCCAGTGAAGAGTTTCACGCCGAGGGTTTTGAGGGTTTGGGATGCTGGGGAGTCCGGGCTGCGTGTTATGGCGTGTACCATGTGGCCGTGGGAGAGGAGCTGGCGAGCTACAGCACCTCCTTGACATCCTGTCGCCCCGGTGACGAAGAAGGTGGATGCAGTCATGTTGTATGATAGATAAGAGTGGGATATAGAGGATAGAGGATGGGCGAAAGTACCCAGGTAAATGACGTTATATCAAAATAGCAAATCGTTATTTGTTAGCTGGGTTTGTTGAAGTTGACATACTTAGGCGGAGAATTTTGGCACTCTTTATAGTCGACCGGGCCAATTCATATTCTGTAAATATTCATCGAAGCCAGCCATATAGATAAATTGCAGAAGAGGTGATTGGTTCTGGACATTCAGCAACTCTCCTTGTGACTTTCATGGTGGATGTCCGCCAGTGTCCACAATTTAGACCTCCCGAATAGCCCCTTTAGTAATGACCAGATTGGATGTCTAACGATGAAGCTATCCAAAGTACAACAATACTGACAAATCAGCGGCTCCATTTATCTAGATCTGGCGGAGTTCCGCCGCCCCACCATGGATGCCACTTATTTCTCTTGTCGATTTATGACCACGACCATGATGTATCACTCCTCCTGGTGGAATTCCATCGGAATGCATAAAAATCTCAACGACGGCGATTGAGAACTCCATGTCTGTGATACAAGCCCCAGTCGCCTACAAAGAAAGAAATGGCGCTATCCCACGGCGGAAATCATGCAAAGCATGCGCCAAAGCCAAACGACGATGTGATCTGCTTCTACCGGTATGCTCACGATGCAGTCAGCGCCGATTGGATTGCGAATATCCGATGCTAGAGGCTTCAAATCTTTCATACTCCTGGGATTGCTTGTCGGACTTCAATATCAATCCGTCAATAGCAACAACTCTATTTCAACAGCCTCCTCCTCCGTTGCCAATTATACCATCGTCTTACGAAAACGTGTATAAGGTTGACGAAAATTCCTTATCACCTCCACTTAATGTCAATCCACTCTTTTCAGGTCGCATGTCTCGGTTGCAGTTTACGCTAAGCGTGCTTCAGAATGCGCATAGGACAATGGTGCTGGAGAATCAGACGCCGTGGTGTCATCCACTACTGTACAAGAATGGTATGCCGCGAGTTATGCAAGGTTTGTTCTCTACTGCTCAAAAATAGCATCAATGATTGTTTTGGCTAATGATGAAATCAGATGCATATGCATGTTGTTCTCTGTATATGAACAGGAATGCAACAAACTCCAAAACTATATTGTCGATTATCGAAAACCGTGCTGCTGAGCTGCTTGCATCAGATCAACCAGATAATGCTTGGGAGTACCTTGCACGCTTACAAGCGCTCATACTGTACCAGACAATAAGAATATTTGATGATGACGCATCGGCTCTGGTTGCTGCAGATCTCACCATGCCGGCTCTGCGAGCTATATTGACTCATTTTGTCGCCAATGTGCCCCTCGAAGATACTCTGTTAAATTCAGAGAATTTGCCTATAAACTGCCTCATCAATGAACCTACGTCGGACACCAAAGACCACTGGCACAGCTGGATTTTCGAAGAATCCACACGCCGCACAATGTTCCTCTCACACCTACTGATCAGCATATGGGAAATCCTCCAATACTTAAACCAACAGCAAATCATCGCTTCTACCACCACACCATACACCGGCATCAGCAGGAAAAAGCCCACCTGCGATGGCCGACTAGGTCTCTCCAATTGCTGGTGGTACTGGTACCTATCAGCGCATTTATGGGAAGCTCCGACACGGTATGACTTTGCATTGGCGTATGCAGAGAAGAGTCGTTTCCTCATCAAGGATTTGGACTTTACGGAGTTCTTGGCTTTGGGTCAACCAGATGATGTGGATATGTTGGGGAAAATGGCACTGTCGGCTTGGATGGGGAATGAGGCGTTGCAGGAATGGTTTTTCGTTAGAGGGGGTGTGTTGACCATGCCTGTTTCATCGATGTGACTTCATGCCCGTTTGTATGTATATAAGCCTATAATAGAAAGATGATGGAGTTCTCGAGTTAAGGGTCGACTACCTAATTCGACTAAGCTTTTACTCGTATGGCTGAGTGCTACCTACCAGAATGCTTTTAGCTACGCACTACTACTATCAGAAGGACTAAACTTGAAGCAAATAAGTTAGCATCTCCATTACCTAACCTTGGATAATATCTTTCAGCAAGTCATTAGCGATTTTCGGTCCTTTAACTACCGGTCAAGTGATACAAGTAGCCTAGAAGAGCATACAAGCATCAAAGCCCGGCGTTTACACTACTACTTCTCCGTAGCATTCTCATCTTCCATGAAAGCATCCTCCCATTCCGACACGTCCACCGTCTCTTTCTCGGTAGACCCACCTGCGTTAGCAGTGAGAGTGGGAGTTGAGGATCCATCACTATCTGCTCGTTCATCTTCTGAGAAATCACGGCCCAGCGATTTGCACATATGGTACCTCGCGTCACGCAGGATATTGCAGATACGACTTCGGTTAATTATACCCAGTGACTCCTCACATAGGCGTTCCGCGCGGAGACAGAGATACTGCCAGTCTAACGGAGTGACATTCTCATCAATGGAGTCAAGCTCCCAGATGATGTCTCGCGGGGCTCGTCGTTTCCAGTATGACGATGGCACGGCAATCTCAGTCGAATTCAGGAAGCTCTCGACCTCGGAGTGGTGGAGTTCATCAAGAACATTCACCACGGACTCGTCTAGGGCCGTGAACAAACCGCTCTCTGGCTTTTCCTTCATGGCCGTATATCGACGTGCGCTCTCAGCAATTATTTCCTCAACCTCATCGACATGAATCGGATCATGCATAGAGACAAGAATTTGGTAGACATCATACTCAGTACGGTGAGCTGAGTATGTCGTGCCGCGGTAACCTCGTTCATTCACGATCCAGTCAGTGATATTAAGGCTCTCTTTGAGCGTGTTCGGATTGGTCCATCGATCTTGAAGTGCCCAGATGAAGTATTTCAATTCATTCTCGAGATTCTCCGCCCCAATGACATTGACAGCCATTTTCCAGCAATTGTCATGGATGGGGAAGCCGTGGGGAAAGAGCCGCCAGTTCTCAGCATCATCGTAATGGCACGGATAGACATTGACTCTTTTCACAAGCGGAGTCTGAGTGGTGCTCTTCTTCTCCTTCTGGGTCAACTCCTTGTTGTAAAAGTGGCGCCTGTCAATCAGCGAATCGTCCTTGTCACGGGGAACTGTGAAGATGGGCTCTTTGGCTTTGTAGGTACACTTATTGTACATCTTGCGAGCTTTGGGGTCACTATCCCAAAGATGGTAGCGACCAACTCCGGAGATGTAGTAATTGGGCTCATCCTCCCCACGGCGATACCTTGTTTGAGAGACCACTATGTCGCGATATTAGCCATCCCGCGTGTTCATCGGCCTTAGAAAAATGGGAGTACTTACTAACACGGTACATTCCAGTCCATCCTGGGCGAGGCATCACGCCAAACTTTCTCTCATTGGCAGCAGTACAGTCAAGAGATTCGTCTTCTCCCTGCTGTAATTCTTCAAATTCCTCATTACCAGCATCAGGATGCTGAACCGCATCAGGTCCTGTGGTGGTATACGGGTTGACAGCGAAAGAGACAGCCTGCTCATCCTCGAGAGTGATGCACATGCCGCATATACCACAGAAAGTGTTTTGCTTTGCATGAATGAGCATTGGTCCAGCATGATTGTCAATTGGGTACTCATTCACATATCTGAACCCTTGCTGGTTGTCCAAGGGCTCCATTGCGCAAAGAGCTGGTTGGCCTGTATTACCAGTGCTCTGCCGAGAGACGCGGCTCCGAGCTGCTGGATGTGTAGCTGAGCCACGTAGCTCGGCCGGGCTAGGTCGGTAGACGAGCTTCATCATTTTGCGCAGTTTTCGAGATGTTAGTCTTAAACTACACTCTCACCTATGTGGAGATGAAGCGAGGAAAAGAATGTAGACTGGAAATCCTCCCAGAAAATTTTCCACGCACCCTTGCTGTCGTCAATATTACCGCTTCAAGATTTGGAGCGTACCCTAGTACGGACGAGAAGAGTCAAGTCTGAACGTCATGACCTAGGCAGCACCATGACCAGAGCCACCCAAAGACACACAGAAATTCAACTTATGATCAAGCGAGCGAACTCTGGGATCGCAAAGAACATGCAAATCAAGACGCAACATTCTGAGTTCGGACCACTTTACGGCGTCCACAGGTGGAACACTCTAAACGAAGTAACTCATGAGGGACTCTCACCAAGTGCACGTAACGTAAAGTTACTTATTTTTTTCAAATGGATCGGCTGACTCGGGCGGTCACTGCCATTGTCACTTGGATTGGAACGAATCCGGGTAAGAATGTAGACACCGAAGAGCGGTTTCAACGCGGGTACAGACAAAGCAATGAGAGTAGCCCCAATTTCAGCCATCTCGATCGCAAGTTGTGGATCGTAATACCATGTATTGTCGCTTGACCACTGGCCAAGACAAACGAGGACTATACGAGCGCCGGATATAATGAGGACACTATAGCAAACGTTGAATCAGTCAGTATACTTTTTACTGAGCTTTTGTATCCAGGCTTTTTCACTCACAGCACCCCTGGAAACATGACGCAGCCGAGTTCCAGTTTCCTCCTCATCGGGACATGTAACAGATGGATCAACATGGACGGAATGATGAACATGACGACGTCGCAGGCAAAAGATAGACATGAAATAGTGATATAGACCGCACCCCAGCTGACGCATTTGTATACATGATAATCACTCTGCCATGAGTATGGCCATTTGCCGGTAACGGGAATGCAGTGGAATAGCAGAAGGAAGAATTGCGCTAGGAAGAAGACGGCGAAGACAATTGTGCAGATGCGAATAGACATGTAAAGCTTTGCGTGAGCATCGGATAGTCGACTGTAGAATGCGAGACCGGAAAGGCGACAAGTAAAGAGTGCGATGATGTAAAGGAAATGAATGATTATATCTAACAATTCACCATGATTCATTCGCTCGTCATCCAGGGACACGACATAGGTAACGTACGCGCTGCGTCGACCGTTTCCGTTATTTATCAACAAGACGCATAGTGGAACGAGTGGTATATAGAGAATCTATCATTCAAAGACTTAGTCAGTAGTCCGAATATATTGAAGCGCTCCTCAGGAGATCCCTGGCCATAAAGTGAAAAAGTATAAAGCGAAGGAACCGCTTACAAAAGTAAGACACGCCAGCCAGTCATCTAACCCAAACTTCCTCACAATGAATATCCGTGAATAACATCGAATGAACAAGAAAAGAAAAGCCAAAACGAAGACCACATATATGCCAATCTTGTTTGGCCCGTCGCGCGAGTCTAGCAATGTTGCCAATGTAATTTCAGGAGGTATATTGCCAATGGACCAGGCATAGGCGATATCAGACGGTACATTGGTTGTATTGCCATCCATCGTTATGCAGAGCTGATAGGTACCGATTTCACAGAAGTCACGATCATGATCTTTCTTGTTATCGAGTCCGAGCTTGGCATTGATCGTGCGAATGGTTTATTTTTCCCCTTCGTCGACTTTCGCCTTTTCGTCAATTGATCGCTTTATCGCGACGTTTGTTTTGTAGATCGGTTCAATGTGAGTATAGCACATTGATACCCTGACTGCGCCGGGTCTAACCGCACAACCCAGTGAGTATGTCGTTTAACGAACATATCCGAGAGATGATGAGAATATTTAGACGGACGCCGGGGTCTAGACATGATAAACTCTCGTTCCAGGTGCTAGGTAGAAAGTAGGGCAATCTGCCGAGGACGGTGCGCGAAAATCAGACCAAGCAGCTCGTAATCGTTAGTTGAGTTACAAATCAGAGTTTTTATGCGTTTATAGTCGGCAAAGCCCGCGAAATCGTTGATTGCGACAGTGCACGCATCCTTTTCACCATAGCGGTGACAGGGTTAGTCTGACAGCACGCGCCAGCAGTGTCCAGGACCGAGGGCACAGCAACTCTGTGGGCGCCAAGTGAGCACCAAGTGGACCCCAAAGCCTTGCTCAAATTACTCATACAGTCAACACGAGGCTATTGTCAGGGAGTAAGACGCTAGATGCGTACTAGGGTCCCTCGAAATGCACGCAAAGGATCGAAAATAGGGAAGGTCCGTTGAATTTGGAGTTACTCGGGCCAGAATAATGGCATATCGGCAGCCGGGTATTGAATCCTGAGGTTCCATCTCGCTAATCTAACTAATCTGTTAGGTTAGGACTAAGAACCAATTCCGGGATTTGGTCCAGCTTAGGTTGTGTGGAAGAAGAAGCTCCCAGGGGTCGAGATTATTGCACGTACGTATCTTGAGAGTAGAAATTTCATCATAGGATTGAAGACTATCCCAGCCATGGGGGCTATCCAGTTGCAACCAGGTCCAAGTCGCCCCATGCCTGCGCCAAGAACACTCCTAATCTACTCCGTACGTACCACGGGGGACGCCAACTGACATAACTACGGAGTAGGTGCTTGGATGATCGACATCGTCTGGGCCCTTAGACTATTAAACTTCAGCTTTCCATAGATATACGGAATATGGAGTACTACTCTGTGATAGCTTTTTCTAATATTCAGGTTGCATCGGAATTGAGTCTTCACTCTTAGTACGTAGTATAGTCAATAGAGCTAACCCTATAACTTTCCGTTTGACATTCCCGATAATCCTAAGTTGTCGACGTTCAGTAGGTGCGATAAATATTATCTTCCGGAATTCACTTCCACAGCTGTAACCTCTAAAGATATGCCAGATATTTCTAAGAGTTTGATTTGACATCGAAGGACGGTGTAGATGCTCTTGATCATGTAACCCGAACCCTCAGAGCCATGGACCATATTCCGCTAACTTGCTGCCTGAGGCATATACGCCTGCACTATTTCGATAAATCCACAATCAACATCAATCATGGTACCTGCTGAGACTCAAATGATGTCGCTTATTACATCAACACAAAAATATCCAGACTATGAATCTATGACCCCGCCACCGGTCGAATTAAATGTCATTGCTGTAAGTCCTTTGCTGGGTGTAAATGGATCAATCACTAAGTCACCTAACAGTGCCAGAGATGCAGACGGAAAGAGGTCCAATACGATGTATACCATAGTGTTTGTAATCTACGTTAACTATGTTTTCAGATTCGATGTGACAGGGAAAAGCCTCTCTGTTAGCGATGTCGCCTGCTCCCTACAGACTGTGTATATGACCCTCCTCGCTTTGGCAAACGGTACGGCTCTTTACGCTCTCTGAACCTGATCTCGGCTGAATGATTTGGTGCCATAGTAAGATTGGCGCTATATCTGCTTCCCATGCGGATACATCATCATCATCAGTCGCAAGCTCACATGTTTCTAATATTCTGCGGCGTTTAGATACCTTGGAGAATGCTGTCAGAAACACTGCGACGTCCTCCATCTCGCCTCTGTCAACAAACTCATCCAACCTTCCTCCGAATAGTCTGCAGTATGCATACTCCACTTCTTACGCTGGTACGCTCCTTCTGGTTTATTCATTCACATGTAGAAACTAACTGCCATGTAGAGGCGCAAAATCGTCCTAGAGGTCGGTCTACCTGACTTCTCTAGAAGGCAGTCCCTGAGCAACATTAAACGAGATACAGAGGTTTATTTCGAAGTTTCTTTGCGGTTATCAATCGTAGAGCTCAAATACTCTGAGCTGGAAAATAACATTCCTTCCCGCACACCGGCCGATGACTTCCTTAATGAGCCTGATCTGGCCGAAGTATGGAATTTGTTGTTGGAAATCAACACTGTAACTCTCAGAATGGAATGTTGTGGGCGGCCATATCAACCCTTCTGTATCTGGGCTTCTCATTCACTAACAGTCACAGGAGGTACTGATGATGCAGGTGTCCTCTAAAGTCAATGTATGGCTATACGCTCATTTGGTTTGGCGTGCAACTTCAATGATAACCTCGTTCCTCCGGACTCAGCCACGTAGCGCTACGTGGCCGTCGGAGCAGGCCAGGAAACTTGAATATGAGGCATCTCATAGATCGATATGGGCCATGCAACGTTTGCTTGACTTTGATGAAAGCGGACTGTATTGGAATTTCGGGTAGGACCTACCACCAACTGGACTCTGCTTCATCAAAGAAATAATATCATGCTGACCACAAGTTACTGTAACAGGTATTTTAAGTCCTTTTTCACCCCTTGCGTTGGCGTCCTTTTTGGCAATATTCTCACTTCCGCCTCTGAAGAGATTGCCGCGTCCGATCTACATATCACGTTATGGGCACACAAAGTCATCACTAGATGTGCCGACGGCCGTCCCGAACTGAAATATCTAGAGTTATTTCTTCAAACACTGAATCATGCTGCTCTGCTAGCACTTCATCAGAGGTCTCCCCCTTTCAGAACACAAAAACACCAATCTTGGCCGAGTACGCTACCACGAGCAGGTCCATCAACAGATAAAGGAGACTCGATAGTAGGACAAACAACCAACTCGGGCAACCATCTACCGAGCCATCTTACTACTAGTCCACTTCACAGAGATGAATTGGAGTTATTGAATTGTTGTGGGATTGATGTGACAGGCCTGTATAATGAGCCATACCGGACGGTTCTGATATTGGAGAAATGTATATTAACCGAGCCAGATGCTCATTGTCAGTGGTGGACTTTCGAGTCTTAGAGCTACCTTGAGCCTTTATTTTTCACTTAGTATTCACTTGTTTAAAGGGAAGCCGGTTTGGCAGAGTCCGAGGATCTACAAATTCACCAATAGAACAGTCCAGATATATCTAGATGGGGAAGCCACTTGGCAGAGTCCGAATATCCGGACAATATACCAAGTATACCTAGCTTTCAAGGACGCAGGAGAGTACTCTGAGAGGGCGACGGTGCTCTTGATGATAGTATTACTGTATTTTAGTTGCTCCTGGGAGTTTTCTAATCAACATAACCGAAGACCTATCATCTCCCTCACTCCCCGAGATTGCAGATGTCGAGATGGCCACAAGAATTCTATCGCCTGGTTTGTCAACCTCACGTTCTCTAACAGATGCACAAACGATTGGCTGACACTCTCATAGCTTGTCATGCCTCGACAGCGAGACCCTTCATGCAGATGACCGGGGCGTATTCGATTCCACGAAAAATTGACGAAGCCCGACTTTCCCTGGTAACATCACCGCCTGAACTTCCAGTAAAAGTCCCTAGCCAGGAGAGGAAAGACTCGAGTGCCGCAGGATACGTGCTGTAGGGAAGATAGCCAGCAATCTCCATCCAAGACACTAAGACAAATCGCTAAGCCATCCTTCTATCTGCCAGGACATCCGTCGATCAAATCGTCAACTGGGCTCGACAAAACTCGTTATGGGCCCTGAGCTTTGTTCTCGCCTGCTGCACCATTGAGATGATGCAAGTCTCCATGCCACAATACGACCAGGACCGTCTGGGCATAATTTTCAGCGCCTCCCCTCGCCAGGCCGATGTCATGGTTGTAGCTGGCACAGTAACAAGCAAAATGGCTCCAGCTCTTCGTCAGTGCTACGATCAGATGTCTGAGCCTCGATGGCTCATTACCATGGGAAGTTGCGCGAATGGGGGTGGCTATTACCACTACATTTATAGTGTTGTACGAGGCGTTGATCGGATTATTCCTGTGGATGTGTATATCCCGGGCTGCTCACCTACGCCAGAAGCGTTCCTGTATGGGACTTTCCAATTGCAGAATAAGATTCGGACGACAAAGGTCACGAGAATGTGGTATTGGAGGTAGAGTTCTACACGGTACGGGTTAGGTGTGCTGATACTCCTGTGTATATTAGTATGATTGATTGGGTTCCAAATTTCAAGAGAAAAGTTTGTAACTCTCACATCCTCGCGTTTCAGACAAATCTTACATAAGGAGTCAAGTGTCTGATTGAAAATCTATGACATGAAAGCTGGCTAGAAAAGGAATTTGTTCTGAAAGCAATAAGCATCAATCAAACCTTCACCGTTCCTCGCTCTGTAAATTCAAGTTGCAATTTACCACAAACCACTGTGAATGAATCCCGTTGCCCCTCGTAAAATGCCTCTCGAGTCTGATCTTTTGCCAAAGAAATGTCATATCGAGATAGAAGCTCCGTTGTGATTCGTCTAATTTCCATGTACGCTAGTTGTCTACCAGCGCAAGCAAACGGTCCTATATAGATTAGTCAGTGTCATATAATGAAGTGAATCGGTACATGCGAAGTCAAAAAGAAAGCTTACCAAGACCGAAAGGCGCATAAGCGGATGGATCCTTCACAAGGTCTGGCCTGTCTGTCCAACGCTGGGGAATGAACTCGTTGGGTTGGGCAAATGACCGTTCGTCTGGGTTCTGTCAGTCCTTTCACAATAATGGCCGTGATACTGAGTGAGAGCCATACCTCTGAATATTGAGTAGAGGGGTATCTGAACCAAACAGTTGCCCGGAATATAAACATCATCAATCATGACGCCTTTCTGAGAAGTCAAGCGTTGCATGCCCGAGGGTATAGCTGGGTGCAAACGCATTGTTTCATCAATAGCTGCATTGAGTAATTGCATCTGTGATAGCTCTTGATACGTGCGCTCCTTGACTGAGTCGATTTCAGCTTGAAGCAGACAGGTGAATTCCGGTGCATTGGCGAGCTCGTAAAATAAGTTTGTTAAGGTCGATGCCGTTGAGTCGCTGTCAGATCATCAGTGTCATTCTAAAGTACCAGTCTGGGCGTATAATAGTAACGAGCCTCCCTGCAACAAGGCCTACATTGACTTCCCCGTGGAAGTGCAATTGGTCTTTTTTCGATTGTTTTGTATTACGGAAATCAGCCTCGAGCTGCGTGAAAATATCCGGATTCTCTGGCTCATTCTAAAAGAACTGTAAGTTACTCGGGTAAGTATGTTTAGGGGTGAGTGTTATTAATACCTTCATCCGATTCTCAATTTGCTCCTTGACCCATTCGAAATACACGAGAAGACTACTGTTCAATCCGGGGATCAACTTAAAGATCTCAAGGATCCACATTGAGTGCAGAAACGGTCCCATGGACTGCATATCCTTGTGCAAGGTCTTGAGCATATAAGCGTCCTTGCCCGTTATTAGCATGTCGAAAGATTTGCCAAAGATCAGATCGCCTATGACATCAAAACTGTAGTAATTGAACCAGCGGGACATGTCAATGGGTTTGCCAACGTTGTCTGCGATTACCGACAACAATTGTGCCGCGTATCTCGATACGCGTTGCTCATAATCACGGAGAGCTGTTCATTAGTTTAGCATCTTACAACCTCATATCGAAGCAATGAATTATCCCCTGTGTACATACATTTGGAGCTGAAAGCCCGATCCCACATCTTACGACGTCGCGCATGATCCCTCTTGTCCCTTGTGGAGTGAACCGATATATATGGCTTAGCACCATCGTAGAATGGGCCCTTTGTTGTCTGGGATGCATGTCCGTAAATAATCGGTAGCGCTCGGGGGTTCGCAATTGACAATTCACGCGGTCCTACACGCACGTAGTCACCATATTGTCGATGCAATCTACCGATCTCTTCGAACTTGTGAAGTTTCTTGGCCGACAAGCAATTTGCGTACCACGATGTAATGCCAGCGAGGACAGGGCCAGGGAACTTTCGTAGACGGTGGAATAACATGCGATAGACGATGATGCTGCTGAAGAGGCCGAGAAGGTGGCACGCTAAAACATAGTATGTATTCAGGTTTTGAAATTCAGGGGCCCCCAATTTCAACACATTTAAACCAGCGAATATGACCACGTATGAGCTCAAGAGTGTCGGTGCACTACTATCCCACTCTCCTTGTCTGAAGAGTAGATGGTGTAGAGCAACACCTGTTGCAGCGCTGGAGAGACCAGGGAAGGAAGATATCAATAACGCCATGGTGACAGCTTTCTAGTGTATGAAGGCGGTTATAGTCAGTGGATCTGGAGATCGAGGATGTATTTAAACAAGACAATAGAACAAGGAGTCCTTTGCACCAAAACATGAGCAATCAACCCCATTTCGGAATTACACAAGGAACTCCTGTTCCAGAAATTCGGGCATTCGCCTGGAAGCATAACTCAGATTCTAGTACAGAGGAGCGATTCTTTAGTCATTGACAACGCTAGTAATTTTTCTAGTCTCGGCGGTATTGCTGATACACGCCAAGCAGACTAAAGCCACCCACTATATTCAATATAGCTATTGTACATAGTACGCTTGTACTTCTAGTTTAAAAAAAAGCAAACTGACGCTATGCACACCGCTCCTTTGTTACATTTCAAATGACTTTGAGACGTTCTTCTCCTACTCTTTGGGTTATCAACATACTTGCCTCCCTGCTTCCTTCCCATTTCTACAAATTCCACAATTCTGACAAGTCCCACGAGTCCTCCGTCAAGATGAAAGGCACTTACCATCCTGTCAGCGTTCGAGCCCAAGCTGTTGCTCTTATGGCCCATGGTATTGATATCAATGAGGTGATGGCTGATACTGGCATGTCTCGTACAGCTATTCTCTTCTGGGTTAAAAAGGCAAAGGAGCGTGGATTTAATCCTAACATTAACCGACATGTCCTTTGGAGTATGTTGAGGATGGCAAGCGTACTGGTCATCCTAAGGAGATAACTACAAATACTGAACAATCGGTAATTGAATCAGTGACTAAGGACTGTGCTGGACGTGAGAAATCTGTTGAGTTCTTAGGTTATGAAGCTGGTATTTCCTTCTCTTCTGCGTTGAGAATTCTTAAAAACATGGCCTTAGTTTTGTTAAACGAACCACAAATCCAGGACTTACTGATGAGATGAAAAAGAAGAGATTAGATTTCTATCTTAAGCTACAGGACTGGGGCCTCGAGAAGTTGAAAGATATCATTTCTACTGGAATCGTTCTTGGGCACCGACGCGGATCTCAAAAAGTATGGCGTACGTTTGCAGACGTCAGTAATCCAACTGTCATCCGCAGGCATTGGAAGGGTGTAACGGAGTTCATGGTCTGGGCCTGTTTTACTTATGATAAGGAGGGGCCGATATATATATGGAAAACAGAGACAGCACAGGACAAGAAGCTTGCAGATATAGAGATAGCTAAGCTAAATGAAGAGCTTGAACCGATTAAGAAGACTGAATGGGAGTTGAATACTGGTCTTACGCGTGTCCAGCTGCGCAGCGGTAAAACACCTGGCCGGGTTCCTCAGTGGCGCTGGAATAAGAAGAACAGGAAGCTCGTGCGTGAATCTAAAGGTGGAATCGATTGGTGGCGGTATCAAAAGGTAGAGCTCTTTAAGTACCTTGCTGATTCTATCACTTACTGATGTTCTTTTTACAGGAAGTTCTTATCCCAAAACTTATTCCTTTCGCACAAGAATGTATGAAGGAGAGGCCTGATTCTATTATTCTTAAGGATGGTGCAACTGCCCGCCGCCACCACTTTTAGCAGTTAGTATGCGACAAGTATCATGTTCAAAGGATGCTAGATTGGCCTGGTAATTCGCCAGATTTGAACACAATCGAGCCAACCTGGATCTGGCTAAAACGACGGACGACAGTGAGAGGGGCTCCTCGTGAGAAAAAAACTGCAAGAGAAGCTTGGCTTAAGGCCTGGAATGACCTCCCTCAAAATCAGATCCAGGATTGGATTGAACATCTTATTCGCCATGTACAGGAGGTTATTCGACTGGAGGGAGGGAATGAGTATTGTGAGGGCCGCAATGAGAAGGATAAGCGTCGAAATTGGAAAGGATACCAGTTGAAAGGCAAGCTCTCTCGCCGCCAGGATCTAGGAGATGAAGAATGGGAGGATATCATGTGAAATACCTAGAATATATCATTTCCTCTCCATTCAACAGCTATTTGAGTAGCTTCAGATTTACTACATTGTATGTAATTTGAAAGTATTTCGGTAAGTGGCGTTACCACCAAGACTAGAAAATTACTAGCGTTGTCAATGACTAAAGAATCACTCCTCTAGCAGTCACTAAAATAGATAATAAAGTCTTTCAAAGTTTCCTTTTTCTTTTTCTTATCCTTCCATTGTCGTGGCTTAAATGACTAGGTATCTGCTATTGATGCAGATGATCCGGAAATCGACTATTTCTAGGCCGTTCTTCCTGGCGATAGGACAGATCAATGACGATTTGGATCATGCAAAGCCCAGATCTAGTAATATCTTTGCTTTTTTTTTCTTTTGTTTTTCCTCTCTTATGGAGTGATCGCTCTTGGAGCAAAAAGCTATTTCCTACAGAAGTGGGGTGAACAAAGACTTGAGGCCACCGACTGTGGTTATATTAGGGCTTTATCTGCGGAGCATACAATAACACACAATTGAAGGTCAATTTATTCAACCGTAGAATAGAACAAGACAAGTATTGTATATTAGCCTTTTTACTATTAGAGAAGTACCTAGTTTGGATTCAGAAGTAAACTAATATACTACCACATATTTCTCACTTACTAACGGATGACTGATAAATTGATCAAAACATCTGCGATTGACTAAGGTAATCTGATACCGAAAGTCCCAAGACACTTGAGTGTCCCGTAATCCGCAGTGGATCCCCCGAATTCTTTCTATCTCACCATTTTCCGAGCATTTCTTATCAACCTATTCAATATCTCATTTTGTATGGTGGTGAAAATGTTCGTGATATCCAGATGTTGATTCTTAAGGGGACCGCGCCGAGTGCCCCGGGACTTCCGGTGTCCGATTACATTAATAAGCTTAATCTTGCTGCTACGTGAAATCGGAGGAGTGTGTCAGCTGTATATACGATATGTATGAAGTGCAAAATTGAAGACCCTGTTTTCAGTGCAATAAACAAATTTGTTTCTTTCAGATTGTGCCAAAAATGTTACTCCATAAACTTGTGCCTTAGGCAAAAGATCTTCATTCACGACCATATCACATTCCAGGCCCAGGGGTCCAGTACTCCCTACTTGACTATTTGATGCCTCTGTAGTTCTCAACTACCTGAGCATCCTATGTAATTTCCAGGTACCTCCCCATATGTCGGCTTTGTTACCTCCTGGCTGGTTGCTTTGTTCCAGACTTCCAGTCCAGCAGAATAAATTCGTCTCTCGCTACCCTAATCGCCAGACTTTTCTCGTTCCACTTGATTCGGCTATTGTCTTGGTGGAATCGAACTATTCACGGGAAACGAAGAATGGGCCAGATCTACATCATTTCGGGTAACTTCGAAATAATAGATTCATTATGTGTGTCGATCTGATTCGACTCAAATCTTCGTCGCTTTGTGTAACTCAAGATCTCTTATGGTGAGACTCGCCAGTCGTCTTTGTTGCTTTTGTGACTGATTCAGAGGACCGTAAAATGATACAATGAAATAGTGAGCCGGGTTGCCGCTACAAATTAAGTGTTTCAAGAATTTTGGAATCCTTTCAGGGTCACGACAGCCTTGGTCCTAGAGGGCCCAGTGTTTCCACCAAATGCCTTTTAGTTATTCAAAATAATAGACGCTAACTTAGATACACCACTGAAAATGTACATATTTAGATCTGTGCATAGAAAATGAGACAAGTCTCTCTGTCCCACAGACGGTAGAGCTGCAGGAATCGCCAAAAAAAAGGTAATGTGATGCTGCGAGGCTCATATCATAGATAGCAAGACAACCACATTGTTCATGTGTTATTTACTTCCAACGTAGTAGTAGAAGAATTATCTTATGGACCATTCAGGAACTAAAATTCTTCGAATACGGAAACCGGCCTCTCGAAGCCCTACTGTATCAGTCATGGTAGTGCAATTGTACGGTCGGCTTTATGGGGCAACCAGAGAGGCTCTTGAGACTAGCTGATATATGTATGATCTGATAATCTTTTATGAACCTTTTTGCAGAAGTAGGCCTCGATGTGTACTGTGCCCCACCAAATCAGGACGAGGCAAGTATTGATCAACACCATTGGAAAAGCCCTCCTCCGACGGTTTGTTGGCTATCAAGACTTCTGGGCGTGTAGACAGAGTCATGCTGTTTTATTTGCTTGGCAAAGGCCTGTATAGCGAGGATGCTAGCCTACGACCATCGTAAGGTTATCCCATTCCAGAATTTCCTATTTCGGAACACTGAAGCCCTAACTTACCGCATCGGGATCATCGCAGGCCTTCGGAGGTGGGTGATACGAAAAACTGCTCAATTTCTCTTTCGCTCTTATTTAGATGCTTCTAAGAATGTATTGATAAGAATATTACTTATGTGCATACAAGCCTGTCCCAGCATATGCGAAAACCAGCCTTTTCTTTAGTTGCCGCATATTAGGCGCGCACTTGACTACTCCCATTGGACGACCTACTAACCATATCGCTGAACACGAGGCAGATCGCACTTTTTATCTAATTTAGATTAGGCTCACAAGTGCTTTTGTATTCGATCTTAGCAGATTCAATGTCGTAGAACATCTGGATTAGCCAATTTCAACACGTTGGCCCACTACTCGCACGCAGTCACGTTGATCATACAAGATTGCTAAAAACCATGCGGCACAGCAGCGGCTATGTCTTTCTCCTATTTCAGTTCATAGGTCTCATTATTTGAAAATGATCCCGCCTAGTTGTTAGTTGCAGATCAGGATGGCCGCAGCTTCGTGGAAAAAAGTGCCAGAAGCGCGCAGGTCTGTTTCATCATATGTTGGGTACGAATGTTAACCTTGGAAGCGGCTATAAGGTCGAGCCTCCAGCATACCTAGGTGACCGCAAATATAATAAAATTGGACAGTAACGGAGGTCAATAGCATTGTTCCTCCAGGTACTAAGTCTTTGACATAGTTTGTCTTATCTCAAATCTCTCATTTTCTTTCCCTTTCATTGCAGGGTATACATTACAGTCTTCATTATGAGCCATTCTCTCCATCAAGAGCCACAGCAGGCTTCGAATACTTCTCCAGTCAGTTCAGAGTCACGCAATGGACTCTTTCCGCCCTATTATCCTGAGCCAAGCTCAAGCAGCCCCGGATTAACCACGTCTGATATTGGACAGAGGAGTGAATCTTAAGTTTCCAACAAAAATATCTCACAGATCCTTCTTCGACACCTGGAAAAAGACAATCGCAATGGTTCCAACCCAGCTCGGCGGTTGAAATGGTGGGTGGTCTCACATTTTCTCTTTGATGTGCTACCAAGGGCTGGTCCCTCGAATATATCTCCTGTTTTATCAGTGCAGCTACTTTTGTGAGCATCGTCATCGTGCTTTATCGATATGATCAGCACAAGATTCCTTCATGGCCGCTTGGAATCAATCTCGATACTCTTTTAGCATTCTTAACTGCAGTCAGCCAATCCACTTTCCTCTTTCCGGTGGTGTCTTTCGCAGACGAAGTGGACTTGGTTCATGGCGAAGAATAGACCGCTGGGAGATTTTGAGAAATTTGATAATGCTAGTCGGGGGGCATGGGGTAGCATTATGCTTCTGTTTAGTACGAAGGGAAGGTCAGTTTATGATTCCATTGATCTCAATTTCCTGAGGGCCGTGTACTCATTGGTAACTTTATTGCTGTATAAAGGCCTTTCATTCTATTAGCCGCTACTCTTATAGTGACTTCTACTGTGGCGTCAACTATTACACAGGCGGTGCTTGACCAAGATGTACGATACGTGGCCAACGGAGAAAATCTACCATATCTCGAATGATAACCGACAACAATGCGTTCTACTCTGCTCCCCTGAAGCGTCAATGAGGCTAACTAACCGAACAGTCTCACAGTTACGTACGATAGTAACAGTTACGTACGATAGTAATTTCACATCATCATTCAACCAAATGACAGGTTACATAATGAATGCAATGTATTTGACATAATGCCGTTCAGCTTTGCTCTCGGTACGGCTCTGTATAAAAATGAGGGTGTCAATGCTACCACTGGAAGAACTCGGGATGGGTTGATGCGTGATGCCATTGACAACCTGTTGAGTAATACCGCTAGAGGGATGACCAACTGGTAAGTGGCGTCTCTCTCCCCCTGTAGCTTCTGGTTATTTACTGATAGTTGCATGCCCTACAGGCTCCGTTCATTCTTCGCTTCACCATTCCTGGGACAAAATGAGATTTCCGAAGTATATATCGTCGTTCGATGGCCGTACCTAATCTTCTTAGGGGACACAGGTCATCTTGTCCACTATATTCCTCATTTGGATCGTCCTCGATTCGAAAGTGCGTAAGGTGGATATATTGAAATAGTCTGCCTTAGCCAGCCTTTTCGCCATTTCTGCCGAGGATAAGCCGGGTATTTAGGAACTCGGCCTGGGAAAACCGTAGACCCAAATAGCCTCCATCTGGTAAGTTTGATGCTTTGTGGTTGTGCCTGCTCCGGAGGAGGTTCTGGAAAAACAACCTCTGTCTGTTGTAGAATTGGGTTGCCATTACTGCCTAGAGTATATAAGTAGCTCAACCTCGCCTTTGACTTCCGTGCTGACCGTTGGTGGCAGTTATGAAGCGGAAACGGCATGATTCGTATCCAAATGGTGTCGGTGACGGAGCTGTATGACAATCTTACCTGCAGTAGAGAAGCTCGAATTCCTGACCCACGTGTCCAGTAAAGGTTTCGCGCAGCCTTGAGGAACCTATGTATTGACTAGTTCCTGACGAGATGGCGCGACTGAGATGATATCTTTGGCATACTTGTAAATATTCTCGGAGTCATTGGACATGCTTGCAGAAAACACGGTCTCTGGAACAGACACTCCATTTGCAGGTACTTGGGCCATCATAGTTCTGTCCATTTTTGCTCTCAAGAGGCGTGTACGATGAGGTTGTTAACAAATACATCCAAGGGAGAATATTAAATTGAAAGTAGAAACCCCAGAATAAACTCCAGTCGTTGAATGGGTATGATATAATCATCATGCCTGAGGCATTCACCTGAAGAAGGTTCTTAGACAAAACCGCCAAATTATACTTTTCTCCAGGACCATACTGTAAGCCACAATTGATCCATGGTTAGTTGATACAACAATAACATACATTCATTATAAACACCTATAATCTATTTCTTGAGTTTTTCCGTCAACTCCGGCACTTTCTCAAACAAATCTCCCACTAATCCAACATCGGCCACTTGGAAGATGGGGGCCTCGGGATCCTTGTTGATAGCGGCAATAACCTTGCTATCCTTCATACCGGCCAAATGCTGAATGGCGCCCGAAATACCAGCTGCAAGATATAATTGAGGGGCGACGTTCTTTCCGGTTTGACCAACTTGGAGACTGTTATCGGCATATCCGCTGTCAACAGCGGCACGAGAAGCACCAATTGCAGCGCCGAGAGCATCAGCCAAGGGTATCATCACACGATCGAATTCCTCCTTGGACTTCAAGCCACGACCACCGGAAACGACACGAGACGCAGTAGCCAAATCGGGGCGGTCAGACTTGGCCAGGTCTTCTGAGACCCATTCCGTTATGCTCTCAGCCTTGGGGTCTACGCCATCGACAATTTCTGCGGATCCTCCCTCTGTCTCAACGCCTTGGAAAGCGGTGCCTCGGACGGTGATAACTTTGATAGGATCTTCGGATTGGACTGTAAGGATGGCGTTGCCGGCATAAATGGGCCGGACGAAAGCTATTTGAGGTCAGTTCCACACGAATCGGTGACTTGGTTGTAGCATCAACATACTATCTTCATTCTCAATCGCAGTAATATCGGAGATTTGTTGTACGTCGAGTAGAGCCGCTACACGTGGTAGAAGACCCTTTCCAAATGCTGAATGTCCCGCAATCACATGTGTGTATCCGCCGCTTTTGATGTTATCCACGAGTAAGGGAGCGTAGTTTTCGGGCAAGCCCTGTAACGGTAGAGTATGAGTAAACATAATTTCTAGCATGATTTGCTGTTACACAAATATCAACATACCTTCTCATAGGCAGCATTCTCGACTGCGACAACCTTTTCAAGTCCCTTTATCTTCGCGGCTTCGACAGCCGCTGATGACTTGACACCGTCTCCTGCAACAAACCCAGTAACCGAGCCTCCCAATTTTTGTGCCGCAGCAATGGCAGATAGTGATGCTGATGAGAGCTTTCCATCTCTTTGCTCAAGAACTGCTAGTGTGGATAATAGTCGTGTGAGCGCTGATAACCGGACGTCAAAAATTGGTCGTGATAGATGAGGCTGTGAGCGCGCAGCGCGCAGCACTGAAGGCCTTGCGACGGATATCATTGTAAAAAGCGACAAATTACGAATTGTATATTACCAACAGCACTGACTGGTGCTGTATTTGTCCAGCAACACAACGCAAGATTGGTGGTGTTTAGTGACGATATGAGAAAAGCGGGTAAGAGATCGCAGTAGCATGCGGCCGGACGGCTACTTTCTGGCCAAGACCGATAGAGACCGATGATTCCCGCGCCTCGGCTATTGCAATTTCGCCAGCATAAAAAGGAACAATTTGTATAGAATTAACTAACTAATAGGTTAGTCGAGTACTCTACGACACTGCTATCAAGAATAAAAATCATAATATAATTAAGTGAAAGACTTCTGTAAATACGTGACAACCACGGAACTAGCCCAGAAAGAGAGATTTTGGACGCCATAGAACCCATGCAAACACCAGATCATTACATAGAGTCGAATGATTATTTCTTCTTTGTAGATTTAACGGGAGCCTTCCCCTCTTCAAGAGCCTGTGCTTTTCGCTTTTGTAACTTCTCTTTCAGGGAGATATCATCTTCATCCGTGGCCGCCTTGATCTTTTTGGTCTTCTTGCCTTGTCCTCGTGAAGAATCATCGTCACCGGGATTTCTCCTCTTGTTGCCGCTCTTGTCGTTGTCAAATGCCTTCTTCTCATCTTCCTCCTTCTCTAGGACATCTGTTTCATCCAACCATAACTCATCAGCGAGCCAGATGGGCAAAGCCATGGTGGTAGCTCCCTTGATGTGAATGGCCTTGACGTTTCTCCAGCCTTTTGAAATGAACTTCTCTGTCAATCCATTGACAACTGCTTTCACGTTCTCGGCTAATTGCTCCGGGGTAAACTTAGAGGATCCAACGCGGACCGATGTAGTAGTTGACGGAGCAAGGTAGACCGGTGCGCAGTTCAAAGCCTTCTCAATCTCTTTTGCGACGACCTGTGGCGATGCAAAGCTAGCTTTTCGCTCCTCTTTAGACGGCTTGGCCTTGGGGTCCTTCTTGACCCGCTTGCCATCGGCCTTCTCAATTTGCTCGATACGGATAGGAATTGGTCGCTTGCTGGACTGGTAGAATATCTTTCCTAGTGTCTCGACCAATCGCATGATAATTCTATCATCAGCCAGGAAGACATCATGTTCAGAGAGCAGCTGCCGTCGGCTCTCAAAGCTCTTATAGCGATCCTTCAGTTTCGTAAGGCCGATAACTTTGGTAATGCGGGCTGAGAGGTCGGATGGGAAGGCGGGATCGGCCACGATGTCTTTGACAGAACGTTGTGGATCGGCGGTAATAAGGCATATGTTCAAGGATGAAGACTTATTCAGCGAGTGAGGAATGCTGATTTTGCTAGGTTTCAGACGGTTCTTATCGACCACGTGCTTTTTCGTCGTCATAACCAGCCATACTATTTCGTTGGTGGCTGGTGAGCCCTCGCCGTCCGATTCGTCATCGTCGCCAATCAATGTTTTCTTGGTTGAAGTCTCCTCTTTTTCTTCCTGTTCAGACTTGATGTGACGAAGAAGTGCGCTCGAGGCTCGAAGGACCTGTTGGAATCATTGATTAGCTAGAGGTCTCGCATGGCAGCACGATCCAGAAGCAATTTACCTGTTTGTTATCCAGCTGATATGGAGTTCCAGATGCCACTTTTGTGGTCAAGACTTCTGTGGCAGCAACCATTTTGTCCGAGTCGTGGCTATCGAAAATCGTTCAACCTAGAAGATCTTGATCAAACCTTCTCAAAAAAAAAATTATTGACTTGGCTTGGCATTGAGAGTGGGCTCCTGCGCCGGCATGATACTCGCTGTTGATTGGTGGCGTTTAGCATCCCCACGATAGTTTGACCTTATCAAAGCACTAGCCTATATAGGAATAGCACTAAAGTCACGTGACAATTACATGACCTTTGCCCCAACTTAGGAACCTCAAAAATCAGGCATAAAATCGTACTTAAGTCCTCGGCAATTTCGTCCATGCGACGCTAACGAATCTTAGTCAGTTTCACCATTTTTGCATTCCATTGATTCCAACGTTTGAGGCTTGTGGCTGGCTCAGTTTTAAATGTTTTCCTAATCTTTAAGCTATGGAAGACCGAAGATGGTCGGTTAGCTTCTTATGTTGAGCATGATAGCGCCCGATGGTTCTTCATCTGCCATTTGTGGTGAGATCAGTCAATGCTCGCTGCTTCTTCAAGACACCGAACGCTCTCATGGTCCTACAATAATCAGCCTAGCACAAGTTCAACAGTCGACAGGGGGATTGTCCCGTTGACGAATAATACCTCCTGTTCGGGATAGTGAAGTGTCATTACAAGCTGTCGTGGAATTTTGTCATCTTACACCTCGATTCGTCTCCCAATCTCTAGAAAGGTGGTACGAAGTACCTGAACAGCGTGGCACTTGGAGGAGAACAAGCGTGGTTCGTTCTACCAGCACATCGCGGATCAGATGCTTTTACTCGCTCAGCCGGTGGTCCGGTGTAGGTTCGAATTTCGCGAAGCGCTGCCTGCAAAAGTTCCGCCAACAAATACTTTTGCCAATGTGCGGGAGTTGATTGCTCGTCGCCGCCTGGCGCAAAAGTCTTCGTTGACACGGACACGGACAGAAGACTGTAACTACGGAGAGTATTAGGGCATGATATGATAAGGATGAAATTTAGATCGACTGCGCTATCCAACCACGTCCCAAGGTATTGCGCGTTTAGTATTTACCCAATCATTCGAATTTCTTACCACGTACTGGGCGCAAAAGAAAACGTCGATCGGACGAATCCCACAATAACATACCATATACATCTATAGTCTTTCTCTGTACTTTCCGACTTTGAGGTTATAGTTGCAGGCTGTTTTAACGCGTTATAAAATTCATTCCCGCATCCTGTTAGTGAGACAATGGTGTACTTGAGGCTTTATGCACACAGCGCCACAGGAGGTTGGAGATGTTGGCCGGACATTAACTTTCTCCGTAAGATTACGTACGCTGTACGGGGTAACTCAAGGGCCAATACAGCTAGCGTAGGCATCGTTGCTCGTAGACTGAATGAATTCAACTCGGGTCTCCGCTATCTGGGGAGTGGACGACGTATGCCTGCGAGGCTAGTTCAGTAGATCTCAATTGGATATGCTATGACTTGCACACTGGAGAGACATGTCTATTAGGGGCGGACTGCGGTTTTGAGCGAATAGAGGGAGTCTTCTTCCGGTGTTCTAGTTATAAACTCGGAGTGCTTGTTGAGACTGGAGAGAAAGATGGGAGAGAGGCAAGACAAGTTTGCGGGGTTCTAACTTCTGCGTATGCGTATTACATTGATACGTCTTATTCCATATGAAATAGTACTACCAAGACTTGAGAAGACAATACAGAGAGCGTATGAAAATAACGCAAAGAGATCGGCAAGGAGATTGGCTGATCAAGCCTGAAGCGTGATCCACCCGTGTCTTATGTGAGTTATTATTGGCCCAGAACAATCAGGGTTCACTTTATCAAGTGGGGATGTTGTCAGGAACAGGAAAAGCCCAAACAAGTGTTTCCATGGCTCTCTCCTATTAGGGCTACCTACGTATTATCCTTTTGCAAAAATACCGTGCCAATGCGCATACCTTCTCAATCTAGCTAGCTCTTTGTCTACTTGGCAGTCTTGGTAAGCAATGGTTGGCCTGCGAATTATTAGAGTAATATAAGAACCAGCCAGTGAGGAGCGCGAGATACAGTCCGGAATTACAAAATTACACAACTGGCTGCGCAGAAGGACTAAACAGCGTACAGCGTTAGTATTGTACACTCTAGTCCTGAATTGGCTAAGTGTTGCTTGTATGCACCCCCTGGCTCCCGGCTGCAAGCCCGCTGCGGTCCACACTGCCCCCCTGGCAAAGGTCCTCTGTTTATCTAACAGCCTGCCCCTTCCTTCTGCCTCTTCCTCCACCCCTTCTATCACGCTCCTTCAATTTCCTGTGTTACCAACACTCGAGTTTCCCTCTGACCCAGAGAGTCCTTGCGCTCTCAATTACATTCGTTAGGAAACTTTCTGTTTGCACAAGCGATTTTACTCCTCGCACTCGCTTCGCCTCCTCTCGGTGAGATCCTGGGATTTCCTCAGACAAACGAATATCAAAATCGTCGAGACGTCCATTATTACGCTCGTTAAGTGGTGCTTGCATATACAAGGCTTCTGTACGTACGCGCCTTCCAGTTTGTCGTGTTTGGTCTGCTATTCTCCATACGGTCGTCTGGTTGCTAGGGCATCAGTTGGGACGAAGACAGAAAATCGGATTAGCTGCATCGCCCTGGGGTTGACCTGCTTTCAGATGCTGCGGGAACATGAATAAGGACCCAAATCAAAAGTGGACCAGCTGCTAATGGTTATTGCATGATCTAGTTATTGCGCCCGGTTTCCTTTGCCGAATTCACGAAGGTACGCGTTGAACTATCCACGATCACAGTCGTCATGAAGCTCTCTGCGACCATTGCCATCGCGGCTGCGGGCACGCTAGCCGCAGCCCAAGGTCACCGCCACGCCCACCATCATGCCCACAAGCGTGATACAGTAGCGACCTCCACTGTCGACGAAGTCGTAACTGTCTACCAGCTTGACGGAACTCCAGTCCCCGTTGCCGATGTTTGTCAGGGTATCAAGAACGGCGAGTACAAGTGGGCTGACGGCAATGCCCCTTCTGGTGCCTGCGCTACATCTACCAGCACCAGTCCTACCGTAAAGGCTGCCGAATTCATCCAAACCTCGACTTCTGTGTCCACTTCCACGTCGAGCTCGTCGATCGTGACAACCTCTGCAGTCCCGACTACTTCGGCGACTCCTACCACCAGCTCAACCTCTACCACCCCAACCACCACCCCAGCCACCAGCACTACCCCTTCTGCTACCCCAGCTCCCACCAGCGGCTCCGGCGGTGCCACTGGCGTTGATGCCCCTTTCCCCGACGGTGAGCTTGACTGTGACACATTCCCCTCTCAGTATGGCGCGGTCCCTCTAGACTATCACAACATTGGAGGCTGGAGTGGTATTCAGTACCCTACGTTTAACTCTCTCGCGACTCTCGTTGAGAATATTGTGACGGCTGTCCAGGGCCAATCTTGCACAGAGGGTGCCTTCTGCTCTTACCAATGCCCCGAGGGTTATTTGAAGTCTCAATGGCCCTCTACCCAGGGTGCTACCGGTCAGTCAGTCGGTGGTATCAGGTGCTCTAACGGAAAGTTGGTGCGAACCAACACCAACTATGATACCCTCTGTATTCCCGGCGTTCCTGCCTTGTCTGTCAAGAATACCCTTAGTGAAATGGTTTGCCTCTGCCGTACCGACTACCCTGGTAAGTTTCAATTGCATACCCCCGAATTTGTCCTTTGAACAGCAGTGACGCTAATTCGGATACAAAGGCACTGAGAGTGAAACTCTGCCTAGCTGCGTCAACCCAGGTCAAACAATCCAGCTTGCTAACCCCGACGGAAATTCCTACTACGAGTGGGAAGGCAAGAGCACCTCCGCTCAGTACTACATCAACCCTGCTGGCTTTGACGAGACTCAAGCTTGCATCTGGGGATCGCCTGATCCTAATCCAATTGGTAACTTTGCACCAATGAACTTGGGTCTCGGCTACAAGAACGGCGTGACTTTCGCCTCAATTTTCCCCAACAAACCCACCACTTCCGAAATCCTCCAGTACAACGTCAGATATGACGGTGTTAGCACAGAGTGCGCTTGGGATTCCAATGCTAAGGCCTACAAAGGCGGTGCCTCAGCGGATGGTGGCTGTACCGTTAGCATTCCCGAGGGCAGCAGCGCTACACTTGTCTTGTACTAGACGAATCGAATCCTCCTTAACAACTTGACTTTGCAAAACATACTTTGTCTATTTGTAGATTATTTCGTTGCCCTTCTTTGTCTGCTCTGATGCAATTGTTGAGAAGACTCGTGTCTGGATTTCTGGCTATATTCGCCATTTGTCAGTGTTGGCAACTATGTCTCATCGTCTAGTTGTGATTTTTCATTTCTTGAATTTACTTTTCCCTTCTCTTGGGGGTTTGACTATGTCACGACAGGCCGTCGTTTTATTTGTTTCCACTTCCAGCACCTATTCTACATGATTCGGCTCGCTTTGCTGCGCATTGAAACAACCCGTTTGTTGTCGCAGTCATGGAAGCTTCTCATCAGAAGCCAAGAACGGCATAATTTGTGTTGATTTATACCCTTTATTATTTGTTTTTGAAGGCTTTGTCTTTTTCAAGTATAGTTTGTCGCAATAAAATCTTCTTTGCTATTTTTAAAACATAGGCATATACTACCTTAGTATAGGCAGTCCTTACTGCTCGTCATATATTTGCTTCATGATCAGTCTATGTCTACTAAATCCTACGTACTCAGGCATTCAATGACATTTCCTGCCTTGGCAGCAACCTTGGAATTGTACTATGCTTCGTAAATTCTGTAGTTGTGCCGAGAATTCCAACCCACTCGCCGCTATTTTCCTGTAAATTTCATAACTTTCTGATATCTTGTTTCATGTGTGAAAGAGTCCACCTGGCTAGGCATTTCTATGGGGTGCCTAAGGAAACCTCTATGATAACCTACCCAAAGTTGCTATGAATGCTTGATTGTACTAGCAATTTTTTAAGTAGAATATGTTGACATAGAAAGCCTCGTGTTCTATTTTTGTGAAAATATTCTTGTAAGACCTCTATGGAAGATCTTTGATCATAGTTTGTTACATTTGCATGTACTAACAGCAGGGTCCCAAGCATAATAGCTTTGGAATCCTCCCAGAGATACATCCGGTTCTAATACCTAGGTATTCCAATATGTCATCTTCCTCTCCTCCATGTGCTGCTCCGGTTTTGGATTCATCAGAAGATCCTCTGAAGGTTTACATATTGCTGTAATAAGCACACATTTTAAGTTTGTTGGTCAACCAGTTGACTTGTTACATGCGTTGAGTCAATCTGAAAGGTGACATCGGGGAAATATATATTCGTCCTGAGTTAGGGCTAATTCTAGCGACCAACATCAAAAATGCAGATTTCACGGGAACTGCCCTTAATCGAGTCGAATCGCTCCTATAACATATAGGCCTAGTTCTATTTGAATACCTCCACCATCTATCGAGACGATTGCACCTATTAATACACATACCAGGGTGTAGATGGCTTTTCCCTTTCGCTTCATCACATGAGAATGATTCCTAAACAGGTTAGTACAACAAAGTCGATGCGGGAGCACGTGACTGTTCAACATCGACGCGTCTCTGCTGATGTATCTCCCTTGCAGTTTGATACTGCTTTCTCTCTACTCCGCAGCAATGAAATCAATTCCCAGTCAATAATCGGCATGGATGCATTTCTCGCCTCAAAATTCTCAATGATTAACCCATCCTAGCTCGTCATAGCGCGAGGACTGCACAGTGGGGATTTGGTTGGCGCCTGTTCAACGCGTCTCGGAGCGGGCAAAGCGTGTGCACACATCCGCGGTCTGAACGAGACGAGACGCACTACCACGACATTCCTTTCTGCAGAACTCCTACCAATCCTCCCACATTTTCTTCCCAAGGTTGTACTTAACTGTGTTGGACTTACCAATTCCTCTCCAATACCAACCTCCTTGGATCCTTCTTTCTTTTAGTTATTATATTCCCTCTCACGTTAGTTCTCTCCCTGGTCGCCTTGTGTTGTCGACGCTCGCTCATGTGGAATCTTACAAGCTCAAGGTGCTCTTGACGCCCGAATCGACCTTTGCAAAAATCGACTGTAATAGTTATCAATTCCTATCACAACCGCTTACTAGGAAACCTCCCTCTCCATAGAAAAATGGAGTCGTCTCCTCCCAGGGCCACGATGAACGGCGGCGGCCCTGCAGCAGGCGTGAAGCGTCCTGCTTCATTGCTGCCCGCATTCGAGCCTCTGAGCTCGTCACCGGCTCTCCCTCGACCTCAGAAGAGAATGGCACGTGATGCAGGAGACTATCCCACCCCAATGCCAACTTCTTCGACTCATATCATGTCCTCGTCGCCCCCTCATATGTCCATGGCTCAACCTAAGCTCCAGCGCAGCGTCTTCCCCTCGAGTACCACCGAACGCGCCCCTCTGTCCACGGTCCCTACTCTGATGCTTCCTGAGTCGGGGGAATCTTTGCTTATGGGAAGATCTAGCGCGTCATGCCACCATCAACTCTCTGCCAATCGACTAATATCGCGTGTTCACGTAAAGGCAACCTACAAAGCCGCCGGTAATCCGTTCGACCGTGACCGCGTCGAGATTGTTTGCACAGGGTGGAACGGCATCAAGTTGCACTGCCAGGGAAAAACATATGATTTGGCAAAGGGAAAAACGTTTACGTCTGATATCAAAGATGCCGACATCATGATTGACGTGCACGATGCGCGGGTTTTGGTTCAATGGCCTCGAATGGAACGTAAAGACTCGTCTTCAACCGAACCCGGGCTTGCTTGGGACGCAAATTCTCTCCAGCAGAACAAATCGCGTCATGATGTCCAACAAAGTCCCATTAAAGAACCTCCTCGTCTCGTGTCACCGACGTCCCCTTCGCCCCTAGCCAGAAACCGTATACCTCTATCATCCCCTTTGCTCAGTCCAAGTCGTTTGCATAGCACTATCTCCATCTATGAAGATGAACCATTATCTCCGACACCTGCTAACGGCAGAGAAGCAAAGACTCTTACCGCGTCTCATATGAGCACATTTGATGACAGCTTAAATGACTCTCATAACAGTGCTCTCAACCAGTTGTCAGAGACATTCGAGGATTACTCTGACCATGACGAAGAAAATGACCCTATTGTTCATTCATTTGGACCCTTTGGTGAGAATCTCTTGCCGCGTATGGCTCAATTCCGTGCAGGTGGTTCTCCAACAAGGGTTGCTCGTCCCCGTACTCAGCCGGAGCCTCTTCGTTCAGTACATTCCCTCCAACAGCCAGCTGCAGTGAAAAGAGAGGAGGCACAGGAGAAGAGAAAGGAGAAGGAAGAGGAAGCAGAACAGAAGCCAAAGATCGATGAGCGGAGAGCAGCGGCTATTGCCGCCATTCAAAACCATGCCGCTAACCAGCTCGCTTTTTCCCGCCTATCTTCGACTCCTTTGTCCACAATCCTCCAAAACTTGCCAGCCTCTCTATGGAAAGCGGAAGCTAATGCAGCAGAGTCCTTCACGCACCACGAAGTCAGAGTCATCCTTGAAGATACTAAATGCATTGGCGAGGTTATACGCGAAGGAAAAGATGCTGCTGGAAAGCCTCTGGAAAGCGAGTTTTACTATATACCAGACTTTGACGAGGACGAAATGCGTCGACAGGCTGTTGTCAACGATTTGCGCAAACCTGGCTTGCGGAACTGCAGAAAACAGCACAAGGTTAGTTTCCCTCTTGAATCAAGACTCTGACTCAATACTAACTGAAGATACAGCAATACTACTGGCGGAAACCCAAATGATTGCAACCAACACAAACGAAGTCTCGAAACGCTTCCATTCTTGTCACATATTTCCAAAACTCTTTTATTCTTGTTAGATGTACGTTTACCGCATAGCGCTGCGAGGGCTCCCACCCTATTCCTGCATCTCTTTCGACGATTTAAGGCGCTTTTTACCGTACGAGGATTCTCGTGTTTGTACGCCTAGTTTATGTATTAATGTCTTTTATTTGTTGTCTTTTATATCCCCGGTTATTGCCAGAGCTGACGTCATCATGTGATGCGCGTGTCTGTTGCTATGTCTTGTTGTCTGTGATTGCCTGAGACGATTATCTCGATGAAAAGAAGAAAAAGAAAGAAGATGAAAACTTTTATGAATAGAGGGACCGGGAGTTGTTTGTCTAGGCGAGGTGCTACAAGCACAATTTAGCTAAGTACGGAGTAGGTTGTTGATAGAAATGCCATCAAGTATGTAATCCAAAAGTTCCCATATTTCGTATACTATGTAGTAGTGGTACTTATTTGGCCTATATCAATCAGTTTTATATGAAATTGTTCTGGTTGATGAAGGCGCGGCCGCCCACCGGGAATTGTTAGTGGCCAGCCCACTTTCCCCAATCTACGCCAATCCCCAAAGTTGCCCGCACCGAACAATCTCTATACTTGATCTTTCTGCTCCTTTCTCACGAGAAAGCGACTGAATAATCGATAAAGTTCCTGGCAATTAGAAACAAAAATTCCCGCATTCCAATGTGGCGTGAAGCTCGGTTCTGGCAACCTCGTTCCGTCTGGAGTTGATCACCAACACCGTCATTTTGAAATTCGTCCGATTGAGCGGTTAAAACTCCGCAGGGATAGCACTCCATGCATCGCTAACTGTACTAAGATATGGATCAAGAAAGGAAGCGTATGTTACTCGCTGTTTTATTACTGCTCGAAGTTAGCGGGAGCACTTTCTGACCTGTGCTTTTAATCTAGGGGACCTCCGCGATCTGAACGAACGAGCGTGGGCTGGAGAAAGTGGTTTGTTTTTAGACACGATTTTACGATTGGTTCAGTTTTAACTCGGGTTGAATTTAGATATTCTTGAAGTCAGCAAGTCGTTGGATTCGTCACTCAAGAAGAACACTGCCTTCATCAAACGTCTCCGCACTGGTATCACCGCTTCTGCGCTCGCCACTTTCCTCGCCGATATCCGCACGCTATCGCTACACAAGTATCTGTCGGAAATTATCTCAGCATGTTATGAAGGTCTCTGCAAGTTGAAGTCTCCCGGAGAGATCGCCGCTGGAGTCGAGATCGTGAGCGCGTTGCATCAGAGGTTTGGCCCTCATGAATTCACAAAGCAGATCGGATGGCTGCTGGGCCGAGGACTGAGTTCGCCAGAAAAATCGCAGCTGAAAGCGCTTAGCCAGGATGTTCGTGAGAGAGAGGAGAAGGAGCGGTTGTCGAGACATCGTGTGCTGCTCAAAGTGGTGACGGAATTATGGCTTGTAGGGGTTTTGAGGACGTTGGATGATATCGAGCGTCCGGATGATCTTGGTGCAAAGAATAAGGATGCGAGTTCCAGTGCAGGTGGAAAGAGCGTGGACGGACCGTCTAGAGTCCGCTCTGCTGCGAAAGGCGATCCGGAGAAGGAGTCTGATCCCTATCCTTTGGAAGTTCTGAAGGATCTTTTGGGACACGATAGGGACCATGCGAATTTGCCTCTTGCTGTTCTTTTCGTCAAGTCTTTTAGTTGGGATGTTCTGGGAGTCAAGGCCGCTGAAGAAGGCCGCAAGAATGTTGATGCAGAGGGCACTACTACCGCTGTCCCGAACGGTGGCAATTTTCCTGGAGAGATCAACGGAGACGGTACGACAGAGGCACCACTAGCGTCGGAAAAATTACAGATGCGCTTCAAGAATATCCTGACTCGCTATTTGGAAGATGTCAAAGCACACGTTGTTCGCGACCAAAAAGCACTTTCTGCACAAAGCCGTCGCAATGCCGAAGCATACGTTAAGAGTGGAGAGATATTCGAAGACCGACAAGCGAATTTCGAAAAGCAAACCAAAGCGCATGAGAGGCTGGTAGCAAATACACAGGCTATGTGTGAGATTCTAGGTGTGGAAATGCCTAGCCTGGTTGATAAGGAGGCAGCCGACGCTTCGATAAGCGGAGGTATTGGCCTCGTCAAGACTGCTGAATATCTCCGTGGGCAAGGTGACGGTACAGGTATCTGGGAAGATGAGGATGAGCGACGTTTCTATGAGAATTTGGCGGACCTCAAAGGAAAAGTGCCTGCCGTGCTATTGGAGGATGGCAAGAAAAAGAAGGGTGACACTGATGAGCAGGCTAAGGGACAGGAGACTACTGAAAAGACAGATACAGATGTATCTGGGCCAGATGCGAAACCTGCAACTGAAGCAGATAATGAGTCTGTTGCAGTTGTCAACAAAACCGTCGGAGCCCAGGTAGATGCGCTTCTTGTCAAGCTTCCGGATCTGCAAACGAAGGATCAAGTCGATCAACTTGCCCTCGATTTTTGCTTTTTGAACTCTAAAGCTTCTCGAAACCGTCTTATTAAGGCTTTGCAGGATATTCCCAAAGGCCGCACGGATCTATTGCCACTCTATTCTCGCTTAGTGGCTACCCTTGGACAGCACATGCCGGACGTCCCTCAAGGATTGATTACCTATCTGGACGAGGAGTTCAGAAGCTTGCAGCGTCGAAAACAGAAGGAGTTCCTCGGACACGTCAGAATGATCAATATCCGATATCTGGCTGAGCTGACTAAGTTCGGGGTCGTGCCTGAGCATGTTATATTTCACTGTCTCAAGGTATGCATGGATGACTTTTCCCGTACAAACATTGAGATTATGGGCAACCTGCTCGAGAATTGCGGACGATATCTCTTACGGAACCCGGAAACATCGCCTAGAATGTCATCGTTCTTGGAAACTGTTGGTCGAAAGAAAGCTGCTACGCATTTAGGTCAGCAAGAGCGAATGCTCATAGAAAATGCTATGTATTACGTTGATCCTCCCGAGCGGCCTGCTATCCAACAAAAGGAACGGACACCAATGGAGCTTTATATTCGGAAGTTGTTGTATCTGGATATGAACAAGCGCAACTATACCAAGATCTTGAAATCTCTTAGGAAGCTTCACTGGGAGGAGTCAGAGGTGGATATCCCAAATGAAGATGACCTCGAAACATACTGACGTCTTATAGGTTGTTGATATACTTGAACGAGTTTTCAGCAGACCGCATAAAGTGAAATACGGCAACATCCACTTGCTGGCAATTCTCGCTAGCGCTCTATACCGGTATCATCAGGAGTTCGTAATCGGTGTGGTAGATAATGTTTTGGAGTCAATCACACTCGGCCTGGAATTGAATGATTTCAAGTTCAACCAAAAGCGCGTTGCAGAAGTCAAGTATCTTGGAGAGCTTTACAACTACAAGATGATTGACTCTCCTGTGATTTTCGATGCATTGTACCGCATTGTTGCATTTGGGCATGGTATGTTAATCGTGACCGCCACCTTTTAAGGATACTGACGGAGGTGACTAGAAAATGGGACACCTTCACCTAGCAAGATTAACATTCTTGACATGCCTGATGACTTCTTTCGTGTCCGTCTTGTTTGCACAATACTCGACACTTGTGGCGTCTGTTTTGACCGAGGTTCTGCCAAGAAGAAGCTTGACTTTTTCCTTACATTCTTTCAGGTGAGATAGGATATCTTTGCGGTAACGACATGGCTGACAAAGTGTAGTACTACATTTTCACGAAAGACCCTTTGCCGATGGATGTCGATTTCCTTGTTCAGGATACTTACTCTCTTGTTCGCCCTCAGTGGAAAATTGCGAGTGACATTGAAGAGGCTGGACGCCTGTTCAGCGAGGCAATTGCTCAGAATTACAAGATCCAAGACGGTGACAAAGGTGCTGAAGTGGAGGATGATGACGTTGAAAGTATATCTTCCGATGCCAATGGTGAAGAAGGTCTCGACGATGATGTGGTTCCGGAGATTGAAGATGGACAGTCTTCGGGCGAAGAGGCCGAACCATTCAGCCAAAACGTTGATCTAGATGGTGAAGGTGTAGATACGGATTCAGAGGACGAAAAAATCTTTGTTGCACGTCAGGAAGAAGAGAGAGACCCTGAAGCAGAGGCCGAGTTTGATCGAGCATTCGAAAAAATGATGGCTGAGAGTATGGAAGGCCGCAGATTCGAGAGGAAAGCACTCTTTGACATACCACTTCCCATGCGGCCATCTCGCCGAGAACCGACTGCAAGTGACGAAACAGCGACAGAGACGGCGCAACAGCCATCTAACACCATGGCCTTTTCACTCATGACAAAGAAGGGTAATCGGCAACAGGTAGGCAGAGAGATAACGTTAAAGTTATGTAGACGCGTGCTGACTCTGTTTAGACACGCACAATTGAGTTGCCCTCCGATTCCAGCTTTGCAATCGCCATGAAAACGCAACAACAGGCAGATCGAGAAGAGCAACAACGTATCAAGAATCTCGTTTTGAGCTATGACCCAGGAGACACAGAACAGCCCGAAGGTGAAAATGACCTTTCCATTATTACCCAGAACCCTATCATTACCCGTGAAAAAAGAAAACCGAGGACCCAATACAGGAGTACAAATGCTAAGACGTCTGCAAAACTTTTAGAGAAACGACCGTCGCGTGATAACAGAATGGACAAGTCGAATCGGCCGGGATTCCGTTCGCGAAAGTTGCAATTGAGTGATGTTGACTGGTACGTTCACCCTCATTTCTGTATGACTGATAATTGACAAATGTAGGACTTGAACGTGCATGTCATAGCCAGACCATTTATTAAATCCATCTAGCCTTGGTCGCTAAGGATGCTCAAGTCCATACCAAATGTCAAGGATCCTACGCTGGTATTCGTGAGAGGTAATGAGCACATTTATTGGTGTCTTAAGGCCTCTGGTATTGAACATGACGGTACCAATATCCCGTTCTTGTATATGGTACAAGGCCCTATCCTTGCATGCAGTCATTAGAGCATGGTGGGATACGCCTCTGGGTTGAAAAGATGTTTCGAACAGATGCGAACGAGGGCATGCGAAGTCAGAGCATGAGAAAGAAATGGAACAGACTGATGAACTTTGGAAGAAAATGGACGGAAAATATGTCAGGTCAATCACGCTCTAGCCTATGTAACCACTATGTTACGTAGAAGCTACACATAATTTCCGTTCCCTAAGAAACTTTGAAGCAAAGATTTTTCTCTAGTTAGTAATATACACTTCATCCATTTCTATTCCTCACCTCTAGTAGAGTATAGTATAGTATAACAAAAGCGCTGATCTGATGCATTAATGGCCCCTGGAAACAAAAGAAACGGTTTTAAAAAATGATCAGAAAAATACATATCCAATCCTCGAAAAAGATAGAGAGAGGAGAGATTAATGCAAAACGGATTTCTTTTTCTTTGTGTGAAGTAGTACATGGGGATAAGAAAATAAAGTCATAGTACATTGCTTTCTGAGGCTCCTTTCATTTCATGATTGATGAGAGGGAAGACTAGAAATTATTTTTCAGTCTTGGTCTCACCATCACTCTCATGACATTCTCGGGGAACGAGTTCCTCTTCCTTTTGACTAGCAGCGTGAGCAGCCTCAGTCGATTTGCGGACTTCTGTTGTTTCGGCGTGTTTCTCGGCTTCGTTTAGGGTTGATACTGCTGGGTCTGCGAGGCCGACATCCCTTTGGGTTTGTGGTTGCTGTTGTTCTTTCTGAGCTTTAATGGCTTGTTCTTCGCGGTCCCGTTGGGCGATTTGTTCGGCTAATTGTTCGTCGACTTCGTCTTCTTGGAGTTCAGAGCCATAGACTTCGGGATGTAGGCGGAAGCAGTCTTGCATTCCCCTATTAAACTTGTTAGTAATTTTAGGCATAACGTAAAGGAAGAGAGAATGGACGAACTTGAATTTTTCAATACAATCCATTCCCTTGGGTTCTTCCTGCGAGTAGACGAAGCAACTAAACGCCTCACGGAACTCTTGACCACATGGCCCGTAGGCCATACCACCAAGACATGGACAATCCCAGTTGATTTCTCCAGTTTCCGGGTTGAAGGCTCCTTCATTATGCGCTTGGTTCTCTAAGCCTTCTAGTCCCCCTTCTTCTTGCTGCTGCTGGACTTGTACATCGGTCGAGTTCGGTGTTGGCTCAGTATGCGATTTAAGACCAACTTTCTCGCCAAGCGTGCTCAGAGTAGGCGCATCTTCAGAGTCGAGGGGTTGGGGACGTAGGGACAGAGTAGGTTCTTCCGCAAAGACGATAGAAGTATTATAAAAGTAGATGACGCCTCCGGCTAGACCTAGTCGGACCAATCGGTTTCTCCAGCTGCGGCGTTTTTGTGATGGTGGATTAGGGACGAAGGCGTTTCCTCCTTCAGTGCTTGCGAAGCGTCGTTGAGCTACGATGCGGTTTGTGATGGAGTTGGTGGTAGTTGTGCTTGGTTTGGTGCTACTCCGTAAGAGCAGAGTTGCACGTCTGGTGGCTGATTGCCGGAACATCGTGGCAACTAAAATTGTAGTCTAATCGACCAATTGATCGAGTGATGATCGTTCTACAACGGGAAATAAAATTGAAGCAGAAAAACTGAGAAAAGAAAGAAAGGGAACCAAGATGACGCTGATTAATTCAAGTGCGGATAGAATTTGGCCCGAGAGTTTTTGCGACTATGATGCTGGGCTCCCGATCGGGGTTAGTCGCGAGGTTTTGTTCGGATAAACTCGTCTCGCCGTTGTACGTACTACTTTTGGGCGTACTATTTGAAGGCTTGTAATAATTCTTCTACTTCCATTCTCGTTTAAACCGGCATACATAGATAAAGGGTTACATATACTATGTTCAAATACATAGGAAACAGGTGGAGGATGCTCGAGATCGAAGACCTGACCAACACACGGAATATATCCGAGGCTATCAAGAGGTTATAGTGTACACAATTGCCTGTACGTACAACAGACAGTTTCCAATCGATCTGGTATCAATTGACGTTTTAAGAACTCACAACACTCGATCTTTATGATATCGTTGGAGGTGACAAGCCTGACCGTTATGACTCTAGGTTCCCTGGTGCTAGGCTCCAGAAGCTAACCGTCTTAACGCCCAGAGCTGGCCGTTGCTTGTGTAACCGGTTTTGTCTTTGACTGAAGTACTCCGAAGTGCTAGGCCATGAAGCTTGTTAGGATACCTGTACTCCGTAGTGCAGTAGGAGGATCACCCGTAGGATCTTGTAGAGTTCGCGACGCCGTCTGTTTAAACAGCGCTGTTAATATCAAGAGGTAAGCTCATCATTAGTCAGTCAAATATGCATCCATCCGCAGTGTCATGTAAGATTCCGAATGTGCATGAGGTTGTGTGGCTTGCCAGAGTCGCAGATATTGCATTGCCTTTGTGTCAGTCAATCACTTCATATCCACGGCGCATCATTCGATTTCATTGATAAGGTCGGAAGAGTCCAATGACGGATGTGGATTCAGCATGGAATAACCAGAAAGGTTGGAGGCATTGGCGCATACTGACAGGGCTGCGGCTACACATAGATCGGAGGTTGGGGTAACAGTGTTGTTTGAGTAACGATGTTGACGATGATGTTGACAGAGGATGGATGGACGTTAGTTAAGTCACGTTAGCGGGGACGTGCAGATTAGATAATCCAGCTTAATTCCCAGACCACGTGACTTTGAGACAGTAACACACCTGATTGGCCAACGACAACAGCACTAATCCACAAGCGGCAAAGACCATCGGCAAGCCCCTTTCTCCAGCCAATTTGTGAGTTTGTTAGTGGCCAGCCGAACTAAACAACAGTGTTAGTCTCCTGAGTTGTGTCTCTCCTTCTCTCTCCTCTTCCCCCCTGTGCCCTTTTTTAATTCTATTCTCTTCTATCTAATTGTCTCTTGGGACGATCGAGTGTTGTTTATCTCAGCACTCTTTTGGTCTTGATATATTGTTTGGTCACCGTCGTCTCTTTGCTTCTGGTACCTGACCTTCGTTTGGCTGACTCCTGACTGGGAACCTTCGTCCACGGTACGTTTATTCGAGCTCCGTCCCCATTCTGCCCCCGCAACAGCAATTATTTGAGGCATTGCGAGAAATCGAATGAAAATAGAGAATATTATTCCATCCGGTCGCGCCTTGCCGTCGGGGAGTTTAGCTAACATTGATGGAAACGGAGCAGGAACGACCCAGCACTTTCCTCCACGTTACCCTTTCGCACCTTCCCGACGTTCGTTCACGAGACTTCCAGAGTCTCTTCTTCTTAAACAATGGGTAAGCAGGAGATTTATTTTTCCCTCCATCACATCTCTGTCGCTGTTCATCCGATTGTCATCGATCCCGTATTTTCCTTCAGCAGCGGTGGATGCTATCAGATTATCCTCTCGGTCCTTGGGTACAAAACAAGCTTTAGCCGTGTGATTGGTTGTCAACCATGTCCAGTGCCAGATATCGCGTTGCGGGTGTCAAGTACCGGTCCAGCTTGGATGGAAGAAGTATCCGCCCGTCGAAATCTGGCAATCTCAATGACCACGACCTCCATCACAGCCCAACAACTACAAGCTCTACATCCCAGACCTCAGCGCCTTCAATGTTGCAATCAATGTCTTCGTTTTCTTTGGAGAGTGATATGGAGAGGATGGATTTCACTAACTGGGATCTAGCAGCTGCAGCCGTTAATGGTTCCGCCACGGCGCCCGGAGAGAAGCCCACTTCGCCCATTCCCAGCGCCTCGAGCAAGGCCGCTTCACCGTATGTCGAACGAAGCAACCCCATGGGCGGTGCTAGCACCGCTCAAACCGTGAGCTCCAAGGATCCCAAGGCTGTCGCCCAAGCTGCCACAGACATGCGCAATGTCGTTCGCCGCAAATTGACCGGATATGTCGGCTTTGCCAACTTGCCAAACCAATGGCACCGCAAGAGTGTCCGCAAGGGTTTCAACTTCAATGTCATGGTTGTTGGTAAGCATCCTGAACCAATGTAATCACATGGGAAGCCAAACACTGACCGCGCGCACAGGTGAATCTGGCCTGGGAAAGTCGACATTGATTAACACTCTTTTCAACACGTCCCTCTACCCTCCCAAGGAACGCAAGGGTCCTAGCCACGACATTATCCCCAAGACCGTGTCTATCCAGGGAATCAGCGCCGATATTGAAGAGAACGGCGTCCGTCTTCGTTTGACTGTTGTGGACACACCCGGGTTCGGTGACTTTGTTAACAACGACGACTCGTGGAGGCCTATTGTCGAAAACATCGAGCAGCGATTTGACGCCTACCTGGAAGCCGAGAACAAGGTCAACCGCATGAACATTGTTGACAACCGCGTCCATGCTTGTGTTTACTTCATCCAGCCCACCGGCCACTCCTTGAAGCCCCTTGACATTGAGGTCATGCGCCGCCTTCATACCAAGGTCAACTTGATTCCTGTTATCGCCAAGGCCGATACCCTTACCGATGAGGAGATTGCACTTTTCAAGCAGAGAGTAAGCATTTTTGGCCCTTGTTTGTAACTTCATTTTTTGTTGTTCCTATGGGCTAATACCATCATAGATTCTTGCAGATATTCAATACCATTCCATCCAAATATTCGAAGGCCCCCGCTACGAGCTCGATGACGAAGAGACCATTGCCGAGAACCAGGAGATCATGTCCAAGGTTCCATTCGCTGTTGTCGGTGCTAACGCTGAGGTCACCACACCTGATGGACGCAAAGTTCGCGGCCGTCGTTACCCATGGGGCGTCATTGAAGTTGACAACGAAGAGCACTGTGACTTTGTCAAGCTGCGCCAAATGCTTATCCGCACACACATGGAGGAACTCAAGGAGCACACAAACAACGTTTTGTACGAGAACTACCGCTCCGACAAGCTCACTCAGATGGGTGTTGCTCAAGACCCAAGTGTCTTCAAGGAGGTGAACCCTGCCGTCAAGCAAGAGGAGGAACGCGCCCTCCACGAACAGAAACTTGCCAAGATGGAAGCCGAAATGAAGATGGTCTTTGAACAGAAGGTTCGCGAGAAGGAAAGCAAGCTGAAACAGAGCGAAGATGAACTATATGCTCGCCATCGGGAGATGAAAGATCAACTGGAACGACAGAGGCAAGATCTTGAAGAGAAGAAAGCTCGACTTGAAAGTGGGCGACCTCTTGAAAAGGAAAGCAAGCGGAAAGGTTTCTCCCTCCGCTAGAATCTCCCAAGCTAGGAAGAGCGGGTAACAGCTGCAACTGTTCCTGCAATGCGATGACCTAATTAACGGCGTGGGTTATTTTTACGGAGAGAGCTGGCTATGCTATGTTCGATTGTCGATTAACTCAACTGCTCACTCGTTGTATTCTTTTTCCTTTTATCTGCTTTCCACCCCTTACGCTCATTGACATTTCCCTATTTCGCCTACAGCTTCCGCTAATGACTACTTGATATCGGGCCGACCGAAGAAAAGGATGCCTTCTTTATTTCTACTTGTTTTCAACAAAGGAAGATCATTAATAATGGCATGCCATGAGAGGGAGCTTTCTTGTGGGAACTGGTTTCTTTCGCCTGCTGAAAGCTCATTGAGATGGCATGCTGTGTCTAATCACTTTCTTTCTGATTCTCTTCTTGTCATGTAATTCTTGGCCTGCTATACCTCTCTTCTGCTGTTTATTGTTTCGTTCTAGTGCTCAATAAAATGTGATTCGATTAGTATACGATGAGTGGTTTGCTGCGCCTATTCCATACCAAATAAGCGCTCTGCATATTCCAATATATGTAGATCTAGTTCTCCAATCTGATAAACGTAAGTAAAGCATTGACACCGTTCATCTGCCGGAAGAGGACGTCATGACGGAGAGCGGGCCACAGTGAGAACTGAGCTGGCCGTGGCCAATCAGCAGCTTATCTCCGTGACCTAACGTAACCAGCCTCCCACATTCATTACACAATTGTCTCCAATTCCAACTACTACTACACTCAACTTCAACAACCATCGTTTCGCATAGACCAACAGCAAAGACTGTCGGATTCTCTACCTGTATTATTCTTTAGACAAACTCATTTGTACAATTCCTTCTTGCTTCTCATCTCGTCCTCACGGGCCTGTTCACTAGTATGGCTCCTCCACCTCCGGCCACCTTGCCTTTGAGCGAGAGGATCAAGGCTTTGGCCCAGACTTTGCAGTATGTTTTACCTTCCAAGTGCACTGGTTTTGTTTTAATGTTTGAGAACCAGCGACTAACTGTTTCATCTTGGATAGATTCGGTTGGTTTGTAGGGTACGTTGTTCACCGCATATTATCCAATTCATTCATCACGGACCTCGGCGAACGCATGGTCCCACAAACACCATTCTTCACAGGCGCTCTCGAGAAGGAAAAGCAACTGCGTGACGCTGAGCTGACTTCTTTAGACACTTGACTCTTCTTCTATCCGTCTTCCGATATGGATTGTCCTACGTCTTTTTCAACTATTACTCGCGCTGGGCCAAGATTTCCTATCGACTCGCATTCATTTCCGCCGCCGCTACATATGGAATTGTCGTTTATAAGCAGTACATTGCTCGTGGAAAGTTGTCTGGTTCGCCATTGCAGATCGCTGTTAAGCTGTTGAGTGACGAGAATGTTCAATACCTCGGTATGGCCGACTCCTATATGCTAAGTGATCAATTATTAATTGAGCATAGGAATGGCCCTTGTGTGGCTCTACTCTCGTCAAATTCCCCTTGCCCTTTTGCCCTTCAGTGTCTACTCTGTCTTCCACGTGGCCACTTACACCCGTACATACTTGCTGCCTACGCTCCAGCCAAGCCCACAGGGAGCTACCGGACCGGCTTCTCCTGGCGGCTCCCGCCCAGCTGCCAAGCAGTCACCACTAGCAGAGAGCATTAGCAAGTTTGTTAAACAATACTATGACTCTAGCATGTATCTCGTTGCCTCGCTCGAGCTTGGTCTCCTTTTCCGTCTGGTCCTCTCCGCCTTGACTTTCTCCAAGGGTAGCTGGGTACTGTTGGTGATCTACTTGGCCTTCTTCCGCGCTCGTTACTCTCAGAGCTCCTTTGTCCAAAGCGCCGTGTCCCGATTCACTGCTCGCGTTGATACTTTGGTGTCGCATCAGAATACGCCTCCTCAAGTTCGTCAGGGTTGGGAGGCTTTCAAGGGGGTGACTTTCCAGATCTATGAGGCTTCTGATGTGAAGCGTTACCTCGGTGGTGGACCTGCTGCTGCTGGCAAGAAGCCTCAGTAAATGCTTAGACTTGAGTTCTGAGGTTGGCCATTGCACCGGCAATTTTCCACCAAGCGAATGCGTTGTATAGTGTTTGTGCAAGTCGCATCTCGTGACTGCTGGTAACGCCTTAACGATATACATACCACGGCTGAATGATATTTTCGAGCTGTACTTTTTCTCGACATGAGCACTACGGCGAGAACGGATTTATGTGAAGGGGTGGAGGGAATGATGACCAAAAGCAGAATGAAGAATCTGCTACAGCAGCCGATCCTGTCTATTCTTAGGACTACGATGCGAAAAGGAACAGTTTGTAAGTGAAGAGTTTCTTATAGCATGGTTCCGGTTGCGTACTATTAGGTAGGCATCAAAGGGATGACTTCTTGTCTTGTCCCTTGACTTGTCTTTCTTGTTTCGACGTTTCTTATTGTTTTGTTCCTTTTCTGAGTGATATTCATACTGCGGGTTGTGTCGATATTTTACTTTTTGTATTCAGTCTGTTGTACAAAGCGAATGCTGCAACGAGTGTACGTACGTATGGACAGACAGTCTCATATTTATATATTATACATTCGAGATAAATTCTTTACACATGTGCTTTTTTTGTAAGAGCTTTAAGGAAAAGGTTTGGCCCTGGATCGTAGAGATCGGCCTGTCGGGTGGGCGGGTCCGCGCCGAGAGAAATAATTCGCCTTGCCAGACTCCGAAAAAAGTTCCTCAATCAACGAAGCATCGAACATCGCGTGCTTGTCATCGCATCGCCTGTTTCAGCATAAGAGCAAACCACGATGATTCGATATTGAGCATTTTTCTTCTCCTTTTGTTGTTCTATTCGCCATTCTTTTACTAGCTCCTATTTCTACCAGACCCGTTGATTTCCGCGAGCGTATCTTGAGGACTTCTCTATAGATTACAGAGCGACTCCGCAGTGGGATAGAGAACAGCAATAGCCATTGCAGACGAAAGAGGATTGTCATGAGCCTCGATTCGGCTTCCAAGGGCCCCGATATCTACGCACCCACGGCGACGTCGTCATCTTCCTCATCTCTGTTCTCATCATCATTACCTCCGTTCAGCGGCGACAATCGCCACGATGCAGCACAATTGAGTAATGCAGAAGATACTGGGTTGAAACACACATTGAGTCAGTTCCTAAGCAGAAGAAGTACACCAGAACCGCGCACAATGGACATGGCCGCGGAGTCAGCGGTCGTCCCTGGGGATGATTATGAGTATGAGACTCGGCCGCCATATATTCATGTATGTTCTTTTTTTCTTTTCTAGGTGAAGACGTGTTGGATACCGTCCAACAACACTATTGTTAAAAAGGCTGATTTATTTTCCCGCTGGGTTGAAGTCCATGCTTGCAGGTGGCATAGGCGGTTCATCCGGTGATATGCTCATGCACTCGCTCGACACAGTCAAAACCCGCCAACAGGGCGATCCACACATGCCACCGAGATACGGTTCAACGTCAGCATCGTATCTGAAAATCTTTCGCGAGGAAGGGTTTCGAAGAGGTCTTTACAGCGGTGTGAGTCCGGCATTGATGGGATCATTTCCTGGGACTGTGATATTCTTTGGGACGTATGAGTGGTCTAAAAGACATATGATTGATGCGGGGATTAATCCGACGATATCCTACCTTTCTGCCGGTATGCTCTTTCTCTCCTTGGGAGTTGTCGTGGGGTTATGTACTAACATTGGGAAGGTTTCATTGCTGATTTAGCTGCTTCAGTGGTCTATGTACCATCTGAAGTGTTGAAAACACGTTTACAACTTCAGGGACGTTATAATAACCCCTACTTCAAATCCGGATACAATTATCGAGGAACAGTAGATGCATTCCGAACAATCGTTCGAACCGAGGGATTCGGCGCCATGTTCTCAGGTTATAAAGCCACCATCTTCCGCGATCTACCATTTTCTGCGCTGCAGTTTGCATTTTATGAGCAGGAGCAGGAATGGGCGAAGAATTGGGTGGGATCTCGGGATATCGGATTGACTCTAGAGATTCTTACAGCGACGACGGCGGGTGGTATGGCGGGTGTTTTGACATGCCCGTTGGATGTGGTTAAGACTCGGATTCAGACGCAACAGAATCCTGATGCGTCGCCACAGAAATCTTCGCAAGCATCTGTATCATCGAAAAAGGATAGTCGACCCCATGGGCCTAGCCAACATACATCATCATCTTCGTCATCGCCGTCATCATCCTCCAGCAAAACACATTCACGACCTATATCGACCTCTTCCCCATCCACATCTACACCTCAACCCGGGGCGCCCATATTACGCACATCATCCGTATTCACCGGGCTCAGACTCATTTATAAAACCGAAGGATTCGCCGGCTGGTTCCGTGGCGTTGGGCCACGCGCTGTTTGGACTAGTGTTCAGAGTGGCACAATGCTGGTTATGTATCAGTATTTGTTGAAGAAGTTGGAATCGTTACAGGAGTCTGAAACGGCACCGATTATATAATGTCATCTCCGTCAGCACTGCCATATCGCAGGCTTATAGACATACATCATACACATCGAATCATAAACATACTCGGTGCTCGGCAGGGCATGGTATGAGGCATGTTTGGCGTTTAGTTATGGTCGGGTATGAGAATAGAGAATTATTGTAGATTATTGTATTATATCCTATGTTAATAGATCTCCTACATACATTAATCATGTATTACTAACGTATACTCCATGCTTTGTATAGTTTATAAGTGTATGATGGCTGATCACCATGATCTGCAAACTGCTTGTGCAGACCTAACCCTAAAAATGTAAGCAAAAAGCGGTGGCTGGGAACTCGCGGGCCAAACCAAGAACACGCTAAGCCAACGCATGTAAACAAGCCTTTCCCCACGACTGCCCGCTCTGACATACAACTTAACCCAAACAACACCCCTGGAAGCTTGCTCTTTATATACATTCTATCGGTATCCTCCGTACAGACTCCTCGCGTTTCTATATATTGCTGTCGCATGGTCAACGCGATCTAGTATCCGTGTACTTGTTTACTATTTTCAATCAACAACATGTCATCCACGGGTCCTTACCTGCGCGCTCTGCGCAAAACAGAGCTGGCTGAGCTTGCCGAAATTTCTGATTTAAAGGAGTATGTATGACTACAAACTGTCAATGAGCATAGCTAATGATCTGGCAGTTACGCCGATCTCAAAAAAGCCGAACTTGAAACCGCGCTCGACAACCATCTCCGCGCCAACAGTTCCATCTTCTCCGGCGAGAAACGTTTAGCTGATTACTACAAACGTCTTTCGCAGCCGCCGCGCTTGTCGTCGCCCGTCAAGAAAGAGCCCAAGTCCGAGTCGTCGGGTATTTCTGTCGGAGAGGAGAAGAGGTCGTCGCGTAGCAGACGCAAAGCTTCTACTGAAGCGTACGTTTTTTGCATTCGGTCTAACGCGTCAATACTAACATAAGAGACAGTGACGAAAGCGAGTCTGAGAAAACACCCTCCTCAACTGCAGTTGCCACGCGCACTCCAGCGCCGGCGCGTTCACCACTGTCTTTCGCGTCATTGCCGCCGTCCCCTGCCGTCGTCACCGATGCCATTGATCGTCAGACTACGATTGTACGCGAAAAGGTGTCTGACGCGTGGACTAAGTCCGGTATCTCTGAGCGCTCAGATGCATTGCGCGCCACTCTCAGCAGCGTCAAGTCCATTGAGACTATTTTCGCCCTAGCAGAATTGTACGGATTGTTGCGTGAATTGATTCCCTTGCGCTATTTGACTACCGTCCCTGCTGTGGAGACTATCTCAATTCCCGAAATCTCGGTTAAGATTCCCGACCTCTTCGTGTTGATTACCGGTACCTTCTGGGCACCGTTCTTGCTCTGGGGGCTGACTAGTTTGGCTCTGCCCTTGACCTTTGCGTATTTCTTCAATTTGAGTTTCCATGCGCAATCATCAACCCACTCGCACAACACGCGTCGTGCTTCTTCCGCAGCCCAACAGGCGCCTAGTTTTGATCCATTGGTGTACAATATCGTCAAAGCCTTGATTTCGTACTTTGTGTATGCAAATCATTTCACTTTCTGGAGCACATTCAGCCATTTCTCTATTGAGAAGGTGAATGTTGCCATTCCGGGACAGTGGCCTGGTGTTTTGACGGGTTCAGGGATTGGCATTCTTATCAGCTTGTATGACGCTGTGTTGAAGAAGTAAATGCGAGCAAGTTGATAACTGAGGCTGACGAATCTTGGATTTTGAATTGAAGATTCCTTGTTCCCTTTTGTTCTTGCGATTCGCAATCTTCTCGCAGATGATGAATGTCGAATGAAAAGAGAAGAAAATACCATGCATATAAATAATGACTGTGGAGTTTGACAGGGTGCTTTGGTATGGTATGGTATATGGTTGGGGGATTTTCTATTCTTCTCTATCGGCTTGATTCATAATCATGTTCATGGTTACAGTTTGAGTTTTGGATCCCTGTCCCAAATGGCGTTTGCGAAGCTTGTACTTTTGAGTTTTTCGACTTTTGTACTTGTTTGTATTGCTTATTGTTTACACTGTGTCTTTCTTCCTGTTGGTGTGTATGGTTCAATCAGATATCCCTTCGCTTTCTGTTCGTGCACATTGATTTACACCCCTTTTCTGATAGTGAGGTTGGGTTGGCTGTTGTTTATGTTTGGTGATTAGTTTATGGTTATGGGCTATTGACTTGCAATGCAATTGAATTCTATAAGTTTTGTATCACTGATAATAGGATATTTATCATTCTTCACCAGATGCACCCCAGCCAATTTCTCTATTTAAGACGAAATAACCCTCTTAAACCTCTCTCCCAGCTCAATCGTAAACAATACCGCTCTATTTGCGTCAACATCAACGTCAATTCCGAGCTTATCGCTCCGAACATGGTTACTCGTCGACAACTGCCCGCCTATCTCTGTCCGCCAGTCTGTGACATCCCATTCGAACCCGCGCAAGGAGATGACCGTTGATCCAGAGAGAGGAATTATACCCACGTTCTCAGAAAAAACTTCTTTCCCTTTCGTCTCCTCGGATTCCGGAAGGTTTGGGCAATGGGTGAATGGTGTATGGATTATATTCTTGCCCGGAGAAAGTATAAAGGAGAGACTTTCTTCAGAAAGAAGGTACAAATCTCCTTGTCCCAACTGTTTGCTCTTCTTCTTCTCTTCATAATCGACATATAGATGATGGACTTGAGAAAAGCCCTGGTCGACTCTCCCACCTAAGCCCCCTAGTACCAGTATATCTAACTGATGCGTCTTTTCTCCTTTTGGCGTCGTCGTCGGTGCCGAAGATGAAACATGGGTCATATATAAATCATGATTGTCGCCCATGCCCACCGTCGGGTTTTCCTGTGACACAATCGCGTGCGCATGCGCGCGAAGGAAACGGATGCATTTCGTGAAATCGGTAGAGTATTGATCTGGGTCATGTAATATGGGCACTTTGTGTGTTTCGTAGTGCGTTCGGACGTGAGGATGAATTGAGTCGAGGTCGCCTAGAATGCAGGATGGTAGCTGTTGTACCTCGAAAATTCAGGATTAGTTACACTGCATATCCGTATCCTGAGGAAGGGTAGGGGTCATACGTCGATGTTTTCAATGGAGCGGGATTTCATTAGATCGTAGTATCGGTTTGCGCCGCCGTCGGCGAGAAGCGTGTAGCATGCTGTTTGTTGTATATGTCAGTATATGAGATACTAATTCATTTCAAAGAAGGATTCTATTGTTTTGGTGGAATTGAAGGTATGGATTGAATCTTATCAAGCGCACGTGAGGCGCAAAGTCGGCGCGGGGTATAATCCATTTTTCTCGATATGCGACTGCAAGGATTGGACCATTTTCAACCCGGCCTTGAATAGTATTGAAGTAATGACAGAAAAAGAACGCACCATGTCTTCGCACAGCATCCAATGCTTTTTCATTGATCGGCTGGTTCAGTATCAAGATCGCAACGGGGTTTTTCGGGATGGTGTCCGTTCGGAAGAAGGATGCGGGATGCCATTCCATTATAGCTATTATTTGACTCCTTATTTGGGTGGTGTATGTACTGAGGGAGTATCAACTTGGAGATATTTGTTATTAGAATTGCTAAAGAAACTCGAGAGATGTGGTTGAGGCAACAGTGGCACGTCATAGATTGAAGACCCACAACTTTATCTTATTGACAGTTCGTGTACATATTACAAAGCATTATAAGAGCAAAAACAGAATATGACAAAGTAATATGTAATCATCCCTTGATACGACTCCAAAACCAATGATAGAAACTGCGCCATTCCACTGCATCATCCTCAACATACTCCCCCACTATCTCCGCCAACTCATTCGTATCCTCGTACGGTGACCACTCGGGCTCAGGCGGCCCATTCGAGGACATATCAATTGACGCATTTGGACTTGTCACTGCAGAGACACCATCTTTCACCGTCTCGGCTACCTCCTTTGCTCCTTCGCGTGCGACTTCGGCGTATTCCTCAGCTTGGAGACGTGCGCGAACAATGAGTTCTTCGGGGCTGGGGTATTTCTTCATTAAGATCAAGAGTGTGTAGTATGTATGTACGATGCTGGAATGTACAATCTCCTTTGTCAGCATTGTGATGCCGTGGGACAGGAATCCCTTGATGACTTCGCCGAATAATCCGTCATATAGTGCGTTGATGCCTTCTTGTGCTGCAATAGTTTGAAGAGTTGTGAATAAACTGAAGGCGAAAGCTTTGGGTGATTTTTGGTTCTGGCTCGAAGATGAATCTGCTTGTACTTGAGTCTTTGCCAGAGAGACGGGGTATGTAATAGCCGAAGCAATAGCCTTACTGATCGCAGCCAGTAAAAATGTCACCGTAGCAGAAGGGGTTTGTCGCTTCTGTCGAGGAAGTAGCAGATATTTCAGTAATTCGTTCAGGAAGAAAGTGATAGATGGATTGAGCGTCAAGACCAGGCTCTCGGAATATCCAGACCAGAACCCAATCAATCCCTTCTCGGCTTTGATCTGTGCGGTGACTTGCTTCGTTGATAGAGGCTTAGCCTGATTTTCAAGTGCTGCAGTTTGCTTTCTTGTCACTATATTTGCAAGAGGTGTAGTCCATAGTTTGGAAAATGCTCCTGCAAGGACACCGATAACCAATTCATCCAGAATCGGCAACACTGCCCGTTTCTTCCCGTTGTTGGTGACTTTGGAATTGAGTCTTCGCTGTCGCAGGATGGTATACGCAAGGAAGAACAAGAACGAATCCGCAATCGTCTTCCATGTGTCGTCGCCTACACCAGTGAAAAACCCTCGTATTCCCCCTTCGTTTGAATATATCTTCTGTGCTGCATCTTGAATACTGGAATACCCTGTTTGTCTATCCGCTTTGTCGCTACTTCTTGGCTGCTTCTTTCGTGCTGCAAGTCTTTGTATTTGCAATCTTGTCACGATCAACTTCAATGGATATGTTGCGACATTCGACACTGCTGATCCCGCGGCACCGGCCACAGCGTGTCCCAACGCAGGAAGCGCCGGGCCTCGCAACGCGGCGGCTTTCCAGTCAACATTGGGCTTGGGACGTTCGGGGTATTCATAATTGTGGTAGAGTTCGAAGGCATCCTGCAATTCATTAGTTTTTCTGATAACGGATAGTGAGCGATACGTACAAGCCGTGTTTCGTAAAAAGTTCTGTCGTCGTCGGGCATGGTTGATATATTGATGAAGATAAAACGATTAAATGTTATGGACTGTAAAATTGATATGCTGCTGCACTAGCTAGCATCAAGATTTATAACTGACATGCTCTGCAGTCATACGATAGTAGAGAGATCACGAAGCAAAAGCCGAGGTCGAAGCTGGAGAGCTGATCTGGGGAAGGCACCGACGTCATCAACGGCTGTCACATGTCTCCGCCTACTCTTGGACAACATCATCAAAAGGATGAAAATATCTCGATTAGATCTCTTCTAAATACACAAATGGCTTCACTCGCTAAAATATCTGTTTAGATCGCTTTGTGAACCAAAAAATCAGCATCTGCTCGTTTCTCCATCGAATTAGATATCGCCGCAATGATCCAGTCGATATCACTACCGTGCTCGTCCATGAGAGTCCTGCATCCCTGACAAAGAACCAGACCGCATCCTTGGGCTTCTGGTGATGACGATTCTATATCATTAGCAAACATGTCAATAACCTGGATGGTCGCGCATCGAAACACTGCTGGATTGATGCAGAACGAGCGCCATGCATTGATTTGCTCTTGTCGACCTCGAAGATTTTTGCGTTTACTAAGGCTATTGAATGCTGCCTGATCACCAACCATTCGTGAGCTAAAATTTGATATGGCAGTGAATCCGTGATTGCCGCAGCTCATGATGTGTAGTCGGCTAAGTGCACATACATTGCACATCCGTGTTGCCTCATGACCGTCATCGCGATGTCCACTGGCAATCTCTCCGAAGCAAGTGCCATAATCGATGACCTCGACGTCCTTGACCCCGAGACTGAACATACCGAATGAAAAAAATTCATGCAGAAATCGCAGGGAAAGCTGCAATTGTTGCCGAGTTCGCAGTCAATCGGATGAGCAAAGGCTGTGAGAACTGTTCGCACGACTCCTTTCGAGGAGTTTCGCATTGATACATCTTGGGTGATCTCTCTCGTATCTTCTCCATTTGCGGACGAGCTTCATCGACCATGTCATCATCGTCGTCGCTATACTCATAGTCCTCGAAAACGGCAGCGTGCTTCAGCTGTCACAGCAACGACTTGCCCTGTATCGACGAAAACAAGAACTTGGCTATGCGCGATTATCCCTCTGTCAGCTGCTGAGCTTGTCTAGGTTTCCTTCTTATAGAACACCTGCTGGGGTGAAAATCAGCATCATCTTGTCACCTGGTACTTCCACATCGATTGCGTTTGAGTGAGAGGACCGAGCTCGAAGGTTATACGTGGCTGTAAACTCGCCTCAGTTTAGAGAACTGTGTTTCGTTCCTGGCAGTTCTCTAGCTGAGGATTTTTTGTTTATCTCACTCGATTGTACCCTGCGATGATCACGGCTTGAAATCGCTTTACATACTTATAATTTGCCATTTCATATCAATCATTGAACTTTTCATTCCTCGCTATGTGCTTAAGAGTCAGCTTACCTGGAACTCTCGATTGATGTTATGGCACGTGAGTATCTCAGATCGCGCCAAACTGAACTGGAACAATTATGGCATGAAACTCATCTACAACTGCAACTAACATCTTCTTCTTTCTCAGTGAACGAGCTCATCCGTTGGCGAAAGCTTCGTTCACTCTGTCCTCAGCAAATACTATTTGGCAAAGTCATGTTAGGAGTTACTAGGGCTTGAGAATCACTCAGCATTCACATTCGATTCGAAACCTCGCCCAGCCAAGATTCAATTTCTAGGGCAAATTTCTCAGATGGTGTTTTCAAAAGTCTTTCCTGATCACTCACAAATTATTCTCCAGTTCACCTCACTTATTTGCGTCCAAATCTGGCAAAAGGGGGGCGGATCATCTCACTGACCTCTCGTTCGTCTCGCTTCCTTCACTTCTCATTTACAACACGTCGCAATGTCCTCGAGCAAGCCCTTACTATTCGGGTTTCCGGCTCATACTTTAGGCTTGTTTGACGACTACATTGATGAAGAGGACGAAACACTTCATATAGACCCCGTGCTAATCGATCTCACTGAGGATACCTACAACAATGGCGAAAGTGCTGTTAAAAGTGTCGACAACGACGCTGGCGACCGCAAATATGATGACGACAAAGTAGGAGTCTTTGCGCGTAAATTCAAGCGTCCAAGATACAAGCGTATAGCTCAAAATACGGGTTCCGTATCACCGAGAGTCCTGACCTTGACCCAACAAAATCGTCGCCTTCCGAAGCATTTACGAACTGGACATCATCGAACGCAAGAGGATATTATAATGGAAAGAGAATCGTATACAGACTTGGACACCACACCAACGTCGCCAGGATGGAGATCCTCTTCATATGCGAGTGTTCATTCAACGCCGTCATCTATCTCATCCACAACGGCAATCCCGACTGGTGGAGGAGGATTCATCTACACAAACTCATTCATGAAAAGCACGCAACGCAAAGGAATGGAACACTTGGGAAAACTCGAAGAGGGCAAGGCAGACCTCGAAGTTTACATCACCAAATGCCCTACAGATGTGAAACTACTCGTGAAGCTACGCGCAAAACTACTCCACCTCGATCACTTCAGCGTCGACTACAAGGAAATGAAAAAAAGAAAAAACAACTCTGAATCCGTCTCGAGGTTGGCATAGTAACCGGCATTCAGGAGATGCCGGAGCGAAGAAAGGTGAGGAACGAGGCTATCAAGTACGAGAGACAGGCCAAGGCGCAGATGGGATTAAAATCTTTGACGTCGAGGAGTAATAAGAAGCGTGGGTATGATCGGGAGAAGGGGTCATTGTCGCCATTGATTTGTGGTTGGAGCGACACTGCGCCTTCTTCGAGACAGTCCTCTTTCTCGCCTTCACATCATCCTACTACGGGAGGGAAGACTATTAGTCTAGAGTATTATAATCGGCTCAAACGATCGAGGGTCGCGGAGGAGGACGGCGACACGGATGATGAAGACGGACAGGATGGAGATGAGGATATCGGATCGAATTCGGAGGAAGCAGAACAAAAGACATACGGCGGCAAGACCATCAAACAGGGTGATGCGTCTCAAGTCAGTCAGTATGACGTTAAGAATGTCCTTTGGGTGGTGAAGGAAAAAACATCACTGGCGGAAACGAAGAGCAGTGATGAAAGTGATGATACGGAGAGCAGCAGTAACACTGATTCTGAGGTTGAAAATGGAGACGAAAAAGGGAATAGACATGGAAGTGCTGAGGCTCGAATTGGCATTGAGGATAACAGTGGCAACGCTATGAAAGGTGCGAAGGAGATGAAAAAGAATCTTAGTCGTAGAAAAAAAGGGATGGTGAAAGCGAAGACAATCCAGAGAGTATTAGTGATACTGATTCTGAGGTTGAAAATGACAATGAGGACGTGGTTAGCAGTGGCAATGCTCCTACGGAGGATGGGAATGAAGATGGAAATGGCGATGAACATCACGATGAGAAACCGGATGGCAGTGGCAATGCTGAGACTGGCAAAGACGGAGGAAAAGAAAACTAGCAGTGTCTCTTGCTTATCCGAAGGGTAACATACTTCATGTATTATCACTTGATAGCATCTGTTTTACATCAATGAACATCTTGATCCATGTGTAATCAGTCCGAATATCATCGTCTCCACATGCCCCTCCAAACACATACAGTCACACAAACATATCCCCAGAATGTAGGTAAGCTCGCACAATGGAACAATCTACTCATACCATAAGTTGCACACACTCATCCCACAAAGCCATTACTCGTATTCGTGGCAAATCGCCGCATTTGCCATTGCCGTATGGAGTGGTTGCCTTCCTAATAGGGCAGCTCTAAGCCTTAGGTACACATGATACCTATATACAAACCTGCAGATCAATCTTGGAAGCTTGCTTCAGTGTAGGTACAATATACCATCGGAATATATACAAGTTTTGCTACACTACTATCCTTGGAACGAGAGGATATCATGCAACTTATAACTACCTGGAAAGGTATGCTTGATGATCAGGATTCTGATTCACGCTTGCTGAGGTAGATCGGACCTCGGGACTCATTTATGAGACTGTCCTGATAATCTTTATCAAAACAGGTTTGTATATTGGAACAAGAATTCACCTTTTAAAACACGTATATCGGCGCCGAAAACTTTAAATCATTCGAGTTTGCCATCATGCCATTGTACATACATGTATCTGCAATCGATCGAAATGAAAATTCGGGTTTTGATACACTGAGTCAGTGGAGCACCACTTATCAGTGTCACCCATGATTCCGAAATCTGCCGGTTTTCTTGAAGGCGGTTCTGAAATAGGTACATACATTTGGTCCGTTCGGACGAGAGTACAGGAAGATGGTGGGACAAGTCCCTGACAAAACTGTCGAGACATACAGAAAAGAAGAAGGACTATCTCCTCGGTATAACCGATTCCCATGAATCAATTCCTATCTGTTGAACAAAGTTAGGCGGTTGCATCCATCCATCTGACACAAAAGTCGGTCTGGATTGGAATGTGTTGATACGGTGATAGCTGGTTAGAAAAGTTTATTATTGATATATTCGATGTATACCTGGCTATGTATATCGAAGTTTAATGGATATAGGTCCTCTCGCTTAGCCATGGATGGTGTGTATTAGATGTTGAGTTGTCACTAACAGCCACCTTGTGTCGGTACAATTGATACGCTCGGCACGGAATGGTGTCTGAGCATAGGGGCAAAGCTCGTTCTTAGATATGTATGTATGTATGGGCGGTGTCTGTGCTTCACTGTCGACATCTTTAAATCAAATAGTAGAGGGACGGAGTAGACCAGGTACACCCGGACCCTGAATGTCAGTGCGGCGTTGAAGACCTTTTTATAGCAATTTGGATGGGATGCCATCCAGATAGAAACAGCTATGTAACGGTGGTAAGACATGAAGCTGAAGCTGAATCGAATATATCCACCCCATCACGAATCTGACCGACTGGCATGCGCATGCAGCGTATCAACGACAGGGATAGTACAGGACTTGCAACGTACTCGCATGTGGGATTAGAGTATATGATAGCTCGCACGAAGCTATTGACCAGCTACCCCGCCTCATCGTGCTCGCTAGATTGAGCATGGAGAGAGGGGAGATGAGGGGGGATGTGCACGGCCAGAACGTACTCGTCTCAGACAACGAAGGGGTGTATCTATGGGAGAAGTTTGAGCCGACTTTGCACTGAGAGGGTTGAGTTGGCATTTGTTGACAGGGGTTCAGTCAGAGCACAGGCAGTGAGCCCCGCAGATAAGGGCTAGCCACGATGATCTCTCTAGCAGTCTCCGGTCTCCAGTGGAGGTAGAGCAGCAACGAATACTCCGTACGAAGACATGAATCGTAAGCCCACGGGGTACTCCATAAAGCCATAGAGGGGGCACGTTCATAAGATGATTACCAAGTAACACCATCTCATGACGTGCAGATTCATAATCGATAACCGAGAATCATATCAACCATTGACATTCGTCCCTCTTGACCGCTTTTGTGATATCGACAGGTCGACATATCATGCAATCAGTGCAACAATGATAAGGGTCATACAATGGCATAGACGAATGCATCAAGTCACCTGATTCGAGCCTAGGATTGCGAAGACTAGTAGACTACCAGACAGAGATAACCAATTGACATGCGCAAGCTGTAAGAGACAAAACAGGGAAATGTAGCCAGAAGAGCACAAAACAGGGAACATGGATCCAGACCGCAGACTAAGGCTATTTGGGGGCTAGCGCGGTCGCTTAACGGGGTTGACAGGGCTGGCTGGGGCCGTTTTGGTATATATCACTGATTCTTGTCGAGAATGAGTGTCAGCAAGGGCGATGAACTTTGTTTCATTATATACATTGTACCCCGTACTGATGGATTGAGTTGAAGCGTATTAAGTTATTGACACTCTAAGGTTGTAGTACAAGTGTTACGATCTGATATCTATAGATTTTCTACTATTTCTACTATTTCTACTATAGATTTTCTCTCCTGATTGGCTGATCGCCCATGACATGAGCCCCACCTCCACTAACCCTACTCCACGGATATCATAACAACGACCACTCCGTTCTATAGAGACAACATACCGACTTGGCATTATCAATACTTCCTTCGCTCGACGCATCCGTGCTACTCGCCAGCCACACCGGGAGTCCATACGGAGTCCTCCATAGAGTTCATCGGAAAAAGAAAAAAAGAAAAATCAACGGTTGTGGTTGCGAAGCACTGACCATATGTATCCGTGCTCACCCATGCCCAGAAGTCAAAGCTTTTCGCCTCAACCCTTGTACAGAGCCGGAGTATGGAAAATTTTTTCCGTTCCAGCTAGGTAAGCAAGGAAAATCGAGCTTTTGAGTGGATGGGAAGAGAATTAAAGTTTTATATCCCAATTTTTATCTGGACTGGCTCGACTGAGAAAGTTGACTCCCGAAAAGACGGGAGTGTAACCTCTTCCGCGGATAGCTCATCCCCGAAGGAGTCAGTACACTGGCCCATGGGGTCAATCCAGGTTCGTTCCATCAATAATATGGGGGCCAGTGCGGATGGGAAAGTTTTATCCCTGAAATTTGTTGGTTGGTGGGATCCATGGACACTATGTTTTGATCAGTCAGGTTGGCTCTGAAACTTATTACTGTTTGCGGCAACTCTCGAAGAAAAAGAGTTTGTGAGAATTTTTCTATCTGATCTAGACGCATTTCTTCAATGTACCCGTCTATACATTGGCATGTTCATCGAGGTTAATCTTCACCGGAAAACAAAACTGAAATAGTCGAAGCGATCTTTGACTTTTTGGTGGTTGTCGTTGGTCTTTGCATTGTCAATGCTTTGCAGGGATGCGACGTAAAACAAACTGTACACAGCCACTAGTGCTGTTCTGTGCGGTTATTGATACAAATGAGAGTAATAATGGATGGATGGATAATGGATTATCTTATGTCTCGAGTGTACATCTCCGTACAAGGCCGGGATACTCGACTAAGCCAGCAGTCGACAATCTATGCAGTTCAGTGTGTCTGGATGCCGTAGATAGCAGAGTGGCAGGTGACAGACTGCATACACAGCCCTACAAAAGCATCGGAGTATTCACAGCCGTGTCGGCCTCCTTGATTCATATCAGATGGAACGTCTTCGTCTTTATATAGATGATTGGCTGCAGGCCGGAAGATTGTTACCTAGCGGCATGTCTGTAGACGCTCGCCAAGACCCTGTCACGGTACGACGACTAGCGAAGGTAATCGGAGGATACACACGTGCAGTCTGTAGAAAGCATCGCAATTTGCAGCATGGCAGTAAAAGAAAAGAAATGAGACTATTCGGAGTTTCATCAACAATAATAATAATAATAAGATAAAATCTAGTTGAAACATGCTAGTAAGGATACTAAGGATACCTTCTTGTATGAGAGAACGTGATACTGCTAAGAAAAGAGTCTAGACTCGCACCTTGTACGCTCATGACGTCACCTCTCACCCTCGCGCAAGTTGTTGCCTTGGAAATTTGGCGCTAACACAGCATGTCTATCAACGAGCTGAATCAGTGACAACTCCGAGCAACGGCATAAGCCGACGATATACCAGTAAGGAAGTGGACGGGAATGGAGTCTGGAGTAGAATATGGAGAAAGCTGGATGGCTTCCAACTCTTGCAAGACTCTCACCAGCAAGAGGGAAGGGCCCCACGTCAGAGCTCTGGAGTACTCCGTAAAAATCGCTCCGTAAACGACTAACGAAGCACTACCATAGTATACAGAGATGTACGGAGTACAGGGTACTTTGCAACTAGTCCCGTCACTGCGTCATTGTTCTGGAGAGGTACATGAGCTCATGTACTCCAGTGTCCAGAACCCACACTGACACATAGTAACTGTGTACTAGTAGTAGTACTGTCTGAGGCTAGGATGGACGCGTCGGCAAATGATCAACTGCATATTCCAGGTTTTTTTTTTTTTTTTATTTTTTTTTTTTTGTTTTTTTTGGGGGTGATAGCGTCATTGTCGGTTGTATCGGCAGCATATGTCAGAATATATCAGAAATTCATATTGTTGGGTAGAGGCAAGGTAGAAAAGAGCAATGAAACGAGACGGAGATAATTGATATGTACCTCTGTACTCTTATAGCATATGAATAGCATCATGGATTGCGTTATCAATATTAAATATTATTTTATGGTGTGAGATAAACGCTGGGAGCTAGTGGCGAATAGTTGTGGGTCTTATCTTGTCTATCTGTAATCTATATACGTATCTGCATTGCATGTTGGGGCGCGTGGCGTTCAATTGTCGATTATTATTACTATTATTATGCTTGATGCCAGAAGAGTTTTCTATTTTATTTTCTGTACCTAGTTAAGGAGAGGACCATCATGCTATGGCCATTGGATATGGCGCAAAGACGGCTTTGCGATGGCGTTGGATGGCATGTTTCGGAGTGGACTGGCCCGTATGTATGGCGATTACACATGTGCGTCTTATCAGCGCCGCTGATATGGAGTAGGTTGGTATTCGGATTACGGGATTACCGTACACAATTATCAAAGTTTTCTGGTGGATCTGTGGCTGTCGAGTACTTTTTTTTTCTATGCGATTATTTTCGATGGGTATTTATTTTCTTACTACCGTGCTATGCAATTGACAGGTTGTGCCTACGAAGAAAAACATGCCCCAAGAATAAAATGTACTACAAGAGTATATATATATATATATATATATTATACAGTACAACACAGAATAGAATGATAAAACACTATGTATAAAACAAGAAAAATGTCGTACAGTTCCATCCAATGATAGCCGCGATACCCTCGCACGGCCGGAACCAAGGTAGATCCAAGCTCCCAGACCGTTCCATCTCTTCTTGCAACAAGGTCGGTCTGATTTGTGCAGTAACCCTCCATCACTATTGGCACTATCTCCGTGGACTGCGGTACTGTATGGCAGCGTATACGGTATGCCGCCACTGTCTATCTCTCGTCCCAATAAATAGTGAAATAATTGACTACGGTATTGAGGTCCTCCTCTTAATAAGTTATCGACTTAGTCATGCTTACAATGACCCACTCGCTACTAGACTAGTAACGACGCCCACTACATACATATCATATCAGCGCCCACCCACCCGGATCTCCCGTCTTATACTAAGCTAATATACTTCTTCTCTTCCTTCTCAGCTTTTCTTCCTTTCTCTTCTCACGTTCCCCCCCTGACTAACGGGGCTCTTGCCGGCAATTCTTTGGGTTGGAGAGACGATTTTGTTCAAAGGATGCTGGGAATCTTTGTACATGTCTGAGAACAGGTGAGTTGCCCGGTCGGGCTTATATTTGCAGTATCATCAGTTCAAATGCCGTGGCTTCCTATTTCACCACTTTTGGATACCTCAGGACATCAGGCCACCTACCGTGTCGTCACTTCCTCCACAACATGCTCTTCCTCCATCTTCATCTCCATACGATTAAATTCTTCATCTTCCCCAGTCTACTGTCTCAACTAACAACCCCAGGGTGCAAACCCACTCATAGTAGCCACTGGCTCCCTCGCTGTGATATCATTGTACTCGAAGAAGACAATGCCATACACATCGCCGCTTCAGATGTCACCCACAGCGCCACTCCCACCTCATCTCACGCAGACTCCAGTCACTCCAGTCACTGCAGAAGCAATGCATACTCACTCCTCCCCCTCTGAGACGGCGCCTGCGTCTTCCTCACATTTCCTGTCACACGCACATCCCCGATCAACTTTACCTCGCTCGTCCTTTTCATCACAGTCATATCTTCGTCGACACCGACGCAGTCCTTCATATAGCAAAGTGTCGCTTCCCAACGCAGAAAACACCTCGACCGACAGGACTTCATTGTAAGTATCTCTTTCTTGTGAAGAGTTGGGGTCTCCCGGAAAATGAAACTAACGTCACAGGTCTATGACGGTCGACCCACATGCCAGCCTTCGACAATCGCCTCCCCCACGAAACAACGCCATCATTCCCTCAGGCGCCGTGATATCTCCACCAGAGTCGACGGGAAACTCGAGCGACGAGGAAGCGTCCCCAACCGATGTTCGTCATGTGGATTTGATCGACGCTGCTATTCGGACGCTGAACGCGCAAAAGAAGAATGAAGGCCTGGAGCAAGAGAAGAAGGAAGTTTCCAGCGTGCCTGCACTCACACCAGAAGCACGAAAGATTTCTCATTCGCGCTCGTCCACAGAAGGCAGTCTGCCGTTGATTACCGACATGATAGAAACGTCTTCTGAGAGTGATCGTGATGAAGACGGCGACGAAGGACCGAAACCGCCCATGGTTCGCAAGAAATCGGGTGAATTGGTTCGTCCGGCGTTGCGGTCGCGGCGTCGCCCTTCGAGCATGCCCGGCACTCCCACATTCTCGAAAAACGTCCACTTCGATGCCCAGCTAGAACATATCCGACACTTTCTTCAGCTTGACAAACCATTGGCGGTCAGTGCCAACACCTCACCGGTTGAAACATACAATGAGGAGCACGAGTATCCGTTCAATAGAAAGTCACAGCCGAGTGTCGAATGGGAGATCAAGTTGCCCAATTTCCCCTCCAACCCAGCCGCCCGAAAGCAGCAGCCCATCCGTTTGGAACGCGTGTTTTTCTCTCCTGATCACAAAAACCTGGTGGGTGTGGTGTCTGTTGCGAATCTGGCGTTTCAGAAACACGTTGTGGCTCGTTTCACTGTTGATTATTGGAAAACGGTATCCGAAGTCACGGCGGAGTATAACCACGATATTCGCAAAAGACAGGCCCACGATGGATACGATCGGTTTGATTTCAGTATCAAACTGTCTGACATCACAGACTTGGAATCCAAGGTCCTTCAAGTCTGCATTCGCTATTCAGTGAACGGACAGGAATACTGGGACAACAACGACAACATGAACTACCAGATCCAATTCGTCAAGTCTGAAAAGACTCTAAATAACGAATCGGCTCAGCAAGCTCAACCTCGCGATCGTGCTCGCGCATTGCCTCGCAGTCGGCACAGTCCGTCTACCACAGCCCGGCCCCGTTCGATGCCACCTGCAAGTTTTGACGACTTTGGCCCTTCGTTTGATGGAAGCGATCGACATGACGATGGATTGGGATTCCGGTTGTCCACCGTGGATTCCTACGATTTCTTGGAAGCACCCAAACCGAGAGAGAAGCCTAATCGCCAAGCGTTTGGTAACCGATATGATTTTGGACTGTCGCTTTCGGCTGCACGAAGCAGTGGTGCCACCGAAGACCGCACGACGTTGTCAGCAAAAGCAAAGTCGATGTCTTCTCGAGGCGAGAGCCTGGCCACTGCCCATGCTCATCCAAAGGATAGTTTCCAAGTGTCTGCTATTGTGTCGAGCAAACCTCATTTGGAGTCTCCTACCTACAAGGAATTGGTAGACAAGTACTGCTTCGTAAGTCTTTCTTGAAAGAGTGGTATTGGAATGGTTTACTAACGAGTTCAGTTTGGTTCGCCCAAAGTGGAAGGCAGTTTGAACTCTAGCAAGAGCAATTCTGGCAGTGTCTCGCCGGATCAAATGCCCCGTGTTGACTCCGGAGTTGCCATGAACTTGGCTACTGGAAACTCCTCATCCGTTGGCGCCTTCAATGGGTCGTCCGATTTTCTCAATTCCTTGTATCGGGAACATCTTCCTCGGTCTTCATTTCTTTCTGAATCGCAGCCTGCTGCTATTCTTGGTTGATCAACTCATCTCCGACCACGACGATACCTCACACAATCTAGCCCAAGATTGTGTGCAAATCTTTCAACATACACCTAATATCCTCTCGACATGATACCTGAGCATATCGACCACTTCTCTTCTATCAGGGTTTATCGAATATTTTTATCGTCTAGGCATTTTAACTGAGTTTGTTATTGTGGGTTTATCGGCGTTTTAACTTGTCGACGACAAGTATTGTTGCATTTGATTCGCACGGAGTTTGGGAAAAAGTTCGTCGTTGTCGATCGGTCGGTCGATTGCATCGAATCGAACATGGTTATGCGGTTTTTCTTCTTCTTTTGTACTCTCTACTTGACGATTCGAGAGGCGTTCCGTTTCGTTCCGTTCTGTTCTGTCATATATATTGTTATCCTTTGCAGCCATGAGTCCAATGACCGTGGTGTTTGTCTTTGTCCGAGTTGTTTATTTCGTTCAATTGTCCGTCCGTCTGATGAGAAGACGATGTGATGAGATTATGAGATAAGAGTTATGTTATACATATTCATATGTCATTTGAATATCCAAGTAAGAATAAGTATGAGTAGGTAGTAGAGTCGAGTAGAAGAGTAGATATGATATATACTTGACTCATTAGGTATGTACCTGGCTAGCGTTCAGTGCCTGATGAGTTGTCCAGCGGGCCGCCAGCGAATCGACTACGTACCTGGTTACGGAATCCATCGGTGTAGAGATGGTCATTTGACTGGTTAGTTTTGGCTTGGGGATTAGTGATTTGCTAGTTAAAATATTCTTTACTGATCATTGCTTGGTTTGGTTTTTTTGATGCAAGTGTTGTTTTCTTACTATGTGCTTCGAATGTGGGTTGTGAGTTGAGTGTGTTGAGGTACAGTATTTGGCTTACGTCATAAGATTGCTAGAGAACACTATTGTTAGAGACTAACCTGGTAGGGAGATGCTATGAGCTATTCTATATAGATTAATAATTGATTCTTTTTCACTATACCATTCAAAGTCTTCCAGGTTGATCAGGATAATTCTTCAAACAGCAAAACATAACCCTAATCTTAAATATCACGTGCATCCTAATCTGTCTTAGCGCACCCGCTCTGTAACTCTTTAATCCAGAGACTCTGATTGGCCCTCCCAAACCACAAAATGATCGCTCGGAAAGCAGAAGCTCATAAGACATGTTTGATCCGCCAATGAGAAGGGCTAAAATGCATTCTTTTTTTGCTTTTATCATTTTGAACTGAAGAAAAGGATTAGTCACCTGCCGCCCGTACCCAGGCATGTTCCAACTTCCACCCCCATTTCTTGCTCTGCATATTTAAGTGATTAATTCCCCCGCTTCCTTTGCAACCTTTTCTTCCTTTCTTCTTTGCGCGTCTTTTTTCATCACCACAACTGACGATTACCATCGAGTTTTATCAGTTTTCATCACTTTCTTCATCGATTTTTATCGATTTTTTTCATCAGAGTCGATTTTTATATCTTCATATTCAATATGACTGGACGTAAGTATTTACTTTTTATTGATTTTCTCTCTGTTTTGGTCGTTGTTGATGTAGTCGATGTCGTCAATGTCGTTGGTGATACCTCGGTCATTACATAAGCGACGCGTTACTCGACTGCACCATACAACAACCTCAACAGGCGCATGGCATAGTATAGTATAGTATTATGCTGTACTATACTATCTTACAGTTATATTTTGCAATAATACTAACTGTCTACAGGCGGGAAAGGTGGCAAGGGCCTCGGCAAAGGCGGCGCAAAGCGTCACCGAAAGATTCTTCGTGACAATATTCAAGGTATCACGAAACCTGCCATTCGTCGTCTCGCGCGCCGTGGTGGTGTCAAGCGTATTTCTGCAAGTATGTTCTCTCCTAACTTACAGTTGATAGGCGTGTTGATGTTAACGTGTTGTCTAGTGATATACGAGGAAACTCGCGGCGTTCTCAAATCGTTCCTTGAATCCGTCATTCGTGATGCCGTCACCTATACCGAACATGCCAAGAGGAAGACTGTCACCTCGCTGGATGTCGTCTATGCCTTGAAGCGTCAGGGCCGTACCCTTTACGGCTTCGGTGGTTAAATTAGCGTCGGCTGTATGCCATTGTCTTTATGGTCGGATACTATTATGACCGGGTAGTTTGTTGGAGTGTTTGATTTCTTTCTGCTTTGTTACTTTCGGGTTATGGTTAGGTTCGGGTTTGGTTGGGATGGTTTACTGCTTGCTCTTACACTCCATTACAATAAAGTCTGCTCTATGCTACTATCCTTTATTCCTTTGTAATTCAGGAGTTCTTCGTACGTGTATTCAAGTTGATGCTCGTATTAAGTATTATTCTAATCATAATCCATAGCTAAGTATAACAAATGAAATGTATCGCCAGACTCCGTAGCCTTTTATCCACCTATTTTGCATGTTGAGCGGTGTATCGATTCGAGTTTTCCGAAGGGTATATGAATGAATGTCTGAAAGGAATGTCTTGTCTTGTCGTATCGTCGTAATCATTTTTTGTTGTTTCCATTCTCGGTTCGCTTCCTCCCTTGAATCATAATGTGCTTGATAGCAAGTCGATGTATGCACTCATTTCAAAGAGAGCACAATATTCGCAGCCCGGAACATACTAAGTCTCTTCTTCTGCTTCTTCTCCGCAGCAGAAGGAGAAGAAACCTTCTTCTCAGACGAAGAGATGGAGTAAGTCTCGTCGTCAACAGAGACACGCGCAGAGGAGACTGCGCTGGTAGAACGCGATTTTTGTGATGCGGCGTATCGTTGAGCAAGTTGGAGTTGAGGGTCAGAGCCGTCGAATTCGGCGCGAGTGATTTTGGGGACGTCGAGGCCGAACATTTTGATTCGTTTTATGTAGAAGGTTTGATGTAGAGTTGGTCTGTTTGAGGGATGGTTGAGATGGAGATGAGAGGATGATTGAGCTTGATTTAATTGCTTGCTTGATGTCTTGACTGATGTGTTTGATGATGATGAGAATCAAATTCAACAGGAATCACTCCTCCTTATATACTTCTTTTTCAGAGGCTGATCCAGACAGACATCAACATCCAAAAATTTTATATACTTCATTCCGAAGTCCACGCCAACTCCGAAACTCAGACGATCCATATGACGCTGGCCAGAAACAAGCCACACAGGGTTAATTCCTGACCAACCAGATTCGCAAAATCAAGCTTGTGAACTATATCAATTCCGTAAAGAGTATATGCTAGAATGATGACAAACATGTTTGCCTACTCCGAGAGACATGTTCTATGTATCGGAATAGTGGATTTTCATTCCGAGTCCGTTCCTGGGCCCATTTTTTACCGCTCAGCCCTATATTCGACTGACTATGAGTGATTATACTAAGCCCTAGAAGAGTCAGGACTAAGAATTCCATTGCTTGTTGCCTGGGTTTAGTTATGGTTGTTATGGTTGTGCATGTTTGCATACTGTGAGTCAATTTGATCGACGTCATATGGCTGTTTTTAAGCTTATTAATCAGGCGGAATCTTCATGACTCACTACAGGCAGAAATATTTGCTTAGCACACAGTACGTAGCGGCTTGAGTTAGATTCTATTGTATAGCAGCTCTCTAGACAGAAGAAGACAAGAAACACATCGCATATCCTCGGAGGCTTACACCGCCATCTACTCCATTCTCTGTACGTAAAAGTAGATATTCCCCATATAACATAAATCCCCTTATGGATCCTGTTGCCATCCCCGGGTTACATATAAAAATTTTTATAGGTAACTGAGTGTTGAAGGTGAGGTTTATATCACCTAAGAAAATCCACAAGCACTCCACTTCGGCAAGAAAACTCATGTTATTGTTAGGCCCCCGGTTAGGGCATTGCCGCTACTAGCCCTAACTCGAGCTAGATCTCTCGGGATGCTGTTAGGGTTGGGTCTGGGCGAGCGGGTTGCGTCGGGGTAAGTTAGGAAAAGTTTTGAACATGTGCTCCAAGCTTGAGGTCTTGTTTGTTGTTTGTGATGTATATGTTAGTAATATATACTTACTCGGGTATTCTGTCTAGAATGGTGAGTAAGAGTATCTGCTGTGATTGGCGTCGACTAAAACATCATTAGAGACTCGAAAAGAATCATGCCTGGCCAACTGCGTCAAATGTATTTTCTGGCTCAGCCTTCTACATTGTTTGGTGTTGCTCGCTCACAGGCACTAAAATTGCAGTGCAAACCTGGATGTAGTGCAAACTTGGATGCAGTGATGACTAGTGTGATTCCGAGGCTAATTATAGTCTCAACCCCTGAGTCATATGTAACTAGATGAGAAAACAAGACAAGCAGTACACAGAGATTCAACGCATCGAATCATTTCCTAATCAATACCTACAATTATCTGGTTACTGATCACTATTACTGGACGATATTAATCCTCTGAGTCTATACGATTTCTTTACAATAGAGAACACAGTCCGCATACATTGGTTAGAGAAAATGCTTGCAATGAAGCCTATGTAGATTCAAGCAAAGATATTTCAGCTCAGCATTCTCATTGATGGTCCTCAACGCAGTGCATGACTCTGTCTTACTCCAGCATATGAATGATACGTGACAGAGCCTCTGATCAGCCGGCTAAGTGAGTATCGACAGTGACTGACACGCCAAGCATGACTATTGTAGTATCGCTTCTATTCCCAAGGCCCGGACTATGACTATGAGACTTTAAAGCCTAATCTCATCTCCAAAAAAGCCACATCTAGAGCCGCTTCCAGTGGGAACCCTAAGCCTAGTTGATTTTGTAGATCTCATCAATTATATCAGATTCACTTATCCATTTCCAGGAGCTTTTAGTCTTCTGAAAAATCGACGGTAAAAATCACAGCCAACTCACCAGGTTACGCACGGGGTTTCAGCCTAGGCATGACTGTTATGTTAGACTTCCTGCAATGCGCTTAAAGGAGGCTGGCACAGCCTTGCGGACTTGGACAAGAATCAGCTAGGTTCTTCGCTCAAATGCTCATAAAATCTCAAACTAATTTCTCAAATAGAAGCAATTCAGTTATAAGAATATGGCAGGACGAGATAATCAGGTATACGGTGCGCCGGATCTTCACTGGCACAACAAATTCACGACGCGCAATCCGGTACTGGTACTGTATCAGGTGGAAGACCAGAAGGTGTTCATGCCTGATGCGCAAGAAAATGCTCAGATCAAGATTAAGAAAAATTTTCACCCAAGTGACTCACCTGCTGCTCCCCAAATCATATAGTATCAGGCACTGCGTGACTTTTTGGCTCTAGGTGATACGAGCATATTCGAATAGGATTATTCGACATGTTTGAGCATATCAGACATGGATAGATTCGTGCTCTTCAGTGAGAAGGCGGAGGATCAGTCACTTAATATATCCAATTCTCGGCAGTGGGAAGGGATACGAGCAGTATCCTCCAAGGGGCGTTGCGGGGTACACTGCTGTGCTGAGTCCAAGGGAGTGCTAGAGAAACTTAGCCAGCAGGTATGCCTTCTCTGTCTAACTCCGTTCTATAACGTGCTCCGTTGACTTTCGTGCAAGCGAGAACATCTTGGAAAGTCTTCCCCGGAACGACGAAGTTTGTCCAATTACGTTCTCCTGACTTTGGATACGTTTAACAGTGTCGAATAGCTACATTCAAGATCTGACGCCCTCGTGTGCGGCATGCCTCATTCTAACGGTTTCTTTTCGATATATCATTTTCCTGCGTGATTTCTTCCCTCGTTATGTTACAAATCGGGCACATTTCGGCATGTTGATGGTATGACCAGAATCTTCAGGAAGAGAAGCGTACTAGACTAAAACTGCAAAGGACTATCCTATTCGGCTAGTAGGAGTTTTTCTACAAAGTACAGACCTCAGTCTTGTTAGTCGGAATTGACAAGTGGGTGTGGACACTCTACTGTCTAGTTGAGAGCCATTTCGAAGAGAAGGAACATCTCCCCGAGCTTGAGGGATATGTTACCCGTATGAGTGATGCATGTGATGCACCGTCTTACCAATACGCATCGTACAGGCAGCCTGTTCGGGATCCACGCGAGTATTTTTTGCTTGTTTTGCGTTGCCGGAGGGACCAAGCTGCTATGGAATGGCGAAATCCTGTGGAAATTCTTGACCAACGACCAAGAGGTCTGGTAAGTTGAGATGTTATCTATCTCAAACATCTCTATTGCTTCATTCAGGAATATGAAACCTACAAAACCTTCGGCAGAGTTTTTCTCTCGACAGAAGTCGGATCTCTCAGATATTGACGACTATACCCGGGCTACTCAAATGCTACAAGCTTACAACTGTTCACAAGCACTCTGGTAAAGGCTATTGAATCTTGGCAGGACTTTAGCCGAATTCACCTACCTGCATTTCTTCCTGCTGAGAACCGACACATGTTGACTCCTAGGTATCCAGCTATCTGCAGCGACTTGATCAGGCCATCTCCGAGCTGCGCTACTTTTATAGTTTGCTTGGGCAGCGCATCAACACAGTTGAAAGTCGAAGAAGCATGGTGAGGCGTACCCCCTTGAATATTGCATTCTTCTTGTCGAGCTCAATGCCAATCGACAATCAGCTCTCATGGAAACTAGAATATCAAATACTTCAGCGTCAGATACTGGATTGTTAACTAGTGACAGTGGTATGCCGCTCGATACCGGCCTGGTTTATTCCAATTGCTAATGAAAAGTCACATGTAACAGTGGGATTGGAATACCAGGGTTTTCAAGAACTGACTCGGATGCTGCTTTCTAGGCACTTGTCTCAGTATCAGTTTTATGCAAGTTATCAGATGATGGCATTCATGTCTGCTCGTCATAGCTCCGTTTACTCTATTTTCTCTTACTGTATCGTTTTATTCAATCCGCAATTGATCAATGTTGCAACAACTGCCACTGAATGAGGAAAGCGATTATCTCTGTGTGCAGAGGATGTGTTGATTTTTAACTCCATACTTATCAAGCACCTAGCACCCTCTCGGCATACATCGGCATGCCGTTACCTGGTTCGGAGTTCCAGTCTCTTAGGGTTAAATCTCGGACTGCGTCGGAGTAAAATTTTTACCTCTGTATAGCGACTACATACTGCCATGTAAATGGTACCGGAATTACGTATTAGATTGAATTTATTTCCCTCGGAGAACGGAAAGCGGGATCTAGAATGATCGTCTGAATGTGACAAGTAGCATGAGTCCTCTGCAACAGTGGTGATTGGTCTGTAGAGATTGATTCAGTTTCCAAAATTCGAAAACATCTGACTTTTCAAGACAAGTCTATGTATAAGAAACATTATTACTAAGCCAAAGTGTAAAAGAAACAGGCGTATAGATGTACATGCATATCCATGACAGCGTAGTAACAACATCAACAGAGACGAAAAAGACAAAAGACAAGACGCTAATAATCATAAAAACGCGCCAGTCTATGCATGAGGCGATACGAACAGAGAAACGAAGAAAAAAATAAGTACAGAAAGAGAAATCTTTCAAGATCTATCAGGGCTTCTTCTTGATATGATGTTTACCTGTATTCTCGGAGACATCGCTATTAGTAGCCCCGCTCTTTGTGCTGGTATTAAGATAATCGTCCGTCTCTAGGATTCGGATGAAACGTTGAACTGAAAATCCGCCCGATACGAGGTATATGATTACAAGCCATGCTGAGAATATATTGGCCACGTGGTGAAGGAGGTAGGCGTATGAGACCCCGTAGAGAGCTGAGTAGCCGGCGAGACAGAAGAGAAGGATGTACGTTATGTGTTTTGCTCTATTTTCGTTAGTATGATTTTGAACCTTGATAGGATAGAGACGAGACAAACCGTGAAGATATTCGCGGAATCATGAGTCCGCTCGTCATCGTCTCCACGAGAATTAGGAATGGCATGATGGATAAAACGTTGTGATGAGAGGAAAATGGCGTCAACCAGTGTACGGCCAGGTTGTGTACCCAGACAACAAGTACAAGAATGTTGATTGGAAGGACCCAGAGCATAAGAGTAAGGATGGAATGCGCATAGTTGAAGAAACTCGCGTTGATAGTCAATCGCTGTAATCGTCAGTAATAAGTCACAAAGAGAGGTTCATGCGAACTTACCGTTTCGCGCACATGCCATAGCGCCCTAACACACGTCGCTACCTGTACCATGCATGCGACCATATATGCAAATTGATATGGTATCACAGTCGCGACAAGAACTAGTAGTATGCTAGCGTTGATCATCCTTCGGCGTGGACTCGGATGGGAGAATATCGGCCCATTCCTACACCAATCAGAAACGAATCAATAGATTCACGAATAGAATTAATTACTCACCGATCTTCCCGACGAATATAGCCGGTCTTAGTTCGAAAAATCCCATACAGAGACGATAAAACACTCAAAATCAACAACGAGGTATAGTTGATCGCGACACATGCACCAATGCTAATCAACCCAAACAACGGGACGAGGAACCAGAAAAATGCATCCTGAGCGCCAAGGAGCAGGTCATATTTGGTGAAATCAACCGCTGTCTCCGTCGAATTTCGGCGCCAATGAAATGGGTCATCATTTGAAGGCAGTTGTCGTTTAGAGGCAAGTGAGGATGCCAGCAGTGACAGGACACCAATAACGATAGGGAGCGATGAGCGTAGACATAGATTCAAACTTTCCATAAACGTGATGAAATGGCCCGTATCGTCATAAACTTTGAATTGTTTGCGCAAAACAAGAGCAACAACTAATAGTGGAAATGCGGCAAAAACAGTCCTGTAGCGCATGACTAGCTCTCCAAAACTGTGATAAATGTTGACTTTCAATGACAGCTCAACACTTGACGCGCATGTCGGATCAGACCACAAGTGAAAAGTAACTCCATACTCCGCTTCTTCGCGAAGTGGTGGAGGCATATATGGCGCTACACCATGAAGATTCACATCGACATCATGGACATTGACAAAAAACTTGGACTCGTGGGGTTCCGGTATCGACTGGCGCAAAAGCGGCGTAAACAATGGAGACGAGTCAGAGCAACCTGCACTGTGCACCGAAAGCTTGTACGCAAGTAGACTTGAATGTAATGACGGAATCTTGACTTCTGTAAGCATCGGCCTGTTGGCCGGCAGCTTCATATGTAAGCCGGCACTGAGCAATCTTCCAAGTCCCACACGAGTCGGGACGATTGAACCAGAGCTATCTGAGAACTCTGCAATCACCCAACCGTTGGTGCGAGTCTGAGCTTTGTCTACCACGGCGACAAACTGATGTTCAGCCAGTTCCTCCAGCTCGTACTGCAGGTACGAGAATGGACGACTGTCGCTGAACGCCTTTTGTGATGAAGACGTAGACGCGGGAAGATGTATCCTGTCCGGGGCAGCATTCTTACATGCTAGACGTGTGGAGCCCGACCCACCGCGCGAAAGATCCATTTTCATAGAAAATAGAGCGGCACCCCGCCCGGCTTGCATGGGGAAGACAGTACAAAATAGAACTTCCAACTTTCCATCTGGCTGGTCAAACGGCTGGTCTGTAAGGAGAGTGAACTTCTTTCCCGGGACACCCTGAGGAGGAACAGGCATTAAATGCACTTCCGAATCTTGATGATTTCCCAACTCGCGCAAAACGAGACGTTCTCCTTGAGGCAGAATGTTGTTGGTGCTAGATTCTAATGTAAGGAGGTAATTGGACTCTACATCGTTGTTAGCATACTGCTTACGATGAAAGAGAAAAAGAAAAAAAGAGAGGGGGAAAAGCTCACCCTGCTGTGTAAGTGTACGCTCGGCAGTAGACTCCAAACCAGTCAAAAACCATTTTTTGAAAATGCGCATACGTTCCGCTCGAGGTTTGGTCTGACTGGGCCGATGAACGTCCACCACATCATAAAGAGATTTAATCACAACCTTTCGAAATTGATCGCACCAAGTAATGGACAAATGATCGGTACCCACCCAGACATCCGGAATGCTAGACGTGAAAACGGTAAATCCGTGAGTCTCGGGAACAAGCGAGGCGAGACTGGCATAGTCTGAGGGAACAACAGTATCTCTCGCACCTCCCGCGATGGAAATGAGGGTAACGTGCCACAGAGGATTATTGTTTGCCCATTCTTGTGAATATGCTCCTCTCCAATAGTCGTTTATTTGCTTGTAGGTATGAACAATGTCGGAATCAAACGATACCGGTGGCTTGGCGTGGGGCGCCGACATGGTGATTATGGTGTTGACAGAGTTCGCTTGGTAATTGGCCATGGTTAAGACTGTGCGGGCCACGACACCACCCATTGAGTGACCGACCAAGATGACAGAACTCGGGTCCGGTAGACTCGGATCGCGATGCGAGCGATTGGGATCGTGATAGAGAGAAAGAATATATGCAAGAGCTTCGTTGACATATTCCGCTTGGTCCAAGATGGTCTGTCCATGGAAAGCGGCCAAATCCTCGTTGAAATCAACCATAAAGAAATCCAAGCTGCGAGTTCCAGAGTCCAGATAGTCTTTATCGTATGAAATGACGTCTCGAAAGTGTCGCGAGGCTTCGGCAGCCAGTGAGCGTACTTGTTTGTAGCTACCGGCATTCCCGGGGAGAAATAGAACGGGTGCACCGCTTAGCTAAACACAGAAACACATATCAGACGGCTTATTGTCTTATCTTCAAGTATATCTGAACTTACCCCTATGTTCTCCTGCGAGTAATGGTCGACACCCTCTTCACGATAGAGATAAAGATTATATTTGCTTGCAAATCTCGTATGCTCAGCATCGAATCCGACCATTCGTAGATAGGTTGGACTCATCACTGGCACCTGACATCCATCGGCTCCAACAGGCCGGTGCACAAAGGAGTGTGCAATGAATAGGAGGAAGAAGACGCCAGCAAGTGCGGTAGATAGAGCTAGAATAGATATCGACCACGGACTGCGAAGTCGAAGGTGTCGCGTGCGCTGGTAGGTCTCCGGTGAGCCCTCAAAAGAGAGCTGCCGGGTCGCCAAGGGCATCATCGCGGCAGCTGGCTTGGACGAAGGTGTCGGCGTCGGCGAGGCATGCGAAGTTGAGGTGAGAGATGAGAACGAGGTTCGGACGGCACTCGAATTCCGGGATCGAGGGGAAACGACAGAATTACTATTATTATTAAATCGGCGATCGGGATCGGAGTGAACGATGGGGGTAGAAACTATTTGCGATTGCTGCAAGACTTGGTCGGTATTTGAGGCTGTGGTAGCTGTTGTAGCGGACGAAGCTCCATGACCATAATCGGTTGACAGGCGCAGAGACGGACGAGTCTTCAAGGAAAGGTCGGTCCCGTCCGAATTGTCGGACGAGCGCCTCTGCATTTGAGAAGACGGAGCTGGGCTGTCAATCGGTTCAGAGCCTCATGATTTATGAATCCAGGAGCTCAGCACAATTGATTTGGACGAGGCTAGATTGGGGGGGAGTCAAGTCTTGGAAGGGAAGTTGGAACTCTTGGAATGGTACTAACCCTGAGTCACAGCCAATCAGAGCCTCGGGACGCGTGGAGTTTTCTGCCAAGTCACGGCAAGGCGGTCAGAATGAGCTTGTCACTGTCAAGACTGACTGTCAATTTATTTACTTATGATTACCTAGGCATAATCGTCGATCAAACTACATCAAAAGCAGCGATTTAATGAATATCAGTCGCTTCTTTCGAAATTGACTTTCAACAATCAACATATTGACTACAGGCAACTCGGAGAAAGAGGTAAGGATCACTACGATACGCATCTACCATACTAATTGATTACCTAGGTGTGAGCAGCTTTCCCAGTTCATACGGATTTCATTCGACCTCGAGGTCGGTTTGCCTGGCGATATAAGGATCTGATTGATCATGTACCTGTCCATATATAGTAACTATGGACTACAGCAGCTTATACACATGAGATGTTTCCTGTATCTTGATCAAGTATTTGTGGAGGTCTGCTAATCCATATATTTCACATGCTAGTGTAGGGCTTCCAGCGGAAACGGACTACTGATAGACCAAGTTAGAGGAATATAAACTGTGACAAGAGTTGCAGATATAGCGCCTTGCAAGTTCGGCTTTACATGATTCACAACTTTTCGACTCTTTCTCGGCGCCACTCCCGTAGCCTAATCTATACTAGGCTTAGTCTTGTATTGAGGTAATTTACAATGCGTATGGGACGTACGAGTACCGCCATCTTGGTTAGCTAAGCATAGTTGTTGCTTCATCATGCTATACCCCGAGACAACTAACTAATGTTCACTTAACGAATTTATTAAGTGGTGTGGACCAGGATAATACCGCTACATATTTTATTCTTGCGTCTAGATTATTATACTACTTTAAGTTCCTGTTAAGGGCTGAGCCCAATATCGACAATTCGGGCTATGCCCTCACGAGACCCTTATATTGGGCCATTGGCAAATACCTGCCACAAGTCGCGGACACGCTGTTCCCTGTTACCCACCTACCTTACCGAATCTACCCTATCCGAACATGAAGAAGCTATCCGAGGTCCGCTCCCCAATCTTGTGTTTGAGCTAGCCGAGTTGGAACAGCTCCATTCACCCTTTGCATATAAATTTGTACGTTTGAACGGAAGCTGTTTGTTCTCTTTCCTTTCCTTCTTTTCCTCATGTACGTTATCTACGCGAGAATGAATCTATAATAATTCATAAGACGGGACTGGCCCGTAACAGTTCCCCTCTATACTCGACTATACATAACATGCACATACTAATATGTATTAAAAGTTTCGAGACTCAACTACTCTTACAACTCAACTCACCCTTTTATATAGGTAAATAGTGCAAGAATAAAGCGGTGCGAAACTAGTCCACATCTTGTATGTTTTGGTTCTCTGACGCGGGTGAGGGTGTCCTGGCAGCAATGATAAGAGGATGATTTCCAAGGAATAATGTAGCAGCTGGTCGTCTTGGAGGATAAAGTTGATGGACACGCCCTTCACAGGTGGACAGGGTAGTTACGACAGCGTCTGAATATCTGGATGAAACTTCGCGCTGAGGCTGCCCACACTTTTCCTCGGTGAGCGGTGTTTGATCTATTAATGCATTATACTCAGCCAACAAATCATTCAGAGCACGAGAGGATGACATGGAGTGCGGGTGGTTAGGCCCTAATATTTTGCTGCGCAGGGTAAAGCATTGTCTCGTCAAATTTAAGGCATCCTGAAGCTTCTCCTGAGATCTCCAAGTATAGGCAAGGCTATTCATGCTGGTCAGAGTGTCAGGATGCTCAGCGCCCAGCACTGTCTTCCTTGCCTCCATTACTTGCACTTCCAGCTTCTCGGCTTCATTCCATCGACCCTGATTCCGGTAGGTGGATGCGAGATTCGCCATGCTGGTCAGAGTGTGAGGATGCTCAGCGCCTAGCACTGTCATTGTTGTCTCCATTACTTGCACCTCCAGCTTCTCAGCTTCATTCCATCGACCCTGATTCCGGTAGGTTGATGCGAGATTCGCCATGCTGCTCAGAGTGGAGCGAGCTTGAGGACCAAATTTCTCCTGACTAATTGTCATCAGCTTCCTGTAAAGTACCTCTGCTTCTTGATACCTTCCATCACTGAAAAGGCAATCTGCAATCTTTTCAGTTAGATCGAGGTAGATTTCCTCTTGTATAACAAATTCATTTTCATACACAAGTGTTAAAGCATGGGGAAGGTACTGCCGCCAAAGTCCTCGATTTGTATGGTGATCATCTGGAAACACATTCTGCAAATTTTCAGCCACCCGTTGGATCCAGTGATTAAATAACGCATTCTTTCTGAGCCAGTTTCGGGTCGCAATATACACAAGTCTATGCATACCTATATCTCTCTCTTGGGCATTCGTAAACGAATATGCATTTAGAAGCCCCAAAGCATCGACTTTCCGCTTTCTGGACTTTGGTTGAGGAAGGATGGACTGGGGTATATTTCGCGGGTCGATGCAGGCGATGAAAGAAAGATAGTCGGCAGCTAATGGATCTTGATACTGAATCTGCTGGAACGATATTAACCAGGTAGTAATCACGGGGTTCTGGATATCGTTATAGCGTCCTGGATCTCTAAAGTCTTCGCTAAGGACTTCGACAGCATCTTGTTCATGCTCTTGGAGAAGTGCAAGGTACATCGACAAATCTATACCGTTTTCAAGTATATATGCTGACGCCTGCGTAATTGCTAAAGGGAGAAAGGCTAGTTGTTCAAGGAGAGAAGCGGTTATGGTAGTATCTCTAAGCAAGTCCTCGTGTGCCAATGTCTTGTCCAGGATTTTGACTGCGATATCTTTATCCATATCTGGAATGGAAATAACATAGAGTGGTGCCAGCTTCATGGCGAGTTTTCGGTTTCGGGAGGTGAACAGAATACAGCCGTGCTCACTCTCAGGGATAAAATTTTCGAGAAGTGGAGCTGTATGACTAGCAGCAAACCACATCTCTGCATCATCTGCATTATCAAAAACCAGAAGCCACTTTCCTGCACGCTCAGAGCTGAGATATATCTTAATCTGTTCTTTGACCTCAGCCGGATTCACATCATGAAGTCCAAGTTTCTGTGCAATGCGCAGGAACGTCTGATCAATCATTGCATGGCTGGTACAGGGAATCCAGAAGATCGAGCACTCTTTATTTCGATCCCGTATGCAATATGCTAGCTCAAGTGCTACTTGCGTCTTCCCGACTCCTCCCAACCCGGTGATAGCAATCCTCCTGGTCCCATCTTGCAGTGTGATCAGTCCTTCCAGTTTCATGATTTCTTCTTGGCGACCGACAAATTTGAGATTTCTTGGGAACGAGACCATCCAGTGCCGCATATTCTTCCTCTTCATCAAGTCAACATCCGGACGGCTGATGGGAATAATCGATAGCAACGCTTTTGCATAAGCGGCCGCTGTCAATGCTGCATATCCTTGCCACTGCTTCTGCTTATGAAAATCACAATAGTTGCATATCCCTCGAATCACAAGCGTCGGAAGATCATCCATAAGGCCTGCTGCCTCCATCTCAAAGCAGAGTATACCATACTGTTGTGCTAGGCGGTCCCGTGTCTCTGAGTCCTTTATTACCTGATCTCCTGATGCAATTAACCCATAGTGGACATAAGGTGTCCTTGTTTCTCGTGGTTTTCGTTTGACTAATTGGTTTTTATCACACTTTTCACAAGTGCCTTCCCCGGCAGCATGGTTGTAGGAGGATTCAAAGAGGAAGTCTGTAAGCTGTTCTGGGGGCGAAAACTTTTCTTTTATGTGAGGGTTTCGTTCGAGTACTTCCTCCACTATTTTTTGAGCATCATTCTCACTCCCCATCATTCGCTTTGCCTCAAGCTGATTCATATGGCTCAAAAGACTGTGCGGTGGTTTGTTCAAGGTGCCCGTTCGCTCGAGTTTCCCGCCTCCAACGGCCTTGCCATAATCATACTGTATCACCTCACTGTGCTCTCCAGCCGGTTTGCTAACCACGACATCGCTTAGTCGAATGTCATGGTCTTTGCCCGGGACACCGCCTCCAATTCCCACCATCAGTCCATATTGAAGCCGTGGATAGGTAGCACGCATGCGAGACACCACATTCGCGGCAGCCACCGTTCCATATACACCATATGTCAGGCAGGTAATGACAACATAGTGGCCGTTTAATTTGCCAAGTTCGTAGGCATTCGGATCGGTGGACGGTTTTGGCAGCGGATTGTGAATTTTATTCAGCATGGCGCGAGCTGCTGCGACCTCTACCGGCAAGGCACATATCCACGCGATTGTGTAGTCTTTGTGCATTAAAGTGGTTATTGTGAGCCAGATATAGTTCAGATGAAGCAGACATACCCAGTCATTGAGCTATTTTATGATGATGAAAGAATGCGAAGCACTGACTATGAGGCTGAGGAGGGGTAGCACGTTCATGCTACAGATACTGCAAGGCTGCTGACATATGTACAGTACCTAACGCACGGTTCCCTAGCCATGGGCATCTGCATGATAATCAAGCAACAGAAATCTGTTCAGGTACTCGATGGGCGTGCTCTTAAAAGCACCTCTGTTGTTTTTCGAAGGACACCTACAACCAGTAACATTGCAAGAATTGTCAGTCGGATGTCCATGTCGAGAAAATGCAGCCCAAGCTACCTGTACAATAGAAGGCACTAGACGCAGGGCTGACTAGGAAAACCAAGAACATTGGTTCCAGCGCTCAACGTACGGAGCTTTCGGTAATCCACTCCAGAGGGTATTTGAAAAAGCAAGAGGGTGACATTTGGCCAGTTTGCTTAGGCACCCTCTGTCTCTGTTGATAGTTTGCCTGGTTTGCAAGGAAGGCCTAGAAGCTCCGTGAATTTGCGATACAGGAAGCAACACCTGGTTTTGTATAGTTACGTTCAATACTACTCGTAAATTACCGAATTCATAGACTAAATCTAGTATGGATTAGAGTGCGGGAGTGGCGCCGAGGAAGAATCGAAGAGTTGCAAGACATGTAAAGCCGCACTTGCAAGGTGCTGTATGAGACGGGCAGGACCGTCGATGAGTGAGGATGGAGCCCTATAAATACGGGCTGTTTCCTTTCGATAGATAGTTTCCCTCTTCATACTCAATTTCTCCTCAATGCAGGCACCCTAGTTAGTGAATATTATTCATTTGGATTGACCGTATTTTACACGTACACTCGTCGGGGGGCCTCCATTGCCCCGCGCGAGGTACGGACCGGGCTCATGAAGATTGATCTAGTAAGATCATATTAGACAATGTTGTTATCAAAATCACAGAAGAGAGCCCACAGTCTCACCAGTTGGAGGGAAGGAACCGAAGGGAGGGGCCGGGGGGATGGGGCGGACTCGTCGAGAACCATTTCCCTGCTCGTGGCCTTCGTTGTGGAATGTTCTTCCAATAAATCGCATCTTTGAGTCAGAATCAGCGTCACTGCGAGCTATTTCTTCGTGATAGGTTCCACTGACAATCTCACTGGACTAACATGCATTTACGCCTCAACCTAGTAAGTTTGATTTTCAAATATGCTGGCTCTCAACAAGATCTCGCAAAAATTCTGGAGGATATTCTTAGTCAGTTCAACGCTCAGTACCCAGTTAAATTTTAGTGCCTGTAAATATGAAGGGTTCCATGGTCAATTGCCCACATTGTAGGAAATTTATTTTCGCGCAGAAGAGTTAGTTCCTTTTACACTTGGTTCTATGTCCTGACCTGGGGTAGCCACTTCCAGACACCTAGATAGGGGTGAATACTGCCTAGTAGTTCGTATGAAAATATAAATAGCTGTATGGTCCGCAGTGAGCTGCAATTTTTCTTCTCAACCACTCACTCTCTGAGTCAGTCTGCCATCATGTCTCCCAAAACAAAGCTTGGTCTTGCTTCAAGGGTAGACCAAATTGCTCCGATACAGTTTCCCAACACGCGCAAGCACACTTCTATCAGTAACGGACAAGGGGGGTCTTTTAGAGACTACTAAAACGAGCCTTTACCTGCAACCAAGAGTAAAATACCATTCCCCATTGAATTATTATAGAAAGGAGTTTTGTTGTGAGCTCGTAGGTGACGCTGTGGCGGTTATCCATAAACGAGAACCTTCAAAGTCTTCTTACTGAGGTGGTACCCTCAGAGCATTTGAGATCAGATGTTGCAATGGTTTACCCAACTTCGATATCCAAATATCGTATCAAAAGAATGCTTTTCCGCTGAAGACTCGTTCTATGCTCTGTGTGAAGATCTCCCTCTGATTTTAGAGCATCTCATTGTTTATCGTGCCTACCCCACTGAAGCCCAACTGGCCTTGATCGTAAAACATGTAATTCTCTCCTCTCTCTTCCAAGGCATAATTAATTAACCGTGAGGAGATATTGGAAGACCTCTCTTACCTGATTGCGGAGAGCCTGACCACCAGTCGTTAACCTCCTCCAACATTATAATGGCGCTGAATTTGGCTATTGCTATATTAAGAGCTACCTTGCTCATTGCATAGGATGTGGCTTGGTAGATATCGGCTTTGAGTGTCATCTCAGAATCCGAAATGCCCTTGGAGATGGCAATCACTTTCGTCGCCCGCCCTTTTAAATCAGGGGCATAAAAGTATTGAAAAGATGGACGGCGCCGGTGGTATTGACTCGGAAGTGGTCAATCACATCTTGTTCAAGGGCTTTTGGATCGCGGTCCTGTGGAGGAATTCCACCAACCAAACCCACGGGCCTGGGACGAAGCTCAATTCAGAAAGGCCTACATATAAGACCTATGTACGTCCACGGGTGCGGTTAGATTTCAGGATTAAAACATGAATATAATCGCCGATACCTAGATCCGTCCAGAATTCTCAGTGCTTCTGCCTTTCAATCTTCCATCCACTCAGCCGCATCGAACCGACCATGGAGAACATATCAGGGACACTTTCTGATCTTTGTACCCAGAGCACTGGAACCGACGCTTGGAGTCTCTGGTACTTATCCCTAATGCTGGGACTATTTTCCGAAACCGGAAATCATGTCTGAGGCAGCAAAAACGAGTTGAAGAATCTCTTTGACTCCTCGAGTCTGTGACATTTCAAGTTGAGCGGTGGCAATCTCTCGTCCATGACTGAAGCATCTCCTGAGAAACCTGCCATTTTAATTGGTTTGGATGAGACTGTAGGAATGTTTGTGGGAGTGGTATCTAGAATCTGGAGTAGTGATGATGTCCAAGCTCCATCGATTGCTACATGTCCGAGCGCTCAAAGAAATGTAGATGTATATAAGTTTTCTTTTTCTGTCCCATTTTCATCGCTAAATAAGTCTGCAAAAAAGCAACAGATCGTTATAGTCTACTGTCCTCGGGGCAGAGCCCGACTCGGAGGGTTAAACTAGAAAATCGATAAGTACGACCTTATTGGTAATACGAGTTTATACAAAGGCGAGGATCGTGAAGAAGCTCTGGTGGTATGATAGTATGTTTGCAGCATCACACATCATTGTCTTTAATTGACGAGTTTCTAGCTGTCATCGTTATTCCCTGGGCGTCGCCTACCATTCGCACTTGATAGGTTGTATGGCTAACTATCTGCCAAGGTTTTCTCGATAGTTCTTCAATCTGTAATACTTTGTAAGATTGTTTCTACCATCAAACACTCACGCGGCTGCTGACGCCTTTATCTTGGCATAGACACATTCGCTATGGAGTGCACATGGAAAACTTGAGTCGATCCCAGTTAAAAGAGTACTCGAAGGTACGTCTGTTGACCAGTCCCATTTATATGCATTTTCAGAAAGCCTCAACTAATATGAGCAAGTTCAACGATAGACTCTGCTAGCCGCCTCAACAATCTATATTATGTGTCTCGCATGTGCCAAAATCGCCCTCCTACTGTTCTATTACTCATTACTGCATGTAATACAATTCTGGAAATATTTCATGCACGTTGTCATTGGAATCATCGCAGTATATACCATTGCAATATTCTTTTCACTCATCTTTGCATGCCATTCTATTGGAAAAAGTTGGGACCCTACGCCTCAGACATCGCATATGAGTTATTGTGTTGATCGATTGGGTCTATATCTTGCGAATGCAATCCTCAACACGGTGAGCGATATCATATTGACTCTCATTCCCGTTCCCATTGTTTGGAGTTTGCATGTACCGGTTGGACAGAAGCTGGGGATAGCGGCTATATTTGCAATTGGGTGTTTGTAAGTCGATCTCAACTCTCGTTGCATTGCCTTGTCGAGTTTCTCCTGGTCCCCTTTCAGGACGGTTATCACCAGCATAGTTTGATTAGCAACCATATACCCTTTGGTGTCATCATATGACCAGCTGTATGAAATAGGACTGGCTAGTATATTTACGTGAGTCTGATACTCGAAATCAGACAAAAAAAAAGGGGCGGTTTTCAGATGCTGACGAGTACAGACGAATATTTCGGAAACACCTGAGCAAAGTCAAGAAATACCCCAAACCGCTTCAGGCCCATACTATGGGGTGTAGACCACGTATACATGGCAATTTGTTAATATGACTGGAAAATTTCGGGGTTAGAATCCCACTTTCAGCTGTGTAAGGTTTATAAAATTTTTGGTAAAACGTTACTAAAAAACACATCAAAACAAAGGAACTAAATCTGGAGACCGGGCTGCCCAGGTTTTGTGGGCTTTCACGATAATTATTCGTGACAGAAATAAAGTTCTGCATTGGTCTCGACCTTTTGGTCCAATGAAAGGGTCGGGTCAAATGTCTCAAAATCACAGACCTGGACATATCATTCTAGAAAACGTGGTACTATTCAGATCAAAGAAAAAGGATCGGAATGTCGAGGGCATTTTCAAAACATGAGTTTTCGTGTCCATTGTCCAGACATGTAGGCAAATTAGGCGAAATTTGCGGGCTAACAAAGAAATGAGGATCTGGACACAAACACCGAGTAGGAGGGCTGGTATCATTGGTATGCTGTGTGCTTTTCTTGTCGTGTGCTCTTCACCTGGCTTCAGTACCATGGATCAATCATCCATTAGCAATTGTTTTGATGAAATGCTCTGTCACCTGAAACACTCTGACTCGGTGACGATGCTGAAGCGAAATGGCATTCGCACTGACTTCGCAGCCCGAGTACGTAAAAGTCTATACCGAAGATCGGCACCTCGTGGCAGGCTCGGTCCTTTTTGTTCCACTAACTAGCAGGAATTTCACGGGGCACTTAAGCAAAATTAGTCTCTTCTCGGGCAACTTGGCTTCGGCTTGGCGTCTTCTTTTCTTTCACACTTCGACCTTCGTTTACCAAGCCGTACGTCCGCACCTAATTGACCGGGTATGCCGAGAAACTTGGGGAAAGACATGGGAATTGATGAATAACTCAATGAGGAAAGGGATAGCATATGGCAAGGGCATTTTCAAACCTTCAGCGAGTTAGATCGAAGGGAATTATCGTGAGATTCCGGAGAACAGGTTTTAGCGAATTGACGCTCAGTGAATCTTGAAGGATCCGATGGTGGGCACGGGATCAGATGACTAACAGAACTTGCGCATCTTCAATCAATAGCATGCCTTTTATTGTTGTTCTCCGTGGTATGTGGTGCGCTTGGTAGACTAAACCCCAGAAGCGGGCCGGGTTGAGTAGCAAGCACAGCAAGAAATACAACGGACCATGCGGGGTTTGCTCCGGGTTTGCTCCATGTCTGGTCAAGCTAACTAACTAGATCAAGGCCTCATTGGCTCGCCCAGCAGTAGTATTTCATAGCCCAGTTGATCATGATGGGGATGTTGCAACAAAGAGTGTGGTACGAAGTGGGATGTATTCTTCTGAGCTATTTAAAAGGGTCTCGTGCCCTCTCTAGATGTAGTTTCTTCTTTATCCCCCGGCAGACCACTTCTTTCTTTTCCCTTTCGGGCTAAGACTCACTCACCGACAAAATTCTTTTATGAGACTGACCGCTATATATTGGCTTGCTGGACAAGAAATTACTTCTCTACGATAGTTTTACTGCTGCCAACATGGCCGACATAAAAGAGGCACGCACCGCGCAACCTGCGGAAGAAGTCAGCTTTCCGGAAGAGAATATGTCTGTCGGTAGGTATCTGGCTACTCGGATTACCTCCTTGCGGCCCCCTATGCACAAGGCTCCAAACCCGTTCAAGGCTTTGGCGCTGTTGAACCGCCAGCAATGGCTATTTTTCTTGGTATGTTATTCGCGTTGGTATTGTGGTAGTTCGTATGACAGCTAAATGAGCCTAATAGGTTGCCTTTTGGGGCTGGACCTGGGACGCTTTTGATTTCTTCTCTGTCTCGATTTCTTTGACCAGTCTCGCCAAATACTTTGACCGTCCTAACTCCGAGATCACCTGGGGTATTACTCTCGTGCTGATGTTACGTTCTGTCGGTGCCATCATCTTCGGTATTTTGTCTGATCGTTACGGCCGGAAATGGCCTTTTGTCGCCAACAACGCTCTCTTCATCGTTTTGGAATTGGGTACTGGCTTCTGCAAGACATACAAGCAATTCTTGGCATGTCGTGCACTTTTTGGTATTGCCATGGGCGGTTTGTACGGTAACATTGCTGCCACTGCTTTGGAAGATTGCCCCCCACAGGCTCGGGGAATTATCTCTGGAATGTTACAACAGGGCTATGCTTTTGGTTACCTGCTGGTTACTGCATTTGCACGTGGTCTTGTGGGCACTACTTCTCACGGCTGGCGCCCTCTGTTCTGGTTCGGTGCTTGCCCTCCTGTGCTGTTCATCATACTCCGTCTGTGCTTGCCCGAAACCCAAGCTTATCAAAGTCGTGAACGAGTGCGAAAGTCGCTCGCTGGCGGTGTTGCCGGAAATTTCATCTCGGAGGGTAAAGTAGCCATCAAGAACCACTGGAAGCTGTTGATCTATCTCGTTTTGTTGATGGCCGGTTTCAACTTCATGGTACCTCCTCTCTGTAGAAAAAAAAATTTTTTTTTTTTTTCACTGAAGCATCTGCTAACGTGAAACAGTCACACGGTTCCCAGGATCTCTACCCTACCATGCTTTCAGCCCAATTCGGCTTCTCCCCCAACGCCGTAACCGTTACCCAAGTCGTTGCAAACCTCGGCGCCATGAGCGGCGGCACCCTTTGCGGTTGGGCTAGTCAAATCTTCGGACGACGATTCTCTATTATCGTAATTTCCATCGTTGGCGGCGCACTCCTATATCCCTACGACTTCGTCACTGACAAGTCAGTCATGGCCGTGGCTTTCTTCGAACAATTCTGTGTACAAGGTGCTTGGGGTGTTATTCCTATTCACTTGATGGAATTATCTCCAGGACCCATCCGTACATTCGCTGTCGGTACGGCATATCAATTGGGTAACCTGGTCTCGTCTGCCTCTTCTACCATTGAGTCGACTATTGGTGAACGCTTCCCATTGCCGCCAACTCCCAAAGGCGTGAAACGGTACGACTACGGCAAGGTTATTTGCATTTTCATGGGATGTGTCTATGCATATGTCATTATTGTCACGTTCTTTGGTCCTGAGAAGTTGGGTCGCGAATTCGATGCAGAGCACGATTCGGATTTGAATGAGGTTGCTGCTCGTCAGGTGTTTGACAAGGACCTAGAGAAAGCCAATGTCCAGCACGCGGAGTAAGCAAGTATGAATTATGTTCATGAGAAATATTGTTATTACCTGTGATTCAGTACGGTGCGGTGCGATATGATTGATGTCCATGAACGAAGTGCGTGTAACGACTTATAGCTCATTGGCTTCTAAGTACATATTCAACTACAAAAACCAGTACTTTATGTTGGTTTCCTCTATTGAGTAGATTCTCTCATTCTCTAATCAAACCAAACTGTTGTGTAGTGTTGGCCCTGTTAAAATTGTCTTGTCCGGTCTACCCATAACCGTCTCCGGAGCAGAGCCATGTCTGCTGTTCCATGGATCACATACCTTATGCGATCACTTCTAGAATGAAACAACGTGGGAGTCCGCGCTCTTCTTGAGAGTTTTGCCGGTTTTGCTTCCACATTCTTGTCGTCTAGTCCAGTCTAGAATGGTTGAGAGTTTTAAGAAACATTTCTGCTTGTGAACCGATAATGCGAGACCATTCCTTTCTTTCCGGTAATTTGCTCCGAAATTTTTATTATTGATTCAAATAATCATATTACAGACAGGAGAAAAGTCCGTAGATTATTTTGATCTACATTCATGCTACATTCCGCATCCGAGAATCAAGGATCAGATCTAGAGTTCTTTGCCTAACGTAATCAACAAGCGAACCGGCAATTTTTCCCAAACGCGTACAAAATATTGATCTGAAATCTCAATTTCTAATCCACATACTAATTATATACAAAAAATTAATTCCTAATACGATTAGGACATCTAGTTATTTTATGTCCTGCAACGCTACAACCACTGCAGCGAAATTGACGTCGTACAGGTGGATGAGAGACTGGGAGTTCAGGTTCGCTAGAGCAGTAGTAACAGCTTGAGATGCTTCAATCTGACCTTGTACGAGTGCTTGAGCTTCCTCTCTGGTAATTCCTTGCTTATGAGATACTTGCTGCTTGGATCTTTGACGTTTTTGCTTCTCCTTCTCATGTGCAGCCCGTAGATCATGGAGTTCCTTCTGTGCGATTGTAAGCTTATTAATACTCATCTCATAAGCCTTTGACGCCCGTGTAAACACTTCATCAATGGCCTCAGATGAACTTCTCGTATGCCGGCTTATTCGCTTCTTAATTGTAGTCATTTGGCGCTTGAATTGACGTGGATTTTGAGGGGTTTGTAAGCTGGATGACTGTGTATCACTTGATCGACGGGGAGGGGGGGGTGGGGGGCGGGGAGGGTGTTGGAGTCTTCAATCGAACAGTAAGCTGTTTGATAAACTCGATCTGGATTGAATGGTACTAATCCAGTTGCTATAAAGCTATTCCAAACAGCTTGAGCTTTATGTGCCATTGTACGAGCCTTTGGGAATGCAGTGAGAAAGTCGATTTTGTCAATGTGATTGAATCCAAGCCTCATTCGCTGCTCAACAAGCTGTCTATAATGTCACTTTAAAACAGCAAAATAGCCAACATCAAGAGGCTGTAAAAGATGTGAAGAATGAAGAGGCATACAGACTGGAATAATATTATTCTTAGTGCATGTACGGTCAAATTCAGCAGTTAAATGGCTTCCATGACCATCAAGAATCAACATCCGATATTTCCCCAATGTACGGCCATCGGTAAGAGGAATAAAATGAGTTTTAAGCCATTCTAATCCAATCTTATCTGTCGTCCATCCATTATCGCTAATATTGATTTTCCAGTCGTCTGGAAGATCCTCAAATCATCCTAATCGAGTGTATTTCTTTGCCTTGAAAATAATGTACGAAGGCAGTGCCCATCCAATCGAATTAACTGCCTCAATTGCAGTTACCCATTCTCGATTACCAGGCTGTAATAGCTTTGGCCGAGCATATCAATCACTTCCAGTGATAACCTTGGCAGTCGCACAGAGTCCCATAGCAAAGCCAGTCTCATCAAAATTGTAGATGTCTTCTGGCAAGATCCCATAGTCTGATATAACCTCTCGTACGCGATCAAAATATTCTTGGATTATCTTCGGATCTTCGCATTTAGCACGTTCATAGTTATATTTCCGTGAGAACTTTGATTCAATCTCTGGGCGACGTTTGACAAGATTATATACCCAATTTTCTCCAACCTGTTGGTTTCCGCGTTGTGAAAGAAGATAATCAGCCATCTCTCGTACAAGAGAGTGTCGAGGAGGTAATCCACGTTTATCTAGATCGAGTATCCATTTGACAAGCAATTCCTCCTCACACTGAGTTAATTTATGACTGTTGGCGCGTACTTGAGATCTTTGTTGAGTGCCGTTTAATCTGTCTTGTAGAGTCGCCCGGGGTATACTATAGATCCTTGCAGCTTGAGCCACGCGTAAGATTCGTCCATTTTGTAAATCGGAAATAGCTAATAAGATTCGTCCCTTTTGCTCAGCTAAATCTTTCTTATTTTTATTGCGAATTGGTGGCATGTTGGCGTGTTGAATAATATGGAATTAATATTGTGTACGCGTTTGGGAAAAAGTGCCGGTTCGCTTGTTGATTACGTTAAAGGCGAACATCTCGACATTTTCTTTACTGTAATCGTTGCTACCATATCTTACCTCTGCTTAGTTAAGTTGATCTGTAACAAATTAAAATGTTATCGCATCGACGTGGCGAATCTTGCATTTACATGACGCACAGCCTACAGGATCTCTCTTCCACTGCCCAGTGATTGAGTCGATCCAATGCTGATTCAGCATGTGATGTGAACTCTGTCTCAAAGATCGGCTCTAATTCGTGGACCAAGACAATATGACCTACGGAACACGACCAAAGCATTTGAGTTTGCTGCAGGAGAAGAAAAAAAAAACATCCTTCCCCTAGAATTCTTCTAGGCAGTGAGTACCGCTATGAGAAAATCCGGAGTAGTAAGGTTAGTTCTCAGACCCGCTCAATTCAGGCAGCGGAGGACCCGGTTTTTCTTCGCTGCTTCGATCTTTTTTCGCGGGGATTCCGATGTAGTTAGGGAGTACGGAGTAGCGGCAGCTGAAAAAAGGGGGGTCGAAAAAAGGATCGAGCAGCGGAAAAAAAAAAAAAAATAAATAAAGGAAACAATGGCCCAACACTAGCGGGAAGACGGCAGGATGGAGTCGACGCTGATTACGGAGACTGGAGTACGGAGTAGAGAAGCAGAATCTGGGGGAGGGTCTCTTAGGCTGATCTTTTAGTTTTTGTTTAGGGGCTAAATTGTGTTGGCAAGGAGCTAACTCTGTTCAGAATCCGCGGTAAGCGTACTACGGAGTGAGTGCGCAGTACCTAAAACAATAGTAAGCATGTAATGTCGGTAAGGGGGATGAAGTGTATATAATGTATGATATGGAGTACGGAGTATGGGGTAGATGTTAATGGGGTTTAAAAAGAATCTTGTTGATACACTCCGTCGCTCTGAATACGGCAAATCCTTGGAACATGGTGTCTTTTCAAGTCGGACGAACTTTGATTCGGAACTGGAAGAAAATGCAGATCAAATCAGCCGGGATAATCTCCGGCACAAGCGTACCCCTGGGTACGCAGTATCTAGGCAGACTATGTTTCTTTCTCTGACAAGATGTTCAGGGGAATTCCAAGGTTGTTTTGCCAACCGTATGGAGTGAACAGCGCGTCCAATAATATAATATTAAGATTGGACAAGTCGATGGCAACCCGCTCTATTCGAGGCATCGATCACTGCATTCCAGAACAGTAGCCCATACCACCATGTAGTACGGATCCGTAGTACGGAGTACAAACTGCAGGCAATTCAGATGGATCCCGATAAGCTAACCGGGTGGCGACTAAAATAGAATTTTTGGACCCAACTGTCAGCCTATCTACTATGTTACATAGTATGCTTGTACTCCAGTCTCCATCTTCCATCCATACTGATTCATATTCGAGGAAATCTACGAAGTATGATCCTTCCTTTCTCCATTACTCTAGAACAAACAACGGTTTCCGGGTGAAATCGAGGCTGTGCCAGGCCGTAATTGGTTGTCATCGGGGTCTGTCTGAGGTGGCCAGTCAATGATTCTCGGATCACATCGTTCCACGTCGGCTGAGGAATGTCTTCCCCCTTTTAGACTAAAACTTAATTCTAATTGATTATTGCTACCTCGCTACCTAGGTACATGCTACATAGCGATTATTCATGCCGTAGGCGCGTCTACGAGTCACGGATCTGTGGTTGGGTGGCCACTCCTTGTTAGTTCGTTGTACAAGTCCAAGTTTCCCGGCCAAGGCCTCATCCCCTTGTTTGAGAACAAACTTTTGGCTAGATTACTTGACGACTCGACATCTTCAAGTTCCTGGTTCTGCAGTAGTCATGAGCTAATCTGTTGTACTGCGTACGGTTGTATCTTGTGAAGATAGATTGGGGAGAGTGTTGCCTCCCAGGCGCCCACCGCTTTTTTAAGGCAGCAACCGGTCCACCAATCATAATGCAAGATTTTTACAAGCAGCCAATCGAAATGAAGATATATCTGCTGAGCGGGCCCTGGCCGTTTCAGGCTTAGTATTTTGCCATGTCTTCGCCACTAATCCTGATTGGGTGAGAGACCGGGCTATCTCCCGAAAAGGAAATCCAAAAAAATTGGCTGGGAGAAAAAAAAAGTAAAAATTTTTTCTTAGGGCAAGGCGAAAAAAAAAAAGGGATGTTTGGGTGGGTTGGGCGAGGGGCCACACACCGATAAATAATCTTGCCAGCCCACTCTCTCTCACCCCTCCTTTTTCTTCCTCTTCCTACACTTTTCCACTTCTCTTTTCTTTTCCTACCTAATTTTCCCTTCGTCTCTTACACTACAAGAGGTCGGGTCGTCGTTTTTCGTCTTTTTCTTGTCTGCAAGAAATAGAATAGACAGCAGATAGAATCGTTTTTTTCTGTCTTACAGGTGCGCATTTGTGAAAAGAACGCAGATACGCCGGCCGCCACAACACAAAAACCCACCGAAAAAAAAAGACTTGCAGATACCCTTCATAGATCAGTCTTTGCATTTTTTTCAACTCATTTCTAATATTTCCTCTTTCACGATTTTCACCACGTCTTCCAACACCAAAATGCCTGCTGTTGATGTTTCTTCCGTTCCCGCCATCTCCGGCAAGGAGACCGCCAACTCCGTCGCCGTTGTCGAGAGTTTGATTCAAAACTTGTCCATTTCCAAGACTCCCGATGAAGCCAACACTCACGCCAACAACCTCGCTGCTCTTTTGAACGGCCCCATCGAAGAGAGGACTGTCCCCCTCAAGGCCGTTGAGGCGCTCAAGAAGCAGCTCGCCAACAAGAAGGATGCCAACGCTCGCGAGCGTGCCGTTGAGGCCATCCGTGCCATCGCTGAGCACTCCTCCGTTGCTCCCGGTGTCGAGCCTTACTTGGTCACTCTTTTGGGACCTACCCTCAATGCCGTTGGTGACAAGATGACCAACGTCAAGAACGCTGCCCAGGTGGCTGCTATCTCTCTCGTGAAGGCCATCAACCCTAACGCCACCAAGGCTGCCCTTCCTTCCATCATCAACTCCATTCTCTCTGCCCAGAAATGGCCCGAGAAGTTGACCGGTCTCCAGTGCATTGAGGCCCTCGTCGAAACCGCCCCTGCTCAGCTCGCTTTCCTCGTTCCAGACCTCATTCCCGTTGTCTCCGAGTCCATGTGGGACACCAAGCCCGAGGTCAAGAAGGCTGCCTACGGCACCATGGAGAAGGTTTGCGGCTTGATTGTCAACAAGGATATTGAGCGTTTCATTCCTGAGCTCATCAAGTGTATTTCCAAACCCGAGAATGTCCCCGAGACTGTCCACTTGCTCGGTGCCACCACTTTCGTCACTGATGTCCATGAGCCTACTTTGGCCATCATGGTTCCTCTTCTTGAGCGTGGTCTTGCTGAGCGTGAGACTGCCATCAAGCGAAAGTCTGCCGTCATCGTCGACAACATGTGTAAGCTTGTCGAGGATCCTCAGATCGTCGCTTCTTTCTTGCCCAAGTTGATGCCCGCTCTCAACAAGAACTACGAAACGCTTGCCGACCCTGAGGCTCGTGAAAAGACCAAACAAGCTCTCGACACCTTGATCCGTGTTGGTGACGTTAAGGATGGCAAGATCCCCGAAGTTTCCCACGCCGGTGATATCTCTACTGTCTCCGCTATCCTCAAGGAGATCCTTGAGCCCAAGTACAAGGCTCAAATCGCCAACGCTGATGCTACTATCGACTACATTTCTGCTATTTCCGGTCAGCTTATCGATGAGAAGGTGGTTGAAGTTGTCAGCTGGACTGAGAACACCACTCCTTACTTGGCCGCCCTCATTAGTGAGGCTGATGCCAAGAGCGTTGCTGAAACGCTCCGCAAGCGTGCTTCTCCCGCTGCCAGTGAAGAGGAGGAAGTCAACTCTGACGAAGAAGAGGGAGAGGATCTCTGCAACTGTACCTTCAACTTGGCTTACGGTGCTAAGATCTTGCTCAACCAGACTCACTTGCGTTTGAAGCGTGGTCAGCGTTACGGTCTCTTGGGACCTAACGGTTCTGGAAAGTCCACCCTCATGCGTGCCATCAACAACGAGCAAGTCGAGGGTTTCCCCAAGAAGAACGAGGTCAAGACTGTCTTCGTCGAGCACGATCTCGATGCTGCTGATACCGAACAGACTGTCATTGGTTGGACCCAGAAGAAGCTCGAGAGCGTCGGTATCAACCTTCCTCAGAAGGAGATTGAGGCTAAGCTTCTTGAGTTCGGCTTCCTCCAAGAGCAGTTTGAGAACCCCATCACCTCTCTTTCTGGTGGTTGGAAGATGAAGTTGGCGTTGGCCCGTGCTGTCTTCGAGAACCCTGATATCCTTCTCCTTGACGAGCCCACCAACCACTTGGACGTCAAGAACGTTGCCTGGTTGGAGCAGTACCTCATCAACTCCCCTTGCACATCCATCATTGTCTCGCACGACAGCAAGTTCTTGGACAACGTCATTCAACACGTTATCCACTACGAGCGCTTCAAGCTCCGCCGCTACCGTGGTACTCTCAGTGAATTCGTCAAGAAGGTCCCCTCTGCTCGCTCTTACTATGAGCTCGGTGCCTCTGAGATGGAGTTCAAGTTCCCCGAACCCGGTTTCCTCGAGGGTGTCAAGACTAAGGCCAAGGCCATCGTCCGTGTCAGCAACATGTCCTTCCAATACCCTGGCACTCCCAAGCCTCAAATTCGCGATATCACTTTCCAGGTGTCTCTTGGATCTCGTATCGCTGTCATTGGTCCCAACGGCGCTGGCAAGTCTACCCTTGTCAACGTTTTGACTGGTGAACTTATCCCCACTTCCGGTGAGGTTTACCAGCACGAGAACATTCGTATTGCTTACATCAAGCAACACGCCTTCGCCCACATTGATAACCATCTCGACAAGACTCCTTCCGAGTACATTCAATGGCGTTTCCAGACTGGTGAGGACCGTGAGACCATGGACCGTGCCAACAAGATCGTCACTGAGGAGGATGAGAAGGCTATGGACAAAATTTACAAGATCGAGGGTACTTCCCGTCGTGTCATTGGTATCCACTCTCGTCGTAAGTTCAAGAACTCTTACGAATACGAGTGCTCTTTCGCCCTTGGTGAGAACATTGGCATGAAGAACGAGAAGTGGACTCCCATGTCTACTCAGGACAACGCCTGGATTCCTCGTAACGAGATCTTGGCCTCTCACGCTAAGATGGTTGCCGAGGTCGATCAGAAGGAAGCTCTTGCAAGCGGTCAATTCCGTCCTCTGGTTCGTCGTGAGATCGAACTTCACTGTGCCAACTTTGGTCTTGATGCCGAGCTTGTTTCTCATTCTCGCATGCGTGGTCTCTCCGGTGGTCAACGTGTTAAGGTCGTCCTTGCTGCTTGCTCTTGGCAACGCCCCCACTTGATCGTTCTCGACGAGCCCACCAACTACCTTGACCGTGACTCTCTCGGTGCCTTGTCCAAGGCTATCAAGACTTTCGAGGGTGGTGTTGTTATCATCACTCACTCCCGGGAGTTCACCGAGAACCTCACTGAGGAAGTTTGGGCTGTTATGGATGGTAGAATGACTCCTTCTGGCCATAACTGGGTCTCTGGGCAAGGATCAGGGCCTCGCTTGACGGAGAAAGTAGACGATACTGAGAAATTCGATGCTATGGGCAACAAAATTGAGGAGACGAAGAAAAAGGCGAAGCTATCAGCAGGCGAGTTGCGTAAAAAGAGAAAGGAACGCATGGCTCGTCGCAAGCGTGGTGAGGAGGTATTCTCTGATGAAGACGATTGAAAAGCGATGGTTAAACATCGGTAAATCATTACTTATTGGTTATTTCATGGTTAGCGGAGTTTGAGTTATGATTAATGCATGTTTCCTATATTATCTCCCTTGTAAACAACTGGGGATGCTTCAAATCGATCAGCAATGTATCTATCATTATGCTTTTCAATGCTAATAGAGATTTGACATTTATTATATCTTTACGTGTTGTGGTGTAGTTGCACAATATCGTCCGGCCTATGCTCCGGAAATCTACGTAGTATACAGAAACGCCAAGACTTTCTCAAAATTTGCTTTTGCCTTCCCGCACCACGAGGGCTACGGAAACTATTCCTGAAGCAGGATGGTGTCATGCATTGGACGTATGCTTAGGGATTTGTCATGTCAAGTGGGTCTGTCGACGCGACGGTAAATTTTTGTCAGAATTGACAAAATTGCTTGTCAGCTGCAGTGGAGCACTTTACATACTAGTCACTTATTTCACAGCATATAGCTTATATTATTGGTTAACCAATTTTATTACTCAATTTTATTGGCTAATAAATTACAGTCATGTAATCTTAAAATTCTTGGCGGTATTGTCAAAGTTGACATGACAAAGGGGCTGCATGTCAAAGCTTACATGACACTAAATTTTTGTAATTGTCCAACACCCTACATATGCTAAACCATAATTGGTGTAACCTAGCATTTCCAATCTATAATTGAGATTTCGATCGATGGCATTGAACTTAATTTTCACTTCGTTCTTTGAGTTGTAATTTATTGCTTTCGGCGGTGATGCTCCGCGGTTTGAGCTGTCCGGGGAAAATGTGTATGGCGACCTACCTAACGTTAATCCGCGACACAGCCTTCAAAATAATTATCGAATTTGGAAGTTTACTTATGGGAGCGGGGTAAAACGGGCATCGAGTGATCGGAGGCATCGAGTGATAGTGATGAATACTCCAGCTTTCTTTTCACACATCGGATCAAGCTCGAATTCTCCCAGCCACCCAAAAATCCTGCAAAGGATTTCTCATTCGGGAGAAACCTCCGTCAATGTGATGTCGTACTTGACGCGGGTCATGGATCGAGAATAAGCAATGTGCACTTCTACGTTACATTTGATCATCACAGAAACATCATCTTGATAGACGAGTCTACACATGGGACAGCTGTCACTTATAGCAACCAAATCAGTCGGGAAATGCGGAGAAATTTTGAATGGATTCTTGATCTCAACCGCGAGGGTGATCGACTTTGGGAAGTGGAAGTCTACGTTCCAAATCTGAAAGGCCTTTCTCTCAATCTGGTTTTCTCTGATCATAGTACCTGCAAGGAAGAGTATTCGGCCCGAGTGGACAGATTTCTAGCAAATTGCTTGTCGACTCTTCCGCCTCTCCACTTGATCGGTCTTGACAGTCCTACTGCTGACGCTAGTACGGCTATGACTCCCCGAAAACAACCCATATATTTGCGTGAGCGAAAGACTGGAAGTGGAGCTTTGGCCCGTGTCTACTTGGTAATCGATGTGAGTACCGGCAAACAGTATGCACAAAAAGAATTCCATTCGATGCCGCAACAAGCTACGCTCAGGGAAATTGAGATTTTGAAATGATATCCACATGTGAGTCGTCACTTATGGTTGTTTGAGGTGTCTCTAAACTTCTGCATATCGTGCAAATTATCGATTCACATTATGAAAATAAGCCCTACTTCATAATGCCATTCTTTTCAAAACGGCAGTGTTGAAAGTTACTTTTCAAAAGGTCCAACCGAAACTTACACAGCTACCATCCTTCTTTCACAACTTCTCGAGGCTCTATTGCATCTTCATGCACCTAATATTGTGCATCGAGATGTTAAACTGGCTAATGTGCTCGTTAAAAATGCATACCCCTTGAAAGTGAGGCTAGCAGATTTTGGTCTCGCGAGACAGGACTCCATCTTGAAAACTTTTGTGGAACAGCTGCGTACGCCGCGCCCGAAATCGACGCTGATAAATATACCTCTTCTATTGACACATGTTCATTAAAAGTAATAGCTCTTGAATATGTATTCGGCCTCCCGGTTCTGAAAGAAAGCGGCGGTTTGGGTATCAAGCAGAGGATTAGGCTTCGGTGTCAGCATATTTTTGACTTCTCAGTCTCACTTGAATCAAGAAATTTTACCGATCTGATCAAGGGGATGCTTCAGAAAGATCCACACTCCCGGTTTACCGCAGTGAAATGCATTGAATATGGAAAACAATTTGGAATATGGGATAGCTTGCAACTAGACACCTCTCAGGACACTGTAGAAAGTCCTACCATAGTGTTGAATTCATCTTCCGGATTACAGCCTAATAATTCGAGCTCACTTGAGCCAGAAATTCATAATTCGACAGTTGATATCTCCACCTTGTGTACATTGAAAAGGCCTATGGACAACGGAAGTAACGATCGTACACCAAAATGAGCCGCGATCTTCCCTGCACAGGAGAATAGTTAGACAAGAAGATCAAATATCATTCCGTGAACCTACCTCGACGGAGTTTGTATGTCATGAAATGAATACCAAGCTTAATGAATTTTAGATGGAAGCAAAATTATAGAGAGAAAGGTGACCTGCCGAGCAATTTTATTCATGACTAATATAGAACTTAGCTATCAGCTTTTGGAATTATCTTTCTCAACTTTTGTTCTTCCACTCGAACGATACATCTTGGCTTTTCAGAGAAGTTATAACCCAATCAAAATAGGTGATACAGGACTGATTTATCAAACGGTGTGCAGTAGTATTAGAATGCAACGAGGTTTCTCGTGGTATTTCAGGAAACTTCTATACGGCTCCTCACTCTCCTCGCGTGAGAATTTGACTGCAGACAGAGTTACATACTACATATCAGATCCATTTCTCTCATTTCTCACGCCCATCGCACCGTTGATGGAATGAAACCAATGAGACAATTACTAATAATTGTTTGGCAAATATATCGGCTAAATCGATAGTTATGAACCACGATATTGGTTAACCCTGCAATCATTTGAATTGCCTCAACCTAGACTAAAAAATGTAGGGAATTCAATAAACCTTTCATGTTCACGGCGCATATATATCATGGCAGAATCAAAATGCGATGTCCCAATGTTGAATGGCTGAATTAGTCAAGCCATAGCCAAGGTCGAGCCAGTCGAGATGATCTTCGGTCGCACCGTATTCTGTAGTCATATTTCCCGGACAGACATATATGCCCTGGTATATTCAGCTCGAGTATAGCGTCGTCATGCTGGGGTGATGCCATGGATATCAGTGAAACCCTAACCCTAACATCTTCCGAAGTAAGCTTGATGGGACAATAAACTCATTGACGACAGCTCATCAGGTTTGTTAATTTATGCCAAATACTATATACGGCTTCCGATATTAATTATCCTCGGACGTAATGATACTTGACTGCTTCAGAAACATAATAAGCGACGGTTTGAAGTATAATATTGAACTATTCTTCGAGACATAGTAACACAATTTTCACAATCTGAAAAGACCATGAATCGCCATAGATCGTGGGGTTTCCTGAATTCGGTGTGCTTGAGGTTGGAGGAAAAGAAAAAGCCACAAATTCGACACGAACAAGTGGCAGAATCAGCAGAATTTCTTATCGGCCACTCTTGGCTAGGTTCCACCTCGATAACCCTTATCTTCTCAAAAATGGGGAGGCCCTGAAGAAGCAGCTCTAGTGTATGTGGCTAAATGACAACTATCCTATTTCTACAGCTTGCAAATTACGACTCTTCCTTACCTGATAGTCAACATCACCGCTTTGGGAAGCACTATCAAGCATGATGAAAATCGATAGTGCTACTACTACATGGGAAGAGATCGTTTCCGAAAAACGATTGTTGCGAGACCAGGCTTTGAAGCCCTATGTGGTTGGTGACATAGATCGACGCAGCCCTCGAACCCATAGTGTCGATGGTCGTTCTCGTCTCGATTGCGATTCGACGATTCAGGAGATCACTGATATCTCCAATGTTTCTACTTTGTTGGATCTATTTGGTCAGGGAAAATTAACTGCCGAAAGGGTCACTTTGGCATATATCAAAAGGTGATAAAAAATTTGAGATCAAGGCTAAAAGCATTTTTCCAGGAGAAGGAATTGAATTTATCTTCATCTGCTGACATCGTTTATTACTTAGAGCCGTGGTAGCACATCAAATAGTGAGTCGTCAATCAGAAGTCCCTCACTCGTTTGGCTGAGTATTAAGCATTTCGTGGTGAACTGTTTGCTAAAGGTGACATCCATGCCAGACAAATAGCATCACGGAGCCCAACTTCGACGACGCATTGGCCCAAGCCAGAGAGTTGGACCACGATTTTAATAAAACTGGAAAACTAAAGGGCCCCCTCCATGGCATACCCATAACTCTAAAGGACCAATTCAATATTAAGGGTCTGGATACGACGCTGGGCTATGTTGGCCGTTCATTTAAGCCGGCTATGGATGATTCAGTTTTGGTGCAGATGCTTAAGGATATGGGTGCTGTGATCATTGCTAAAACGAATCTGCCGCAGAGTATCATGGTTTGTACTCTATATTGAGACCTGCACCTCCATTTTCCATTCTTCATTCTTCAGAATTTAAAGCGTACGCACGAATATGATACTGACAGCAGTCATGGCCTCAATCATAGTGGGCTGAGACCGAGAACCCTCTTTGGGGTCTCACGACAAACCCCCGGAACCCCGACTTCACCCCTGGCGGTTCTACTGGTGGTGAGGCAGCTTTGTTAGCGTTGCATGGCTCTATTCTTGGCTTCGGCACGGACATTGGAGGCAGTATCAGAATCCCTCAAGCCGTTATGGGTTTGTATGGATTCAAGCCTAGTGTGTGTTGCTGTGTTTCATAATCATGATGTTCACAACGGTAAGACTGACATTCTACTAGAGTCCGCGATTCCCTTACAACGGCGTCGCCGTATCCACTGAAGGCCAGGAACATGTCCCTTCCTCTATTGGACCAATGGCCCGCGATCTTGAATCCATCTGTTACATAACTCGCTTAGTCGCAGACAGCATGCCCTGTAATTTCGACCCAAGATGCTTACCGCTCCCCTGGAATGAATTCGCTTTCCGAGAAATCCAATCTCGGCCTATGGTGATCGGACTCATCCTTGACGACGGCGTTGTGAAGCCGCACCCACCAATTGAACGGGCTCTGCTCGCACTCTCCAACAAGCTCCAGGCACAGGGTCATGAAGTTATACTATGGGATACATCTGACCATCTACAGTACATTCAGCTCATGGACCTCTACTACTCGGCTGATGGCTGTGAAGATATCATTCGCGATGTCAATGCTGCTTGCGAGCCTTTTATCCCACACGTCAGTTCTCTGATTAGCCGCGGAAATGCCATCTCAGTCTACGAATACTGGCAATTAAATAAACGAAAGTTTGAGCTTCAAAAAAGATATCTTGATAAATGGAATACAACCTGCTCATCTTCTGGAAGGCCTGTCGATGTCCTCTTATCGCCTACACTTCCGCATACTGCGGTCTCGCATCGAGCCATTCGGTGGGTAGGATATACTAAGATTTGGAATCTATTGGACTATCCAGCTATTACATTTCCAGTCGACGAGGTTAGGAGGAATATCGATCGCCTGCCAGATGTGCCTTACTGTCCAAGAAATGAGAATGACTCATGGAACTGGAGCCAATATGATTTAGAGATCATGGAAGGCCATCCAGTCAATCTGCAAGTGATTGGGAAGAGACTTGAGGAGGAAAAGGTACTAGGTGCTGCTGCTGTCATTGAGAATATCTTGAGGGATGGCAAACTCTAACCGCGATTACCGATTCTCCTTTCTTCTTTCTGCTCGAGGCTAAGTGCCGCATTTATCCTAGTTCTCTCTTTCACAAAATAGCTGCTTCCTCCTCTGTTATTGTCGCGATCACTCAAACTCACCTCTTTTATCAGTATAGACCTACCGTTAGAAGTTGGAGTGGTCGCCATTTGAATTCTGTGATAATAAGATTTCCTTAGTGAAAATATCTATATCCCATTTTCCAACACCGTCACTTGTAAGAATCCAAGGTATGAAAAACAAAGTTCATCCAAATGAGCAGTGATTCTAATAATAACAGTAATGATGCTTTGCAAAGCGATTGCCAGCACCGGAATAACGTAGCGTATGGAACGGAAGAGCAAGGACAAAAGAGAGAGAAGTGAGAGTCTAATTTATGCTAGGAACGTAGTCTCACTCCTCAGTCCCCAGTTCAATCGCATCCTCACTCTTCCCCTGTTAGGCTTCATGGATTTCTTAGCAGAAAACTCGACTTTTAACATTCACGGTGATGGACGTCCAATAATTACTCCTTTATCCTGAAAGACTGAAACCAAGTTCTGAACACTTCCAGAAGGAGAAGTAACACGGGTCTCCTCAGATGGCAACAAGGGTGGAGCGGACGCCCCAGTCAAGTCAGGCCCAGATCTTCTGTCAGCGCCAGGTGTAGGTGTAGACGGACGCTTGAAGAGAGGCCTGGGAGGTGATAAAGTATGGTCTTGTTGGGGTATGATACTCCTGCATTCAGCCCATTGCCTGGGTCTCTCGAAAGAAGAACGTGACGACGAGTTCGCATTTTTAAGGGCACGAGATCGAAGGATTTCTTTCTTACGGGGTACCGGGGGTGGATGTCCTCTCGACGACACCTGGGATGGAGTTTTCGTCAGCCGTACTTGGGGTGAAGGGCTTGTCGACTGAACTGGAGGACGTTGTATCAGTGGCTCCGGTGGAGGTCTTTCCGGTAGCGGTGGAGGTGCTGGACTTTGGCTTGTGGCTGTACTTAGGTCCGAAGGATTTGAGCTATGGTTTGATCGTGGGGATGATGTATGGTTCATCTGTATGGGATGTTTCATGTCTGGATCATCAATACGAATACTCTTTGGATAGGACGACGTGAGTTCAGAATCCTTGGCAGGACGAGCATCGGTGTGGGAGTAGGATGGGATATGTTCACGGCTGTCAGGGCTTTCCAATGGGCCTCCGTCCTGGGGAGGTGATCTCGATTGCTGCTTTTTATTGGCACGAAAACGCAATTTATACTCATCCATGAGGTGCTTAAGGCGCTCAAAAGCTTGGTGAGCTGCATGTTGAAGAGATTGGCCGGTGTTTTGAATGGCTTTATTTCCTTTGCGACCAACCGCGAGGAAAAGCCGGCGAGGAGTGTAACCCAGAATTTGGTGAGTGGTCTTCGAGACGTCATTCACCCAGCTCATCCGGTCATCAATTCCCTTCTTGAGTTGTTTCCAACGCTTGCGCATAGAATCACTCATGTCGCGCCTTTTTGCTTGCTTTTTGACCCGACTGCGAAGCTTATTCAGGCACTCCTGCAGCTCTTTCTGCAGGGCCTCCAATGAAGACACTGAATCTTGAAGCTGCTGGTCATTTTCTGAATCAGTTTGCTCAACCAATTTATACAGCTGGGGGACGATCAACTCTTGGACCAGTCCATATCGATCAATAATCGTATCGAGACTGCGCTCCGCTATCTGGTATTCGTTTTGAGGCTCTGGCAATGGGTGTATAGAGTAGTTGAATTGAAGAACACCACCTCTAACCCACCGTTCAATTTCGTCTAGAGTCACCTCAAATGGACATTGTGATAATGCCCGTTCCGTGATGGTACTCAAAAGCTCCTTTGTGCATACGGCCGCTGATAATGATGCGTAAGAATGCCATTCGTCGTTTTTGTGGCCATCCGAGTAATCGGAAATTCCACGCACAGTGAGGCATGAAATAGTGTCCATGATGCCAAATGCCTCCATCTCATAGCATATAATACCGAATTTTAAGGCTAATTCATCACGGTAACTGACGTTTTTCATGACGTGATCCGCAGATCCAACCACTCCTTCATGCACCTGGACTAGGTTATCATTGCGGGGAGTTCGAGCGCAAATAGATCCAAAGGCCTGAGGTTCCATCTTCAGGCAATCACAGCGGCTGGTATGCATGTAATTGCTAGAGTAGAGGTTGTCTTGCTCTGGTCGATGAACGGTGTTCTGCCCGAGACTTTGGATGGTCTCCTCTACATTGAAACCCTGTCTCAATTTTGATCCGAGTCGGGTTATCGCACTTTGAAGTATCGGAGGCGGAGATCCAATATGACCGGTTATTTCCAAACCATGATCTGTATATTTCCCACTTCCATATGGAACAACCTCAGTCCCAAGGACTACGTCACCCAAGCGAACGTCACGCCTAGAGGGTGAGCCACCTCCAATGCCAACAAGAAGCATAAACCGGATTGCTGGGAATGTGCTTCTCATATCGGTTGCAATCCTCGCTGCACGGATCTGCCCCTTCGTTCCAGCGGCTGGACAATTCATAACCACGAGATGATTGCCAATGCGCCCGATATCATAGTCATTCCTGTCGTCACGGCCACGAACTATAGAAGTCGAATCATATATCTCGTCGAACATCTTGACCGCTTCGTAGTATTCGCTTGGAAGTATGCATATCCAGCCGATGAGATAGTTCAAAATTTGAGATGTGGTAGTCTCTTGTGTCGCCGGTGTGCTTGGCTCGAATTGTGACATTGTTTTATAATGTAGGAATACCAGATTGAAGTATTTGAAGGATTTGAAAGAAAGAAAAAAAATTAAAAGAAAAAGTGGAAGGGAATGGAATTTGGGCGACTATTTACTAGTACATGGGAAGCGAGGCTGGGTCACCAAGCACTACAATGAAAGATGTTCCAAGGCACTTGGCATTTCATACAAGAAGAGAGAGGTTGGAACAAATAATCTAACTCAAGCACGGATCGTGTGTTCAGAAAAAGCAATTCAAGCTATACATGGGCTCAGCCCTCTATCACTTGGACCGGGGACTCAGCTGGACGATCAAAAATTAGCAATGCACAAGTGTTGCCCGGCCTGAAATTCGCTGTAGGTTGTCATTTGCTACGCAGGACGACTTAGCAGCGACTATCAGTGTATGTATGCACTAGACTTGCAGAGTTGAATTCAACCTTGTAACTAAATGAAGACAGTTACGCACAGCCTTGTCAACTAGTGCGGTTCGAAGTAATGCCTCCTTAGGGAAACCGCGCGGAAGTATATTGGATGGGGATGAATTTGATCATCGGATAACTGAGATATTAATTAGGTCGTAGGAAATAAGAGAGAAACAGCAGCCGCAGAGCTCAGGCCAGCGGCAGCTTCCTGCTGAGAGTTATGGGGTTGGAATGAAGGCGTAGAAGGCTGGCATCAGGAGCGGTTTTTTTCAGCTTCTATTTACAGATACACATGTTTCGTTGTGCAGAATTGAGTCAAATGTAAGAAACTATCCCACGCAGTTCATTAAATGATGGGGGCTCTCTAGGTTATCAATGGATGTACATATGTGTGTGTAAATATATATGAGGTTAAGAGTGGTTGCATATGCTAATTGTGAAGTGCTCAATCTTTGTACCTAGTTAGTAGAAGGAGAGATTCGGGATATTTCAAGCAGAGCTCACTTGTGGGTTGCCTATTTATATGGCTTCATCCCCTGCTTGATTCCTGACCTCTTTTTATTCCTTCTCTATGCTTAGTTAACTATCTCGTAGTACAGCTACCCAATGGAATATTGGCTCGATGGGACATCCCGTAAAGAATATTGACATGACGGGGATCCCCGCAAAGCTCTAAGCCGTCACACTGATATTGGACTGTATTCTGTCAATTCACGTACACATTCTTTATTTGCATCGAAACGGCTTAGAAATATATCGAAGTCGTAGATCAAAGCAAAAGGTAAATCCTTGCAGAGCACACAGATACGTTTTATAGAGAAGGAACGGTATTCGAGCTGGACTAGATGTTGTAAATTATGCACGAGAATAATTAGTCCACAGTTCAGAAACAGTTGACAACAATTACTAAAGTATAGCCTCAACAATCTTTGAAGGCATTTAAATTGATAATATTGCCTTTGGAAATCCGCATGAATTAAAGTTGAAAACTGCTACTTTTCTCCAGAATGCTGCCAGGAGTAGCTGGCAATATTGCTCCTGGAGGAGGCTGGTTTGTCTTCTTAAATTCATCACACATCTCTTCAAATGTCACCCACTCCACACCCTCATGTTTATTAATGTGCTCGATAATTCTACCCAAAACATGTCAGTTCCAGAAGAATGAATTATGGTTATGTACATCAAACTTACCTTTCGTGCATAAGTAACACATGGGGTCGGCCAGATACATCCGGGTGAATTGTCATAGGGAACACGAATTCATCGTATTCTCGATAGAAATAATCAAAATGGTCCTGAAACGCATTGTATCAGTAGGTAATTTTAGTATATTCTATAAAGCCTCACAACCTTCCAGATATCTTCGATATCGCGCGGATTAACCCATCCGTGACTATTCGCCGAATTTTTGATAAACATCATTGGCGGCAGATCGTCAATATACCAACTTCCTGGAATCTCAACAAGACCAGTTGTCTCGCCCCGGACCAACGGCTTCATCCACGTCTCCGCCTTCTGGCTGTAGTCAATCTTGGTCCATGAGTCCCCCTTCCGCAACCAGTACATCTGGCAGTCCTCGTGGGACATGGAGTGGTCATACTCGAGGCCATAGGCGAGCAGCATGTCAACCATCTCTGCGCTGGTCTCCCACCATGGCGCAACAATCCCACGCGGCGGTTTGCCGCAGAAATCCCAGAGCATCCTGTAGGTTTTATCGAGAATATCGCGCTGCTGCTCCTTCGTCATGCTGGCTGGGTTCTCGTGCGAGTACCCATGCAGCCCGATTTCGTGTCCCGCGTCACGGATCTGCGCGCACTCCTCGGGGAACGTCTCCAGCGAGTGTCCTGGAATAAACCAGGATGCTTTGATGTTGTACTTCTCAAATAGTTTGAGTAGCCGGGTAGTACCAATATGTCCGGCCCAGAGCCCTCGGCTTATGTCGCTCACACTGTCTTCTCCACCGTACGATCCTAGCCAACCTGCAACGGCGTCAATATCGACTCCGTAGCCGACTAAAATGCGCTTCTTGCCCATTTTTTTGAGGAGTAAGTGTTTTTGATGTTCGTCTGGAGGGGGGAGAGTGGTAGTGTAATAGAGGTCTGTAGATAGGGAGGAACGCGGTGAGTTCGTTGTATAAATAGTAATATTTTCGATATGGAACTTCTCCTCAATTAGCTCCATTTTCAAGAGGATTTGAGGAGGGGAAATCTAGGTGTTGTTTATCGAGTCTTACAAAGGTGGGGGTTATGTCCATGACGCAGCCTAACCCTAACTAATCAATGACTTTACGTCGAAAGAAAGCTGACCATATTAGGTCTTTCATGTCTAGAGAGTTGAAAACTTTTAGATAGACCGTCTTGTCAACTGTCCTATAATTTCTACGAGTAATTACTATTACCAAATGAGTAGACGTAGCTTGGTATTTTCTCGCAAATCTCCCTGCATAAATTTGGCTGACCCGATTTAGGTATCTTCAAGATCTCCAGTAATTGATGACATTAATCAAACAGAATCTTTAATTCTTCAGTTGTATGAACAATCTAGACCTAATGCGTACAATTACAATTGCATGCGGAAATATGTCCATGGATAATATCATAATCTAAACTACATTCATTGGATCTCTACTAAGTTTATATCTTTGGATGGACTCTCAAGGAATCTTAGAGCCTTTGATTAGAGCTTGCCCTTTAATATCAAAGTACTGCTATTGTCTGTATTCGGCGGCCCTCGATAGATTTGTTGTTCGACCATACTGGTGTTCACCTAAAAACAGAAACTTAGTAAACGCCAGAAAATGCAATGAAGGTACCTATTACATAGTGTGGGCCTAAATCCTTGACTGTGGTGGCTCCTAAGAGACGCATGCAGGTCGATATCGCATCCAACAGAACTAGGAGTTGCACAGGTAAACATCAGTACAGTGCAATAGTGCATTATGGAAGAGAATAATCACTGACTTTGGAGCGTTCGTTCAACCTCCTGTGCTCCACCAGCCGCAAGCCCCCAAAGCACTGATCTTCCAATACTAAATACTAACAGCTTTTGCTCTAAGACAAAGTGCCTTCACTGCATCAGTACCTCGTCGAAATCCACCATTTACCCATATTTCAAACATCAGGTGAGAAAGATGAGTTGTTAGCAATGATTTGAAGCGCTCCAAAGGTGCGACAGGCTTCCGCTATCCCTGCTTCTCCTGTCAGATGTCCCAAGCGTGCCATAGCTGTTGGAGATACATATACTGGCCAATCGACTTTGCAGCTCAAGAGGTTAGTTTCCAGGTCGCATTTTATACAGTCTATAAAGACTTGTGGGCGTAGCAAAATTGACCGATACACCTGAGTGTTGAAGTGTTTCGAGATCTTGTCGTCAGCCGCAGAATAGTAGTATGCTCGTGCTTTCTTGCTTTTTCAATGTCGTGGAGGTTCAATACTGTATTAACATCAACATTTTTAGAAGCAGGGGTAGCCGTTTGAGGAGCAGGTATCGACTCTCCGCCGGAGTCAATTGACCCCAGAAATGCTGACTGCAGATTGCTGATTGTTTCAGGTGGATGGATGGCTTTAAGGTCTTCTGTTGCATCTCTACCACTAACGCGGAGAATAGCTTGCGCACCACCAGGATGACTGGCCAGAAGACTTGTCACCTTATTCTGGTTAGAGACTAATAATGGAATATTTAGCGACACCAAGGGAGAAGCTCACATCGTAGACTTTTCCGTAAAGAACAACCCAGCAGCTATCCTCTTTGTTGTGTTGCATAACTTTGAATGTTAGTGGTGCCCTAGCCTTGAGGGATTTATACTACCTTCAGTACTTGTGAAAATTTTGCCCATGTTGACTGTCGGGCTATTAGTCCGGAGATGAATGCTTTGAAATGCGTATACGGCCAGAAAATGACAAAGCACAATTGCTGATACAATTATTTGTGTCTAATTGATTATCGTGCTCTAGGCTATGACATAGTATTAACAATTTCCCTCAACCTTACAAATTATACATTGTAGATTGTAGTTTTTTTTAAAATAGCGCCCTTACCCCCTTTCTTGTGCAATGAAAGGCTGACTAGAGAAACTATCTCCAGTTATTGGAAGCTTCAAATTTCCTAATTCTATCTCAACTTAACTTGCATCCAATACCTCAGGGATCCCATATAACATTAATATCAGTACCTGCGCAAGAAATCTTCCCTATATTGCATCATGGCCGTGTGTTTCAAACGGTAGCCCGAAACAGAGAACTCCCACCGCTACCCACATGGCAGCACTGGCATAAATGGGGGCGCTGGTGAACCCCGCCTGGGATGAAATAAGACTAGCCACGAGGCCTCCAAATCTTAGGAGCGCAGCTGCTGTACCGGTTCCTGTTCCGCGATGGGGAGCTGGGAAGGACTCAGGCGTAAAGGCATACATAATGGCGTACTCTAAAACTCTTAGTTAGTTCCAACTACCAATATGCATCCCTTAATTTTCATGCTCACTTACCAAAATTACCCAACAGACTTGTAATGCAAGAGAAGGCTAGACTGGATGTTGAGCTATTGACCCCCACGTAGGCGAAAAGGAAGACAGCTGTCACTATGGCGGAGATTCCCATCATATACCGTCGGCCGAGCCGTGTGTTGATCAAAGCGGCAGCGGATAGTGGCCCTACAATCCCAACGGCGGATGTGATGCAGTAGTTGCGGTATGTTAGGTATAGAGAAGAGTTCTCGATAAACTTGGTTTCCAGATATGAGGGGAGGAAGTTGAAGTAAAGAGGGTAGCCGATGCCTTGTTGCGAATAGTTAATAGTTATAAGTTTAGTGTGGTTGAGAGGTAAACTTACCAATAGTCAACCATATCACCCAGATAAGAACAGTATGCCTGGAGAGCTTTCGGGTTGCAAACAAACCACGATAATGCTCGCCGCGGAAAGCTTGCAAGTTTTCAGCCACGATTTCCTTGATTGATAGACCCGAGTGTCCGCCCTCTTCACCGGATGTAGTACCCAACCGGGAGTCAATCTCACGAAGCATGTCTATGGTCAAAGGTTCGGGCTTGCTATTTTGTCTAGCAACATAGTTGACTGCATCCACAGCATCTTGATCCCGCCCCTGAGATAGTAGAAATCGTGGAGTTTCGGGAAGCTTGAAGATAAAAATGCGAACAATCGTAAAAACGAGTGACATGCTTCCAAGTGTGATTAATATATATCTCCTAACAGTCATCTAATTAGCAACCGTCCGTGGATTAAATAGGGCTTCATACCATCCCATGTTCTTGGTTCGGGAACACGTTGCTGGCGTCGCGTCTGTTGGGCAGCTGAAATTGGCTAGAAACGCCCAGGAGAGCAAGGAGACAATCAACTGACTCAAGTTCCACCATGCCGAAAGCGCAGTGAGAAGATATTGATGACTAGGTCCTATTAGTTATGGAATTGCCCGTTGGATTGCAGATACACAAACCTTCCAGGAACAAACTCCAAAAATATCATTGAATCCACTGGAACATTTCCGCCAGCTGCAGTACCAATGACAGCCCAGAGAGCACTAAATGTTATGAAGTTCATTGATCCTGCAGCAGCGCAGAGAAAAATGCTTGCTATGAGAAGTGTACAGTTAAATGCTGGCCGTCGACCGATTAAGTCACTTGAAATGCCCCAGAAGGATGCACCTAGAATAAGGCCGGTATAGTACGCAACTGAACTGTAGCTGACATGGACAATATCCGAAAATTCTTGTCTAATAGGAGGCTGAATGCTGCCGATGCCTTGGGAGGCGAACTAATAATAAACGGTGTTATTATTGATAGAAGCGATGGTATGGGGCCACAGTTACGTTATCCACAATCCATCCAAAACCTGTCACGACAAAGAGCTTCCATTGAAACCTAACTCTGTGAGCGGTAATTCTCATATAGACAAGAGTCCGGTATACTCGCTTTCCCATACCGATCTCCTCCATGCACTTCCCTACCAGCTCCGATTTGAGGCGGTACGCCTGTGTGGTGGAAGAGCCATAGAACTGCTCAACTTCACCGTCATCAAGGGCGATGACCTTGCCAACACCCTCATCCGAGTAAACAGGCTGAACAGCTTGACTGCGTTTCTCGTCTGAGCGAATTTCATCCATTTTTTGAATCGTTTGATCGTTGTGATTCCATTCCATAGTCGGACTATGCCAATTCATATATTCTCTTCTAGGGTTATGCTTTCTGCATGCAGTGGTTAACAGCCAATAATGTGTTAACAGTTACGGCGACATCTGATGATAACAACATAGGTAAAAGAAGTTGATAACGACCACCCCCCCACTTTTGCTGAGTCTATCGACCAGGAATACTGAGAATTTCGTCCCTGGAAGTCGACCAAGGGCTCTGACATCGCTCTTGGACATCTCAGGACAGCATTATTGCGCAGACGGTACGGATGTACAGTATGGATGGTATTTTGTCGAGAACAACTTGATTTTGAGATATGTATCCAGTTTCAAAATACGTAGTATCGTTTCCATTTAGCTATAACTAACTTTAACCATAACCCTACACTTCAATAGTCGCTAGAGCTGGCGTAGAATCTAATTTCTTTATCTCCATCTTCTTTTTGTACTCCTCTGCCCGACCATAACTTTTCTTGTATGCTCCAGTCACCATATCCTGGACAGTAATGGGAGAGTATTTTGCTGGCTCGCCAGCCTCGCGACAATTTGGCAGGCATTCGCAAAGATAGTCCGGGTTTCCACTAAAGAAGAAAGGAATAGAATATCTCTCACGGCCGGACTTGTTGATAACGCGGTGGATATTAGACTTGTATTTATCATTGGCCATGCGCATAAACAGATCTCCCAAATTCACTACATAGGCTCCCTCGACGGGCGTAACCTGCAGATAAAATGCGTTAGTTACTGCCCTGTGGTTCAGAAGGGTATATATTTTACAGACATCGAGCCATTGCTCAGTGGGCATGTCCAAGACCTGTAAGCCACCCACTTCATCTTGTAGGAGAAGAGTGACACATCCAAAATCCGTATGGGCTCCAATACCACGGTTGAGCTTCTCGTCTTCGTCCTTCGGCTGCGCGGGATAGTGCAGGTAACGCATGGTGGCAACAGCCCCCTCGGTGAGAGGCTCGAAGAATGACGAGTCAACACCCAGAGTTAAGGCAATGAGACTCAGCACGTCTTTCGCAAGTTCGAATACCGCATGATAATATTCCATTGTTGTCTTCTGGAACTTCTCCTTGTCGGGGATAGTCTGGGGCCACTGATTAGGGCCACTATTCAGCTTTTTCTGTTTAAAGTACGGGTGATCCTCGGAAATCTCCTCGCCAATATAGAGGCCTTCTTTGAGCTCGGGACCGGTGCCCACTTCGAGCATTTGCGATCGGAGAAGCTCGTACCCGCGGTTGAACGTGTTGAGATCTACTAAGATTAGACAAGGCTCGTTTTCAAGGACAAATCGAAGTCGGTACTTTTGTCAATTTGCATCTTCTCTTCCAAAGGTAGATCGAAGAAGCGCTTAGCACATTTCATGACGGCTCTCTGCAGATCCAACGGCACGCGATGGCCCTTAATCTGGAAGAAACCATTGTACAGGCAGCACTTGCGGGTATCATCTATCAATCTAGCCTTGGCTTCGCTGTCACTTCCGTAAAATGGGGAGAAATCCAGGATCGGGGGAGCCATTGCTGTCGTCATTGTGTTTTGCGTTCTCTAATATTGTGCTTGTTGCGATGTATGTCTGAGCCTGTATACAAGATATCTTGCTCGAATATATCCCCGACAAACTTAAGAATTCGGAAAACCTACAGATATGCAGACCATTATCGAGACCCTGCTGGTGAAACAAGCAGTCCAGAGCCAAAGGTGGGGGTCGTGCTGAAGATGGGGTTGTAAGCTCTAGGGTATAGATAGTTAGACGATAAGACCGTTGTGGTTGTTATCGCATTATATGCGTTGGTTAGTGATAGACCTTAGCTCGGATAACTACAAACACTTGCTGTCTAGCATATCAAATCCATATGTCTTGTAGATATCTAGTTATGAACAGAGTGTTGCTGAGCTATGTTGCAAGCGGCTATAAGAACATTCAGAAGGCCACGCTTGTTATCAATTGTCAACCGGAGTATTTTGTTGCCTGATAGGTTGAAGACAAAAGGTTGACAAAGTAATTCTAAAGATCGAGTTAGAGGAAAAAGAGAGCGCCCAGTATGTCCATACAGCTGAATCTATCAATGATGGAGAAACCCCCCCATGTCGAGGAAAATATCGGACAAGGCTCCATTTATTCGGACCCCGAGGCCGAAAGGACATATCGTAGAAAAGTTGACTTCTTGGTGCTGCCTATGCTGTGTCTGGTGAGAAACCATTCAGAAAAGATGAAGATTCAAACTGACGCCCGTAGATGTACTTCTTTGACTGCATGGATCGCGTGGGTCTTGCTCTTTCACGTTCTGTTATATAATACTGACAGAAACAGAGCAACCTGGCAAATGCTAAAACAGATGGCCTTGACAAAGACTTACATCTCCAGGGCAATGACTACTCGTTACTCATTCTTCTGTTCTATATTCCATTCGGCCTGTTCGACCTGCCGTGGAGCTTGTTGATCAAGCGTTATTCTGGTCGAGTCATGCTCTCATTTAGTATGTTCATCCCATACAGCTCCTAAAAGCTAGTTCTTACCTTTTATTCAAAAGTGTCTATTGTTTGGGGAATCCTTGCCCTTTGTCAATGCGCGGCTAAAGATTTCGGCTCAATGCTCGCTATTCGTATGATTCTGGGAGTTTTTGAAGCCGGCTTCTTTGCTGGGACGACCTTTTATTTGACACTTTTCTACACCCGGGGAGAAATGGGCTTTCGCCTCGCTATTGTACAGTCATTCGCTGTTCTGGCCTCCGCTTTCAGTGGACTGATCTCTTTCGGCGTCTTCCAAATTAACAGTCCGTCAGTGAAGGGGTGGCAATACTTGTTTATTATCGAGGGCGGAATGACGCTCCTAATTGGCATCATGGGTATTTTCGTATTACCTCATAGCCCACAAACTGCCTGGTTCCTGAACGCTCGGGAGAGAGAGTCAGCAACAGCCCGACTGCTTCGAGACTCTTCATCGGAAGTTGCAACCAGCTTCAACCTTAAGGAATGCTTTCAGTCCTGGAAGGACTGGCAGTTCCCTATCTGGTGCATCATCACTTTTACATACCCCGTTGCCTACGCGACAGCGATGAACTTTTTCCCTCTCGTGAGTCATGGATTGTTGCCTCGCAAGATTTCAGCACTGACCGAACCAGATCGTGCAACGTCTCGGATATTCCGTGGTCAAGACAAATCTGTGGACTGTAGCACCAAATCTTGTCGGTGCAGTGGTGCTGCTCTGCGTCGCCAAGTCATCAGACTATTTCCGCGAGAGAACATTTCACATTGTATTTTCCCTGACTCTTTCCCTTGTAGGTATGGTTATCTTAGCCGCTATTGACGTGATCCAACACAAAGCGGTGGCCTATTTTGCTTGTTTTCTGATGGCATCTGGAGCATACATCCCATCATGCCTCGTTCATGCTTGGCACAATAACAATACCGTCCATGAAAACTCCCGAGCAGCCAATACAGGACTTTTTGTCGGGTTGGGGAATATGGCTGGGGTGCTGAGTGCCGGTACTTTTCGCACAGAATACGCACCCAAGTAAGCCAGCCTTGCCGGGGAGAAGAAAGATGCTAATGCACAACAGATATATTCCAACGCTGATTGCAACCTGCTGTTGCAATGTAGTCTGCATCATTTTTGTGACAGGATTAGGGTTGTGGATGCGATTGGAGAATCGGCGTCGCGACCGAGAACAAGGGCTGAAACTGAGAGCAGATGAAGTGGATACCAGTCAGTTCAAAGAAGGAAGTAATAGCAAGGAATGGCGGTATTTTCTGTAGGTGGTATAGCGAACTTAACAAGAATTATTGGTGGCGATGGGGTGCGCAAAGTTGATTTATGCCTGACCAAGATGAACTTAATATCTAGTAGACATTGATAAAAGATAAGATGTTTTTCTTCACAGGCTAGTATTTACCAGTTAACTAACTAGTTAGTTAACGTTAAGTTAATCCATTGCGTATTGTTAATTATTGCAGTTCCTTGGATCCCCCTCGCCAATTCCCCCCCACCCCTTTACTAATAAACTAGGGCGGAACTTTCGACTGGGAGCATATCAGACACCAATCACCAGTCGATTCTTCCCCCATCCTTATCAGTGGCAGACATTGGTTATTTAGCGTCAAAGGTCAGCAACTGACATGACTAAACTTCAATTTTCTTAATGCATACTCCAACACCATGAAGAACCACGCTTGTGAATATCCCGGATGCGAGAAAAGCTTCACTCGCGCGGAGCATCTGCGCCGGCATGCACTCAATCATGAACAGCCGCACAATGGCTTAACTTGCGAACGCTGCTCGGTTCATTTTCGGCGCCCAGATCTGCTAGGTAAGGCCTCTGCCCGAGTTGATCTACCCAGTACTAATGAACGCAGCCCGACACATGATGCGCCATGAGAAACGAGACAAAGAAGCAGGTGGTCCAGGATTAGGTGTACTGAATACGCGAAAGAGGGCTCGAAGAGCCCGTGATGGCACGATTGTTATGCGCCCATCGCAGCGAGAGATGCGGGCAGCGCGTTCTACAAGCGCTCCTTCATACTCGGATTCGGATTTTGTAGAAGAGGAAGGGGAAGAACAGCACGTGGGAGAAGCCCCCCTATCGCCGCCTAATTCTGGCAGCGAGCCGACTTCTATATCAATTGATGAGATAGATCCATTTCTGGCACCGATGGTGCCCGGCGGTCCCTTTGAGCCGTATGCCGAACCCATTCCTGGACAGTCCGATGCAGCCGACGGATCATTCAATGTCGGGTTAGATGGGACTATAGATTCCTTTGGCATGGACACCGGTATGGGTTGCAGTTTTCTCTCATACCGCTCCAATTCTTCTAACGAGTATAGCGACGGACTTCAATCTGCCTTTTGCCGCGACCTGCAACTATAATTGGTTGTTTGATGTCGCCTCTCTCGACGATGCCTTTCATCATTTTGATTTTCCGCTCGGTTTCGATACAGAGCCGTTCCCCAATGCTCTAGATACAGGATACATTCAGCCAATAGACAACTATGATGGTCCATCAGCCCTCTTGGAGGTAGCTTCAAGGATGAATAAAGGGCAGGAATCACAAGTTACACTATCCCGCGTAGCACCTGAAATCCTAAAGCTGGATTGGATGTCTGGGCCCTCGTTTCTGGGGCCCAATTTACGACCACAACTGCCACAATTGTGCGAGAACTCGCGGCAAGGCATTCTATCTCTTGTGATGCAGACTTCTCCTATGGGTATTGATGGTCAGCCTTTGACCGTGGACTCGCCTCTACTTACTTTGGGGGCGCTGCAAGAATATTGTGATCTTTTCTTTTCCCGCTTTAATGTGACATATCCGCTCGTTCATCAACCGACCTTCAACCCAGACATAGTTGATCCAGTTTTTCTTGGAGCTATTCTATTCATGGGAGCTACATATAGCACTCGTGAAGCTCATCAGCTTGCCGTGGGAGTCCATGATAAGCTTCGAAATCAGCTTCTATGCCATCAGGACTTTTCTCCACAGCCAGCCCTTTGGGTCTTACAAACAATGCTTCTGATCGACTGCTTTGGAAAGATGAGAGCTGGCCCCAAACAGCGAGAAAGCGCCCAGCTATTCCACTGTGTACTAATCAAACTCATCCGCCGCAGTAATTGCTGTAACATACAAGATTTGCCTCACTTGCCTCGATCTGACGGCCTAGAGCAGGCATGGAGGCAAGCTATGGATGCTGAACAGCGGAAGAGACTAGCCATGCATTGTTTCATGTGGGATACCCAACACGCAGTCCTATTCTCTCAATCTCTGTGCATGTCCGCATTCGAGATCAGATCTTGTTTACCGTGTAGTGCCGCCGCCTGGGAAGCATCGTCGGCTCAAAAGTGGGAAGACTTGGCTGTCGGCGAAATAAACAGACCCTTCCTTACGGTTCTCAAAGGCTATATTACACCAGGATCTGTGTCTCGACCTCGAGAGCTGAATGCTTTTTCTCGCACTTTCGTTCTACACGGATTGATGTCTGTATCTGCTGATCTCAAGCGTCGAGACCAAATTACGCTACGGTCAGAGACGCCTGAGCGGGCGGGAGCTTGGATTCCACGTATGAGCCGGTCTTACGATCTCTGGAAGGTGGACTTTGATGCAGATTGCTTAGCTATGAAGTTGGCACAGACAGCTGATCCGCGCCGTTTCACCGCATTGAAAATGGAAGCCCATGCTCTCTATCACGCCGCTTGCCTTGCATTATATGTGGAAGTCTTGGACTTGCAAATTGTGGCCGGAGCAATGCAAATTCTAGGACGAGCAGTTACTCCAGCCGACCAATCAAGATCTCAGCGGAATATTCTTCGTTGGCTTCATGAGGATTTCGGATCATCAACAGCTGCCGCACGACACGCATCACATCTGCTGCAGGACGCGGTATTGAGTCTTCATGATTGGGACCAGAAAGATGCTTTCCACTTTTCTTGGTGCCTCTATCTAGCTACGTTGGCTTGCTGGGTTTTCCATCGCGGCATGGATTTTTCGTCATCAGAAGGCAGACTGAGTGTGGATCTATCTTCACTTATTGTGATGATGACCAACTGCCCGAGTACCACAGAGCTGACAGCACTATCGGGAAAATATGATCCAAAGCCTTTGGTGGCAGCCATGGCACAGCAGCTGGCATCTGTTCGATGGGCGGTTGTTCACGATGCGATGAAGGTACTAGTAGGTTTGTCTTAGTAGTTCAATAAATTATTTTTCATTGCCCTGTTTGTCTTCCTCTATATACTGTAGAAACCATAATCAGTGTATCCTTTCTCCGGCGGATCAGCCCCATAGAAGGTTGACCGATCATACTGGTTCAATGGCAGTCCCTCCTTCAACCGTCGAGGCAAATCTGGATTCGCGATGAACAGCCGTCCAAATGCAACGGCATCAGCCCCATCCTCAAGTAACTTTGGTCCAGCATTCTGGGAGTTGAAATTCCCTGCAGCCAGAAATGCAATGCCGGCCTTCTTCAGGGTCGGTCTGAACACATCCAGTGACGGTTTCCCCCCAGCTAGAGAAACCATCTTCGCATCTTCATCCAGAACCTCATCGAAACGAGGCTCAACCATATGCACATATGCCGGGCGCAGTTTTGCGGGAAGGGCAGCGATTTGCGAGCAAAGCCAAAGCCAGTGAACATTAGGGTTAGAGTCGCGGGTATCTTGGAAGTAGTTGTATGGCGATAGGCGAATGCCTACACGTTCTGCACCGATGGCTTCTGCAGCTGCTTGGAGGACTTCAAGAACAATGCGAGATCGCTTCTCGATAGAGCCGCCATAGTCGTCAGTCCGGTTATTGACATTATCGTGGAGAAATTGATCCAAGAGATATCCGTTCCCGGCTGTTTGACATATAAGTACATGGGATTTTATCTCATAACGTAGCTGTCATTCATACCATGGATTTCAACACCGTCAAATCCTGCTTCGATCGCCCTCTTGGAGGCTGCCGCATATTCCTTTACAGTTTCTTGGATCTCTTCGACTGTCATAGGCCGCGGAGGTGTCGTAGCGTACTCGTTGCCATCCATCGCTTTTCCACTAATCGGGACGTCGGTAGCACTGAGGGCTCGCTTTCCTTCAATGAAAGAAGGGACAGTGGCCCGACCAACATGCCATAGTTGACAATATATATAGGCTCCTTTGGCGTGCACTGCGCTGGTGACCTTCTTCCAACCCGCGACTTGAGAGGGCGTAAAAATTCCGGGTACACCTGGATATCCAGCAGCCTGGGCTGTGTTAGCGAGGATACGGGTAGGAATACATTCATACATACAAGTCGGCTAATCGGAGTTGCCTCTGTTATCATGAGACCTCCTGGTGAAGCGCGCTGCGTATAGTATTCGACATTAAGGTCGTTGGGGACAGAAACACCATCTGACTCTTTTGTCGATCGCATACGAGTTGTGGGCGCCTGGACAACTCGATGGCTTAGGGTTACAGCGCCCAAGCGAAGGGGTTGAAAGAGAGGACCGACAATATCGATTGAGCCCATTGTGAAATCCTGTGCAGTTTGTATTAGATCTTCTCCTCTAGACAGGCAGACGTCGTTATATATCATCTAAGCCTATGAAAGGTGGGATAGCGGTGGGATAGGCCACCATTATCTACAATTAATTTGAAGTTAAATTGACTGTAACTCACCCCCATCGTAGGCCCCCCACTCCTGGACTTGCACTTCCAAAGACCTGCCAAGTCTGGTTTTGTATAGCTATTACCTAGCTGACGCTACCGACAAACGACCAGTGCCTCTTGGAGCACTCTGTGTGGGCTTCCTACTGGGAGCAATCCACTAAGTGGAAATCAGCTAACAAAGCCCATGTAAATATTGCAAAATATGAACCTCATTTTCACAGTGCTCGATAATTCTGACTTTACATCATGAATGCAAAATAGTCCTCTATCCTCTTCCCCGCCACCTTGCCCTCCGTGAGCCCCCATGTATCAATAGCTCCGACATATCCATCTGGTCGCACAATTACTATTCCCACCTGTTCTCTTTGCAAAGTGCCAAACCATTTGTCTGTGCAGCGAGGTGTGTCAACATTATCAAGATATAATGTCCAACGACTATCTTGTAGTGCTTTCGGTAAGTCTATTATTTCGAACTCAGACCTGCAAGACTGAGTCACCATTGCGTACGTGAACGCTCTGGATGCGGAGGTATATCTCAGTGGTTGTAAAAACTCGTCTGATGGCACCGCTGTTGGGGGCTTTTTCGCATAAGATTGCCTTGCTCGTGAGGATAATGTCCCCATGGCACTCGCATTGCCGAACCCTTCACAGATAACGCTCAAAAACCCAAGTCCCTTTGGAACGTCTGGGACGAAGAAGTATATTCGGAACTGGCCCAATAGTGGGATATCAAGCTGAATATCTACCGGGTTAGCATCAATGTAGCGAGTGACTCTTCCCGGAATCTGCAGGGCACCAGACTGCAGGGGTCTTAGTATGGTATGCCTATTTCGGGTCAGCATGCCTTCGGAATACTCCGCACCCACACCAGAGATAAAGCGAATATTGTCATCAAAGTTCTTAGTAAGCGCTGAATCGTCTTTGGAGAAAGCTTTGCAATGTTCTGCATCAAAGTTTATGAGATCGTAGGCAATCTTTTGTCGTTCCTCCTCGTAGGTAGCTAGAAGCGATGGTGCGGCCAAACCACGAATAACAAGATTAAGCTTCCATGCTAGATTAAAACTGTCATGCATACTCGTATTTGCTCCTTGAGCTGCAAGAGCCGAGTGGCAATGTCCAGCCTGTTGGTTGTCAGCGTAAAGAACACGGGATTTAGGATGGGTGAGTGAATGAACATACATCGCCTGCAATGAATATTTGCAAATCTGAATCCATAAAGTGCTTCGCTGCCCGTTGGCCCACCACGTAATTTCCGAACCATTCGATGGTTTTCCACTCAAGATGGAAGGGATACATCGCGTCTCTGGCTCGTTGCATGACATATTCTGCGGTAGCCTTGGATCTCTCAACACGTTCGCCGTCGGTTTCGCTCAGTTGGACATATAGTCGCGTCATATTGCGCTCACGAGGGATCCAAAGGATCGAGCCCGCGACATGTGAGCGTACCGCAACTTTACTCCATAAGTCGGGAAAGTTGGTGTCAAGGACACCTATCTCTTAGCATGATTTTGTGCCGAAACCGCCGGTTGAACTTACCATCGAGTACGCCCCAGGAAGCGTTGGTGGTCTCTCCTTCCAGCTGAGCATCCGGTATAAATTCCCTGACCTTTGACCGGGCACCATCACATCCAACAAGGTAGTCGGCTCGGATGGTCTTGATTGTCTTGCTTGACATGTCCTCGTATGTGATATTCAGTTTTCCTGTGCCTGACTCGCGCGAGCAAGAGACAAAGCGACTACTTCTCGTCACGAAGACACCTCTCGATTCCATATCGTCAATCAAGACTTCTTCAACCATACCTTGGTGTGCAAGAAGGATATAAGGATCTGAAGCACCAACGAGATTGTCAGGGTAGTGAGTTTGGCGTCCTGTTCGCCGGAGCGGTATTTCTGCCGTTGATTGCTGCCGTCTGTCAGCCGTATTATCCGCAATTCAATTGAAATTAGTATACCCAGAAAGAAATATCATAAACGCGTGCCGCATTTCTCAGCAATGGGTCAGCAAGTCGCATTTGTCTAAACGTCTCAATTGTTTTCGGCTGCAAGCCATCCGCCTTGCCTGTGGAGGTCTTGTCCGGACGATCGTCCAGAATCCTAACATCAACACCGAATCGAGCAAGATTACATCTGCAAACTTGTAAGTTGACCAAGTGTAATTGACTAATCTGCTTTGGAGCCGACCTACGCGAGCATCAACCCCGACGGCCCGGCACCGACTACGACGACGGTCGTCGAAACGTCAACAGCCATTTTTGCAATCATTTCCGGCCAATATAGCTGATTTTTTTTCTTAATGGGCGGAAGTTCATATGCACATGTATATCTGTACTGCATATGTGTATGTATATATTATAAGAGTATATATATGATCCTGCTGGGTCCACATATGTGTCAACCCCCACTCCTGTTCTATCTTCACTGTTCACTACCACCGGGTCACACCCCCATCCACAACGATATCCTGGCCCGTCATGTACGCACTGGCATCGCTAGCTAAGAAAACACACGCTCCCATGATATCTTCTGGCTCAGCTATTCGGCCATTCATGGCTTCGGACTTCCAGCCTTGAACAAGATGCGGGAACTGTCAATTCCGTTAGGTATTGTTAGACGGATGAGGGGTTGGGCCTGGTTAAAAAACCTACAGCTGCGGTCATCTCTGTCCGTACATATCCAGGAGAAACCGAATTAACTCGGATGCCCTATCAGTGTTAGTTGCGCGGTCTTTAAGCATATGCCCGAAACTCACATATTCCGCCAGCTCTTTCGCAATCGCAGGACACATGGATCGCACAGCTCCTTTGGTACCGCAGTATGCGCTGCACAGCTGGCTTCTCACTGCAATATGACTGGCCATACTGGCGACCAAGACGATGCTCCCATGCTTCGTTCCGTTCGCGATCATTTGTTTTGCCGCCAACTGAGCAGTGAAGTAGAGCCCGAGCACATTAATCGATATTAGATCGTGGTGTTCTTTATAGGTGAATTCCAGGAAAGGGAGATGGCGATTGATTCCCGCGCATGGGACGCAGATATCGAGGGCATTATCAAAGTCCTTCTGGAATTGGGCGAAACCATTTTCAAGGGACTCCTGCGACGAAACATCGACTCTTCGACGGTCAGTCGTTGATTTCGGGCGGTGAATAAGAACTTCAAACACCTACTTGTAGTAAGCTGTACGAACACTGCAAACCTTTTCGATATCGTAGAATGCAGGGTTCGGATCTATCACATCGAAAATTGCCACGTTCGCCCCTGCCTCTGCCAGCCCGCGTGCAAAGGCCAATCCACAGCCTCGAGCACCTCCTGTCACCAGCGCAGTTCGACCTTGGAGCGAAAACTAGCCAGTGTTAGCGAGGACATGGGTAGTGTAACTTGAAACGTACTTTTGACATGATGCAGATCGTTAATGTTGGAGGAAAGGATCAGTGTCAGTACTCAATGTACGTGTTAGAGGTCTCCAGATATAGCAATTTCCGAACGCGTGGGATATCGGCATCTCACCCCCATCTTTGATCCATACAATCTCAAATACATGAAAGCTATCATAAATACCGAAACTCCATCTGCAATACATATTTTATAGCCGATTCGCTTCACATCCTGACTTTGGCACAACCTGTATCAGCGTCCATGATGGCCCCTCGCATTCACATTAAGCAAAAACAAAGCCGCTGCCCTGCATGCCAGCTTCATATTCTGATTGTTGGAGCTGGCCTCGCAGGACTCGGCTCCGCCATTAGCTGTGCTCTGGCCGGACACGGTGTTCACGTTCTCGAAGCTGCCGCAGAAATTAAAGAAATCGGCGCTGGTATCCAGGTTCTTCCTAACAGCTCGCGCGTCCTACAATACTGGGGTCTGGAGGAGGTGTTGACACCACATATGACTCATCCGAGTGTGTGTAACTTTAATGGATGGAAGGGGAATAAAATATCCCACTTGGATTTTCATGAATCCGCTAGCCATTATCCCGGAACATGGTATCGGGACTTTCATCGTGCTGATCTTCAGCGGTGTCTGATGGAAAGAGCCCTAGAACTTGGTGTGCAAATAACGTGCAATGCACGCATCAGAACAGTTCGCGTGAGCAATGATGGAGCCACAGCAACTGCAATCGCTGTGGATGGTCGACAGTGGGAAAGCGATCTAGTCATTGGAGCAGACGGCGTGTTTGGGAAGCTGACAGAGGAGTTGCTTGGGCGCAGCGATCCACCAGTCAAAACGGGGGATCTTGCATATCGTCTATTGTTATCGACCGAAGATATGCGAAAAGATCCAGAATTGGCTCCCTTTGTGGACAAGCCACAAGTCAACTATTGGCTGGGCCCTGATGCTCATGCTGGTTTGTCTTTCTCACGGCCTTTTGTCTCTATCTAGCTAATTATTTGCCATAGTCAACTATGTGCTTAGAGGGGGACATCTGTTCAACATGGTGTTACTTGTGCCAGACGACATCCCTGAGACTGGCGCATCGACGATAGAAGGAAATGTGGAGGAGATGTGCGCATTATTCAAAGGCTGGGATCCACGGTCGGTACTTACAAACGCCGTTATACAGGTCTGAATTCAACTAATAGCAGCAGGATTAAAAAGCTACTGAAGCTCTGCCAGTCGGTGCAGAAATGGAGGCTCTGCATCCGATTCGGGGATTTTGACTGGTCTCACCCGTCTGGCTCATGGGTAATGCTGGGAGATGCTGTGCATGCCACTTTGCCATATCTAGCTTCTGGGTAAGATATAATTTCTTCTACCATTCATTACTTCAGATTTTGAGGGAGTTTGATCTCTTAGAGCCGGCATGGCCTTTGAAGACGGTGCCGTTCTCGGCGAATGCCTATCCCGTCTCCCTAATCGTCCCAATATCATGAAGACGTCGCCCGAGTTTCTGAATGCGAAAAAACACGCCCTCTCTGTTTTCCAACAATGTCGCAAGGAGCGTACAAAGATGGTTGTTGATCGCGGAAACATTCAGCAGTATCTATACCACCTGCACGACGGACCGGAACAACAGGAAAGAGATCGAAAGATGCAGATGATACCCACACCTGAAGGCGAAGCTCTAGCCTGGAGAGATCCAGGCTTGGCCCCAAAACTATTGGGGTATGATCATATCGCAGATGTGAGTTCTCCTACTTGCGGTCTACGAATCTCGTCTAACAGTATTCAGGTCGATCGTTATTGGAATGTCCAAGAGAGTGATATGGTAGAGCCCCGACTGTAGCTAGAAAATGCGAATTGAATATTGTTTTCAAAGCCTTCCCAAAAATTCAGGAATGCGTTTCGGACAGCCCGAGAAGATAATCCAGCTTATCAAGAGAGCCCACAGCACCCACCCCCATTTTTGACAGCCGGAATAAGAGCCCCGGTAGAAGCTTCCCCATTCTTGTATACTCGAAGTTATGCCGTATATATACGTCTCGAAGGTCTTTGTTATGACAGCAATCTGTGTAGTTGACTGACCTAACACAATAATATAAAACATGTGGCAGTACTTGGGCTTATCATCGAAGGCGGCGGAGAAAGAGCCTCCCCGAGGCATTCCTGCATCATGGTATCGCTCTGAAGCGATGTACCATCTAGAACGCCGAGCGATTTTCTCCAAGCACTGGATCCTCCTCACGCATTCGAGCCGATTTACAAAACAAGGCGACTTTCTCTCCTTCACAGTCGCAAACTATTCATTCTTCTTGATCAAAGACCGTGATGGTAGTATCAACGGCTTCCATAATATCTGCCGGCATCGCGCATTCCCCATCGTGCAGACCCGTTCTGGATCTACTTCGATTCTTAGCTGCAAATACCATGGGTGGTCCTACGGGCTCAAGGGGAATCTCTCCAAGGCACCGCGCTTCGAAACCGTCCCAGAATTCGACAAAAGCCAGCATGAGCTACTTCCCATTCATGTTCATATCGACAACGCTGGCTTCATCTGGGTAAACCTCCAAGCAGGCGAGCCGGATGTGAAATGGGAAGATGAGTTCCAGAGAATCGACGAGCAACCGCGGATGCAAGATTTTGACTTTGCCGGGGACTACACATATGACCATTACTGGGATATGGAGCTGGAGGCAAACTGGAAGGGGGTAATTGAGAACTACAATGAGTGCTATCACTGCGCGACTTCTCATCCACTCATCAGCCAAGTGTCGGATCTCCCTCGGTATCGCGTCGAGCCTACTGCCGGATACATGGAACATCACATTTTCAATAAGGAGCAGATTGATGCCCAGTTTAAGCGTGCAATTACGTATTTCTTTCCAACAACATCAGTGACAGTCACGTAAGTACTATACTACTACCGCCTTGAGATGTGAAGCTGACCAGAAAGCGGTAAATTCTTCTATATCCAACGCATGATTCCGGTTTCTGCGACTAAGAGTAAGATCGAAAATGAAGTATACCGACATAAAAATGCGACGGACAAAGAATTCGACGAAATAAACACTTTTTATCGGCAGGTGCTTGAGGAGGATAAGGAGCTGTGCGTCGGAGCGCAGAGCAATCTTGGTGGCGGGGTCTTTGTAAATGGCGAGCTTCACCCAAACAAGGAGAAGGTGTGTGCGTGTCAAAGTTCAATCCTGGGATATTTCACTCTGACAGGTTGATAGGGACCGATTTATTTCCAGAATCGTGTGAAGGAGATAGTCATGCAACACCGTGGAAAGGAAGAGCAGCAAGGAGAACAAGAAATATGGCCTGCTGTACCTAAGCTGCCTGGGACTATGACCGAGAAGTTGGTTGAGGAGGAACAATTCTGCTCACAGGTAGAGTCCGCTAGTTGCATGACCAGACCAGAACTTGCATGGTGATTATGATGGCATAGCGCATTGTTCGCGGTCTACTGGGTTTTTCTGCATCAGATTAAGATGTCCTGTAATACTTCCTGTTAGATAACCCGGAGATCCGGCGAGGCAGAAGCCTTGAACCTTCAAGGTTTACCCCTCATGGTAGCTCACAAATTACCCGCCAAGGATGTTTATAAAAACCCAGCTTTGAAACCTGATGGACAGGCAGAGACACAACAGAATACACACATATCTTGCTAGTCACTTCTTTTTCTTTTCATCCCAGTAAAACCTCTTCAGGATTGGCCTGGAATAAACCTACCAATCCAACACTTCCAGCCCTTAGCAAGCCATTATATAATAGGAAATAAAATGCCGGAGCCAATAGCGCGGGTTGAGGCGTGGCACACACTTGGAATAGTATCACCAGTGCAAAACAGTGAAACTTGTTCGTTCATAAAAATTCATGACATTGGCGATCTCTAACCCTAGATGGCACTAATAGTTACTGATTTAGATTGGCCCGGTCACTCAAGGGAAATCACTCAAGTTCGTTGTTGATACATGACCGATAATTGCGAACCAGACATGGCAGGGGCGATATAAACCAGCAATTCCAGGCTGCTGGCGACTGTGGTGAGAAGTTCCTGGAAAGGCTGGAATGGATAGAAAGATGAAAAAGTCAAAAAGACGAAAAACATACAGCAGCTGGGATTCGCTGGTGGTCACCCACCCAACTACTAACCAGCCGGCGTGTGGCTTAAGTACGGCTGAGCGGACGGGAAGCCCTGTTTTCCACACCCTATGGTCGTATGTGCTATACTGATGGAACAAACAATTCATATAGGATTGATCTATAATGTTATTCGATATGCTTTGTAGAAGACAAAGTCTTGATTCAGGGGTATGATCCTAAAAAAAGATTGGAGGGAATGAGAGGTATAAATGGAAAACAAGAAGATTTTCGATCATTGGGGCAGCATAGATAGGAATCTATACCTATCAATAATCGCGACAATGTGTTGGTAGATTGGTCTACTTTCATGGATATAATATCTACGCTCGACGAGGAGGTGAAAGATACATAGAAAGTACCTGGGCGTTGCGTCCAGCAAATCGGTGAGACCTGTCGAAAGAGGGAGAGGGAAGATGCGCAAAGGAAAAGGATGTCAATCCCTCAATAATATGCTGGTGTTCCCGTTGAAGGGGCGCGAATACCTAGGTATCGACCAGTTAACACTGGCCAAGGGACGGGGCTTCATGTTCCAGGATTTCGGGATACGCTGGAAGAGAAGTATTGGGCATTAAAAAGCTACCACATTATGGATGCTAGAATCTTACCGATCAAAAACAGATAATCAAAGACAGATTGATAGAGAAAAGTATCGAAACTCGGGCCTTTCCCCATATTGCAATAGAATTATGGCCGTTCAGTAATACCACAGTTTGGATTGCTGTCCTCATTTATTTGGTGCCCTTTAACTTGGGTTCGATTTCGAGCGAGTCACAATTAGGCCAACATATATCAATCAGAAACAAATATGCCCTTGTTAAAACTACCTGGCACCTGCACGATTTCAGCTTAGATAACACCCCTCGAGTGCGCACTATAACTAGATAGTCGTCCAGTGACATGTGAACACAACGCTCATCATGAATCCCTGGATGGATAATTGAGTGGCGGAGTCATCCTTGAATTAAGCTGAAATCTCGGTGCCTGGATTGAGTATCCATCTGGGCAAATAAAATCACTTTCATCATAAACAACTCTTGCACCTATGTCTGTGCACACTGAAGGGATCCAAACCCTAAAAAGAAAACTAGGGCTAAAGAGCAATGGGAGCTTTACCGCATTGAGATTAGATCCCGGAGGGTCTGGAGAAGAGACCTTCAGACTTTCCTGATTAGGAAACCTGCAATGTCCATGTTCAACTTTCAAAAAAACTATAAAGAGGGCTCAAATTCTCCTCTCGAGAGATTTAATCCTATTCTCCAGGATTACTTATTCAATTATTTATCTCAATTCGACATACAACTCACACAGCCCATCACTTCAAACATACATTCAAGTCAGACAATGCCTTACACAGTAGCCTTCTTCGGGGCAACGGGTGGCTGCACCAATGCCTGCCTCACCCATCTCCTGCTATCTTCCGACTACAAAGCAATTGCTCTGGTACGCACCCCTCAAAAATTGATCGACTCTTTGAAAAGACAACCCGGTATCACAGATGCCATCCTTGCCCAGAAACTCAGTATTGTCCAGGGAGATGCTACGGATGTTGCAACCGTGAAAAGAACGCTTCTATTTCAAGGTGATGGCCACGCCAACTCGACACCAAAACTGGTGGATGCAATTATTTCTGGGATTGGCGCCTACCCTCGCCGTAAGAAGGGAACACTGCTTACTTTTGAAATGGACAACCCGCAAATTACAGAACAGACCACCACGACACTGGTCTCTGCCTTACGGGAAATATACGCTGAGCAGCAACAACAAGAAAATAAACCCGTCGTGACGGTGATTTCGACCACGGGTCTCGCTTCACCTGCAGGCGCCAAGGAAGATGTCCCTATTGGCCTGAGGACGCTCTATCACTCATTACTCGCGGAACCACACAAGGACAAGAAAAGAATGGAGGAGATTCTGAGCGACAAGGAGAATTCGGCTCTTTTCCGTGGTGTCGTCATTGTGCGCCCTACCTTATTGAAAGGGGATGGCATTGTCCAATCGAAGGATGCCAGCTCCAAGACCGTGAGGGCTGGTACGGAGTTTGAGCCTGTTACTGGGTACACTATTTCGAGGGCGGATGTTGGCCGGTGGATTTGGAAGAATATGTTGTTGAGTGAGGACCGCGGGGAGAAGTGGATTGGACGAAGGGTTTCTTTGGCCTATTGATTGCTCTATCGCCCCCAGGCCGTCCATGGATTTGGCGATTGTTATATAAATGGTAAATGCATGCTCTGCTTGGGCATTTTGCTTGTAACTAATATTGTTGGATCAGCTAAGCTGATCCAGCCAATAAGAGCGAGCCACACACACTGATCCACCGAATAGGGGGTAAAAAGATATCTTCCACCTTTACTGTACTTAGAGACAAGAACAATGACAACAAGGATCAAGGATTCCATACTTCTTGCATACATAATTTGATACGTTGAGATATACCACTTGAGATTGTTACGTACAATCCAACAAATATCAGGACATGTGAATTACTATATCCGGTTAGTTTTCCCAATTTTGGATCAATGCCCCACCCAATATGCCCGTCATATCACGATCAAAATAACCACAGGCAAAAAAGAGACCGCCTTCCTCTTTTTATCAGTCGAGAGTGCCTATTTTACCTGCCTACCTTCTTATTTCCTTCTCACTTCCCACTCTACCTTCTCACCCATCATGGCCTTCCTTCGATCCATCTCGAACGCGTCTCTGTCTTCATCTTCTGAGCTCTCATATTCTGAGTTCTCGTCAGTTGAATCCGAATCTGAGGACCCTCTTGCGCAACTGGCGAAGGAAGTGAAGCAGCAGCCATACACTACCAACGAGAGCTTACAAAAGTCCTTGGAACGCCGTCAACGAGCGCTTCAGCAAGACCAAACTCGGGATCAGCACCTCGTCTTCACGTCTGTCCCCCGGCGCAATCTTCCAGACTGAGTGATGATCGGTCGCGAACAAACAAGTACAGTCGATTCTTTTTCAATGCAGAAACCAGAATCTTGATCGCGAAAGTCATGCCGAATCCTGCACACGAACTTGCAATAATATCATTTGATTCGCTGATTTCTCTCGAGCTGCGTGCGATGAACGTACATCGTGACGTGAGGCCTTTCGGTTCGACAACAACTACGGTTGGAAATTGGAAAAAGGAGGCTGACTGCTGCTGGGCTCCGGCTTCGACAAATGCAAGGCTGAGTTTTGTGGTGGAAGTAGGATTGTTAGAGTCTGAGCGACAACTTGCTCTTGATGCGCGCAGTTGGCTTGAGACTTATTCCTCATCTGTGAAACTTGTGGTTACGATTAGCATTAAACGCGAAAATCCCGATATCACCTTTCACCGATGGGAACTTGTTCCCCAAGCATATGGCGTCGCTACAAGGTCATCTCCTCTTTCAGCACGTCATACTGCAATCCTCAAATTATCTCGAACGAATAACACGACATCTGTTACTGGAGAGTCCTACATAAATAGCACAACCACGACTACCACACAGCTGGATCTATCCTTTGATAAGGTTGTTGGCCGTCCTCCTCACCGGCCTCTGGAGAGAGATTTAGTGATACCCGAGCAAGAACTGAGAAGTTTTGCCGAGGATATCTGGAGTGAGCAGAGTCTCCTATAAGTCGTCTCGATTCTGATATGTTCGTTGGCCACAAAGCGGCAGACCTCATCGAAGACGATGTTATACTCACGCAGGACGTGTTGATTCGAAATATTTGTAGGGAGGTGAGTGGCTGCTCGAGACTCAAGCCAGGGTCTCATATAATAATCGGCCTGGATTGCTGATGTCTTACATCTTTATGCTGATGACTGTTCTATTTGTAATGTTACTTGACTATCGTGGGCCTCTGAATGATAATATTGCTGCTTTGTCTGGGCCATCTTTCTCCCTTCCTTTAATTTTCTCTCCAGCCTTGTTGTCTTGGTTGAGAATGTACTTTATCAAGACAAATTTCTTTCAAGTTGCGAATAGCCTCTTGAAAATAACCTAGCATCTATCGTAGGTCGAGTGGAATTGAAGAGGGACTGTGATGACTAAGGCCTTGGTTAAAAAGGAAGCTGGAAACACTGGCGCTGAAGATAGCCATTTCCGGCGCCCGGTTCACCGTCACTTATACTCCTACGGTGGTGTCCCATAAGTGTAGTACTGTAGTTCCTTGTGATGTCTTGTAACACTGTATTTGAGCGGGGGCGCTTAGGGTTTGAAACAGGTCACCCCGAACGATCTACTGACTGTTGCGCCGAGTAATTTTCTCCACCTTCAATTCTCTGCCAGTCAGGTCCTCTGTCTTCATGGCCAACATCGCGTTCGAGCTGGTGCTGAAGTTCTTCCAGAAGGGGACCGATGGTGGACTGTTGACCTCTATCTTGATGGTGATCATCACCCAGTTTGCCCTCAGTAGAACTAAGAAGATTCTAGACATTCAGTCCTGAGTTACGTACCGCACTCATCGAAGAATATACCAACGAAAGGCAGCCTAGTGACGGAGAGATATACCGCAAAATCCGCCAATATCAATAAGAGCACAACGCTCATTTTCAGAAGCGGTGTTGGGCGAGGCTGTCACCAAATAAAGCTAAACGCCTCTATCAGCTCTATAAGAATATCGATATCAGCTCTACGTTTGATGCTCTACTACCGATTCCTAGAGTTTAAGTGGGATGAGTATTGGGAAGCTCTCTAAGATAATAGCTCTTGACAGTGATGAGGTTATTCTATTCTATAGGTCCACTTGCACATGGCTAATCTCATTTAGGAAATTGTAAATTACTTATTTTATATTAGGGAATTCTAGGTGGCCCTTGTCAGCCCCGACGCCGCTCAGCCCAACCTCACAGCTATGATGAAGATTGATCTACACACGGTGAAGAAGCTGGAATCGATGGCGCCGGGAGTATCTTAGGAGAATGCGAGAACCGTGCATGATTGGGTGATTAGTGGCAAGGTTCTAGGGGCGTTCAGTGAGACCGAGCAAAGTCATATGTGGGAATGTATGCAATATTTTAACAGCTTGATCCCATCTCTTTATACTTTTTTCTAAGACATAGGCTATCTAGAAGTATATGCTCATGCGGTGAAGCGACTCTTTCCTCTATTCAAAAATAATCCGACTCTGCGGTTAATGATATGCCATTATTATATGTTGGGCTTTTGACCAACTAGACCAAAAAGCTGCGCGCATACTAACGTAATTCACCACCGAAGCGGCACCACTACCGAGCCGGCATTTTTTCCCGAGCGCGTACACGATATTGATTTTATATTATTCAACACGTCAATATGCCACCAATTCGCAATAAAAACCGGAAAAATTTAGATGAGCAAGAGGGACGAATCTTATTAGCAATTTCCGATTTACAGAATGGCCGAATTCAACGTGTAGCTCAAGCTGCAAGGATTTACGAGATCCCCCGGACAACTTTACAAGATAGACTCAATGGTATTCAACAAAGATCTCTCGTACGCGCCAACAGCCATAAATTGACTCAATATGAAGAGGAATCGCTTGTCAAATGGGTGCTTGATTTAGATCGACGTGGATTACCCCCCCGGCATTCTCTTGTACGAGAAATGGCTAATTATATACTTTCACAACATGGCAAACCACAAGTTGGAAAAAATTGGATAACTAAACTGATTAAACGCCGTCCAGAGATCGATTCCAAATTCGCAAGGAAATACAACTACGAACGTGCTAAATGCGAAGATCCAAAGATAATACAAGAACATTTTGATCGCGTACAAGCTGCTATATCTGAGTACGGCATCTTACCGGAAGATATATTCAACTTTGATGAGACTGGCTTTGCTATGGGACTCTGTGCAACTGCAAAGGTTATTACTGGAAGCGATCGATATGCTCAGCCGAAGCTTTTACAGCCTGGAAATCGAGAATGGGTGACTGCAATTGAGGCAACAAATTCAACTGGATGGGCTGTGCCTTCGTACGTGATTTTCAAAGCAAAGAAAAACGTACGAGAAGGCTGGTTTGATGATCTTCCAGATGATTGGCGAATCAATATTAGCGATAATGGCTGGACTACAGATCAGATAGGATTAGAATGGCTTAAAACCCATTTTATTCCCTATATTAATGGTCGTACGGTTGGAAAATATCGAATGTTGATTCTTGATGGCCATGGAAGCCATTTGACTCCAGAATTTGACCATATATGTACTGAGAATAATATTATTCCAGTCTGTATGCCACCTCATTCTTCGCATCTCTTACAGCCTCTTGATGTTGGCTGTTTTGCTGTTTTAAAGCGACATTATGGGCAGCTTGTTGAGCAACGAATGAGGCTTGGTTTCAATCATATTGATAAAATGGACTTCTTAACAGCATTTCCACAGGCTCGTACAGTGGCATATAAAGCTCAAACTATTCGGAATAGCTTCGCAGCCACTGGATTAGTGCCTTTCAATCCAGATCGAGTTATACAACAGCTTAATATTCGATTGAAGACACCAACCCCCCCTCCAAGTCGATCAAGCAATACGGCATCATCCTGCTTACAAACACCTCAAAATATACGCCAATTTATACGCCAGTCGACTACAATCAATAAACGTATAAATGAGCGTACAGAAAGCAACCAAAATCAAGAAATCAATCAGGCAGTTGTACGGTTGTCAAAAGCCTACGAAATGATAGCGAATGATGTTTTACTCGTACGGAAAGAGAACTACGATTTACGAGCTGCACATGAGAAAGAGAAGCAAAAGCGCCAAAAATCTAAAAAGCAAATATCTATTGAGCAAGGGGTTACTAAAGAAGAAGTGCAAGCGCTCGTACAAGGTCAGGTTGAGGCATCCCATGCTGTTACTACTACTCCGGCTGAGCCGGAGCTCCCAGCTTCTCAAGCAGTCGTACGCCGCCAATATCGCTGCAGTGGTTGTAACGTTATGGGGCATAGAATTAACCAATGCCCTAGTCGTATTAGTAGTTAGATTTTTGTATATAATTTGTATGTGGCTTTGAAAATTGGGATTTGAAATCAATATCGCGTACGCGCTCGGGAAAAAATGCCGGCTCGGTAGTGGTGCCGCTTCGGTGGTGAATTACGTTAGATGATCTAGTATGGATGTAAATAGCTGGCAAAGGTGATATGTGATGTGAGGTGATATTCCCAACATTATATGTGCCAGCCTTGCCTAAAGATAAATGTCTTATCCAGATTTTAGAATCCTAGTTTGAGTGTCATCCCAGCAACGATGTTAGCCATCTAGAGCTGGCTTATCGACAGGTTTGATAATACACTATGCGTCACTACCTCAGCATGAGCAAAGACCCCGAGAGCGACGATCTATTAGCCAAGCCAGCTAATGAGAAAGCCGACGAGACCATTGTCTACAACATGGCTGCCCTTGCACAGAAGCTAGGTTTCACGCCTCCAGGTATCTAGGAGATTATAGACTAATCCCTGGATTGCAGCGCAATGCCTGCTCAAAGCTCGAAAACCCGACAGCTATGAGTATTCTACAGATGACTTCGAGCAGTCGATCCGCCGTATTGTTGAGGTGCTTCACTGCGGCCACGCTATGTGAACATTCACTGTCCTCGAAATCTCTGGGCACTTTCTCTGCTAACTGGAAGGCTCGGAGTGGAGTACCGTCTAGGCAGACCCAGAAAAACAATCGTCAATTCCTCTTCATTGACCGCCTGCACACTGCGGTGTCATCAATCAAGACTATCTCAACACAGTACGTGTGGCAGCGTGTCTATTTTGCGTTTTTTAGAAAGTTGTTCTCCCTACTATCTAATGCCCCTGTAGGGAGAAGAGCGAGGTCAACTGACTCTATTATTCCTATCTCGTCGTTGTTTACCCTTGATAAGAAACCTATAGAGGAAGTCGACCCTGGGATCGATGACCTATCGCTTGATACTGGAAGAGAATAGACATGGGAAGGGGAGCTCCGTCAGGAAGCAGAACAAGGAGTCGACCAGAGGCATCTACTGAGAGAAGCGGCCGCTGTAGCGGCAGGACGAGAGCGGCTGCAACAAGAAGAAACTGAAGAATGAGCTGCTAATGTTGTGCGGCAGCGCTTACTGCAAGAAGCAGAGTGCACGGCTGCAGATGCTGAACAAGAACGTCTTTGACAAGAAGCGGAAGCCGCGGAGCAGTCTCGTTTACAGCAAGGCGTAGAAGAGCAGGCTGCCGAGCAAGAGGGTCTCCAGCGAGAAGAGGAGGAAAGGATAGTAATCGCAGCTGAACAGGAATGTGTTTGTCGAGAAGCAGCTGTAGAGGCTGCAGAATAGGAGTGGCTACAATAAGAAGCGGTTGCAGTTGAGCAAGCCCATTCACAGAGAGAAGCAGAATGCCTTCAGCGAGAAGAGGAGAGAGTAGCAGCTGAACAGGAACGTCTTCGCAGGAAGGTAGAGGAGAGAGCGGCCACCGAAGCAGCTAAGTAAGAATGGTTGCAACAAGAGGCGCTCGTCGCCGAACAGGCCCGTTTCCAGCGAGAAGCAGAAGAACAAGCCCCTTTACAGAGAGAAATAGAAGAAAGAACCGCGACTGAGTCTTCTGAACAAGAACGCCTCCAGCGAGAAGAGGAGAGAGTAGAAGCTGAGCAGGAACGTCAGACAGAAGAGCTAGCGGCCGCCGAAGCAGCTGAGCAAGAACGGTTACGACAAGAGGCGCTCATTGCTGAGCAGGCCCGTTTACAGCGAGAAGTAGAAGAGAACGCTGCTGCTGAGGATGCACGTCGACGCAAAGAAGCAGAGGAATGGGCGGCAAGAGTTGCCGAGCAGGAACGGTTACAGCAAGAGGCTCCAGAGCGGTTTCGTTTAGAAAGAGAAGCTGAAGAAAGAGCTGCCGCCGACGTGGCTGAACAAGAGCGTGTCCAGAAAGAGGAAGAAGACCGGGTAGTAGTGGAAACTATCGAATAGGAACAACGACAAGCTGAAGATGAGCGCATTGCGCAGATACTGTCTTTTTTTTGACATAGTTCGCTGAGTTTTTCCAAGGTTCCAGGTTATATATGCTTCCAAGATTGTTTGTGTGGATACTTATAGAGTATCTGTCTTTGAAAAACACTTGAATTAAATATATTTCAGTATAGACTATACAATTCTTCATAGACTTCATTTCATCATAGTATAAGTTATAGCTCAGATAGCAACTCGGCTATCGTGATGGGCTTACGCACAGCATTCGAAAATCCTTCATGAAATGTAACCCACACCTTACGGTCATGGTCGTTGCCACTTGAGTTCCGTTTATGAGCGGGTTGACGCGCCTTATTGCTCGTCGTAGATGCTGGAGCGGTCTCATTGTTGCGGATGATCCTGCCAAAGAAATCTCGTTTGACTCCAGCAGCATCTGGTCCTCCGAGTTTTGGTCGGGAGCCGTTGGCGTTCTCCTTGTCCTCATCCTTACTCGATTGCTTGCCTTTGGAGGCTTTATTACTAGAGCCCGAGAGGCCTAGTAATGTCTCCCCTTGTTTTCGGAGAGTCTCCTTGCGATATTCTTGATCAAGAACTTGGCGAATGGCGTAGCGTACAGGACCTGAACTACCGGCATCCAGAATTGTGCCTTTCGTTTTTGAGAAGCCGACGAGAGTATCAATTGGTCTTTTAACGGTTAGTGATAAAGTCTGGTCTATCCAGAAAAACGAGTTATGCAAAGAGTGATAACTTACGGTTCCATCCGGTACGCCCACCCCGCGTGAACACCGTCATTTCCAACACGGACCTTCTCAAATGTAACATTCAAGCCGGACATTACCCTCACCGCGGCGCGGACAAGTGCTCTCTCGCTCTCCTTCCTGACACTGGCAACACTAGCTTGCTCACTGCCTCTCACAATGACGGGTTTCACCTCAGGGGAAAGCATGCGCAGCAGATTAGGCACTAGGTCTGTAGCGATACTATCCAAAGAGCGAAAGAGCCTCAGAAGAGGCGCGGAAAATGTTGACTGAAATCCAACGAGTACCGATTTATTCTGTTTCAGTGCCTCAAAAGCCGCATAGTCCGCCCTAGGTCCAGAGAATGGGTGCTCCTCTTCTTCGGTTTGGTCGTCGTCAAATTTTCGCTTGTTGGACGAACTAGCGTTGCCGGCAAACAGATGATGGAATGCAAGTGTTGACTGGCTCATGTATGGATTTAGTTCCCAGTCTTGGTTCGAAAATATCTTGGAAGAAATCATATCGTGGAAATGGAGCCAATCATAAGCAGCATTGGGCTTTGATAGAAACGTATCGTCCTGATAAGTGCGAGTGGGATATTCAATAAAGCAGTCTGTCGCACATCGGTCATATTCGCCGCTTGCGTCAATCATCTCACGCAATTTTGCAGCAGCGTGTCGCCTGCGCAATTCAGCAACTCCCACGGACGTCTTGGTCCTTTCTCGGTCAAAGGGATCACTGAATGAATTAGAACTGACGGGTGCAGTGGGGAATCCTGCTCCCTCAATGAAGACACGATCTGTGATGTCCCGGACACCACCTCTTCCGAGACCCCTAGAGCCTCCTCCGGATTCACTGTCATTAAGAATATTATCCTCTAACCAAGCTTTCGTCAATCGAGGTGTGGTCGTTGACTCTGCCTGCAGTTTGCGTGCTACCCACTCTGCAGAAACCAAAATGCTTCGTATATCTCCCTCGCTCACGCCTCTATTTTTTTCAGTGCGGTCTCTCTTGGCACTCATCCCCCATGACGCTTCGCAAAGTCGTCTGACTCCATCTGCATCAAACTGGATACATTCTTTGGTCAAGATCAGCTTCAGTCGCTGAATTACATTCTCCATCGGCACTTGTCGAACATGTATAATTTCAGCAATATTCGAGGTGCGAAGAGGTCGTAAGCTGGCGTGATATGCATCGTTGCAAATCAGAATGATGGGTCTCAGCAGGCGGAAATTGTCGTTTTTCTTCTTTCTTCCAGAGAATGAGTTCTGATCAGAACGCGCCGCGGCGGTCTTTTGATCCATCATGACTAGATCGATAAGGGCTTTAATAAAACCGCCCTCACCACCAGAGCCAGAGCCTCCAACGACACCATCGACTTCGTCAACCACAACGCAAACGGGACGACCCGATTTGTTGGCCTTGCTTGAATCAGATCCAGCACTGATACTCTTCACATTTTCTGTCCCGACAGCGTCTCTGATACGACCCTTAACAACATCTCTGCTTCTTTCATCACTGGCGTTGATTTCTAACACCTCATAGCCGGCCTGTTGTGCGCAGACGTGAGCTAACGTCGTTTTGCCGAGGCCGGGCGGACCTGTCAACATGAGGATCTTTCGATGCGCCCATTCACCTTCAGTGCCGTTCTTCGCGTGCTTTGACTTCGCAATACCTGGAAAGACAATGTGATCCCAGCTTTTAAGCCAACGCAGGACTGACCTGTGAGTCCGCTCGTCTCCGATTAGTTCAGCGAATCTCCGTGCACGATACTTCTCAGTCCACATGGGGTTCGAATTCTTTTTTCCACTCTTTTCAATGACTGGCGTTTCAATGGAGCGCTCGATATGAATCGGTTCTACTTTCCGTGTGGCATTGTCTTTCAGCTCACTAGAAGCATCGTCCAATAGTCTATGTATTTCGATTCCATAATAGCTTCGTTGAGCCTTTCCTTCTGCCGTCTTCGAGCGACTAGCAACAAGTCTCTCATATGACGTCTTACTCGCGGCTTGTCGGTGAAATACTCGATGTTCTCGCCCAGCGCATGTCTTAACAGTAACAGGCTGTTTTCGCTCGAAAATTGGATTAATTATTGTTGAGTGTGTCTCGGCGCTCAGGCTAGAACAGTCCACGGAGGGTACTGTTGATGTTTCGTGAGGTTGTGATTTCTCAGTAGCAGAGGGTTGTGACATCATCTGAAGCAATTTAGCATCATCTTTCGTATATGTACCCCTCAGCGCATCCATAGCGTCTTCATCATCGTCATCCTCGATGAAAGGGCCGCGTATTTTCTGACCGGATGGGTTGTGCTGTGACGCCACCGTCTCTTTCTCAGTTGTCGTACTTTGTGCTAAATGGGTCAAGTAGCCACCATCTTGAATTTCCGCCAATGCGTCCTCATCATCGTCGTCCTCATCTATAAAGCCACCAATAGTCCGTGGGCCCTTGCTTCCATTTCCACCCAAAGGAGAATCCATTGATATTCCATTTTCTTCATCAGAAACATCAATAAGAGTCTTCGGTCGTTTCGTGTCCTCAACCAACAGCAATGAATCGAGTTTTCGCTTTCGTGACTCCGTTGATGACGGACTAGGGGTGATCGTGGACTGTGTAGACATGAAGGGTGTCATTTCCCTTGGTGGTGTTGAAGGGAGAAAATTATCTATGACGAGGTTTCTGTCTAACTGAGGGCGATTCGATGATTTGGTTGGGGTTACTGACATTGGGTCAATATAGAAAACTTCGAGGTTTTGACCCGGAACAAACGTACTTGGTTGGCTATCGTCATCACTCCGGAACACGTCTGATAATTTCCAAGAACGCTGAATGACAATGTTGTTCCGCCGATTTTCTTCTGCGATTTCTAGACGTCGTTGCTGCAATGCCTCTAGATCGTCGGAAAATGAGTGCAGCTCCGGCTCGGGATGGATTACAGTATCTGATACTTCGGAATGAAGATACAATGCTGGGTCGAATTCAGATGAAAGAAAATCACTCTCCATTAATGACAATGGTGTAAGCAATCAGGTTAAAAGTGGTAATTGGCATTGTGGATGTGGTGAACATGTTTATGGATATCGAAGGACATTAGCCTGTAATAAAGGAGTTGACGCGGGAGAACGCGTTGGACGCGACGTCTAAACCGCGCTAGTCTAAAAGGGACAATATATTTTTTAATCAGTTGAACTTGTCGGGGTCTTCATGAAAGCTAGAAAGCTATGTTAATCTGGACAATAGTTTCATTATGGAACTGTTTTAGCATCCAACTAGGTCGACTACGTAGAACCAGTCATGCCATCCATCAACTCTATCAATGCTATGTCAATGGCGCGACAAACATAAAATAATGAAAATCAATCTCAAGAACGAGCTTGTGCCCCATGATATACTATGACAGATATAAGCCGAGTACATAAGGTAGAGAATAACTGCAAGAGTCTAAAAGGCAAACAGAATATACAAAATCTTAGTGTGGCTGAAATCGGTGTGGCTGAAACCAACATCTGTGGCGCTCTGGGCATTTTGGGTTAGCGCATAATGCCTGAGGCTTGTCCTAGTGCCGCGCGAGATTTTGGGGACGAACCGTCGCATCAACCCCGTTCTTCACGATCCAGCAGAAACTACTCACCTGTCTAAATCAACCCCACTCGAGTAATCAGCTGCGAAGCACTCGAAGGCATACTTAGCTGTTATTTGAGACAGGAGAAAAGCTTCTTTAGCCAGCTGTCTCTCATACGACGCGCAGCGTGCCACTGCGCCTGGCCTGAAGGAGCTTTACTTGTCCGACGATCGACGGACCGCCATATCATTACGTCTTTAATTATTCATCTTCATCACGCGCGCTATCATGGACGAAACACAGAATCTTCAGACTGGGAGTGGTGAGGAGCATCAACCTCAGGATGCTGTGCAGGCTCTTGGTGAGACAGCTCACCCATCTGGTAACGATGCTTCTAAGTTTTGCTCCGCATAAAAGGAACTCTCATTGACTTGTCACCCTTCCCTCAGCCACAGATTCAAACCGAGACGCATCCGCTCAAAGTACAGAAGGCGTCTCAGATAACCCACTAGATGCCCCTGCATCCCCGCGACCCCAGGATAACGAAGCAGAACCCGAAGACGAGGAAATGGGTGGTATTGAGACAGAAACGAAAAAAGAGACTGACAATGACAATGACAATGTCATTGGCGCCGACGATGGTCAGGTTGCCGATGCCAACGCTGACGTTAATGCCGATGATCAGTCTGTACAAGAAAAGGTTGCGTTAGAAGCATCAGCGCGCAACCATCTTGTTTCTCAGACACATGCCATCATTTTGCCAAGTTACGCGTCGTGGTTTGACATGCATCAGATCCATCCCATCGAAAAGAAAGCGATGGGAGAGTTTTTCAACGGACGCAATCGAAGCAAAACGCCAGCTGTTTACAAGGACTACAGAGATTTCATGATCAACACCTATCGATTAAACCCCATCGAGTACTTGACTGTGACTGCCTGTCGTCGTAATCTTGCTGGAGACGTTTGTGCTATTATGAGGGTTCACTCTTTCCTCGAGCAGTGGGGCCTTATTAACTACCAAGTGAGTTTTCGCCTTCGTCATTACATATCGAGCACAGCGCTAATAAGAACAGGTTGACCCTCAAACACGGCCATCAAACATTGGTCCTCCATTTACAGGCCACTTCCGTATTGTTGCAGATACGCCACGTGGTTTCCATGCATTCCAACCTGGACCCAACCATATTGTCACAGCTGGCAAACAATTGGCAGCTACTGATCGTGCGGCATCGGGAACACCCATCAAAACCGATTTGAATCTGGAAATTCGACGCAATATCTACGACGATAAGGGTAAGGAGATCACTCCTGCTGCTGATGACAAGGAGAAACAGACGAACGGAGACACACCGGCCGCAAATGGTACATCAGCCGAGTCTACAAACAAAGCTTTGGATGCTGCTATTAGAGAGCCTAAGAAAACATTCAATTGTTGGTCTTGCGGTATCGATTGTACCAGCATGCGGTTTCACTACGTCAAATCTACCCCTGTTTCCGCCAATCCCAACGCTACAGACAGCAAATATGACGTCTGCCCTAACTGCTTCCTGGAAGCCAGATTGCCTGCAAGTCATGCTGCAGCAGATTTTGTCCGACTTGAAGATGGTGAGCACACTAGGATCCCGGATAGGGACGCCCCATGGTCAGATTCGGAGACTATATTATTGCTTGAAGCAATAGAGATGTTCGACGAGGACTGGCAGCAGATTGCAGATCATGTAGGCACGAGAACGCGAGAAGAATGCGTCATGAAGTTCCTAAAAATGGGGATTGAGGATCAGTATGTCGAGGAGGTCGATGGATCGGAACATGCAACTCTACAGGCTTTGCACGGTCGGGATCCGATCAGTCAACTGGATAACCCCGTGCTCTCTGTCGTTTCTTTCCTGGCTCAACTTGCTGAACCAGCCGTAGCTGCTGCTGCTGCGGGTCGTTCTGTCGAACAGATCCGAAAAGACCTCCGGGATCAGTTAAACAAGGACTCTTCAACTGAGAAGGGCAAGAACAAGGAAGGCCAAGAAGTGAAAGCAGAGGACTCGATGGATATCGATACTGCACGTGAGGCTGAGTCGACGGCAGGTTCAGGCGAGAAGCGAGAGTCTCTAGCCACAATTGCTCTAGCTGCTTCTGCTGCCCGTGCTGGCGCACTAGCTTCTCATGAAGAGCGAGAAATGACACGCCTCGTTTCTGCTGCAGTCAACGTCACACTTCAAAAGTTTGAGATCAAGTTGGCTCAATTCAACGAGATGGAAGAGATCATCGAGGCCGAGCGACGAGAATTAGAGCTGGCTCGTCAACAGCTTTTCGTCGACCGCTTGGCATTCAAAAAGCGAGTCAAGGATGTGCAAGACGCTCTACAACAAATCAGTTTGCAAGGACCTGGTGAAGATACCTCTCGTGCTCTTCATGATGCCGCTGATATCGGCATGAGCAGCCGCTTCCATTTCACCCAGCCTCAGAGTGATGTGAGTAACGGCATCCGACCATTGAGCGCACAACCTCCTGCAGACTACAAAACCCTTGATCTTTGATAGTCCTGCTGCATTAATGTCATGTCTGCAGTTTCAAGTTTCTCTTCTCAAATTATTCTCTTTTTTTTTCTGGCTTCAGTTCCACATGCTGTACAAATATGCGGGGATGATATTGGAGTAGCATCAAAAGAAACCCCAAATCAGAAGCGTCAAAACAGAGGCTGTGATGATTTTTGTTTCTTCAATGGAGACTAGGGGGAATCTACTGGTGTGTATTTCTTTTACAGGATAGGCGCAATTAGGGGGATTATTTCTCGTGTTTTCTGTTTGCACTCCATCAACCAAATGTTGTATTAGTTACAAATGTTTTGTCTGAGTAATCGATTATTCTTGATTCAATTTTGTCTAGGACATCTGGGTAGTTTCAGCTTGTAAAGAGTTCAAACGACTATGCCAGACGAGAATAAATAAACACTGACATACCACATGACACCTCTTACAACAGTCGACATCCATAAATTCTAACCAATACGTCTCCTTTTATGTTGATTAGCCACAATATCCCTCTCGACATCGCGGTGCTTCGAGCCATAGGTCTCCCACTCAGCCTGATATACAAGATCACTTCTCCAATCAACTGCAGCATTATTCTGCATGATATCCCTGCGCATCTCTTCAGTTATCTCCGGCGGTTCTCCTTGGCCTTTCTCGTCCACAGGCTCAAGACTATCCATTGCAGGACATTTAAGTAATTCTCGCAGGCGCGCTTCCTCCATTTGACTCGCTTGTCTGTCGAGGTAGTCATTGTATTCCTCTAGGCGTTGTTCATTTTCCAGTTGTTGATGTTCGGCGTCATCTATTTCTTCATATTCCGACTCGTCAGGTTGTTGCTTTTCCGGTGAGTTTGCGTTGGGCCCTCTATCTTCATCGTCACTGGAATGCTCGTCAATTCCGTCCGTGTTTTGGTCATCCTGGATATGTGTTTCGCTATCATCTTCTGATAACCCGAGTTCGTCAATGTCATCTTCCTCATTCTCATCATAGTCTTCTTTGTCGTATTTATCATTCTCCGAGTCTTCCTGCGATGAGGCAGCAGAACTACCCGAGCTTGCTCCCGCTCCGCGTCCAAGTCTCTTGGATAGTATTCTTTCAACTTTGTCGTATGGTACATATGTGTTGACTGTTTGCTTGCCTTTCTTATTCATAATATGGGCTACATCAAGATTCAGACGACGAGGAAGGTGAATGTAATAGTCAAATGGACTGTGCTTCATGCCCATTATAGTCAAAGCTCTGTGCACATCTCCCCTCCTCACAAAGTGCCGTCTTTTTCGTCTCTCTTTGGCCAATCTGTCCTGTGCTGTGTTGTGGGCTTCCTCCATCAAGCGAATGACGAGGTCGACGGTGAGATCATAGAATTCTCCCAAAGCATCTGCTGTAAGCGACGGAGTCTCTCCTTTTAAAGCAACATTTTTCCAATTGTCTTCTGATCGAGATTTTCCAGGGTTCATAAAGATCTTTTCAGATAGTCGTATCCAATTTTTGACGTCGAGTAAAGCGGCGCCTAGCGAAATGGCGTCGGGTAGGGCATCTTCACCAGCAGAGGTGAACAGTTCTTCCACTTCGTCCGCTTTCGTACTGTTCAAAATCCAAAAATCAGAGATTCCTTCCTTTTTGGCTTTTAGAAGCTCCTTCTTCTGTTCTTCAAGGGTAACAAATTCGGCAAAACGATCAAGGACTCTTTCCAACCCTTCATTGATCTCCGCCGCAGCTGGCACTTCCACTTCGAGAAGGGACTTTTCTGATAACCGATGTCCCTGTAATCTCTCTTCCAAGAATTCAATGTAATCTGAAATCTCTAGCCGTGACTTGGTTTTAATTTGCTGCGCGATTTCATGAACACCGAGCTTTCCTTTGCGGGCGAGTGCTGTGAAGAAAGCATCATTCTCTTTTTTGGTCCACTGAACTAATCCAACGGTAGTCTGAGTAGTATTGTGTTGCTGAGTCGAGGTACTAGTCTTCGAATCTGGGTCCACGTGCATATCCTTGAGCAGTCCCTTATACGATCTTATGGAAGGTCCTGACAAGTAGGACCTCCTGTCATGTTGTAGTCGAAGCTCTGCAGAAATACGGCTTCGTTTACTTTCAACTAGGCGAGCTTCTTGTCCTTCATCCTCCGATCGTGGAGCTTCTTCGCGTTCGGGTTCGACTTCATTTTCTTCGCTAGTATCTTCTGCGATACCCTCCGCCTCGTCTGATTCTGAAGACGGGTCGGAAGATCCGTGCCATGATTCCGAGGATGAAACTACAGGCAGATTATCCAAAGGCCCAAAAATGTCGTCGTCTTCACTGTCTGCGATTTGTTCATTGTCTGCTGCGCTCATGGTCTCTTTGTCTCATCATTGATTGGGCATTGGTTGTCTTGCCCGGGGATTTCGCTCAGAATGCACATAGTTCCTCATCCAAAGATTCGAAGAAGTCGAGCCAAGGAGATTTTAAACGCATCTCAGTCTCCTTACACAAGCGCTATGTGATGAATATTGAGAGAATTTGAAGCTCAGACAAACATTAATTAGCCTGATAAGATAAGAGTTTGCACTGTTTGTCTCTGTCGTGCCTACTTTATGAATCTCAGCAACCATTTTCACCTTTTCAGACACATACTCATTCAGAATGTAATGCAACGCATGGCTTTTATCTTACGACGTCAAAGCAGAAAAGCATTGTGGTCATGGACTCACAACACGTCATGGCAGCACTCGAATTGCTCTCGCTTTCCACGAACGTTGCCGTTACTAATAACAATCTCTCGTTATGCCTCGACCACAACCGAGGACATCGTTCCTCCAAAGATAAAGCTTCGCGACTATCAGGAAGAGTCCATTCAATCTGTCCTGGAACACCTGGAAAAGGGGCATAATCGTCTTGGATTATCATTGGCTACAGGCTCAGGGAAAACTGTCAGGGAATCTTTTCCATCTATTTTTTAACCACATTAGCTGACTTCGACATCCTCTAGGTCATCTTCACACAACTGATCGGACGTGTACCTCCTCGAAATGGCGGTGCAAACCAAACGCTTATCATCGCGCATCGGAAGGAGCTTGTCGAGCAAGCAGCCCGTCATTGCCGGCTTGCGTATCCAGACAAATCTATCGAAATCGAAATGGGCGCGAACAAGGCATCTGGGGCCGCTGACATCACAGTAGCTTCGATACGGAGTTTATCCTCGAAGGATCGGATTGAGAAATTTGATCCTAGCTTATTCAAGCTCGTATTGGTTGATGAAGCGCATCATATTGTTGCACCTCAGTATCGCCAGGCCCTTTCGTACTTTAGCTTGACTAAGCCATCCAATAATGCGCCGGTGTTGGTTGGGGTTTCTGCTACATTTTTCAGATTTGACGGATTGAAACTGGGGTCTGCAATTGACCATATTGTTTATCATAAGGATTACATTGACATGATTGGTGAAAAATGGCTGTCGGATGCTATCTTCACTACAGTAAAAACCCACGTCGATCTATCACGCGTTGCTAGGGATTCATCAGGAGATTTTGCGACAAGAGCTCTATCTGAAGCTGTAAATACTGCTACCGTGAATGATGTTACAGTGCGATCTTGGCTCACGCATGCTAGCGATCGTCGTTCGACACTGGTATTTTGCGTTGATATCGAACATGTCCACCAACTCACAGAGGCCTTTCGTGACAATGGTATTGATGCCCGTTATATAACTGCAAATACGCCCAGACAGACGAGGAACGAAGAGTTAGAAGCTTTCAAAAGGGGAGAGTATCCGGTGCTACTTAACTGCGGGCTCTTCACTGAAGGAACGGATATTCCTAACATAGACTGTGTTGTCCTCGCGCGCCCTACCAGATCCAAGAGTCTACTGATTCAGATGATTGGACGTGGTTTACGACTACATCCTGAGAAGGAAAATTGCCACATCATTGATATGGTGTCGACATTGAATACCGGAATTATGTCTACGCCTACCTTGTTTGGACTTGATCCTGATGAAGCACTCAATACGCAGAGTGTACAGGAAATCCGAAAGCAAAAAGAGCAAGAAGATATAAGCTCGCCTATACCCGACGTTAGCTATGTTCGCCCTCTCAGGGAAGATGAGGTTGATGTTACGTTCACGACATACGACAGTGTATTCGATCTTCTTAATGACGAGCGCGTAGACCGCCACATTCGCTCCATCAGTCGTTATGCATGGGTACGCGTGAACGCAGATCGATACATCCTCGCCGATAAATCAGGGTGGATGACTATTGAGAAAGGCGAACAAAACATCGACGGACCATGGATGGTGGAGCTTGTACAGAAATACGAAACAGCCGCTGGGATGACAGTGCACACTAGGCCTAGAGTCATCGCTCGAGCACCGGACTTTGAGCAAGCTGTACGAAGCGCCGATACCTTTGCAAGCACGAATTTCAAAGATTTCGCAATTAACTCGTCACAAATTTGGCGCCGGGCGCCTGCATCGGATAGTCAATTGAAAGTTTTGAATAGCAAGAAGATCCTGGACCGCGAGATTACGTCCAAGGATCTCACGAGAGGGCAAGCAGCGGATATGCTTACGAAACTTCGCTTTGGTACTAAGAACCGATTCCAAAGTGAACAGAGAAGGAAGAAGAAGGAAGAGAAAATGCGTAAAGAGTTTGAGAGACAAATGAGTCAGGGTGATGTCAAGGTTGGATCTCTCAGTCAGCAAGACTTGTAGAATAGGGCTATTTCTTTATCGCGGGGTCTATATATTATACAATCATTGGAATTATATTACATTTCAATATACATATAACAATTTTGGCCGCCAGTGCCAGTAGCGGAGCTCATATGAAATCATGCCTGCATGATAGTTCGTTAAGAATGAGTAGCTCAACACCTACCGAGCTTGAGATCAGAAAGGATGGAACAAATTCGGATGGATGACCAGAGAGGTCATTGGGTAGAATACCAAAATCACGTGTTAATATTCCCTCTGTTGACCATTTACTGCCGTCGACTGCGCATCGTGGCCATGATCGTCATCACCAAAAAGGTTTTGAAACTCTTCTTTTCCCATCGTTAATACAATCGGTCGGCTCTCAGACTCTGGAAAGCTGAACTTCAACTGTCCTTTGAGGTTGGTGCCTTGTCGAGGCATCAGTTTGTAAATTCTCTCCCATAAGGTGCGCATAAATCTTCGTGTCAAGCGATGAGGCCTTCCATCGAGGTATGCCTGTCTGAAACTCAAACCTCCTTGCGGTCCCGCATATATCAATGTTTCAAGTGACGACTGCTCAGCAGCAGGAGCCACTTTCACTCGTCGAACGGGTGGCTTCCAAGGCTCCGTGCCGTCTATGAGCCCTCGTAGAATGTTTAATTCATTCGGATCAGGTGGCGGAAGAGCCGCATACTTTGATCTATTAAGTAATCGTTTCCTTATGTTTGCGCGACGACACTCGGGCACGGGTTTCATCCAGCTGTTCAAATTGGGTATATTCAGGGTATCACTGGCTCTGAAGCGTTTTCCATGCACCGATCTTGCGTAAGAAGAGTTTCTTTGCGCTTTAATCAATGATTGAAGAACCTCTGGAAGCTGCCAGTCATCTCCAACGGGTTCTTTCTTCTTTTGTTCCAGATACTCTTCAATCTCAGCACTAGAATTGAAGGATTTCTTCTCACCACGCGTATTCGGCAGTAGATGAGAGAGCAGAGTGTACTTCTTGGGCCCAATGCGTCCATATGCAAGCATCAGTATCTTATTCAGAGGTTGTTGGTATCCTTGATTTCCCCGTTGTAAGAACGACAGTATATTTCTAGCGGATTTGTGAAGCTTCTTTTGTCTTTCAAGACTAGTAGCGTTCGGCCTTTTTTGGAGCATCGAGGACGGATGAGATTGCTTATGTTTCTGGTCATTGGCGGCTGTATCGTACAGCTTTTTGCGATAACGGTCGACGACATATTTGTACATATATTTTCTCGCAACTGGATCTGGTAAATAGGAACATTCACGGAGCGTCGCTCGGAGGAGATGCCGCCATACTTCAGGCGGAGCTAGAGAGCCTTGCGACATGCAGTAACCTCACTGCTTTATGTGTTATGAGATGTGAGTATAAAGGAGCAATTATCATATGGTAGTTCAATATCAATCAGTTGTCAATAATGAAGATCGCTCAAAATCATGATGATATCAAAAAGTTGAAGATGGACGGAGAACGGATCGACTAGGCCCGAAGAGGCAAGAGTACTTTTAGTGTCACGCGTCTTTCGGCCAAACGCGAAAAGGTCCCCGCGACTTCCCTCTGACACGCTTCTTCGTCCTTCCACTATCCCCCACAAACGCACTCTTTCTCGGATTCGTTCAGTGACACATCGCATGAATCAATTTCTATTAATGAGAGTATATACATAGTCTACTTACGAATAGTCGCTTATTGCCGCTCACTCTCCCTCGACGAGGGCTGCATTCTTGGCGCCTCTTCCCTGCATCGAATTGTGGACTTGATGCTCACGTTCACCTGAATCTCGAAGTCCCAACTTATATTCCGTCGGCGCTATGGCTACGAGTAGCAATCACCGCCAGCGACCTAGTCTCCCTATGTCATACTCTCAAGGTAGCGTAGGGTCGACCAATGGGTTGCCGATGTCCCAATCTCATCTGGGTTCTTTTAACCATTCACAATCAGTCGCATCGACACCTACACCAACACCGCCTGCGCGAGCATCGCAGCAGTCCGCCATGTCATATAGCTTTCCGAATGGGGCTCTGCACCCTTCGCACCCTTCGATGTCAAATAGCTTCAATGGATATGACCGAACGAATGGCTTTGGGACAATGACTCCCCACCAAGAAAACTATAAACCTCAAATTTACCGGGTATGTTCTCCAGACTACTAGATAGCCGCCGTTATTGCTTCCGGGCTCTACCGTATACGAACAGACAGAGCATGAAGCTAACAATCACTTGCTATAGGCCGTCTATTCGAATGTCTCCGTATATGAAATGGAAGTCAACGGTATCGCTGTAATGAAACGCCGATCAGACTCTTGGTTGAATGCAACTCAGATTCTGAAAGTGGCCGGTGTCGTCAAGGCTAAAAGAACGAAAACTCTAGAAAAGGAAATTGCGGCCGGTGAACATGAAAAGGTCCAGGGCGGCTACGGCAAATATCAAGGTACATGGGTTAGCTACCAACGAGGTGTCGAGTTATGCCGTGAATATCAGGTTGAAGAAGCACTCAGACCTCTGCTCGAGTACGACATGGACGACGGCAATTCCCGACGTGCCTCACTGGAAACTCCAACGAAGGAACAGGCCATGGCCGCCCAGCGAAAACGTCTTTATAGCGCCGAAACCCGCGGAATTAGCCAACCAGCACAGGCTACTTTTTTCCAGAATATGTCTCGTACTGCGGCCAATGCCGTCAATGCTATTAGCAAAGCTCGTTTTGAATCTCCCAACAAAAGACGACCTAGCTTAATGCGTAATCAATCACAGCACATGAGCAGTCAAGATTCGCTGAACGCGCCTGGTGGTACACAAACAAGCATGTACAGCGTGCATTCTGACAGTGGGTTTGCAAGTCAAAACGCTCATACTGGAAGAAACGATACCATGGTTGATCAGGAAAACACATTGGAACCTCCACGAAAACGCGTTAGAAGTTCTTCGAATCAAGCCCTCTCTTTTGGAGCAAACAGTACGATGTCTGCATACGAACCTACTCCAACCGAGCCAAACGACTCGTTTTACCAGCAAGCAGATGACTCCTTGACAACCTACGATGTCAACGGTAGAGATCCACTTCCTCCCGCCGTACATCCAGACCAGTTCCAGAAAATGAAGCTCATCATGACCGTCTTTCTTGACAAACGTATGAAAGACTTTTCAAAACACCCAGCGCTCGTGGAGCTATCCGGGGAGGACCTCGAAATACCCCTGGACGAGTACCAAAATAGTGCTTTGCACTGGGGGGCAATGCTGGCCCGTATTCCTTTACTACATGCCCTCGTTGGAAAGGGTGTGAATATTCAGCGCATGAATGCCGCCGGTGAGACCGCGTTGCAAAAGGCTGTTTCCACCCGAAACAATGTTGACTACCGGTCATTCCCGCGGTTACTCGAGATTCTTGGTTCTACTATTGATATGGTTGATCATAGTGGTCGCTCAATTCTCCATCACATTGCGCTCATGGCTGCAACTGGTGGTAGTGGACAAGTATGCGCCAAGCACTATCTCGAAGCTCTGTTGGAATTCATTGTACAACACGGAGCGAGGTCGCAAGAGAACGATAAACAAGTGACGAATGGTGAAAATGAATCATCGCAAGGAGAGATCATCAGTCTAGGCAGGTTTGTCTCTGAGTTGGTCAATTTGCGCGATGATCAAGGTGATACGGCACTCAATATAGCTGGTCGGGCACGCTCAATCCTTGTGCCACAATTATTGGAGATTGGAGCTGATCCTCAAATCCCTAATCATACCGGCCTCCGTCCTGCAGATTACGGCGTGGGTGTTGATATGGTCAATGAAAGCTCTCAACCGCAGCAAGACGAGGAGAAGAAAGACACTTTCATTAATCAACTGGCTAGAACAAAAAAGGAAATTCTCGATGGTAAGTTCATCGATTGACATCCAAATATTCCAGCACTAACGCCTCTTTTCAATAGCTACATTTGCGGAAATTAGGGCTCTGGTTGAAGAAGAATTGGGTGATTTTGACCGCGGTTTAACCTCAGACCTAAGCAAAAAGCAAGCTGAATTTGATCACTGGCATGCAAAGATCCGTGAAAGCGCGCGTGCCCGACAAATCGATCAAAATGAGCTTAAAAGTCTCAAAAGTAAAGCATCCGATTGGTCGAATTATCATCGACGGATAGAGAATCTCGAGCGTGATGTCGAGGATATGGTGGCTTCTCTGAAGAAATACTATGGCAACGATTTTGATGTCTCACAGACATGTCCCGTGGGCTATGCGGATAGTGATTCAGGCGTTGACATGAACGAGTTCAGCCAGGTCTTCTCAAACTTTGATCCCAATACTGAACTGTCGCTTGAGCAGAAGAAATTCTTGACGGCTTTGCCATCTGCAGCTGCTTTGGAAGCTCGTCTCGAAGCATATGAAGGCCTAAACAAAGATATACACGATGAAATCACACTTTTGAAGTCTAAGAACGTGGTCCTTGGTGAGACTTATCGTCGAGTGGTCATGGCCTGTACCGGATTTTCACACGATCAAGTTGATGAAGCTGCTGAGGGGTTGACCAAACATATCAAGGATTTGAATGAAAATCCAGTGTCGGCAGATGAGGCGATCGAGATTTTGATGAGAGATCGTGGTCAGGATTGGTAAACGCAGGATTGGCATTTCGGCAGCCATTTGACATTGCATTTGTTGTGCAATAGTATCACGATGGTCATCGGCCTATACATGCATTTACTCCCTCCACATTTATTGCATGCTTCTTGGTTTATGTTGACGGCGGGTAGTTTATTCGAGTCCGTTCTTGTTCGCAGATACCCCGCAACAAGTTGATTAGCACTTCTTCTGCTCTTATTCTGTGTCAATTTTGCATTTTGCATTTGCACTTTGTACTTGCCCCACGATTGATGATTCTACTTGTAAGATACATGTACATACTCACACACAAAGGTGCCTGCATCGTAATTGTCTTAATGTGCCTTACTACTATTAATCAGACTTTCCACCTGAATTGCATACCTTCAGAGCCAGCCATTGCATGATTGGTTTGGCCTCAGTCCCTCTTCATATTGAATCGAAGTGACCAAATTAGGCAAAGTCTTGAGACACGTCTGAGCCGTTTTCGGCAACCGTTACCCGAACATATCTTTATCTGCGACAAGCAACGTCTCACAATCACAAACACCGAATTATAGCTTGAAATCTACCTAGTGCAAACCCTTGAGACATATTATACCTGTGCTCTCGAGCTAATGCACCTTTTAATCCGAATGAGTCTAACAAGAAGTGTATGAGGCTTAAGCCTCCTCCTTGGCCGAGGCCGCATTGCATTGAATTTAGCGAGCCCCTACCACCAAACTGTCTTGTCTCATCGTTAGGCGGATTTCAAGTTGAGACTTACTTTATTTTCGGCCAACCAGAGGCTCTCTATTTCACTCAATACGTCAGGTGAGACGATTGAGCCTTGCACGCCTGTCAGAGTTCGTAAGCTTAATCGTGATAAGTGATAACCCTAATTCGAGACATCATAGGAACCAGAATTGTTGGCATTGGTCCCTGGCGCTTACCAAGGTCATCATACTAATAGTCTACAAGTGCAAAGTATAATTTGACTGTTGTTAATTGATGATTGATTTACTTGGCATTTCCAGGTGATGCTCAATGCGTATGGGTTTTAAGGGGTGGATCTGGTTAACCATTCCGATTAATATTGTTGATATAGGTACCTTTTAGGTATGTGGCGTCCGTAGGGGCCAATAGCGAATATTCATGCATAAGCTCGAGCTACATGAAGTTAGCCTCGTGGCTTAGGTCCGACATATCTGCTACGATATCAAAACCCCAAAATGAGAAGTCTCATGTCCTCGTCTTCTTCCTAACTGATAGTTAGCATATCGTCTAAGCCCCTTAAAAGCAGCTTTCGAGACACCTTACTGATACTCAGTATCTGGACATGGGAACATGTGACAGTAAATACATTCATTCGAGGCATGGATCACTTCTCCGTATCATGTTATGATCAGAACTGGCTACGATCTGTATATGACGAAGCGTCTAGACAGCTGAAAAGACTGGAATTTCGAGCTCTCGCAGACGCTTTTCTTTACATGAAATAGCTTAATAGTATTTCCAGATGCAGTCATTCTTAATAAGTTAGATCTCTGCTCTTGGCGTACTTTCAAGGTTCTAGATTCAAAGGTGAGTGGTTTTGTGGGCCTTATGAGACATTTGGGCGGACCTGATGTCGTGGTTCATGTGCCATACTATATATGCAAACCTGTATCCTCTCCTCCACAAGTTTACCGAGTAGATTATCTCAATGAAAGATAGCTTTCTATCCCGCTACATCAACAAATACTTTCACTCATTGTTTACATTCATATCATATCTCCGCCATACCTATTCAGTATGCAGGACTACAGAGCAATTGTGTTGCTCACTCTAGTTCTTCATGGCCTATCAGTATATGCCAATCCATGGCTGGCTAGCAATCTCGATTTACCCTTGAGACTACGGAGATCAGACCGGCCATTGATACAACGTCGCACCTCAATCGACCTGGCAAGCCATGACAACGATACAGAGATCAAATCAAATATTGTCAGTATACCCACCGAGAAGCTATTTGCACGAGCTGAAGCCGCTGCTGTACCAACCTTTGACGAAGCGGCTTTCAACCAGAGCGTCATGACTGCATGTACCAGTGCTGTCGATAGCTACGTAGAAGCAAATAACCCCAGTGGCATGGTTGCGTGTTACAATATCGCAATCTTTGACAACGCTACTGGTGTTTTTCAGACCGATGTGCGTTTATATCAGAAATCCACCCCTACTGGGTCATTTGAGGGATTGACTCCGGCCGACATAAAAATGTCATTTTCGATTCCGCAAGCAACTGTTTCGAAGCCGATGTTGATGGTTTCAAATGGAACTGTTACCGCCGATACCACCGCAGCTGGTCAATTTGTGATGGGATTTCAGAACATTGGTCAATTGAGTAAGAGTCTGATATTCTCGAAGCTTAGCGTGTAGGTCCTCTCTTCCGACTCTTTCAATCTATACCACGAAACTGACTGGTTTTTAGCGGAGATCTCCGTATCCTCATGATCCCAACGATATCTCTCGGGGCTAATCTTCAGTCTGGTGGCGTTGTCAACACAACACTTTCCTCCGACACACTCTCCTACGTGGCCGGTGTACTCGTCGAAGACAACGGCACACCAACAAACATCACAGCTCCACAGGCACTCAGTCTCGCGAGCCCAATTGTTGCTTCGGCATCAGTGTTTGTTCTTCCAGGAACGACAATCAAGATTGCTCCCGTGGGCTTGATCGTCACTTGTATCTGGTCGGGTCTATTGATGTTAGCTGTTGGAGCTGGTACTGTTGGACGATATCAGTTTCGCGTTCATTACAGGCAACGACTCCAACGTGCAACTGCAATTAACAAGACTATTCCCTGGAGCAACTAGTCCGATTCTTTTTATTTTTTTTGAATTTTACTGTTTGCGATTCAGCTTTGTCACATTTTGATACCTCATTTGTACTAGATCCATTCATAGGTTTGATGCTTGTTTGGTATACGGTCTGCCGTCTTGACTTCCTCGGTTCCTGGCGAACTTGAGATAATGATCTATGATTTTGATTCACTTCTAGATAGCTTCTTTTAGTATATAGAACCATGAATACAGTTCTCATTCTCGCGATTCTATTGATATTTTGATACTTTTCCAGTAAGAACCAGTCATCGTTCAGTTTGTATATGATCTTGCCCTAAGAGACCCACCGTGGAGGGACAATTCCACGCTATTCCGTATTCAGAACTGATAACGATAGCAGAGGAAAAAAGTTGTGCGGGGTGCTTTGAGATGTCAAAAACTTCACTTACAGATCTCTGCTTTATCATGTTGGGAACTGTTACAGTTTTATAGATTTCTTGATTTTTTTTACTTTCCCGTCCCCTCTTTCTTGCAGAAATTTGGCTTCCGTTTCATATGTTGTCGTGCTAGTCGAGGACTGAAAAATCCCATGTGCAAGTCTTTCATCTGATCAAACAGGGATTTCGCTCTTCTCGTAGCATCTGCTATAATTGGTCTACAAGCCATATAGTCGGTGCAGCTTTCACAATGGCTCAAGACTCGCCTATTTCGTCAACGAAACCCGCTCAGTTCACCACCATTTACGACGACGATACGACGAAACGAAATTTCGACCCTATTCGTATTCGTACCTCAGACCGACTTCTTCACGATCCTCTTGCACAGGAACTTTTGAATATCACATCCGAGAATTCTTCGCCGGAGACAGAAGCTCTTAGTGAGGGCAAAACATCCTACACTAATTATGTCGCGGAGAAAGTGCGCAAACACGTAGCGGAGTCAGCAAGCAAGGACGCAAACGCACAGCATGAGTTGTTATCACAAATATTACATATCGGCTTTGCCGCACTGTTTTGTTTCCTCCAATCCAATGTTACCGGCCCGCCCTTGGAGTTTAACTCGGCAGTCGTTGTGTTTGGGGAGACAGTTGCCGGCGACAAGGGAACCCTTAATACCGTGCGACGGAAAATGTTGAGAGATTTGTCCATAGATGGAGAAGCAGTATACCCGCTTACACCAAACATTGAGTTGTTTTGTGTTGCCAAGGCTATATTAGTCGAGTCAGGTGTGTTTGTGGCTGATAATTCGCCTCTCGTTGCACGGACAGGACGCATGAGGGTCAACTTCTTGCATCAAAAGATGCTCAGCGAGGTATCAGGAACACTGCAGAAGGCTATTTATGATGATCTCGATGTGATCAGTGCGACTGTTTTGGGCGAAAATTCGGATTCCATTGGTAAAATGAAAGCTGCCTTTTTACTCGAACGAGCAGCAGTACATACACATCACGGATTAGATGCCAAAGCCCGATCTGATCTTGACAGAGCAGCTTCCGCATCCGGCTTTGAGTACGCGCTTACTGGAAAGTTAGGGAAGAGGACAAAGTTCCAAGATAGAGATATCACGCAGCTCGTTGTTCTAGCCGTGAGCTCAGAAATGGAATCAATGTCAGAGGCTACAGAAGCAAAGAGTGAGCCTGAGACATCGGGACCTAAGGCTCTGGATTTGAATGATGATACTCTACTTGAGACAATTGCTTTTGCAAAAGAAGGGGCACAGCCTGAAAAGCCCACCACCGTTCAAGATGAATCTTCTTTGCCCCCAGCACTGGTGGCGATTGATCCATCTAACCAACCGAAACTCAACCCTCTCGACTCTGCTATACTCCTTGCTATTGCTTCTGCTATTACGAACAACTCACCCGAGCACGGATTGACTCGTGAGGAGACACTTCCATATGCGACACGTGTTATTGAAAGTGGTAGTAACAACTGGCAGATATATACTCAGGCTCTTCTTGTCCGCAGCCGATGTGAAGCTTTCAAAGCACGCACCGTCGAAAGAGGTGTTCTACAAATGCAGGCGCTAGTTGATCAGGTCATTGCTGATACGGCTACTAGCAACACGGCAATGGTGACTACTGACACAGTGAGCAACAAGCAGCAAGAACAGCCTACAACATTCTTGCCTCGACCTGAGGAATCAGAGTCTGCACCAGCGGAAGAACGATTAGAGTATCTATGGACTCTTCATTTCAAGACAAGGTGGAATCTTGAAGCAGAACTTGCGCAGAAGTGGGTTAGCCTGGGTGGTCTTAGAACCGCTCTGGATATTTATGAGAGACTGGAAATGTGGGCTGAAGTCGCATTGTGCTATGCAGCAACTGAGAGAGAAGAGAAAGCCAAGGCGATTGTACGGCGCCAATTATACGAGCCTACAAACCCGGGAACGATCCACGATGATAATGAGCGGTACGAGGGCTCTGAATTGCCCGAATTACCCGCAGATGCACCACGTTTATTCTGCATCCTTGGTGATATTGATTCAGAGCCAGCTATGTATGAACGAGCATGGGAGGTTTCTGGTCAACGGTACGCAAGAGCTCAACGCTCCCTTGCTAGGCTATATCTGAAAGCTCAACCACCTGATTATGAGAAAGCGGAAGAAGCATATAAGAAAAGCTTAAGAATAAACTTACTCAACCATGGCGCATGGTTCGCTCTTGGTTGTGTGCAATTGAACCGCCAGAAATGGCATGAAGCTGTTGAAGCATTCACTCGTACAGTACAGCTCGAACAGGATGATGCTGAAGCATGGAGTAATCTTGCTGCAGCTCTTCTTCACGTCTCTCCCGGGAACAATAAACCCTCGGCCAAAGAACAAAAAGATACAGAAGTCGTTGAAGGTGAAAAGGCTGAAGAAGAAACCGACCCTTACAAACACACTCGCGACGCTCTTACAGCTCTTCATCATGCCGCTCGACTTAAGCAAACAGATCACCGTATTTGGGATAATATCGTTACAGTTGCAGCTTCGCTGCCTCCTCTATTGATACCTTACAAAGACATTGTCTTCGCACTGCGAAAAGTCATTGAACTCCGGTCACCAAAGAGGGGCGAAAAGGCTATAGACTTGACTGTCTTAGACATGCTGGTTGAACATCTCATCAATGACTACAAGTATGACGATCTCCTTATCACTGTTGACGGCACGAATCAGAAAATTCTACGTACCGGTACAGTAGCCGGCCAGATCATCACTCTTATAGATGATGTCGTGGTTCCATTAATCACTCGCTCCGCTCCGCTCTGGCTTCTTGTTGCAAAGGTAGAGCTATGGCGTCAGCGACCTAGCAAAGCATTCGCAGCACATGAGAAGGCGTGGCGTGCCACAATCTCTTCGTGTACCCAAGGCGCATTTCAGATGGGTGATGAGAAAAAGTGGATTCAAATTGTCAAGGCTACGGAACGTCTTGTGAGAGATGGATATGCAAAGATAGGTGGCATGACTAAAGAGCGGGAAGATGGAGCTATACCGGAAGGTGAAGGCGAGGAGGAATTGGTGGCTAAAGATTGGAGGTTCAAGAGCAGGAGTGCAGTAAGGGGAATATTAGGTAAAGGCAAGGATTGGGAAGGTACCGAAGGATGGACGCAGCTCAAAGAATTGCTATCAGAGGTTGATGGCTAATCTAACTTGTTTGAGTGCGTTCTTTAAGACAATATACTACTCGTATCTATATAATTCATAGATCAGCTGTTCTTCATGTCCTACACCTGCATGAGGTCCATCCACACATGAAACTAGTTCACACGCGTATATGTCAACCTCGGAAAATCTCGATCACTCTCTGTTCTCTGTGTCTCTGAGAGGACAAATTCATCATCAAAAATCCATATTTGACAATACTTATCCTATCCATACAGGAGACCAGGGAAACTATTCCAGCCGGGAACGGACCTCAAACTAAGCATCCTTAAAAGTCAAGCCACCAGAATAAATACCCTATGAAATGAGAAGGAGACAACATCCTTAGGTATTAGCTTACGGCAAAATGTACCTAGCCCTCTATGGTGTCCATATGTTCTTCTTATTAGGCAAAATAGGAATGATCCTATTGATTACTCGGATATTTGAGCAAGAAGGGTAATCACAATACTCCGTCCTCCATTAAACATAGTATTTGGTATCGATGAAATTCATTTCTATAAATAAATAAGGTAATTATAGGGGTTTTCAAAAGCTTAAAACCCTAATCTGACTTCATGTGTTGCGTTCTTTCCTATTACGGCAATGTATACGAGTGATGACAATGACAAAGTTGGACTTGCGCTTTCGGCCATCAGACGTTTCTAATAGATAACATGATGATATTTAGGCCTGCGCAAGTGTTCCCCATTATTGAAATCATAAAACATACAAAATTTCCATAGTTGCGTTTGATTTGAATGTCTAAACGATCCTGTGCTATAGTACAATACATAACGGGTCATTCATCATAGACATTAAGTAATTAATTCTTCTTCGGTATCCCCTTTCCATCAAATCAAGCCTTTAACATTTTTGATTTCCCCTCGATCTTGGTCCTTTGTTCACACTTTTTCTGATTTCTGATCTTCCTTCAATTCGTGACGAGTTGGGTTTGGCATGGAATAATTCAATCTATGTCAAAATTGTGATCAGTATAAGACATACAATATAGACGGCAATACTCGACCGTCGCTCATACCTGCCCAAAAGCAAGACGCAAAAAGCAAAAATAATGATATACATACTAGGATTTGGAAGAATGGCAGCTGTTGCAGCGCATGTAGCCGCAAAGTTTGCAACGCCAAATGGCAACAAATGGACCAGAGTTGCAATCAGAGCAGCGCCAGGTAAGAATGTTACCATTGGTGCTTTGGACAATAGCAAATACATGACCGGAGCATTGGTTTGCCATGATGATTGTTAGGTAGGAGATTTTTGCGAATGAAGGAGTCTGATAGGTAGCTGTTAGCTGCTAGAAGAGAAGATAACGAGAAGGATAGACAGTCCTGGGTCGAGGGGGCATACCGATGTCTATTGATTAAGATGCGGGTGGAAAGGCTTTGGTAAGAATCTATGTCCAAGTTAGAGAAACAAAGGTCATTTGCTAATATAACTAAGAAAGTCTCACAGTTCTCCCTATCTGAGAAGATAATCGTTTCTTGGTTTTGAATGCTTTGAGCTGTTTGGAATCTTATTCAATGGGTGGAAGATATCGTGACTTTATAGATCTCTCTGGACCTAGCCCTTCTTTTTTTGGTGATGAGCAGTCAGATGTAAATATTTTGTTTGACAAAGTCTTTCTGCAACTACCCAACCCAGGACACAGGTCGTGTGCATAACACTCGCACGGACAGACCAAAATCAACAGTGTTCCGAAATCAGAAGAAATTAAAATTAGAAGAATCCAAACAATGCAAAATCTGGGTAGATCAATGGCCACAGATAAAGCTCTTCTCTCTTTGCTTTTCCTTTGCGTCCTTCCCAGTTGATACTGAAACCAGATCAGTGGCCGCAATGATCTTTTCTCTCTTTTCTTTTGCTTTCCTTCTAGCTGATACTGAAACTGAGTCGAGAGTACGTATCCGATCTGGGTCTCCTCCAATCTAGACGTCCTCTTCCATGTGTGTTTAGGTCGGGACTAGGTGACGAAGAGTTCATGAAGGTAACGGCGATGCGGATGGCGGCATTGCTTCCAGACGGAAAGAAATTCGGAGACAGGTATGTACTTGTGTGTGTTGAAATGCTTCATCAATCGAGACACAAGACAATGGATCAACCTATTCATCATCTACTGAGAGCAAAATGAATTACCAGACCAGCTGCATCATGTCTGTTTGAAAGCTAAGATTGTGGTCACTTTATGCGAACAAGGAAGCTGTGGAAGAGAGAGAAAGAAAAAAAAGAAAAAGAAACGAGAAGTAAATTGATAACAGCCCAGGGTAGCGGTAGAGGTGTCAAGAGAGGCGTAAAGAGACTTTTGAGAGGTCCATCCGAGTACATGAAGTGACATTTGTCCTCCATGCTCTGAATGGATGACATTGGTACATCCCCATAGAAGTCATAAATTTCCCCTTCCCCTTGGGCTAAACGGGTCCAGACGCTAAGAACGACTAAACAATTTTTGTGGTACCCAATATTATCGTTCTGATGGGTCTCAGACGTACTAGGATGGTCTATGGACAATTGGCACAGAAAAGAAAAACTATCAGTGTCTGATTTTCGGTCTCTGGGTCTTGACAGTCCCTGCAGTAGAGTACGATGTTCCAATTCGTCAATTGCAGTGTGATGAGCTCCACTTACGAATTGTAAGAACGTAGCTGTCGGGGTTTTCTAAACTTTTTTAGTATCGTCAGTTTTCACCTCTAAGTTGCTTTAGTTTGAGAAGTTAGTATTTACTTGGTAGTACTAGTCCGGCTTCGTTCGGCCTGGACTATGGGAGTTGAGAATGATTGTCATGATACATTTTTATGTCAATTCCTTTAGTCCAGCATAGATCTCAACATGATTCATGCGTGCAACAGTATAGTCCAAATCCAGTAATTACTACTGAGATATGATCGAATCTTGTCAAACAAAGGGCATTATCTCTGAATCAATGGCCTTTAACCCTTTCAAACAAAGTCGATTGAACTTGATTTAAACCATGCTGCATGACTCATTAGTTCGGATCAGTTTGTTTGCTTCCTAATATCCACAACCGCATTCCTCAGTTAAGAAGGCCTTTTTATTATGCCGATCTAGAAAAACTCCTTGGGACAAACTAAACACGAACTAAAGCTACGACTAACCAGGAAAAAACAGTGAGGAAAGTGGATGATACAAGATTGCCTAAACTAGCTAGTCCCTATGTAAAGCTGGTACGTTACCGTACAGGATTCATTACCTGCCAATTACAGACTCCAGGGGATACGGTTCCGATGGCGCTAGTGAATAAACTAGCTATATTACGTATCCCGTACATGCTTGGTATGTAAGTTTCGATACTAGGGTTATCCCTTCCGGAATTCCTTCACTTTCACCCCTCTGATACACTGGTCTATGGCCAAGAAAAATCCATGCAGAAGACAAGGTTCAAAAGCAGTCGGCCATCTATGGACTTTCTTGCTTTACTGTACCACATTGCACCCGAATCCGAGCAAAAATTTTCCCGCTGTACCGTGTCAACTTTTGAATGGCATACAACAAGATGTCGGCCCGAATTTTAGTGCATCCCTTCCCCCTGTCTCTTTCACTCGGTGGACACTATGACTCTAGCAATCAAGAGATGGCATAAGGTACATAAGAACATTGCACATACAGCTAGTTAGGGCTCACAGATGCGATCCCACAACCGTTCCTCGACCATTCTCTCCTTTTCCTCCACAGCTACGTATCACAAGGCCCGAAACAGATGAGATACTGCCACCGGGATGCGAGGACCGTCGTTACAAGCTTCTACAAGCAGCTGACTAGTTATCATATCAATAGATGACACTTGTCATGAGACCGTCCTAAAAACTAGGATCGACCTGATTGCTCCCGACGTCTCGGGCCCATCCAGCCAGCCCCAGCTGCGTAGTAAGTACAGCTAGTACCAAACTAGTACGTCGTAAATTATTTAGGCTCTACATTTAGTGCATGATACGACGTAACTATCCCTGTCGGAACCCAAACCTTACCTTTCTGTTGGAGCAACTAAAAATGACTAGCCCCATTTTCGTCCAAGCTTGGATGCTGTCATTGCGAGATGGGCCAACAATGTTTGAGCTTGTCCCAATTGCAAATGGTAGTATGTGGTGTCTAGTTTACATTCAGAGTAGCGCACTGTAAACGAAGTTTAATGTGGACCGGACTCGGGAATATACACAAATTTCCCTAAATACGATATCTAGTCACTAGTTAGCAACTAATAGGCGAACACGGATATGCTCGGCCTCTGCTGTTGATCCACCGGTCATGGCATAATCGCCTGCCATTCAACTATTCTTGAGATATTCGGGGGGGGAGGGGGGGGGAGGCAAACCATCTCCAATTCATCCATGGATCCGTGCCTCCATTCCTATACAGACATTGCATGGCTAACATATTATCAACTACCTGTGCAGTGCAGTTCTATGTCATCGATTGTGTTTCTTCGTCCCTCAGAAGAACAACTATCTAGCAACAAGTCAACTTGGCGCCTACGCTGTCAAGGAATACCCTGCAGAATGCTTCTTGACTCTATAGAGTCGGCAGTTCAACACGATTTGACGGCCTCTAGATTATCAACGGCTCATGTGACCTCGGGAGGTAGTCCGAATGGCGTAACGATAATAAACCGAGAAAAAAAATTTTACCGGGCAGCCTGCATTTCCAGTGGTTTACTGAGCGTCTAACCGTTACATAGTAGCACGCATACGTTGTTGTTGGCTTCGCCAGAACTGCATACAACCCGGAGATTTGGAACCGAACTACATTGATCAGCAGCGTGTATACGGGGATTACAATGTGTGCTGGGCCTGCAGCACATGAGATGAACATGTGATGGATTGAACGCCACAAACCCTTTTTTCGGAGAACCGACAAGAACCTCATACCGGAATTGTACTCAGGTACGTATAATATCACGGCTCATTTGTGTTATGAAGACTGGAGGATATCTGAAACTTGGAAAAAACGAAGCAGAAACTATCGAATATTGGCATTCCACCTAAGCTTCGTGGAAATATTCTTAATTAGACGTCTGTCTAAAGCAATATATCAATATGGGTCTAGAACGAAGTGTTTATTGGCAATCCGATAGATAACACATGGGCCGGTTGACAACCGGGGACGTACGTTTATCCAATCTTGCGCCACGGTCCTACCTAGGTACGAGTAGGTAGTGCTTCACTCATTGCTCGAGACAGATAATACGATGGAGGTCAGTGCTCTCAGACCCAGTTACACAAAAACGATACATACGGCATACACAGGCATGTGCGTTCATAATAGTCGGTGTATGCAGAACTTTGCTGGCACGTCGTGGTTTCCTGTAAATAGCCAAAACCCATCTGATCTTATCATTTGTATGTCCGTTGGGGTACTGTATTCTATATTCAGACGTTTGTCACGTGTAGCGACATGTCATTTCTTCCCAGCATCAATCGGAAATAGCTAATTCCACAGATCTAGATCCCTGATACTATCGATCTGTTATAGGATGTAACTCGTTTAAAGTATAAGGCTGTAACTTGAAAGGATCGCCGGAAATTGATCCTACAATTCCGCCAACCTAATGTAGTCGGCACATCCCTGTCATTATCCAGATTGATGTTAGCATGTTTCCAACCCATGACGTTGCAGGGTTACTTTTAGTGATGCGTCAGATCATCTCAAACCAACAGGGGTTGCACGGGCTTCATGTAATCAACGAATTCAGCCTTGGCTGCAAGCTAATGTCAGTTCTTTTCCTGTCGGAATCTTCTATGATATTTACGTGCCTTGTCTGGCTTCTTATTCTCGTTGTTCTATTTTTAATTTTTATTTCTTTTCTGAGAAAGATTACTCGGTACCTGATCAGCGAAGTGGCTAGATGTATCAAAAGGAGGGATCGGAAATGCAATAGGGGCCACGGAGATTGAAGGCAGCTCACTTTTCTTTCGCCTCCGGGGAATGCAGTTTCACACAATATCTATGACGATAGAGATAGATAGCATGTATTTACATCTAGGCCGAATGGCTAAGATCGGGCATATCTCACCTACGTACACCTAGCTCCGAGATGCAGCCGTTGCCTTAGAGACCGCATTGGAAGTACTCAAACAAGCAGCAGATGCTTCGTGGTTGATCTGCTATCTGCATGCGTTTCTCGTCAATGATCGTCAGATTCAGATATTGACTATGATCGTGAGCATCAACTAGGTATGACATACAGTCAATCTATTGAGGACCTTCACGAACACCTTACCTAGGTAACTGAAAAGGAAGGTCTACTACCATATGATTTCCCTGTCTCTATCCATTTGACTCCATACTCCTGCAGAATAAACTTCCAAGTTTTGAGGAACTGTGAAGCGCACATACCCAAAATTTGTGTCATGTACCTACATGTATGCATCCACACCGCTCCCTTGACATCCCGATATTTTTCATGTGTTTTTGCGTATGAATCAAACGTAGTGGAAACTCTTAGATTCTGTATGTATATCTTTTGCACTATGGTACGTAACAAGAAAAGAGGACTATGTCCACAGGTTGCGTTGTCAGTTAATGATCAGCCAACCATATATTCGGTCTGACGGATATGAGGAATCCTGGTAAGATCGCTATACCACGAAGTAGTGCGGAGACTTGCTAGTGACTGTAGAAAAGCTGTTCGAGCATTCTAAGCCTATCTTTTTCAATTTCAGCAATGTATTAATTAGACACAACCTATAGAAAAATATGACTTTTTAGGGCTATAATTGATATTAGGGTTAATTAATGTTTATCTCTTTATCCCGAAGCAGCAGATTTCAGCCCAGTCTTTTAGTCCGAAACCCTCGTGACCCTAATAACCCTAGCACATGTTTATTCCGTAAGTTCGGAATAGAAAGATCGCCCAGCATTAGAACAGTTATCATCCATCACGTTGGTCTATCAAGACAGTTGACAACACCGTATCCTCGCTTTCACACTCTCGGCAACATAGACTTCGGTTCAAATAACTCCATCCAGACCAGCCACACTTTATCTTACGATGCTGCGTCGGAATGGGAAACCCACTTCATGTGAACCGTGCCGAGTAGCAAAGGTTCGATGGTGAGACGAACCCGGATTGATAACAGTGGGGCCTGGTTAGAACGAAAGAAGGCCTTTTCATATCTGATCAAATTGAGTTATCGATATACGGGTCAGATCTAGGGAAGCCTTTCGTTCGTTATAGCCAGGTTCGGTAGATCTGCTTTGCTAATTCATGTATAGTGATCATTCCACTCCGATTTGTCGGCGATGTAAAGATAAGGGTATTACGAATAAGGTATGTCACACCACAAGACTACGTCAATGTCAATACCTCGAATACTAACATATTCTGTCAGTGCTACTATCACCCAGCCCCTCTAACCAAACCAAAGAGTCCAAATGATGGAACTGGCCCTCCGGCGTCCAAGCGGCGGAATAAGCTCAAAGACCATGTCCGACTATGTGGAGAAGAAGAGACTATCGCGGCGCGAACTTTGACAGGTATACGTAAACGAGCGGCCTCACCAGGGGTTGCTGCCTCTAGAATATCAAACAACTCAAATTACCTTGGTACCACGAGCTACTTATCCGTGTTCAAAGAGACTCCCTCGTGGGTTCCCCGAGCGTCGTGGAACTGCACCCTACAAGCAGAATTTGAGCACTGGCGCAGTGATCATACATATACATGTGCAAGACTCGTGCGTCTGCTATGTGCCATAGGTTTTCATCGTAAGCAAATCACTTGGTACTATGGCAGAGGACGCTTTACGAAAATCCCCGCGCCGCTCGTTCTGGACTCTCTACGCCTGGTACAGGAACATATTGAGAAAAATGCCTGGCAGCAGGAAAGAAATTGGGGGAAGATCTATGACCAGATCACAGCTGCAACGTCGCATTCGCTAAAACTCACCAGTAAGACTACCCCCGCAGAGTTTTATTCGTTGTTTACGGGGGAGAACCTTCGCTGGGAGTTTGTTGGTTTTATATTCGCACTTTGTGGTACGACTGTTGAGTGTCGATACAAACCAACGCACGTATTGAATCTAAGAAATGGCGAAGAGATGGATGTCGACACCTTTACCAAGGAGATGCTGCTTGCGAGCAACGCTTGTATCGAGATATGCAGGCAATATGAACATGTGAATGATCTGATGATTTGGATGTATCAATGTCATATTAGCCTAGGGTCAGAAGTATTGGGCGAGACAAGTGCGCTTCCATTTTCCTGGTGTTCTTTCTGCGATCAGACCTCAGACTGACGTGTGGTAGGCGAGAGATTATACAGCCTTTTCGGAGACATGGTATCGGAAATCTACGCCATGGGCCTGCACCGCGATCATCATTCCACCAACGTTCCATTTTTCCTTTCGGAGACGCGCAAACGGATACTGGCAACGATACACAAGTCTGACAAGAATATTGCAACGCTCTTCGGACGACCACCTCGGTTACCCTACCAGTATTGCGACTTTGCTCTTCCATTAGACTTGTCGGATGATCAGCTCTTTCTAGATGAGCAGTGTTTAGAAGTTGTCCTGAACAAACTTGACAGTGAAGGCTGGAATTGTCAGGGGCAGTTATACCCGGCAACTGTGATACGTATGCGTCATATATTGAGTACATTGGGAGAGAAAATGCTTGAATTATCGCTAGGATCCAGGACAACAAGCTATCACAACGATCTTCTGTAGGTCTCCTTATGGTCACATTGTGACTTTCTCCAAGTCTGGTCTCTGTGAAACTGACATACGTCACAGAAGAACGTACAAATTATGCCAATGGACATGGGATCAAATCCCTGTCCGGTTCCGCTACTGTTCTAGTTGTTGGGAAGATGGGGATGTCACTGATTGCCTAGCCACAGCGATAGTGTATCTGGAGTATCTGTTAAGTGTCTTCCAGATACAAAGGATACGTCGACAGGAAAATCCGGAAACTACCAAAGATCTACTTGATACTTCGGTACAGTTATTATCGGTCACACTGGATTTGACGAAACAGTTTCAGTATGCTGAAATCCAAAGAAATTTCGGATGGCTCGTAAGTTTATTCCCTTCCTTAGTATATGAAAAGAGGTGTCTAATGTCGAATCAACTTCTTCCAGTTTCTGGCGTTCAGCTGTCCAGCTGCCGGCCTTCTCGTTACAGAAGTACGCCGTCATACGATCTCCAACCAGCCTCTTCCATGCTCTTCACCTCGCTCAGAAATCATCCGTAACCTCAGCTATCTTATCTCATGGTTTCAATCCATCGAGCTACCTTCCGCACTCACCGGAACTCTGTGTAAGGAACTCATAAAGGTTATCAGTCGACTACTGGACGAAGCCCTAGATTATCAACAGCCATCCCCGTCATCTTCTCAGCCAATACCGACCAATTCTGGAGCCACAGACAATTTTGATGTAAATTCGGCCAATAATAACACCATCCCTTTGCAACCTCCAGAGGAAACGGATATTTCGGGATCTCAGCAGTCCCTACTTGGACTCATGGACGGAGATCCAATAGAATCATTATGGTTAGGGATGGGAATGGAATATGGTGTCAGTGATGACGCATTTCATGGCTTGGGACGAGGTCTTGTGAGCGATGGGATGAACTGGCTTGATGAATTAGGGTTGAACACAGACTTGGATGATCGTGCAGGAGTACCTGGATCTTGATTACAGGGTGCTAGCTAGGAAATACTGATACTCCTCTCCGTATGTATATAGAGTTAGACTTTTAGATTATATTGATTTTGCTTCCGAGTTATTGATTGTTTTCAAAACGCACTAACTCAGTCTCAATCGAGAGATCATGTTTGCTTTACCGGACCACACGTTCAAGGAAAGTCAATCCAAGTAGCCTAACGCATGTACATGTACATGCACATGCATAAGGGAGGAAAATCTGCACTTAGATGCTGATGAAATCATATCCACATGCAAGCGGTGAAGATAGCGGTGCTACATGCAGTCAAGTCATCTGATCAATTGCATGGGATATTTGCGTGCATGGTCGACGACCAAATTGATGTTCTAAGTCGGTAGAATCGATTTTTCTGCGTCATACACCATACCTGCAATAAAGAATTCAGTGGTGATGCTCCCGGAGACCGATAATTGAGGTGTAACGAAACCTAATTTATGGAACACAAGAGACCGGCAGGCAGTTGATTTTATTACCTGTTGAGGTAATTGATCAGGTGTCCTGAGTGTCCACATGTGAGCTCATGCTGTTGTCTGCATCTTGCTTCGTGATCATTCAGAGTACGTATCCATATCTTGGCGTATGGTGATCTTGGACGGAAGGTATTGATATGGACTGCTAGTCCAAGGATGGCAATGGAAATGGACAGTATCATTGATTAAATCATATTCGCTACGTAGTTTAACGATGTGCATCGATATGTTCGGAGGGTTCTCTTGCATTTCTTCCATTGACCCAAAAGATCCGAAAGTAATGCCTTCGTTCTCCGTGGCAGAACCCAAGTAATAGCCGTTTCAAATACCACTAAGAGTCGTAAAAGAAAAAGACATCACCTAGAATCCTGTTTATGTTGCTCTTCCAACGCTCCGTTAAGGACATCATTGTTTCAATAGCAAGATGTCCTTGCAGGGCCCTTAGTGGCCCTGCATCGCTGGGTAAATCGAAGTGTGAACACTTGATTTTCAGATGGGATAAGTAAGGGTAACGGTGTTTGAAGTTTTTTTCATATAGAAATACACTATCTTTGCTTGAGACTGTCATAAAAACTCATGCAAATCTGGGCTCTGTAAACAAAAATGAGTAAAGAATATACACAGAGTCAAGTATAAAAAAGAGTAAAAGCAACGTCTTTCACCTATTCGTCATGAATATCATCAATTCGTGCATTGAGCCCCTGGCCACTCGATGTCCCCTAATCCGTTAATTGGAACAGAGCAGATATACTGAAGAAGAGACACGTTAGTAAAGGTTTACCAGTATCTCCGAAGAAACACTAACCTTTCGCCATAGTGGTGACGTCGGATGCTCTCTGATAACAAAGCAGACACGTCAATAACATGGAGCTTCTTCGAGAGACGCATCTTTTCTGGAGGAATGGGAAACGAATTTGTGACAACAATATGATCAATAGCATCGCTACTCTCCATTTCCTCTAGGCAGTTGTCACCGAACAACCCATGAGTAGCAATGCAGTATACTGTCTTTGCACCGCCTCCCCTGACTACCGTCTCAGCAGCAGTAATCCATGATCCACTTCGATCAATCATATCATCAATAATGAAAACAGGTTTGTCCTTGACGTCTCCAACCAAGGTGATGGTTTTCTCATCATGATTGGGTGCCGGCACCGCTGGGTCATCATCGTCCGATTCAGCAGCATCATAAGTGCCGCCCAGAGCATGACCCTCATGCGATGAAGCAACAGACATAAAAGAGGACGTCATATGATCATTGTTCACACTGTCACCATTTTCGGAACCAGTTGGGGGGAGAGGAGTGGCCACTTGTGACCCATCAACAAAGTCTTCGTCAACAAGGTGTCCTTGTACGATACGTCCTGTAATCACTTCTCGAGCTCTTTCATCGGTCGTATGTTCTGCAGCTTCCAACTCGGAAGGTCGCCGAGCGGATGGAGGAGTTTCCGGCCTTAGCGTATCCGCAGATCTGGAGAGAAAATAATCATCCACAGCTGAGTCTTGGTCGACAGCAAGGAGGCCCATCGATCTCCGAGAGTGATTCCCTCTCTCTATGGTATCAAAAAAGACCATACTATCTGACATGGACACATTATTTTTGGGCCTGCGTCGGTCTGTTGTGACAATGCCAAAATTAAGCTTCAAGGTATCCGCAAGCGACGTCACTCGCTTTGTACCACCAGCATTCTTGCTGACAACGACCGCATCCCTCCAGCTGGGCACATTCATACGGATCCAGCGGGCTATCAAAGGTTCTGCGAAAAGGTTATCGACTGGTTTCGCAAAGAAGCCTTGCATTTGAGACGCCTGAAAGATGGTAGAATGTCAGAAACGCATGTAGAGGATTCTCAATTTTTGACACCACTAACATGTAAGTCCAAGGTAATAACATGGTCGACACCGGCAATAGTGAGTAGATTTGCAATCATTCGCGCTGTGATAGCACCTCGGTGACTCTTCTTTTTCGATTGTCTCGAGTAGGGAAAATAGCTTGTATCAGTGTAAGACGGTAATCCCTATAACGCTCAGAACATGGCTAACATACGGCATGACAGCTATGTGATATCTCAATCAGTCATGTGTCATAAAACTGAATGGAAGTATCATGCAGAGCCATACCGGTTATTGTCTTGGCTGACCCGCCTTTACAGGCAGATATCATGATCAGAAGCTCCATCAGACTGTCATTGATCTTGCTGCTTCCACTCTGCACAATATACACATCTTGGTTTCGAACTGAGACACCAATATTGACCAGTGTCTCTCCATTGCTGAATTTCCGGAGCTCAGCAGGTGCGGGGATAGCACCTAGACGCTCGCAGATAGATTCTGTCAAGGTCGGGTGGGATGTCCCTGAGAAGATCTGCACACCTCGCATGGTGATTGATGGTTAATTTGAGTTGAATCCCCCGGTGGACCAGCTCATGGAGGTGAGTTATAATAAATAGAAGGTTTGTTAGGAAAGATTGACATCTTCAATGAAGAAGACAAAAGGACTGGAGATAGAGGAAGAGGAAGAAAAGAAAAAATGGCGGATGCGGGATGAAAATAGTCAGTGGTGGTCTGTGCTCCTTCTGGCCAATCGTGGCTCATGAAGCTCTCCGCAGACAATTGTTTCTTCAAGACATCATCCTCGATTAACTCACTTCAACTACGTTACTCACTATCAAAGATGTCCCAAAAATTCCCTGAAGTCCAAGGAGGAGGATCTCTTATTGTTGCCTGGCAGGTCAGGAATAAAAATGTCCTCGTTGTCGGCGGTGGTGAGGTGGGGTTTCTTCGTATCTACTTTTACTCAAGTGAACCTGCTTGACTCATCCTAGATATACCAGCTGACATGTGAAATTACGAATATAGGTAGCATCAGGCCGTATCCTGCATGCCCTCAATGCCGATGCCAATGTGACAGTTGTCTGCCCCAGCTCAGGTCTGAATGAAGAAGTCGCTTACCGCGTTGCCGAAAACCAAGTGTCGCATATCGACCGCAATTTCGAGCCTCACGATCTCGATAACGCTGATATGGTGCTTTGCGCAATTGATGATCCAGAAGCTTCAACACAAGTTTGGAAATTGTGCAAAGAGCGCCGTATACCTGCAAATATTGCCGATGTTCCCCCAGAATGCGATTTCTACTTTGGCAGCATGCATCGGGATGGACCGCTCCAGATCATGGTTAGTACGAATGGAAATGGGCCGAAACTGGCCAATATAGTCAGACAGAAAATCGCCAGTGCACTTCCGCAGAACACTGGAGCTGCTATTGAGAATGTGGGCTTGTTACGCAAGAAGCTGCGGGCGATTGCTCCAGATGCCAACGAAGGGCCCAAGCGAATGAAATGGTGAGTTGCTATCAATGTAACCGAATGAACAGTTTGTCGGATGGGATGAAGCTGATACGGTCGTTGTAGGATGTCGAATGTTTGCGTGTCGTGGTCATTGGAAGATCTCGTAGCCATGACTGACAAGGATATGGACGGTCTTCTAACACATTATCAATCGGGAGACGTTCCCAGTCTCCAGGATATTCGTGCGGCATTGTCGTGAGACAGTTCTGTCTATCACCTTGATAGCCTATCTTGGACCAGTTAAATCTAAAAGTCCATACCGCCACTAATACGCAAGATCGACAAGCTCAAGCGATCCGCATCCAGCCAAGATCAGGTCACTCGCAGTCTTAGGCAGAAACAATGGGTAGACAGTCCTGATTGGATTAGAATATCACATCATCACACGAACCCATTTGTGATACGACTTCACCTGTGTGCAAAATCCAGGCGCAATAAATCGATGAAGTACCAGCAGGCTTTGTATGTTGTTCTTGATGATCCGTATTCGCATATCTGCAAGGTCTTTTTTCCCGGTTAGAAGTTGTTTGATCTACAGCAGGTGGCTTTGAAAACTTGGTGAACTTTGAGTCCGACGCTATCCATGGATTTATTGTAGCAAAACCGCGTTTTACATGCTACATAGATAAAACAAAAGATCAAGATATATATCACCATATCATAGTAATTTTGATACTGCCGTCATGAATCTATACAAAGCAATACTCCTAACACAGAAATGAAGGAGATAGAAGCAAAAGAAAAAGAAGACATTCAAGAATACAATAGGGGGAATTAGATGCACGAAATGATCTTTTTATGATTAATATGCGAGTCACCCTTCAGTGGCTACGGCTGTATGTCCTAATAGAATTGGCTGATGAAGATGGTTCGTTGTTACTGTTGGATGGAAACGTCAATCCAAGTTTGGCTTCCCCAACTCGCCGAAGAAGAGACTGAAGAGCATGTCGGATCTCCGAAGAGCTCAGATCCCGACCAAGCAGATCAATGGTCAAGGGGTAAAAGGTGTCGATATACTGAGAGAAGCTGTCCTGAGGGAAATTGACGTAACCTTCCATCACGTCAACTACAACAGGGCGCCAGGCTACGATATTGCGATGTTGGGTCTCCTCATCGAGACGAACATAGCTGCGAATGATATCTGCACATAATCTGCAAATATTGTTAGTAATGATCAAAAACAGTAGACAGTGGTAGAAACTTACGGAACGAGTGCAGTCTCGGTCTCGCTTCTACTGCTCTTTCTCTCTTCCCGCTCATCGCTATACATGCGGAAAAGTATGTTGACATATGTGGCAGCACTACCACTTTCCTGCTTGAGGAGATTGGGGGGTTGTTTCATGAATCCCTGACGCCACAATTGCATACGCAAATCCTTGTCTTCGTTGAACTTCTTGGCAAATTGGTAGCTCTTTTTCAGCAGACCCATAAGACGAAGAAGCTCCGCGCTAGGAATTTCATCATACACATTGTCATTTGAGAACAGTTCATGAACAGTCTCAATCATGAGTAGTTGTAGGACGCAATTTGTTATGATGCGGTTGAAGAACCTCCGCCTCGCAACAGTCACAGCTGCTGGCTGCTGATTTATTTCCTGGGCTTGTGGCCGGTAGTCCTCGAGTTCGGCCGCCGCAGTCGTATCATGTAGAGCGCCATTAAATGTTTCTCCAGCGTCTCCATTCTCAGCCACAGGGGTCTGCGCCCCATTGATTGTAAGTCCGCGGTCATCATCGGAAGCAGCAACGGAATTCTCCGACACGGACACGGCTCCGTTGCTCGTAGCATCACCATTGCGTTTCGGTGTTTCTGATGTTGGTGCCCTTGATGGTAGAGGAGAAGCAGCCGTGAAGAGCTCGTATGCGGTAGTTTTATCAAAAAGTTCAACAAACGCGCCCACAATCTTACCCCAATGTTCGTCCGAGAACTTGGTCACATTTCGCAAGATTAACTGCTGTAGGCAGTTACTTCCAATTCGTGCAATTGTGTCATTCTCCTGGCAGATACAGAGAGTCAAAAGACCCAAGAAGCGATCAAGCATGCTCTGTAACGCGTCAAAATAATGTGTGAAAAGGGTTATCATATGTCGGAGAGCTTGGATCATGGTTGTCGACAGCCAAACGGAGAGTTCTTCGTGGTTAGGCACTTTTGACATCTCCGACTTGGATTGTAAAACGACGAAGATTGGGTACAGCAGCTGTCTCCAAAGGACATCCCAGAATTCTTGTGGAAAATCACCACCATATCTAATGAGTGTCTCGAAGAGATAGTTCAGTGCCCTGTAATCCAATTAGAACTTCAACTTCCAGAATTCTTCAACACTATCACCTGCACTTACCTCGAGCGAACCTCTAGGTCGTCTCCAGTCATCAAGACATCCTGAAAGGCAATGAGCACTGGGTACCAAAACTGTTCTTCCTCACTTTGACGATTCAGTTGATGTGTCAAATTAGAGCCCGTATTTTCTATAACTTCTGCGCTAGGTATATGCTTGCGGGAGAGAGGGCACTCTGGAGTTTTGAGCATCTTGGTAGCAGATGCTTTGAGCGTCTCAATGGCTTGGAGCGACTTCTTCTGAAATTTGATGTTCTTTGAGAATTCTGTCAAGCAAATAATCAAGTCTGCAAAGGCTCCTTGGCTGATCACTACTCCGAAGCGAGTGTTGTAGATTTGAGTAACATGCTCGAATGCCATATTCACGATGCCCTCTGTGTGACTGTCAGAATGAAGTATTGATTCAGATAGAGAAATTATAGCTTACCATATGGCTCCCGAGCTGCGACGGTGAATACACCAAACATTGTTTTCCAACCGGAACGTATGTTATGACCACGAGCCTGAATCATCTGAATAAGGCATCGCAAGACCATATCCTTGACGGTTACAGTGTTACTATTGGCCATGATATGTTCGAACGGTTTGAGGAAGTCTTTTTGGAATTTGAAACCAGGTAGTTCTTCGATTTCCATGAATCTCATTGAAAGTTGACGCAATGAATCGAGTGCGAAGAATACCACGTTCGTGTTAGACTGGCACCCAACTTCGTTAAAGTGCTGGCCAAGGATTTCCCAGATCCTAGACCATTCAATCCTGACTCGAGTCATGTTGTAATAACTGATCTCAACCACCTTCTGGAGACTGTAGGTGCGAGGAGATTCACTCTGACCGGAGGACTGGATCTCTTGCAAGCTCACTTCGCTAAGCGCTCGAACAAAGTCCACAATTGCTTCGTGAGAAAGGTTTGCTGTGTTGCTAAAGATTCGATCGACAGCATGGACCATTTCAGCTGAGCGACTTTCAACAGCTATTTCAGGTCTAAAAGACAACGAACTAGCCGTGGAACGTTGACGTCGTCTGGTAGACTGTGTTGATCTCCTAGAGGCGTCATTTGAGTTCGATGGCACGACTCGTGTTCTAGACACATCGGGTAACGTTCCCTCGTCGACACCATCGCTCAACAATTGGAAACGATCCAGCTGACTGACACAAGTTAGAATCTCACGCCAGGAGTCTCGGAGATGATTTCCTTCAGATACAGCAACTTCCAATAGCACTTTCAATGCTTCCAAGTTCTTGCTGGTCATTTCTCGAAGGTTACCAAGGTTTGTAAACTTGGCCAAAGCTGTCACAAAGGCCACTCGGGGCGTCTCTAGATCAAAAGAGCAGGATATACGTATTGCTAGTCTGATTCCTTCCATACAAAGCCTTATCTTTTCAATATCCTGTGTTTCCTGGACAGGAGCAGATAGACCCGACAAGAAGGACGTCCAGGTCACGTTAAACATAGATCCAACATGACGCACTGAAGTGGCCGGAATGAAGCGGGATAGCTCATCTTTCACGGCAGTTCTGCGCTGCGCTTTGATGAGACTCCTGTATAGTTGCTCGGTCTTGTTGGCCATTTCTTCCGATGCTTGAGCGTATTTTTCTCCCTGGAGATCTCTGCCAACAGTGGCAAAGACTTGACCCGCTCTTGAAGCAAAGCCTGCAGGAGTAGCGGGAGCTATTCCTTGATTAGCAGCATGCTCTCGTTCTGAATCTAGCACAATCTCATTTTTGGCAATTTCATCGAAGATGGAGATGAGGTACTCGTCTGGAAGATCTTGATTATCGTTGATTCCTCGGTTGTTCTTAATGAAATCTTCCTTTGTCATGCGTCGACCCTTCATTTTGCTACTATGTTGATCTGTGTTGAGCAGAATGACCGAGTACGCCAGAACATACGCCGTATCCGCATTGGCAAAGCTGTTTGGATTATTTGCAAGGTAACGCTCTGCAAACTTGAGCATAAATCGATCGATCTTCTGGGCTTCTCCAGGCAACCGGAAACTCTGCAAGAACTGGCGAAGAGCATCAACGAACCGTCGTTTCGTGAAATCCATACTGTCAACGAAGGCATGCATAATTGCAACATTTTCGGGTTCACCTTCTCCGAGGTACTCTCCGATCATAGACTTATCAAGACGATCATTGCGAAGTAGGAAATGAGCGATGTCTTTCGGTGAATCAGATCGAATAAACCCTTCTTTGAGCAAAAGCTTGATTCCTCTCTTGGGTTTGAAATTGAATTGTTGGATGGCATGAGATAAAGCTGCTTTTCGCTGTCTGGCCTTTTCTATTTCGTTCGGGTCATCTTCAACTGCGGGAGTCGAACGACCGGTTCCAGTTCCGCCACTGTCAATATAAGGAGATGGAAGTGCTGACAACGATGGCGCATCTATAGATTCTCGGTAATGTTCCACAGACTTACGCGACACATCGTCGCGGTGGCCATTGGCGGAGATTGGTAGTCGCTGGGAAGACCAGCTGTCAAGAGACCGCAGAATCTCAACCAAACAATCAAGAGCGTGATACTTCATATAAAGCTCCAGAGACCCATTCTGTGGACTTGGAGCGGCGCTGTTGCTGAGGCTTGCCGTGGTCAAATTAGGAGGAAGAGTACCCCGTTGGTGCCAGTCTGGAGTGTTTGAGGACTTGACGCGGTTTTCGTGTGAAGTGTGCTGAGCCGTGACGGGTACCGGCATGATCACGAAACGAGATATTTGTTCGATCAACCTAATCTAGTTAGCTTGGTGGCTTTCCGAATAACGTAGTGGGTGGTTTTACTCTTGAAAGATATTTTCCAACGCAGTTCTGTCACAGTCATAATTTAGATATATCTCCACCAAAGCGCGAGAATCGCCTGAAAGTCTCTCGAGGATTTCCATAAAGTATTGCTTCTGGAATGCTGGAGAGCTGCGTCTTTCGAGAATGGCAAGGTATATTTCCTTGAGGAAGACCTCCAATTCTTTCTGCACATATGTCAGCTTGACCAGCAACAGGCAAAAGACTTTAGGTAACTAACCTTAAACATAACTCTCATATGTTTCAACATAAGCCAGAATATTTCGGAGCATACTTCAAAGACCTTGGGAACAGAACTGGATCCATTGCGGCTGAGACTCAAGCAGAGGTGAGGCTTGATAGCTTGGAGAAGGGTTATAGAGTCTGAGGAAGTGTTACTGTTTCTAATTGTTGCCAATGGTGATGTGAAAACAGTGATATGGTTGTTGATGAGGTGATGAATGAGATGCAGTGATAGTAGCTTGGAACGCATATTCTGGGATTTGATATCCATCTGTTGATCGTGCGTAAGTGTCTTATGGCTCAGCTTACACATAGCCCTGAAAACGAGGAAGGCGTCCTTCACATAGATCTCGTCGACCTCATCCTCGGATCCTTCATCTTCCTTCTCATCTGTCACGTTGGACACAGACCGAGTGGAACGATGAGTTGTTCTTGCTCGAGTAACCATAGTAGGAGCATTGTCGGTAACCATTGTATCGTCCTTGCTTGACTCAAAGCTTTGTAGAGTAAGCTTTTCTGTGGGTTCTTTTTGCGTCGGTTGATCGGAGATAGTTGATGCAACCTCCACAGATTCTGACAATTGACTGCCCTCACCAGCATCGACTATTATAGATTCTACAGGAGTTTCGTGCTGGCCTTCCGGTTCCCGCAGACGTGCTTCTTTCAAATCCAGCCTCATACGGACTCGGTCAAAGACAGTTCCCAACATCTGCGTCAGTGAACCTTGCGCAATCTGCTGATTCTGACTCGACTTGGAATATATAAAAATGTTGTATATTTGACGTACGGCCTTCAAAAGGCCTGCGCCGTGTACGACAATCTTGTCGTTCAACACGGCGGCTAGCAAGGATTTAATAATCTGTTGTTGGATTTCCACTGGCGTGGCTTCATTTTCAAAACAATCGCAAATCGTTTCAATCGCCCGTTCGATCAACGGGAGATCTCTGTCGGCCGGGTTTGCGCTATCTTGGTTCGGACGACTCGAAGGGAAGGCAAAATAAGAGTATGTGATTAATTTTCCAATGCAGTCTAGAGCAGTCACCTGAAGCGGGATACTGAAGGTCTTGGTGGCTAATTGTAGAGGAAGGAAGATAACCTCGGGATCGAGAGGCCTGGCATCGGCCTGCTTGATATTGGACAGGGCCTTCTGGACCGCATCCTCCAACTCCTTGTTCCTCTTCGCATCTTTCGAAGTCGCAATCGCCTCCAGTGCCGTAACAACAAAGACTGTAGAGCTCACGGGAGTTGAGCGGTGGGTTGATTGGGTTGCTTGCGTCGCTTGTGTCGCTTGTGTCGCGGTAGTAGATCTCGAATCGGAGCGGGCTCGCGGTTCTGGATTTCCCTCCGCCGGTGTGTCATGCGATGCGGGGGCGGTGTCGGCTATAGACTGATTCTCGCCATGTCGGTTGCTCTCGTCTTGGTCAACAGCATCAGTCTTTTCCTCACTTGTGTCTCCTGTCCTCGAAGAAGCCGCTGTGACCTCATCTTCTTCAGTCAGATGGGCATCATCAGGCGCATGTTCATGGTTGTCGACGCCATGGGATTTATCTTGCTCTGCGCTTTCCATCTCTCCTCCAATTTCTTTCCATTCCGAGCCCGTCGATAATTGAGCCTTGTCTGCCCTCAACGGTTGCGGAGAAACTATCTCGGTGAATGCACTGGCTTCTGCCTGAGAGGTCACCTCTGCGACTTCGTGCTCCGTGTCGGCCATTGATGCGCAATTCCGGCTAATGAACGCGAGCCGTACACTGATCAACAGGTCGACATGGATTTCCAAATCATGAGAAACTTGAGACGAAAACGATCCCTCGTGTGTTGAACCAGAATCCCTAAACAATAATAATTCTAACTTACTAACTAGTGTATGGAGTACTAGTAGGTACTGCCGCTGCGTTCCAGAAAAGCGCGCTAAGCCCGATTGGAACTTTTGCAGCGTGTCCCTTCAGAAGGAAAGCACGACCGGGACAAACTTCGCAGGAGGAAAGTACGGCTTCCGTGGCGGACCCACCCGGCAGCCCTCAGCTAGCCCGCCAGCCAATAGCATCCAGCTTATGTCAGCAACTACATAGAGCGCCGATTTGATCCGTTCTTCTCACCGAAGCTCAACAGAAAAGTTCCTAGACTGCCTTGCTGCCCCCAAAACATCTTCACGATTTCTTTGTTCCTGATATATCCATCCTCATCGTCGCTGTTCCTGCATCTTCTTTGCCGACAGTTGTCCGTTGAGGGGCGTGGAATTCTACCAACTGCTGTCTCAATTGGTGGTCTTTTGCCAGGTATCTGAGCTTGTATTATTGTCAATATGCGCCTTCCGAATGCCATGCTATCAAAGGGCGCCGCTTTCATGAGGCGCCCCCAGACTGTATACCGATTAAAAGATGCGGCCAGGTAAGTCCTTTTCAACTAGTCTTGTCTAGATTTCAAAGATACTGATGGCGATGTTTGAACGTTAGGCCTGCCGCCTCTGCCCTTGCCCGGTACTATGCCTCTAAATGTACGTGTTTTATGTTTCTTGACGTGCCCTTCGGGTTCGGAACAAAGAAGCTAACAGAATAATTTCAGCATTCCCCCCTCACACAATTATCAGCATGCCCGCATTGTCACCTACGATGACTGCGGGAAACATTGGAACGTGGCAGAAGAAGCCCGGCGACACCTTGGCGCCCGGTGATGTTCTCGTGGAGATTGAGACCGATAAGGCACAAATGGACTTTGAGTTCCAAGAGGATGGTGTATTGGCCAAGGTCTTGAAGGATTCCGGTGAGAAGGATATTGCCGTTGGAAGCGTGAGTACTTCGATGTTGACTTAGTGGTCGCCAAAATGCTTACAATTGCCAGCCCATCGCCGTTTTGGTTGAAGAAGGTACCGACATTGCACCCTTTGAGTCATTCACTTTGGAAGATGCTGGCGGTGACAAGACTCCTGCTGCACCAAAGGAAGAAGCTAAGGAGGAGGCTCCCAAGCCTGCTCCTGAGACCCAGGACAAGCCTGAAGCTATCGAGCCAGAGGTTACTGGCGAGCGACTCCAGCCGGCTCTTGACCGCGAACCCCAGATCAGCCCAGCCGCCAAGGTGCTTGCTCTCGAGAAGGGCATCCCTCTCAAGGCTCTTAAGGGTACTGGACGTAATGGACAGATCACCAAAGAAGATGTTGAGAAGTACAAGCCCGCCACAACCGCCGCCGCTGCCGGTCCTTCTTACGAAGATATTCCTTTAACCTCCATGCGGAAGACCATTGCCACCAGACTGCAAAAGTCCACGCAGGAGAATCCCCACTACTTCGTTTCCGCTACATTGTCCGTCAGCAAGCTTATTAAGCTTCGTCAGGCCCTCAATGCCTCTGCTGACGGCAAGTACAAGCTTTCCGTCAATGACTTCCTCATTAAGGCCTGTGCGATCGCTCTCCGCAAGGTTCCTGCTGTCAACTCCAGCTGGACCGAGGAGAATGGTCAGGCCATTATCCGCCAATACAACAACGTTGACATCAGCGTCGCCGTCGCTACATCCTCCGGTCTTATTACTCCTATTGTCAAGAATGCTCACAACCTTGGTCTCTCAAGCATCTCCAACACAGTCAAGGATCTCGGTAAGCGCGCTCGTGAGAATAAGCTCAAGCCCGAAGAATACCAGGGTGGTACTTTCACCATCAGTAACTTGGGCATGAACGCCGCTGTTGAGCGATTCACTGCTGTTATCAACCCTCCTCAAGCCGCTATCCTTGCCGTTGGTACTACCCGCAAGGTTGCCGTTCCTGTTGAGACCGAAGAAGGAACCTCTGTTGAGTGGGATGACCAGATTATCGTCACTGCTAGCTTTGACCACCGAGTCATTGATGGTGCCGTTGGCGGAGAATGGATCAAGGAGTTGAAGAAGGTTGTTGAGAACCCATTGGAACTCATGTTGTAATCTTTTCTTCTCTCTTGATCCTGCATGGATAAAAAGGGAAGCTCGGTCATATATTTCATTTTGGAGGATGTGCAAACCATCTCACCGTGTTCTTCTTACCTGTACCAAAATTAATTTTCCTTTGTTCGTCAGCGTCGAATGATCTATGATTAGACTTTTATCTTTTTAATGCAAAAGCATTTACAATGACAATACATGCTTTTGATTGGGATAAACATTAATGGTGCTAGTAACAATATGGATTCATCAGACATATGTCATTTTGTTTGAGAGCAGACTGCCCACCTCAACTTTTCTACCTTTCACAACCAATATCATCAATCTCTCACAACAAACTGAGACTCCTGGACGATCCTCTGCTTGTACTGAACAGGCCCTTTTCTTGTTGGTCCAAAATGAATGAGCAGAGACAGATACAGCCAGCCTCTCACGACGACAATGACGATGACGATGACGACGCCATCGAAGTCAAGGCAAGTTTTGGACACACCACCACTAGAATACAGACTTCTTGCTTGCTAATTTGAATCTACAAATGTGCAGTGGGGAGAAACAGCACCACCCCTCATCCAAGATCTATATCGATTCATGATCCACAAAGAACGAGCCATTCATGCATTCCACCTCTGGCTTCGTCTCCTCGAGCACAATCTCATGCCCAACGTAAGAGATTCGAGTGTCCATTATCATACCGTTCACTCATTGAATGATGACTACAACCTGGTTCGGATATCGTTGAACGCCAATCCTGATAAGAGCTTGAATCGGAAGATGAGGATTCAGGTCCTTGCTTTTTCGTTGGCCTCTTCTGCTTCAAAGAATGCAGGAGTGTTGACTCCTGATGGCGATGAATCAGAGGATCCAGACGAAAGAAAGACAACCAAGATCCCCTGGAACTTATTCCTCCGCGACCTGAGAAACCAACATATCTCCATGCACGAATACGGCGATCCGATGATGATCGGCGACTACGACTGTTTCATAGCCTACAAGCAATATGCGCGCCTATACACAGTCCAACAACAATACACCAATCCCGAGGCCCCCATCATCAAAGAGTGCTGGGTGAATTTTGGCCTTCCGCCGCTCTGGAAGGATTCGAATGATCAAGGACCTCTGTTGGAGTTCAAGACGCATTTTGCGTTGATTTGTCAGTTGCTGAGGGCTTTTGCTTGGAATATTAATATTCCTTATGTTTATCATTGAGCATTGTACAGTTGGATTCGGAGTTGCTTGGTATCAAGATTGAGTCGGAGAACGACTTTATGTACACTATACTATGGGAAGCGTGATACTGTAAGAAGTAATCTCAAATTGGGACCAGGTCTTGTCATGACAGTTGACATGGCGCCCAAGAAACATGTATAGAATAACAGAACAAGATGAAAAAAGAACGGCACCATCAATGACTTCCACCTACGTATAAATACTCTGAGATGTCGTTAGGCCAGTCGACCATAATACTCAAGGAAAAGAAAACTCACAACTGTAATATGGTTTACCGACAACCCCGGCTCAGCCATTTCAGCATCCTTCAAGAAATCAAGCGGCATCCAAACAAGATGACCCCTAATCTTATCCAAATTCTCACGCACAATACTGACCGGCATGTATGGATCATGTAAATGCCCTTGCTTAATCGATTTTCTCGGCGCAAACTGATCGTAGTCTTCAAAGGTCTTAATATGATCATCCGGATCAGCACGGAAAAGGAATCGAAAGACTTCGGTGTTTGTGGTAGCTTGCGTTGTCCATGTTTCCCATAGCTCTTCGCTTAGAGGGTCAGTGACGAATTCGTATTCGTGACCTTCGCCGATACTGTTGGGACAGTCGTCTGGTGGTTGGGCATTAGGGTTGTTGCTGCCGTCGAGTTCTTGGGGGAGAAGAAGTCCTAAATGTTCACGCCATAAATGACGTCGGAGAGTTGCTGCGAGACGAGCAGCGCGGTATGGTTGGCCGTTCATGGTGCTGTCGATCATGTCGGTGTCTTCGAGGACAATGGCGAGTTCGCTATCTCTGTCCCCAAGTTGTGACTAGAATCAACGTCAGTAACAATTCTCATCCAAAAGGAGTAGCAGCTCACTCGATCATTGATGTTGGCACTACCGCAAATAACAACCCGATCATCGACAATGCATACTTTGCCATGAACGTACAACTCCTCTTGAATGAAGTTATCCTTCTCTTTCTCGGGATCATCTCCGCCCCAGTATTCCTCGCTTACTTTTCGTTGATTAAGCATGGCATTTTGCACGATGTTATCACTGCTCTTAATTTCCCTATCTTTACCGTATGCCTGTTCACGTTGCTCCTCGAACCTTCGTAAACTGTCGATCTTCTTCTCCTGGTCTTCTTTGCTAATGCCATATTCGTGTTCTGTGAAATCACCTTCTTTGCCAATACCTGGGTGAACACTTTCGCCCATCACTTGCTCCGCATTTGCGCGCTGGATGTCTTGATAATGGACGCCAGACTTCTGTTCTTGCTCCACTAATTCTGCGGTTTTGTTGATGCGGTCGTAGGAGCGAAGGTTGAAGAAGAATATATGCTCTGCGCCAAGTAAGCAATTACCTGAAACATACTGGGGCTTTTATGTTCATACCTGTTGGATCAACACCTTGGGCTTTAATCTGTCCAAAAATTGAATCGTCGCCCCGTAGAATGGACTTGTACTGGTAGTCCATAATGGCACGAGTACCTGCAGCAGCATTCTCGCGCAAATCGCCTGCAAAGCCGGGAATGCATGGAATGACAATAATCACTCGAAACTTCCGTCCTTCTTTTCCAGCACGAACCACAGCTTCAACAATGGCACGGCCGATAGTGTTTTCAACAGGCTTTTGCTGATCACCCGTCGCAGTCACTGATGCACTATTAGAACTTTTTTTTTTAAAAAAAAAATGGTGATGCACATCAACTTACCAAAGAATTGGTTTTCAATATACACAAAATGCTCCGCTTTCTTGATGATTTCCGAGTATGCATTCTGTATGCTATGCTCCGTTAAGATTCCCGAGGACCAGTCTCCGCTACTCCTGACAATCTGAGCATGAACCGTACCCTGCTCGCCGCGAGGCTTTGTGCTCAATGGCGTCAGAGGATGTTGAATATATTCTCCGCAGGGGAACTTAGGACGTTGAACGCCAAGGAGACCCTCATCCTCACCAGTACGGCCCTCGATGAGTAAATAATCCACACTCTCGTCACGTTTGTATTTGTCCCTCTTTACGCAATTCCATCTCAGCGCAAAGTGTTCGGCTATGTCATAGACACAGTCACCAATTACCCCCACGGCGACATCGTGCCAGGGCATACGGCCGTATTCAGTTTTGTTAAGTTCATTATTCTGCCAGTCTTGGACGCTCTGAAAGTCCATAATCCGATTGTTGTTGAAGTCTTGGCCTGGGAATATCTCATTTTCTATACCAGCTGGGTGGACATCGGCGAGTGGATGTTGATGATTGTCCCATCTACCAAAGCAGAGGTCGATACCGCCAATGAAGGCGATTGCATAGTCGATGACCACGAATTTTTCGTGGTGGGCCTACAAATCGATTAGAGAGCTAAGAAGCAACGGTTGAGACATCTTACCCAATAGAAGGTCATGTCACCCAGGTTTTCAAACATGTTGTGATCAGGATGTCGAAGAACATGAATATTACCCGCGCCTTTTGATCCTTGAGGGCACAGACTTCTCAAGGCGTGCTTTGTATGTGCAGAGTTACACGTCAAAGCTTGCTCAACCTGTACGTCGCTTCAGCTCATGAATTGATAGCGCGTCAGGGAGTGTACTGACCTCCTTGTAGACAATGACATAGATCTGCACACCAGCCTCGGCGCGTCTTTTCAAGATTTGATCCAATCTCCACTCCTGATTGCGATTCGGAGGTCTTCGCATAAACAACTCGGGTGACAACCACCAATCCGCGATATAAATAGTCTCCTTTGCGCGGTCAAGAGCCACAGAGACAGCCCACATGTAGTCTGAGGCGTCGACATACCACTTGACTTTGTTTCCGTCATGCTCAGGAGCAAAGGACTGAAATCTGTGAGATTCTGCAATGGCAGTACGCTTCTGGTCTACCTCTTGTTCGTGAGCTTCGTCGTGGCGATGATTGGGGTTGAACAAATTCTCGAGTTTTCCAATCTTGTGTTTCAGATGGCTTGCTTTGACTTTGGCATCGTGCAGTTTTGTGTCTGGGAATGTATTAGACTCAATATATTTATTTTCAGCTTCTGATTCATATACGATGCAACTTCTCCTTGAGAGAGTCCATAGTGACTGATTCAGTAAGGCCCTAAGTGACCATTGCAAGGAATTTTCCAACTTGCAAAAGAGAAGTAGAAATCATCGCAATATTAATGTGCCCCTCTTGAAGACTTGCCCTACGGTGTACAACGCTAGGCTACTCACAGCCAAGATATCATGACATCATTGGACTCGTCCTTTTGTTTTGTACGATTTCTAACAACAACAAAACCACGCACACCATTTATTATTTTCTTCGACTAAACTGTCTCAGTTCTTGTCCAGTAAATAATCTGATCTGATGGACCAGATTGACCGTTGCCGATTTGCTCTTGCTCTCAGCCATGTGCCCACCAGCTTGACCGGTGATATTTCCAGTCTCCACTCTCCTCCATCTCCTCCTGTTCCAGCTCCGAGACAACAAGTCACCGCACACTAAGAGCATTGGCACAATGCATTCGTCTCGGAATATCTACAAGCGAGAAATCGACTTTAGAGAACTAGCGCTTACATCTCCAGAATTCGCGAAACGGTACCTGTCTCCCATCAACTGTGCTATGTCAGTGGCTGACTCGGCAAAAGTTTAAAATCCAATGATCAGCTAGATTTCAGCGATCCGGACTCTGTGAGGTGTGTCTCTTCATATGTTACCGCTTGAAACGGGATAATAGTACTAAATGGGAATAGGCAGCTCACGAAGAGCCTCCTGGAACGAGATTTCAAGCTTGCTGTCGATCTGCCCGATGACAGATTATGTCCTCCTGTACGCCTTTTCCAGAAAAAACTACAATAGTCAACGCGACGATGACGGCAAAGCTAACACGATGGGTTAGATACCAAATAGGTCAGAGCGTCGAAAGATTTATTTATTATGAGATGTAGTTGCTGACCTATCCAGGTTCAACTATATCCTGTGGCTACAAGACCTTATCGACACCAGCTCGAGAACGGGTACCGATCAGTATGATCCAAACAGAGAGGTCCTTGGTCTCGACATGTACGTTGAGTCCTATCCTCTGTGTTCATGCCATTGACACGAATATAGTGGAACCGGTTGTTGTGCTATCTACCCTCTCCTGGGGTGCTCCTCTCGTCCGAGATGGAGTTTCATCGCCACGGGTAAATCTATATATTCACACATTCGGACACGTTCATGTCATTAATATTGTGGACAGACATCGACAGCAAGAACGTATCGTTGTCACAAAAAGCTGTCTCCGACAATAAGCTCGACGACCGAATCAGAATCATGCAGACCAATAAAGATGATCCGCTTATCCCCACTGACAAACTCGATGTTGAGAGGTATGATGCCCTGAACGCAAGGATATTCTAGATCCTTTCAGCATATGAACCTGTCATTCTCTTCCTTCTATCACATACGACCATAGGGTGTGGAAACCAGGGCTTCCCGTCCGCTCAGCCGTACTTAAGCCACACGCCGGCTGGTTAGTAGTTGGGTGGGTGACCACCAGCGAATCCCAGCTGTCGTATGTTTTTTTATTTTTATTTTTTTTTTTACATTTTCAATGCGACTTTTTGGGCTGGGCGGTGCTAACTGCTAGCAGTTTGGACTTTGTGATGTGCAACCCGCCATTTTATGAATCTGAAGACGAGCTTCTTTCGTCAGCCGAAGCTAAGTCACGGCCACCCTTTTCGGTATGCAACCCCCGTTTTTCATGTTCTGCGAGGATGGATTGAAAGCTAAAACCGATTGTCTGATCAGGCATGCACCGGTGCGGCAGTCGAAATGATAACGCCGGGAGGCGAAGTAGCCTTTATTGAATCCTTGTTAACGCAGTCACTAACCCTCAAAACACAAGTCTTGTGGTATACGAGTATGTTTGGCAAACTTTCCAGTGTTTCGATTATTGTGCAGAAACTTCTTGATAATGGTATCAGCAATTGGGCCGTTACCGAGTTTGTGCAGGGTAAGGGAACTCGTCGTTGGGCCGTGGGATGGAGTTTCTCTGATTGGAGACCGCGAAGTGTAAACCATCCCCGCAGACTTTGCCCATGAGAATGATATACTGACTGGTTTGTGATTTCAGGACGTGAGCAGAGGAATCGCTTCGCTTCCAAAACACCTTCTACCGTTTCCCTCAGATTACAAGTTTGATCTTCAGAGAACACAAAAAGGCTCTTTAGGACAGGCAATCAGCAAGATAGAAGCTGAATTCTCGTCGTTTAGATATTTCCGCTATAGCTGGTTCTCGGCACAGTCCTGCATCGGCTATGCAAAGGAAGATGTCTGGTCTAGAAAGGCGCGGCGTAAACATTCACGAGAGCAACATGACGATCCACTGGAATACAAGCAGTCTATGCGCCATGACGAGTTGGTTTTTGCTGTTGAAGAGGCAGCGCTGGGATTTCGGATTGATCTATCACTTCAAGCTGACCATAGTGTGGATGTGGTAATCAGATGGATCAAAGGATCAGACCAGGTGCTATTTGAGAGCTTCTGTGGCATGATAAAAAGAAAAGCCACGGAGGAGGTACACGAATAACCAAAGAGACAGCATATGGAGCGCGATTGAAGCAAAATATATGAAAAATCAAAAAGAATGATATCTTAACAAGTTTCGAATCGTATTTCCCAATCCGGCATATTGTCAACATTGTAGCGCCATGACCAACTGTGATTGGCCAATGCAGCCGCTGACAGCATATGTGGGTCGGCTGGTCGGCTGATGACGTCAACGGTAGCAAGCTTGGTTTGTTGGAAGGAGAGGCAACCCTGTGACTTACATGTGACCTTCTATCCTTCTTATAAAACGTTTTGTCCTCCCGAAATACCTCACTCTAGTGATTATTGCCGAATCAGCAGCTTTTACCACTAGCACTCTACGTCGCTTTGTAACTTATCTAAGCCCATCATATGTTCGTTATCCCTACCCCTCTTGCAGTCTCATCTCTGCTGGTTTTTATCACCTGGAACCTGGGTTATGAGTTGCATGCTAACTGGTCACTGCTAGAAACATTCAAAACTCTGCTCAATGTCTTACGCTGAAGCTGCTGCTAAAGGTGCCTCTCAACCACCTGAGGAGGTAAGTGTCTATCACATCTTTGACTGCCGAGTAAAACATCATATGCTAACGAGGTTTAATAGGCGTAAGTAACGTGAAACTGAATCGCTGAGATACAAGCTAATCCTTATAGTCGCGCCCCCATTCCCCCACAGGTTGAAAAAACTGAATCCGTCAGCACCGCATCATTGATTGATGTCGACGCCCCCTCGGTCCAATCCGTCCACTCTGACTTCCTCGATCAAGAAGTCAAGACCACCACACAAGCCGAACGACTCGCGCGAGAAGCCGAGCAGGCAGCTCTTGCCCAAGAACAAGCCGCTGCCGCTGCTGCTGCTTCCGGCAAGAAAGGAAAGAAGTCTAAAGCTCAGGGTTTGAGCAAAAACGCACAGAATCCAGTATACTTGGGTAATGCGTTTATTATTACTGCGCTTAGTGCTGCGCTCGGATACAGTGCTTACCGAAAGCATACAGAAGGAAAACTTTCGTGGGAGGTTACTGGTATCTGGGCTGGTGCTGTAGGCTTGTTTGCTGGTGCCGACTACTTTGTTAGCAAGTGAGTTCTATGCGTAAAAAGACTTGGAGATACATGTTTGATATTGACTTGATTTCTTCCAGGTGGCTTATTCAGAACAAATATCCCAAGAAGGACTAAGAGTTCTGAAGAATTCTCTTTTCTCTTCTTTTATATCCATTTGGGTCTACTCGGTATTCCGCATGAGGGAAGAAATGATTATCATACCAGAAATCATCATCCCATTCATGCGTCTCATCTCTTTTTTGTCTGAGTACTGGAGTTGGTTGGGTAGCGTGTCTCCTCTCTATTTGCTGAATCGCATTTGAGATGCTATTTGTAGATGTAAATAGGGTTTTATATCATTAATAAACTGGGCGCTTTTCTTCAATGATCAGACTGAGACGAATTCATAGGTTTCGAGTGTTGGAAGTGAAGCAGATCAAGAGCGTCATAGCAAAGGCGGTGAATGGCGTCATTATTTTGGCGTTCTTGGAGATGTGTCCTTGGCTCTTCAGACAACAAGTAAATACAAACTTGATGATTTTATGCCACAAAATAACTAATATATCGATTCAAAAACCGTGATGCGAATACGCCTGGATTGCGATTTTAATTCTCTTTTTCGAAGCTATTGAGCAACGATATTCTTACTTTCCACTTGTACATCCCGGTCCACTCAGCTCGGGTGTTTGAGCTGCAATTCGATACAATGGTGCGCATTCTGAGCATTTATGGCTACGCATTGTTTCTCTGCAGTTCCAGCTGACTCTATAATAGAACTCACTTTTCAATTCTGCTCTGAAGCAGTCTACGGCCATACGGCATGATCTCGACGCTTTTGCCGAATCACCGGGTACTGCGTCTCCTGCCCTGCAAGGTATATATACAAAGACACGCTCATACCCGCATATGTACAGGGATACTGACTTTTGCGATCTTTAGGACAAATATCTGCGTCACTTGCATCCTTTTCCCGGACGATAGACGACTACGCAGCTCTCGCTAAAAGTGAACTTATACCAGAGAAGAAAGAGAAAGCTATTGAACGCGAAAAGTCATTTCGCGCGACTTTGCTGGATTACAGACAGCAGTTCGAGCGACTGAGGAAAGAGAGGGAGGAGACCGTAAGCTTCCTCTCCCTGGAGAATAGCCTCTACAAACGTTACGAGTTGCTAAGTTGATGTTTAAAGGTCTCCGTCACGAACCGCAGTGAACTCTTTGGTCGCCGTCCACATCATGCCGCTACCCCAGAAAATCCCTACGCAGATCACGCCTTACCTCGATCTTCTGCATTCGGGTCCGCAACCGCCTCGAGTTCCGCAGCAGCAGGAGGTGGGCTAAGTTTTGGCGCCGGTCCAGGGAGTTACGATCGCGAAACACATGCTTTACGCGAACAATCGTTCTTTGCGCAAACGAATACCCAACTCGACGAGTTTCTTGACCGGGGGCGTGCCGTGTTGCAGGATCTGGGCCAGCAACGAGACGTCCTCAAGAATACGCAGCGGAGGTTGTATAGTGTTGGAAATACGCTGGGCATCAGTGGTGATACGATTCGTAGGGTAGAGAGGCGAGCGAGAGAGGATAAAGGGATATTTTGGTGTGGAGTGGTGGTGTTCTTTTTGTTTTGTTGGCTGGTGCTTCATTTTTTGAGGTAGTGAGATTCAGCTTTGTATTGTTATTGTGTTTGATCGAGCATTTAGCAGGCGTCGTGAATATCATCCATGTTGTTACAATCTTCTGTAAGCTCACCGAGTCTCACGGAAAAGCGGCTAGCGGAGAGGGTCGGGACCAACAAGGAAAGCGTCACCGTCCGGAGACAAGGTCTTGCCTGCTTGGGCTTAGTCTGGCCTACCTCAGCTTTTTCTTTCCGCCGAACTCCTCTTTTGCTCGACTTAAAGTGTTCTTCTTATCCATCTAGACAATCCATTGTCATCTCTCTTACTTGCGTTGTTTTCTTTCCGTATCATAACATACACATAAACAATCTGTCATCATGTTCGCTGCTCGCCAGTCGTTTGGTGTCTTCCAGAAGCGGGCTTTCTCCGCGTCTGCTCGCCAGGTGCGTTCTTGTTTTTGCTTGAGACTGTTCATCAATTGACTTACTTATTGCTTCAATCATCATAGGCTTCCAAGGTTACCGTCCTTGGTGCTGCCGGTGGTATCGGTCAGCCTTTGTCTTTGTTGATGAAGCTCAACCCCCGTGTTAGCCAGCTCGCTCTCTACGATATCCGCGGTGGCCCTGGTGAGTGGTCTCGTCGCAATTCATTGGGTCAATTGACTAATTCTTACAGGTGTCGCTGCTGATCTTAGCCACATCAACACAAACAGCACCGTTACCGGTTATGAACCTACTGCCTCCGGATTGAAGGAGGCTCTCACTGACGCCGAGATTGTCCTCATTCCTGCCGGTGTTCCTCGCAAGCCTGGCATGACCCGTGATGGTACGACGGACACCCTGAATTGATTTCAATCTGTTCTAATTGTTCAAATTTATTAGATCTCTTCAACACCAACGCTTCCATCGTCCGTGACCTCGCCAAGGCCGCTGCTGATGCTTCTCCCAATGCCAAAATCCTCGTCATCTCCAACCCTGTACGTTACACACCGTCATGAATGCAATCCGACAAGCTAATTGTATAGGTTAACTCTACCGTCCCCATTGTCGCCGAGGTTTTCAAGTCCAAGGGCGTCTACAACCCTAAGCGCCTCTTCGGTGTTACCACCCTGGATGTCGTCCGTGCTTCCCGCTTCATCTCCCAGGTTAAGAAGACTGACCCTGCCAACGAGGAAGTCCCTGTCGTTGGTGGCCACTCCGGTGTGACCATCGTCCCTCTTCTTTCCCAGTCCAACCACGCCGACATTGAAGGCGAGACCCGTGACGCCCTCGTCAACCGTATCCAATTCGGTGGTGACGAAGTCGTCAAGGCCAAGGACGGTGCTGGTTCCGCTACCCTTTCCATGGCTTTCGCTGGTGCCCGTTTCGCCGAGTCCCTCCTCAAGGCTGCTCAGGGTGTTAAGGGTGTCATTGAGCCCACTTTCGTCGACAGCCCCCTCTACAAGGACCAGGGTGTTGAATTCTTCGCTTCCCGCGTTGAGCTTGGCCCTGAGGGTGTCAAGGAGATTCTTCCCGTTGGTCAGGTCAATGCTTACGAGGAGAAGCTCCTCGAGGCTTGCCTTGGTGACTTGAAAAAGAACATCAAGAAGGGTGTTGACTTTGTTGCTCAGAACCCTTAAATAATAGACTCTATGTACCCTCTTAAGAGGATAAGAAACTTGATTGTATGTTGTGATGATGACTGCATGCAATGAGGTTTAGTACTCTAGACTAGACGTTAGTTAGTCTGATATTATGTGTAAAACAGAACAATGATTTTTCTTTTGTCGTTTGTCAAGCCGACTTACGTCTGATCAAGAGACCCAGAAATACTATTAAACGTAACTATCATTGAATACCAAAATGGGTGTTGTATTATCGAACCAATACAAGAACTGAATCGAATAAATGAAATCGGCTGAATAGATCAATAAATAAGAAAGAGGGAAAAGGAAATCAGACAGGCAAAAGTATCTGTCGTTGATTCATTCGTGTCATCCATATCAGTTCGTTAATTCATACCTTCCTAAACCGCGGACACCCCGAAAAAACGAGATCCAAAAAGAAAACAGAATGAAAATGAAAATAACATGAAAGACGAAGGGAGGGGGGTGACGTTAAGTATAACTCCTCATAGCATCCATATAACCCGTTCCACCTTTGAGATCATGATCGAATGTTTCGGCTACGTCTAGAACGCGTTTGATATGGGACATTGATAGGGGTAATTTTTCGTTGACGGCGAGGGCTTGAGCGGTTCGGACGGAGTTTTTGATCTATTTAATTCATTAGTCTCATGTTTCTGGTGGAGATAGAAAGGGGAAAGGGGAGACGTGCCTGTCGTCCATTGAGGTTGTGACGTGCAAGAACATCGAGATCCTTATCCGTAAAAGTATTGGTCTCAACACCATCGATAGATTTAACTTTTTCCAGGAACATTTTCCATACACTCCGTTTCGCTTTTGTGGTCAAATCGCCGTATCGAAGAGCAATATGGATACGGGATTGGAACGCGTCGTCAAAAGTTTCGACGCGATTTGTAGTCAAAAATAGGATACCCTGGAAATATTCCAGAAGACGGAGGAAGATGCTGACCAGGGCGTTGCGGTGGATATCCTGGATTGTGCGCTTCTCGAGGAACACGTCTGCTTCGTCGAGGAGTAGGACAGCGCCCCAGGAATGGGCAATGTCGAGGATTTTGTTCAGTTCGCCTTCGAGGGTACGTGAGTCTGTGCCTAGTTCACCAGCGCTGACCATGTAGAGAGGTCGTTTTAGAAGTTCGGCGATACCTTCTGCGGTCAATGTTTTGCCTGTTCCTGGAGGTCCATGTAGTACAGCCACGAGGCCTTTTCCTTTGCCCTGAATGACGTCGTCGATGTTTTGCGCGGCGTTGAATGTGTGAGATTCCACGAGCGCTTTAACGATTGATTTCTGATTGTCAGGTAGGACCAGAGAATCAAACGCGCCATCGTTCCACTCAATCTCATTCACGCCAGAGACACTGAATTCGAGCCATAGCTTCTCGCTAAAAGCGAATCCCAAAACAACGGGGCTAGCAATCAAGAGCTCTTCTTCTGTGAACTCCGGTTCTGGAGTTGTCTCACCGTCTTGCTTTTCATTTTCGAGCAATTCAAGATCTTCCTTTTTGGTGATTTCATTGCCGTTCTCGTCGTATTCGACTTGAACAACATGAGCCTTGCCCTTTTTGTCACGCATGATTTTGTACACGGGGCGTGGTGGGTCGGAATCGTGGCTCAAGTCGCCGCCGTGGTCTGCTCCGGATGATGATCCTCCACAATCGCATTCATCACTGTCTTCTCCAGACTCCGACTCGAGATCATCAGGGTCCTTAGGTCTGACTGTGCTGATTGGGTAGTTAGGGTTGATACGACGGTGAAGCGCGGGGTCGATCATCACTCGTCCATTGATATTGACTTTGATAACAGAGCGCTTCTTCTTGAAGAAGGCCATACCCTTGTGGAAACGATAATTCATACCACGCAGAGAGACAAATTGCTTTCCACGTTCGATGAGTTTTGTCCTTAGGGCTTCAGAATCGCGGTGGTATTTAAGAGGATAGCAAGCCAGACTAGTGATCTTGCGAGCTCCTTTGAAGAATTCAACATCTGCAACCATGGTACCCATGCCAAATGTTTTACCGTCATATTCGAGATACTTGCCCTCAACCATGTACCACGACCCCTTCATGAACGATGACTCCTTGGTAGCATATTCAATTTTGAACGCCCGAGGCTCGTCGGTATGACCGTATGTCGTAGTGTAGGCTATAGTGTTAGGCTTGAACAGTGCCCAAAGAAGATCGAATGTGATCATGTTGGACTCAAGCAACGGATAAAGTGTCTTCTTAGTCTCGGCGTAGTCCGTGTCAAGATATTTAATCAGGACTTTGAGATGAGCAACTTTGAGAGCAGCCAGTTTCCGAGCTTTCTTCTTCTTTTCTGTCTTGACAGTCTTTTTCAACGTCTTCATGTAAGCTCGAGTTTCCTCCAGATACAAGAAGAGCATGTTTGGATCGATCACTGGGGTCTCTGCCACCAAACTCACGCCCTTGACCCCATCCATTACGGTGGCCAGAGCATCCCTCAGGGGCTTGCTCTTGATATCTACCAAGGTATCCACATATTTGTTTTCCCAGTCAAATTTGCGGCGAACATTGAAAATATATTGGTCAAATTCGTCGGCATCGGGGTCGTCCATGGTTTCTCGAAGCTTGAAGTTGTGAATAGTACTGTCCCATACTATTCAAAAATCCATTAGCAATGAGTATAATCACAGATCTAAAGGGTAACTGACGTTCATCAACCCGCTTGAATGCAACTTTCGAAGCCCTTCTACTCTTCCCTTTCTTGCTCTTCTCTCCTTTACTTTCTTTGATCTTTAGTCGACGACGATTCCCTCCCTGCAATAATTTAAGATTAGCCAGTTGCCTTCGTAGTCTGAGTTGGTCCGAGTCAGGTACATCTTCTTCATCCTCCTCGTCGGATAGATATTTCTTAGCCAATTTCTTCGCCTTGCGTTGTTTTTTCGCCATTCTTGCCAGCTTTTCTTTCAAAGCTCTCTGGTCCGCTAGGGAATCTTCATCGCTGCTCGAGGTCATCTCGGAATCGGTGGTCTCTTCGTCACGGCGATGGCGTCTCTTCTTCTTCAACTTCTTTGCCTTTTTGGCCTTGTTGCGTCTTCTTCTATGTCTATCCGATTCGCTTTCGCTCTCGGTAGTTTCGGATTCTGTGTCTACAGAGTCTGAGTCTTCTGATTCAGACGAGCTGGATGACTCTGATTCAGAAGATGACGTCTTTTCCTCCTCGGAGGAAGACTCAACCTTAGCATGCTTCTTTTTCTTACTCTTTTTGCTAGCGCACTTCTTCACCGCTGCACGATGCTTATGGGGCTTGCATTTTGATTTCTTGCTGTCCGCTTTTGCTTTCACTTCTGCACCTTTGACAATGTCCTCCTTGGGAGTCGTTGCCGCAACTGCAAGCTCTATATGAGACTTGCCATTTGTGGAGGTCACGTTCGATGCAACAGCCACTGTAGAAGAAGTCGTTGAGCCAGTGACCTCTGTATTAGTGTTCTCTTCCTGAGACTCTGGCTGCTGTTGCTGTCGCTGTTGAGGCTGCTCCTGCTCCTCCTGACGATCTGTCACCGGATTTGCAGGCATATTGGACTGTTCCAAGCGATGCTGATGTTGATGCTCGTCACGTTGTTGAGAGGAAGTTTCCGAAGTTGGTGTAAAAAACGGAGATGGCACAGTACTGGAAGTAGATGCAGTTCTGTCTGGGGACTGCATTGGAATGACTCACGAAAATAGACGGAAGGTGACAGCGGAAGCCACGCTTGAAGCGATCGACTATTATTCAGCGACTGCTTAGCTAGAGGTAGAAATGAAACGACAAAATGACGGAGTGGGAGGAAAATAAGCCAGAAGTGCGCCCCAACCAACTAGTGTCAACTCACGATAGGCCGACTTATCGAGCAAATTTCTTTTTTGCCCGAGGCGGCACAAGGATAAAATGTCACAAAAGCAATGAGCTCGCACGAAGAAAAACGAGGCAAGTGTCGATCAGGTTGCACGAGTGCGTTGTTCTAGAGTGCAAAGGAGATGCAGGCGGTGAGGAGGGCTGGGGGAATGTGAGGCAATGAGCTGCAGCCAGTCAAGATGGAGTAAGTCAGCCGACGTGTCGAGGGTTGAAGATGTTACCGAATTGCTGAATACCGTGGGGGTTGTGGCTCGCTTTATCGGCTTGACGAGAAGATAGAAAGAATAAGACTTTCACTCGAGCTGAAAGATGAGGAGAGATTGCATTTAAGTTGAAGCTTGAGAAGAAGAAGAAGAACTAGGCAACCAAGACCAAGCCCGATCTGAGTCACCGAATAACAAGCACGAACGTACTATCGGCGGCGGTGATACCAGCATCAGGATGGGATTTGAAAAAGAGGTCTGCTGCCTGGTGAGCGAGTGGAAGAAGTCATTGGCAGCGGGACGATTGCGGCGATGCAGCTGAGCTCTGAGCTGGCGCGAGCCTTAACGCCTTACGGCCTTGGCCGATGTATGCAGTCAATAATTGCTCTGTAAAAGATTACTTGGAGTCATCCCCTGTTCTCCGTTCTCCGTGATTATAAACTGCAAAAATATTCAGACTGGTCAACTGTTCGTCTGCATCTCATCTAAAAGTGATGCGGAACAGGCAGCAAGGTGCCTGAGGCTGTGAGGCACCAATCGCCTCGCGAGGCGGACTCCACTGGGGGGACTTCTCCGCACTCTCCAACTCGACTCTTCTAGGATGACAATAACAAGGACACTATTACCGAAGGACTACACATAACTATGGCGGTCAACCCGAAGGTACAAAAATAATACCTAGGGGGCTAGATTCCTCTCTAGGGCCACCCCGAAGCGCTTCAGGGTATACGAAGCCCTGTCACCGCTCTCAAAGTGCTCGGCGTGGAACTTCTGCCCAGCTTGTCCGACTTCCTATAGTCGTGTTATGAGTGCATTGCTAGGTTTTTCGGCACTGGGAAGGTAAACTGACAGAAATTATTCCAAATCGAGCACTCGATTGAATCGTCTTGACCTTGCAACTTCCTGGCAGACTGGGGTCTAGCGAAATTTTGAATATTCATGGATAGACTTAGGTACGGTTTTCAGAACAAACTCCGGTTTGAACAACAGTGGAACTAGAAGCCATCGCTTCTTAATCAACATGGGTTCATAACAAGGGTACTGAGTCCACTTGAAGGCCTGGTGTGCCAGCCATACTAATGTATCTATAAGCCAGCAGTCTAATTGGTCAAAATTCTCCTACACGAGCTAGACCAAAAGAGCGAAATTAACCGTCAAAGAACCAATCAGAGTTGAGCTTTCAATTGCTTCAAAATTTCCATGAAGAGTCGTCCCCTGGCAGGGCGTTTCGTCCAATCAGCACCTATAACTCAGCGGTAGAGTGCATCACTAGTAATGATGAAGTCACCAGTTCGATCCTGGTTAGGTGCTTTTTTTGTCGGATGTTATTATATGTGTTTGTGCGATGTGTGCGAGCTGAATCTTTTTGCTATTCTCTCTATCTATCCACTATGCTAGGTAGAGTCATCTGATGTGAACTATCTGTATAATATATACAGCTCTATCTTGTCTAAAATATTAGCATCAATTGTACACCTCTATATACCTGGATTTTCATGGGAATTCTTGGAAAACATCAAGATATTTTTTTGCGAACCGAACTTGGCGCCAAGAGCGTTGAAAAAAACAGCGATGAATGATTATGTAATAATTATCCCGGAAATTTGCTATGCAATAATAGAATATAGTCCACTTTATTGTCCAACAAACCAATCAGCACTTATGGCTCAGTGGTAGAGCGTGTCACTAGTAATGACAAGGTCCGCGGTTCGATCCCGCGTAAGTGCATTTATTTTTCGCCTTTTTCCAATATCATTGGGTATGTTTCATTTGAGAGAATGAGTATTTTTTTTTGTCAGTATCTCTATGTATATTATCATATCTATCTATCTGCCTGTGGAGTGGTTTTAGCGTTTGTACAAGGTTTGGGCTCTAGCCATCTCCGCGCGAGGTGAAGAGATAAGGACCACGCACCCATTGCACGGTACCTTCCTCGAGAATAAATCAACCTGCCTGTTCATTCTTCCATGGAGGCTCCTCGCACAGCACTATCAAGAGTCAAGTCCCGGCGCACATCCAGAGCCTGCGACTTCTGCCACAAAAGGGGCCGGCGTTGCAAGAAAATCCACGAAAGCTCCCTCCAATGCATTACCTGTATCGATTTCGGAGTAGCATGTACCTGGAGCCGAGTCCCAGCAAAGAGAGGCACCAAACCTCGGGTCGGCAACAGAGCATCTCCATGGACATTAAATGAGACTAAACACGGCTCAATTGAATCGATTGAAGTACTGATTGATACCTTCTTTGAAGCGGTATACCCAGTGTTTGTCTCCTCATTCCGTTAGGGTGGCCATTGACTGACAAGACAAAGGGCCATAACGATCCATGAACAGACATTTAGAGATCGATGGAGGACGGGAAAAATGCCCGACAGTCGCGGCTCGTACGCCAGACTGATGTCCATGTGCGCTGTGAGCGCCCTTCGAATCAAGAACGGGGCCGTCCTGAATGAAAGAAGCGTACCACATGATCTGAATCCGAGGCTCTACTTTGACGAGACTCTTCGTGCCCTTCCTGATAACGTCATTGAGTTTGAAGAGTTTGAAAGTCTTCAGGCCACTGGAATTGCTTGCCTGACTGCCCTTCACTACAGCGATGGACCTCTTCTGCACCAAGTTCTAGGCCTGTACCACGCTGTAGTAGCAGAGCATGGATTTTGCGATGAAAAGAGATGGCCGAGTGGTCTGTCTGAGGTTGAGATAGAGGAACGAAGGCGGCTTTTCTGGCACATGTATCGCCTTGAAGTACATACATCTTTAGTCATTGGACATGTCGTTCGATCCCCTGAGTTACAATCATCGGTCGCCTACCCCACGATGCAGGACGCCGATTTTGCTGAGTCTGAGGGCTGTGATGAGCAGCAATTAGAATGGCTTAGCGGATGGAATTTCGTCACTGATCTATACAGAGGAATTGAGCATGTTATTACCCAATTCAGATACCGGCGTGCATCGACTGATGTTAATCGTCGATGCCTCTCTACATCCTTCGTCCTGGATTATGATCCCCAAGAGAGAATTCTGGATCCACTCGCTGCAGAGCGAGAGGCCTTGCCTGACCGGTTCAAGAAAGCCATGCCAGTCTCGTCAAATGTTCGTTTGAATCGATGCGGTTATCAGACGGCTAACATTGCATGCACATATCAGGTAAGTAGACCCCTTCGGTGTGACAGACTCTTGGTTGATGAATTTCAGCTTCTGAGAATGGTCACGTTCAGTGTCTACCATACAACAACTCTCTACGAGGCGTGTCAGACAGTACTCGAGCTGATAGACGAAATATCAAGCATACCAATTGACTATCTTCGTGCGATGGGATTAGCTATGGTGAGTTCCGACGTTTATGAGTAGTCCTCGTCTTCATACATATCTCTGACTGGCTATTTGTAGTTACAAGAGATCTCCGGATTCGGTCATATATTAAGCAGCTTCATCAACGAAGGACTATCCAAGTCCGACTATTATCAATTGAGGACGGTTATGTAAGTATGAAGCTAAAGTGTTATCAAATAAGTCTAAACATGTGGCCAGGCTTTGTATGTCGGAGCTACTCGAAAGTCTTTCATCCTGTATGACATCTGCCATGGAAGCTAGTCAACGGCTACGTGCTTATGTGGAAGATATTGATCGATTGCTTGACATACCGCAGACTTCAAACAGAAATACGCCTGTTGAAGAATATGACGGACAGTCCGAAGATCATGCCAATGCACTGGAATTATTCTCTCAGCAATTAATGGTACCATTGGACATACTTCAGCGAATTCCGTGGCCTGCAGCCTGGGAAGAATCTGTGGGCCTTTTTTGAGAAGAGATTTCTAGGGTTCAGTTGGATATCCCAGCTTTGTTACTTTTCAGCTATATAACTGCAACTACTCTTTGGTTGTTTGATTCGCATTCTCGCCAATTAACCACGATCGCTTCTGTCTTCTGGTCCTCCACAGATAATACTCCCCTGCCGTCATGATCGGGTACTTGTTCGGATTATCATCACTGACACATGTTGGTACCGGACTCAGGAGAGTCCTCCGGTCTATGCCCCAGAAGAAAGGCAACGAATATCTTTCCCGACCACTTTCATTGATAACCCGATGAACTGTACTAACAAAGAAATCATTGGTCTGTCGCATGAAGCAATCAGCAATATTGACCACAAAACAACCTGGAATTGGCTTGACTTTGATCCAACGTCCGGATTTACTCAGCACCTCCAGACCCTCCGCATCCGAGGTGATGATTGTGAAGAACTCGACATCGGTATGCGCGCCAATTCCGTTCTGTTCATCTCGACATGCTTCTTGCTGTGGGTAGTGAAGGATCCGCAGCCCGGCTTCTGGACGCTTTACATGCTCGTCATAAAAGTCCTCGCGAACGTGAAGGGCCAATGCAAATATGCGCGTAAGTTGACGTGCAAACCTGATCATCTCGGTCTGGTAGGCGCTAAGCTTTTCTTCGAATTCAGACATGTCCTTGGGCCATAGGTTGATCTGTGGAGTGGATAGGTCAGGGTAATCGGGGTCTTTCGCCGGATTATAATTCCAGTTGAACGCCTCATACAGGTCTACTCACGTTAACGTATAAGAAGTGGTTGAGATGCCACAAACGGAAGCATACCTCTGTATTTCCAACCATTTGGATTGTACCGCTGCATCCCATGGTACCCGCAATACTCATCGGGAATGAGGTCGGAGCTCACTTCCATTTTCTTATCCTCAGGGAGCGCAAAGAACTCTCTAGCTTGCTCCATCACATCTGACGCTAGCTTCGGGTTTATACCCTATCGGACAGTATTAGTCTCCTATAGTCAATTGACTGAGTAGGTGAAGTACATGATTCGTGATACAGAAAAAGCCAATGCTATGAGCAGCATTTCGAATTTCTTCAGCCAGAGCCTGACGAGCAGCTAGCTCAGGACTATGCATGCGTGATACATCGATGATGGGAATCGATTTTTCTGTCATCGCGGCATTGGAGACAATGGTAAATTCTTTGCCATTGGTTAGACGGATTGTCTTTGGCATGTTGTCGGTGGAAGTTATTGTGGTGGACATGTTGATGCTGAGCTATTGGTATCACAACAGTTGCAAAAGGAGATTCGCATATCATGAGAGTTCAGATGGGTCGGACACTTAAAATACTTTACATTGACCTATATCAGGTGAGCAATATTCTCCTCTTCTTGAGATTGACCTTCATTTTACCAGTTTATCCGCTGGTCAAGCATGAAGAGTCAGTTTGTCGATAGTAAGATAAGGGCAAGTATATATGAGCTCTCTGATTGGCTCAAGGCGGGTAAACGGATGAACTCGACGGCTTATCTCATGACCCTATCCAACTTTATTTCAGAAGTGAAGATGGCAGAGTCATGATCGGCAGATGGACGATGTCTATCAGATAGGGATTGATGATATAAAGGATACAGGTTCACTGGAAGATTGGTTCGAATCATATCGTGAAGAATTTTTGAAGCTATTGGCGACAAGCAGCTTAATCCGCAGTGACTCTTTCACATCTTCACCAAGTATGGACAATATTCGAAAACTTCTCAAACTCATCGAAGTCAAAAACGACGGAGATGACAATAATCAAGATGAGGGAGGTCTGAAAGGCCTCAATGCCGACACTCGCCCCCTGGAGCCCTCCCGACGAACCTTCGGTCCGTGGGAGTTTGTGACCCTATGGGTCATTACAGGCTCCTTCAACATCGGAGGCTGGACAACAGGATCCTCATTGATTGCATATGGCCTAAACGTCTGGCAAGCCATGTTGACAGTCATTATCGGCAATGTCATTGTCGGTTGCCTGTGTGTCATGACTGGCGCACCAGGAGCAAAATGGCATATCGGATTTCCCATCATCCAGCGAGCTCCCTGGGGGGTTAATGGGTTTGTCTTTGTTGTTATTCAGCGCGTGTTTCTGGCATGTATCTGGTTCTCGACGCAGGTATTCTGGGGTGGACAATGTGTCAAACTTGTATTGACAGCTATTTGGCCCTCTTTCGCCAGGGTGAACAGACCTTTGGCTAATGGAACCATGACAACTGGGGACTTTACGTCGTTTATTATTTTTACGGCGTTATATTACCCTTTCATCTGGATTAAGCCGGAAAAATACAAACTTCCCTTCCTCATTTCATGTGTGACGGTCATTCCGACTATCGTCGTGACATGGATCTGGTTCATGGCCAAGGCTCACGGAGTTGGTACTCTGGTGACCGATGTTAGTTCGGTTTCTGGCGTGACTCAAGCTACTAGAAGTCATTTGGGATGGATGATGGTACTCGGTATATGCACCAACATCAATTCTATGAGTGTTCACGTCTACGTCCAATCGGACTATACCCGATACGCCCGCAAACCCAAAGATCAGATCCTCGCACAGCTCATAATGGTGCCCATGGGGACCATAGTCGTCGCTCTAATCGGAATTATATGCACATCTTGTGCAGCTCAAATATTCCCCGAACAACACGGAACGCTTCTCTGGGCACCATACGAACTCTTCGCTGCTCTCCAAGCCCATTATGAAAACTCATCCTGTTCACGTGCCGCAGTCGCTTTTTGTGGCTTGTCGTTCATGATTGCTCAATTCGGTATGGTCGTAGCCAACAACGGTGTTGCGGCTGGTCTCGATCTGTCGGGGCTTTTCCCTCGGTATTTCACCATCAGACGCGGAATGATCTTGATGTCCATTCTATCGTTCATCGTGCAACCATGGACATTGCTAAACGGCGCCAGTAAATTCCTATCCGTCCTCGGCGGTTACGGTGTACTCATCGGCCCTATGACCGGGGTAATGTTTAGCGACTATTTCATCGTTCGCAGGCAAATCCTCAAACTAAGTGATTTGTACAACTACAACTCGCACGGAAATGGTATATACTGGTATCAAAAGGGATACAACTGGCGCGCCTTCATTGCCTGGATGATGGGTGTCTGGGTCACTCTTCCAGGATTCGTGCGAATGGTCCAAAATAGCTCAAGTGATCCATGGGCTGGATGGTCGAATCTGTATGATTTGTCGTATATATTGGGTTGTTCCTTGAGTTGTGGGACGTATTATGTGCTCCATAAGGTTTTTCCGATTCAGGGGCTAGGTGTTGAAGATAACGAGGATTATTTTGGAACTTTTGTTCGTGCAAGAGTTATTGATGGTGTTGATTCTGTTGAGGAGAAGAGTGTGCCGGAGATAGAGGAGAAGGTTAAATCTGTTGCGTAGCATGGTTTGCTTTGATACCCATCTAACAGGAAATTTAATGTTATTGTACTTTCAGCATTTCGTTCCGTTCGTGCAATCCATAGTCTTGATCTTAAATGCAGGTTATATTTTATTAGTCGGAATGAAATGTTTCCACAGACAAGGAATTGAAAACTTGAAGGTAGAAATAATCTTTATTCTTATACTTGTAGACTAGACCGGCTCTCGCTTTTATCTTCACTTAGACAGTATGCACTAACCTATCCAGCTCAAAGAATAAATGGATCCCCTCGGAATAGTGATCGTATTAGAAGCAATGAAACATTCGTAAGCTTCCGGATCAAGTAAAGCCATTGTATTATCAGAAGACAGCGGATCAAAGGGCGCTTCGTCGTGGACGAAAGACCCGTGGTCCGTCAGATTATTGTCTATAGAGCAGAAAGATAGTTGCTCGAAGCGCTGTCGGATTGTTTTCAATTGCTGCTTCACAGTCCACGTTGGAGACTGTGTTCGTAGGTAGGGGTTCTTACGCGCTGTGTTAGAATTGTCCGGCAAGCTCGGCGAGGTCCGATTGCTGCTGTAGAATTGCAGTTTTGCATCAGGATCATTGTTGTTGCTGTTGTCAAATAATCGAAGGATTTCCTGAAGAGCGCGGGAGGACGCATCAAGGCATGCCAGGATCAATCTGTTATTAGAGCACGGGGAAATTCCGTTAAGGATGCCGGGAGGCGCTAGCGACTGCTCCACGAGCAGAAGCGAGTATTTGAATGATTAGAGTGCTTGGATGGTATTTTCCACCAGGGTGGTATTGTTATTAGGTTGGATGCGGGCGGTGGTGGACACCTCCGCCGGTGACTGGTAATCTCGGTGGAAGAGTAGGTGAATGTTTAACAGTTGGTATGCAATACGGGTGATGATCTCTGGGTGGTCGCCCATTTGCGACTACGGTCTTGCCAGTTCTTCGCTCAGAATGCCTCGCACGGTTTGGCATAGGCTGGAAACACTACCATGTCCATTGACTGGGCTATGAAAGTGCCGGAGAGTCTCTGCACTCAAGTAGGAGGATGATAAGGAGGACTGACGCCTTACCAATATCTGAAGAATCTTGGATATTGGAACATGGTTAATACACTGGACGGCTTGCATGGTTTTTCGGCGAGGTTGTGTACGCAGGTGCTGGGGATGTCGGTGGAGGATTTGGAAATGTTGTTGGTGGATTGTCGGACGGAGATTCAAGATACGAGAATACATGCGTACTTGCCGATATAAGTTTGTTTTCCAGACATAATTGAGGAGAGTCGGTGACTACTCATCACATATGTGGTGTACGGTCAAAAGCCGGAATGAGACACCGGCTAATGGTTAGGAAGTGATCACGAGGGTGGAATTACTTATTTGCTATTGCAGCTATTGCAGCTATAATTACTGCAGTATACCTGTTCAGTCATTAAGCAAATAATGTACAACTGGAACTGTGCATGTTGGTGCTATCGAGAACAATTCTGAGATCCTCATGAACTCAACTTTCAGGAAGCGCAGCATCTATTGAAGATTCTGATTTTAAGCCTTATTCAAATTTGTCTACGAAATTCATCTTGGTTCGGCATACAACCTAAGATAGAGCAGCAGCTTGAGCTGGTATATAGTCTACAAGCTTGCAAGGTTCAAAATCTAAGACAGTTGCCCTAATTGCCGTATTCGGCAACCACAGGGTGGATTCGTATAAAAGTCAAATTGCGTGGCTTAAAAGTCGAGTTCATTCCCATGATTACATTTTCATGTTCATATTTATCATAGACATTGGGTATTCACCAAACGCCATGTACACAACTAACAATAGGATATTTCCGTTCGCTGGGTCAAGAACATCACAAGAGTCAATAAGGAAAAGAAAAGAAAAGAAAAGAAAAAATTGGTGAACAGCCATCGTCAGCTAACAGCACTCGTACCCATGTTTCTTCCGCTAGCTAGCAGGGAATTCCGCCATACTGCATTCCCATTCGTCATTGTTGCCCGGTCACTACTACTCGTAGTGTCATCACTATTCTGACGCGGTAACATAACAGGTTTGACCTTGGTCCCGACAAATCCTCTTCGATCTCGGCCCGTCCGACCACGTCCAAGCCAGTTGTGTTTTAAGGTCTTGGTTAATGTTTCGATGCGTTCTTGTGCTTCGTCCCCGCTTTGGATGCTAGCTAGCACGCTAAAGCATTGCAGCATGCGGCCCACAGTATCCGTGATGACGTGCGATGAGTCTGCGTTCTGGTTATTGCGGAGAGTTTGAAGTTGGCGTTGGGACGGTGATGTAAATGACTGGAAGATCAATTGGTCTGGGTTGGAGGAGGTGTTGGATGTTGCGCGACTGCGGTTTGCGCTTGCAGAGTCAGAGGAGTAGCTGCCGGCGATGTTGAGAGATGATTGCTGAGAGTTGAAGCTACTGTACGTCGGATCTAGGGATGCGGCTGTGCCCGGTCGACCGCCGCTGCTGCTACTGTTAGAAGTAGAACTTAAGGCACCAATGGTAGCGTTGATGGTGTCTAGACTCAGGCGGGAAAAGATGGCATTTAGTGCTTCGAAGCGCTGCAGAATGACCGTATCGCGAAACGCGGTTAGAACAATCATACGAACGTCGAGCTCATCACCTAGGGAACTTTCTTCTGTGTCTCCATTTGTAGGCAAGGCACCCCAGAACTCTCTGGCTTCTCGAGCGTTCATCACGGATCCACGGCCCTTGAATTCGAGATCCAATGGGAGGAAGACTGCCTGAATGAAGGGTAAGATCGTTCCGAATGCTAACATCCATATCTGCATCAGATGAGGAACGAGTTTTTCATCCGGAATGCCACTAAGTGAATGATTCAGCGTCGAGAACCCCGTATGCAGTAATTCTCGAAGATCTTCTACAATAGTCGGCATCTGTTTTTGGACGCAGAGTTGAATATGTATAACCACGAGCTTGTTCAAGTCCTCCACAGCAATGCGGACATCGCCACCGTCAAATATAACCAACAGTTTAGCCTTCAGGAAATCCCAAACGTCTTCTGCCGTCATATTATGCAAACCGAAGCCCTGGAGAGTCTCTTTGACGCTGTCGTTACTGATCACGCTTCCCAGGTTGCCCAGAGAGTTTCCGTAAGGTGTAGCTGAGCCGCTAATGCTAGAGCCAATACCAGAAGGCCATTGAGTATCTATAGAATCCCTGCTAGCATCGTATGCAGTAGACACCATAGCTTTCTCTTCTCGCCTTTTTTCTCTCAGAGCTCGACCTCCATGAAGTAGATCCAATCCTGCTTTCGGAAAACTTGAAGAGGACGGCCCGGGTGAGGACGGAGCAAAGTTATAGAGAGATTGAGGTGCGTTCGGGTCTAGAGGTTTCGAGTTGCTGGAAGCGGATGATAATGGCAAGTAATGGTGGTCGTCTTTGAGTTTGAGCTTTTGTCGTGATAGGAAATGGTGTTTATGGATCTTCTCTTTATCCTTCTCCTTCTCCTTCTCTCCCTTATCGACCGGCACCACCGTACTCGCGGATGCATTCGAGAGATTATACATGGAAGAATTGTTGGAGCTCACCTCGGTGAGATTGGTCGTAGACGCACTAACCATCTTTGACAATCCGCTTGAACTGCCAAATCCGAGTTTACTGGGAGATGATAGCGCTTTGTCCTTGCTGCTGCCCATCCAGTCCCTGTCCCTTGATATACCAATATGTTTCGGTTTGGAGAATAACTTCTTCCTTGTCTTTTCTGTTTTCTGTTTCTGATCTACCGCATCTGCCCCCGCTTGATGTCGCGGAAACGCAATACTGGCAGCGGTGGTAGCTGCAGCCACACTCGAACCTATAAGTCCGTTCTGGTATGCATTGCTGTAGAACCCGCCGACTCCTGCTCCTGCACCACCGCCCGTTGTTGACGCTGATGTAGTTGTATGAGGTGCTAGGTGGACCGGTGGCGGTGATTCTCGACCACCTTTCCGAGTCTTTAGTCCATCCTCGATCGGAACTGTCTGTGAACGATGCCGCACGTGCTGTTGTTGAGTCGACTGCATAGCCGCTTGGGCAGCAATTTGCGAAGCCGTTAGAGCCGTCATGGTATGATCGGCGAGACTCGCGGTGGGTAATGAAGGTTCAAAGAAGCCCTGTGAATGTTGTCGTGGTCTGTGTCTTTGTAATTCTGGCAGCGGGGCTCGTGGAGATGGTTTTCTCGAGATCGGATCATTCGGCGGTCTCAACGGTGAATTTGCACCGACTGTTGGACGCGGCTGCGCAGTCGAAGGTAGAGATACGTTACTGCTATTTGCACTTGCATTGATAATACCAATTGACGATGTCCGAGGAGGATGGGGGGAAGACGGAGTATTGAGGGAGCGGAGAGGGCCTTTCGGGCGATTGAGTGTTGTCACCCGCGATGAAGAGGATGAAGCATCACTGTCGGACGAGCCAGGTCGGCCGCTATGAGGATGGGATTGGGGATTTGGAGGTTGGCTTTGGTAACGAGCGTTGTCACCCCGAGAGTCAGGGCGGCTCGCGGGTGATTGATGCATTGTCAAGCGGTGGGACTAACACCCAGGCAACGGATGATGCAGACGATCACTGGGACAGCATGTTGATAGTGATCCTCCTGTAATCATATATATAATAATTTGGCCCATGACAGAACTCGAGAATAGGAAGAATCAACGCATTCCGTATAGGAGTATATGTGTCGAGTCTCAGGCTGGCAAGTTGGATGATGATATCTAATCCGGGGCTGAGACAAAGCCGGGCGAAATTAATATTAACCTACTTTTAGTGGACCCCTCCTTCATCTCCAACTCATCTCCAACTTTTTTCTTTTCGTATTCTGGGAATTACTTCACTTTGGACTGCATTACTTTCAAAAGACAGGACTAAATTGGAACAACAAAATGACAACTCATAAACCAGCAATATCCGCAGCCTACTCCTCCTCCCAACCACCGCACACCTCATACACATTCCGTCATAAGATCGCCGCATCTTTGGAGACGAACAGCCCACAACAATCCGTCGCTGCGAAGAAGGCTTACCTCTCTGAACTACGTGGTTTGGTTACTCTCGTTCAAGCAGAAGTAAACGTGTTCCTTACCGAGAGGATGGAAGAAGATAAGAAAAGGGCCGGAGAAGGGACAGGCAAGGATGCGGAACAAGAAGCGAAGGAAGAGGAGAATTACGGGGAGGAGAATGTTGAGGATGATGCCTAGAAAATACGACGGCACTTAGAGGAATAGAGAGGAATTTTCCTACACTGGTTATGCTCTTGCTTCAGGCTTCAGAGTCGCCGACAACCGACATCTATATGATTTTTCATTGATATTCGACAAAACAACTCCTCTCCAATTTGGGTATCAACTGTACACGGAAGAAATCTACACGACTTCATGCTAGAAACATGCAAAAGACAGAAACAAAACAAACAGGCAAAAAATCCCGAGTCAAATGGTATGAATTTATGATGAGACGTGTGAGATATATAATGCACCGAGCGAGAAAATAATCACGGCGCCACTTGATTCGACGTCAAACGATTTGCGCAGCCAAGATGAACAACATTACTGCTATATCTGGTGTTAGTGATCGTCCTCGTTACAGTCTATGATAGCAAAAGGAACGTACTCTGGAAACACACTGATGACGCTCCCACCCAATCTCTTATGGCAAATGCCACATGCGCGCTCATCGGTAATTGCCACATGTCGACTCCGGGCTTTATTATCGTTCGGGAGGCCCTCTCCCACCAAAAGTTGAGCTTGGGTCTTTATGTTCTGCACCTTTTTTAGGTTCGCGACAATGCGGGCCTCGTTCACAATTGAGCTTGCAGCACGAATTCGGTTGCGGAAATAGAACTCGAGCTCCTGCACTGCGATATCTTCAGGGATGAGATCGAGAGTCGAGTTTGCGGGTAGTCGAGACCCATGCTTGGCAAGGATATCCAATGCTGGGCCGTATTGCGCTTTGTAGCCATGTGGAGGAGAAAGGTACAAGGATAACAATGTTAGATAGATTGTTGGTTTGGTGTTGTCAGCATCTGTGGGCGCTAGACGCTGGGATGGAGCTACCTCGGCCGTACTCGTCTCCTCTGTGATGTGGATGTGATTGCAATACCTAAATTGTGTGAGATATACTTCATGAAAGAAAATGCGTCAAACTCACTCTTCGGCCTTTTCATGTTCCTTCAATTGGAACACATAGATTTCCAATGCCTGCCGATGCTGTCCCATCTTACTAAACACAATCGCTCTAGCTTCATAAAAATTCGGATCATCGCGAGGCAAAACGTTCAACATCTTCGCTGGAGAATACTGAGAGCTTGATTTCAGGAACTCCAAGAACTTTGTCTGCCAGAGAATATACGTCTCCTTCTCTTCTTCGTTGGTCTTCTCGTAGGACTTTAGGCGATCTAGGTAGAGGTGTAACAGCTTTTGATGTAAATCCGGACTCAAATCATTCAGCTCGTCGATAACATGTTCCAGATAACGAATCGCCAAGGCGACATCGATCTTCTCAAGGAATTCAACGACTCGATGTCGAGGCAATGTCTCTGCATTCTCAGTATCAGCCAGGAAGACATCCATACCGAGCTGGGGGTCTTCCCGTAGAGGCCATTCTGCAAACTCAAGAATTAAATCAATGTACTCCGAAGATAAATGCTGTAAATAAGCAACTGTCCGTTTCGAACCACGGAGCTGTGCTGTCATTGAGTTCTCCTCTTCTTCTCCATCTTTTGCCTCTGCTTGGCCGAACTTGAGGAGCAATTCTAACGCCCGGCGGTGCATCTTCTTGCCGTAGTAAAAGTCGATCAACTCGGTGTCGCGGCCTTGTTCCTCTAGCTTTTCCATTACGACGTCCGGATCACAGAAGTTGGCGATTCGGAATAAAGACCCTGCCAAGCTGGGTGTAGCATACATGTGAGCTCTGAATAGTGTTGTGTCAACTAGTTTAGCACTTTCTCGTAAACGATCCCCAAACTGGACATCGTTGACATCTTGCGAAAGACCGAGTAACATTCGCACAGACTCTAGAAATTCGTTATTCGCCCCGTCCTGGTGTAAGGATTCAGTACGTAGAGAGCCATCTGGATTGAGGAACCTTTGAAATCGGCGCCTGACGTCTGCTAAATAACCTTGCAGCTCGCGTACTGCATTTTTGAGATCTTTTCCTTCTGTTCGAAGCTGTCAGTAATAGGCAAATCACACGACTCGGACCTTCACATACCCAGCTTTTTATCTGTCTCTAAGATTTCACTTGATTTCCCTCGAATGCTACCGTCATCACTGCCCTCCTCACCTCTAGTACGAAGAAATGAAGTGAGAGACGGCGCATACATAGAAGTTTTGGCAGGAGATAAAGTTTCTATAGCGAGTACATCTGTGACTGTCTGTACTCCATTCTGACCTTTAGATGTGGTAGACTCTTCATCATCAGATTGACTTGTGTCCTCCTCGACAGTTGATAGATCCCCGGCAATGACCTTTGGATAGAGTCTTATGACAACCTCAGGAGGTGCTGAGACTTCCGCAAACAGATCAAGCGAATCACGGTACTTTCTGAGATCGAACAGTTTCTGGGCCTTTTGCAATTGTGCTTCACGTAATCGACCTGCTTTGTCCGTCAAAAGTGCGTCCTCAAGCATATTGAGGAGACTAATTGCTTCATCTAGATACCCATATTCAACCAACGCATCAATCTGGTCATCGTAGCTTAAAGCTTCCATCCGCCAGATAACCCGGTCGCTAGCTACTAGGAATCCCTTCCCGGCGTGCGCCAAACTAATATTCGGTTGTGGCATATGGAGCAGACTAGCAGAAGGGAGAGATATCGATTGCAAAAGAGACAACGTATCCGGGTTTCGAACTTCCAGTGTTCCCTTTGAGGGCTCCTGCAACGCCAGAAGATACGGATACGAGTAACCGAGAGCTTCGGGAGCGGTACTCCATGGTATTTGTCGTTTCCCTAAGGATTTGCCCTCGCTATCGATGAAATGGGTGTTGATATCCTTGGCTAGAAGAACCTGACCTTCACTTAATCGAGTGGCTAGAGGCTTTGGTACCATCCCTCCCATCCCGATGTAGCTCATACTGGCGACTCCGACGCCGCCTAATCGGCTTGATTCCTGTCCATGCCCGCCTCCGATGCTTCCAGGCCCAACGATGTCATTTGTCTCCTTGGTCTCAATATTCACTAAAACATAATTTGAGCCCAGACCCGCTATCAGTTTTGTCCCGGATATCCATGTCAAGGTTTTTATTCCGCTAACGAGAGTGATCTCCGTCACGTCAGGACCTAATTCCATGTCCTTCCAGGTCCAGAGGAGAATCTTGCGTTTCACGGCCACAGCCAGACGGGACACGATCGACGGTAAATCATTCTCCACATCATTAATGACATTCGACGTCACGGTAAATGTGCTTGCTCCTTTGGTTTTCGTAAGCTGTTCTTGCAGCTCATAGCTCTGCAAATCGTGCAGCGAAATATAACCACCAGACAACACAACTAGGATATTCGCCTCTTTAATGAATGCAAATTGTTCGACTTTATACCGGGTAAATTTCTCGTATTCGCGTAGTAGGTCGACCGATTTCACTGTAGACTCTTCCTGCTCGTCCTTTGCGGCGTTCTCGGGTGTATGACCATTTCCCTCGGCAGTTTTAGGAGTCTCAGTAGCCTCATTGACTCTATATACCCTGAGGTTACTATTGTTTAGGCCGACAAGTAAACGGTCACCGTACGCGAGAATCGATTCGATCTTGGATTTGTCGCGTTGTTTAAGTTCGACGAGCGGTCGCGGTTTAAAGGCGGATAACATAGCTATGGAGAGGAAGGGGTCAAGGTATCGCGCCTTGACAGAGAGTTCCCACTGATTATATCAGTCATGATCTATGAGCAGGCAAGCATTTTGAACTTGTGGCTTGGTTGCGGCCGCGCGAAGAAGTGTTGCGAACTGTCGTCCAGTGTTCGGTACTGCAGAGATGGTAACTACAGCAATAGAATGATGAAATGGCTTCAGCTGATGTGTGGGGCATATATCTAGCTGCGGGAGCTCTATACTATTCTAGGTTAGGGTATATACTCTGCCACCGCCCGTATCACCTATATAATCTAGCCTATTCACTACACCACATATCCCAGCATTCCATATCAGTAATTCATATACGACAGCCAAGGATGTCAAATGGTCTGTAATAGTGATCTAAGGGACAATTGACGATTTCTCATCTTGGCCGGTGGCAATATAGGGCATTACTTCCAACAGAGAATCTGTCCATGTAGTAGTCCAACCCAGCCATCTTCATCCTGCACAAAGTCTCGCCATGCCACTGCCATCTTTTCCATGTCTTTTTGAGTCGCAAATCCTTCCCTGACTGCGTTTGTTGCAAACCCAGATGATCTGGCTCTCTCTTCCATCAATCCACCCCAATATTTTCGCTCGTCAGAACTACTAAAACACCAGGATCCGGTACTCTTTTGTATATTCCTGGAGAAACCCTGCTTCATTTGCCCATACATGCATATGGCTTCCTGCATCTATGTGGTTTCCTTTCGCTCTTCGTACCCGGTCGCCAAGCTGTTGCCAGGCCGTAAGGCCTTCAGACTCGGGGTATATTGTTGACGAAACACACTCCCGGGCTGCTACAATTCCACCTTGCTTGATTACACGTCGCATTTCCTTAAAGGCCTGGACCGGATCGGCAATAGGCTGCAAGACCTGATGTGCATGAACAATATCGAAAGTATCATCGGGGAAAGGAAGGTCGTGTATATCACCAATCTGGAAGCTAACATTTGACACTTTCTCAGAGTTGGCAAGCTCCCTCGCTCCATTTAGTGGATCAAGTACGTTTTCCACACCTACAACGTATCCAAGTGGTACTTTTCCTGCCAGACTGATTGTAATCGAGCCTGGACCACATCCGACGTCGAGAATGCTCATGGTCGGCTTCAGGTGAGGGAGAAGGTAAGATGCGGAGTTAGGCGCGTTGCGCCAGGAGTGCGTCCGGAGAACGGCTTGTGAGTGATCATTTGTGTAGCTTTGAGACATCTTTGGTGTATGTCTGAAACTGGTTTGTTAAGAAAGCTGAAATGAGAATGCGTGTACGAAATGGCTGATAAGGCACTAGACGCTTTATGTTTTGTGTTGCCAGAATCCGAGGTCATTCTCATCTCCGAAGATGGCTGGAACCGAAGCTGAACTCCGAAGGCAGCAGGGTGTGAGCTCCGGAGATCATATTAACCTTAGATCTCGTTGCAATGACAATGTTTTCACTATCGCAGAATCAGATCTAGTTCTCCAGATGACAGTGTGCTGCTTAGGTGGAAAGCTGTTCGATCTATGGAGTGGTTTCCCATAAGCAAACAGTAGAGTGCCATTGTGGCTTGTATCGCTCAATTGGAACGGATGATATTTCTCGCTTCGCCTGGTTGCTACATGAGATTGTTGTTCCTGTTTATAAATCTCCACCCAGACAGAGTTCAATTATTCTCCGTAGTCATCTATTGGAAAGGAGACATTTGTTGCACTTGACTGACCAGAGCCAGCCGCATGTATGACTCATGTGGATGTCGAAATTGGATATAAGCACAAATTACCCAGAAACAGGCTACAAAGGGAGCGAATAATCAGCGAGTAGAGGGCTTCCATTGCATATGTTACCTGGGTTGAGGAGTACAAGTTTTGGGAGTATACTGTATGTAGGTACGATGACTCAAGTTAGGGCTAGTATGCCGCCCGCTCAGGTCCGCCGCTCCAGTCCGCTCGTGTCCGCTCGAATTTCTGCACGACTGATATATTACATCCATAACTCATCTTCATGTGGAGAATAGGAAAAGTCTGTGAAATGATGAAAATGACGACATGGTCCATGATTCCAACGTTTGAGCGAGGTATAAATAAGTCGTCTCAACCCTCGATATGAATTGATCTTCCCGTGCATCTATTCATTCTTAACCTTCTCTCTTCTATGCTTTTCATCTCCTTGATCCATAATGGCGAGTAACGACAATCAGCTCACGTGGCTTATAACAGGGTCCTCCGCAGGCCTTGGAAAGATTCTTGCGGCACGCGCACTCGAGGCAGGGCATAAGGTCATTGGTACCTGCAGGAGTCGGAAAAAATCACGCGCAGCCCTCGAGCCCTTAATGGGAAAAGGCTTGGAAGTTATTGAGCTGGACACCTCAGCTCAACAAGTGGAAATAGAAGCGAATGTGAAAAAGGCTCTGTCAATTTATGGCAAGATCGATATACTGGTGAACAATGCCGGGTATGCCGCACTTGGGCCGCTTGAACGATTCACGTAAGACCACCGCAACAGCTTGACTCGTCTTAAGATGTATGAGTACGTACTAACATGATATGACTTTGTAGGGACGAAGAAGTCTTGAAGCAGTTGAGAACCAACACTCTCGGCCCACTTCATGTTGCCCAAGCTGTCCTCCCCAATATGCGGTCAAGAAAGTCAGGGATGATCGTGAATGTGAGCAGTTACGTCGGCATGCGCGGCGACGCAGCAAATGGCGTGTATGCTATTAGCAAATTCGGACTCGAAGCCTGGTCTGAGTCTCTCTCAAAGGAGGTTGCCGAGTTTGGTATTTCGGTTCTTGTGGCGGAATTCGGGGCTTTCAGAACTGGTTTCTTGAATACCAACGCATTCGTTCGAGCTCCAAAGGATGTGATTTCTGGATATGAAGGCAGTACTGCCGAGAAAGCATATGCTGGAATTCTGCAGGCAGATGAAAAGCAACCCGGCGATCCGGAAAAGGGCGTGGATCATCTGTTTCAAGTCATTATGGCAGGTGGGTTCCTGGGTGGAAGAAAAATTTTCAGGCTCCCCATCGGAGCTGATGCAGTCGAGATCATTGGCGATAAAGTGCAAAGTGTACAACGAGATCTTCAGGTAGCAAAGGTACTGGAAGAAAGTGATAGCACTGCTCTCTAGTTAAATGTAGCCTACTACGGCCATTGTCAATCAAACCAATTCGTGTATTGAATCATTCAAAGAGAGTAGATTTACCAAGTAAAAATTCGAGATTGAAATTTCATGTCGATGTACCGCCTATAAGCCAGATCCGTGGAGTCAATTAATCAAATGGTTCTGTCTGACTCTAACATCTCGAAGACATCCACGCCTCCCTATGTATGACCAATCTCGAAGAGTATACCGTCTTGCTTCAGCAGCTCCATAAATCCATCTGTATACCAATCGCATTAGAATATTTCCATTCTTATAACGGACCTTCCACATACCAACAGTTCTCCAAACCCTACCGAGAGCTTGCAAGATCTCAATCATCTCGCGCAGCTGAGCAGCTCTATCACTACTCTTTTCTTCCCGGTAAATCCAGGCACATTCAGTAATAGCCAGGTAAATGCATTGACAGAATAAAGGATTCACTTGAAAAAGGCTTCTATCATCTGCAACTGAAGCGAACCGTAGTATCTGTCGTGAGACATAGGCCATTTTGTCGACTACTTCGTACAGACCGATTAAAGAGGTCTGCTGCATGGAGATTTCTTCTGCTATTCGAGATGTAGAATCATGTTCATTGCATCCATATATGTCGTATAGCGTGAATCGAGCCGAACAGACAAGGGCGAAAGCAAAAATATGATTCTTCTCAAAGTCGTTCTCCACGAGAATTTTGTCGTTTAAATATGTCCCTAGCGAGACAAGAGCTTGATGAAGCTGAACCGCTTCTAAGAGGATGGACTGACGATCAGTGAACTGAGGATCCCCATCACGGTGTTGGATCACATTCCCCAGCAAATGTGCGGCTTGACACGTGTGGGCGAAAAGTCCAATGGGCAGATCCGCCTCTATGCGGTCAACAAATAGAGGGTAGTTGATACTTACTTGACCACTGTCCCATCCATCCTCGGTGCAGGGAAGTAAGTCCCTATTTGTCGGCTTAGGAGTGGCCAAAGGTAAGCCCGTAACACCAAGGTTCAGGAATCTGCGAGTTTATCTAAGCATTGTCGAAAGTTTGGATCATATTTGCGCTCTCATACCTGTCTAATAACATGATAGCCCACCATATTCTCCTTTCCTCTTCTCTTGCAGTCCATGTATCCGGCATTTCAAAAAGCTGTTTTTTGTCTCTGTTCGCAAGCCCCATGAGCATAGCCAATCTTGCCACTCGAGCAACCTGAACAAATGCAGCTGGATGAAGACCATGTCCAATCTCGTAGACGCATATTAAAGTCAGAGATTGAAGTAATTCTAGTGAGACGAGGCCACGGGTCTCTAATTCACCGGCAACTTCCTTCGCTTTTAAATAAAGGGAGAATGCAATGACTTGCGGTAGCTTGTTAGGAGACGTGCCGAGTACTTTCATACTCAGCACCAACAATGAGAAGTGCACATCAAAACATGAAACTCCATCACGCAGTCTCTGGATGATTTTCTTCGGACTAAGGATAGGAAGCCACTGGTGTATCCCAGAAAAGAAGAGACTGTAGACTACATCGATGTCTTCCTGAGAACCAAGAAGGCAGAGAATGTCGTCAGGTGTCGATGGCCTCGCTATTGAATTCCAAGAGATTGGTTGGCACAGCCCCGAGTCTAGGAAATACCGGGACTGAGATAAAGCTACCTCAAGGGACAACAGAAGTCTCGTCCCTGTACCTTCATTTCGATACGTGAATAATTGATCACCATTTTCATCTTCATAGCGGCATGATTTCCTCAGTCGTAGACACTGGAACCCTCCATTAGCATATAAAAGTACTTCTCGAAAGCCCTTTGGAAATAGTACCAGGGAACATGATGGAAGATCTCGAGAACATTTTCGCTTCAACGTCCTAAAAATGAAAGTAAGTATCCAGACCGCCTCTCTTAAGAATCGAGTTCGAATGTATGCATACCGGCACTGCAGACATGAACGCGCAGCTTGAGATTTATTACGTTTCTCCATCTAATTTTACAGAGTGGTTTGCTTCTCCAAGGGAGATATTTCTGTTAAAATAACTAACTAACCGATCTAGTCAAGCAATACCGTCCTTCACCGCCTGATACCCGTTATCACCTGATGCCCGATTTTGCTTCAAAACACGAAAAATCGCGTCTATTTCAAAGCGCGATAAATCAACCAATATGGATAAATACGAGCTTGCACTTGAACCTTTACATTCCTTAAAGCCAGAAGAAAAGCGTAATGTTGCTTTGATTGCAAGAACATATGGTGTTGATCCCTCAAATCTTAGAAAACATTTTCGCAAGGTTACGGGCCCAAAAGAAGCACAATACAACAATCAACGACTATTGAACGAAGGTCAATCTCAAGCACTTATAAGATGGATAAAACATCTTACCGAAAAAGGCCTACCACTACGAATTCGATGCTGGCAAATTTTGCAAGAGATATATGTGGTAGAAAGCCTGGAAAGAACTGGGTTAGTCGCTGGTTAATCTCATTCGGACCAGGTTATTTCTCGCTATTCCACGGGCCTCGACATGGACAGGAAAAATGCAGATAAAGCATGGAAATACGCGTTATATTTTGAGCTTCTTGGTCGGAAAATTGAGCAATATAATCTTGCTCCAGAACAAATCTATAACATGGATGAAAAAGGCTTTATGCTTGGGATAATGACAAAAGAGAAGAGAATCTTTTCTCGGCGCAAATATAAGAAAGGAGGCCACAAACAGTTTCTTCAGGATGGAAATCGAGAATGGATAACTACAATTGCTTGCATTTGTGCCAATGGAAGAGCTATATCGCCTAGTTTAATCTATATGGCAAAATCAGGCAATATCCAGGATTCATGGCTTCAAGACTTCAATCCTAAAGAACAAAGATGCTTTTTTGCAGTTTCAGAGTCAGGATGGACCAATAACGAGATTGGATATCAATGGCTAGTTGATGTTTTTGATAAAGAAACAAAATCTCAAGCAAGCAGGGGGTGGCGCTTCTTAATCCTTGATGGCCATGGCTCTCACGTCAACATGCGATTTATTGAATACTGTGACAGGAATAGAATATTATTGGCAATATTTCCAGCTCATGCAACCCATACTTTACAGCCTCTTGACGTCGCTTTATTTTCACCTCTTTCCAAGGCTTATTCGGAAGAATTGAAGCAATTTTTGAATGACTGTCAAGGATTAACACGACTTACTAAACGTGACTTTTTTCGGCTTTTCTGGGCAGCTTAGATATCATCTTTCACATTCAACAATGTCAAATCCGCCTTTGAAAATACAGGGTTATATCCTTTCAATCCTGAGTACGTTATACAACGTTTTACCAAAAGTCCTCAATCCCGGCCCTCATCAAGTGGATCTACAGCTTCAATTATCCAACCAGAGGATTGGAGACATCTTTCAAGGATTGTGAAGGAAGCTGTTAACGATGTTTATGATAAAAAGTCAAAAAAGCTGAGCAATGAGGTGCATCGTATTCAAGCTGAGAACGCCTTGCTTAAAGCACAAGTTGAAGGCTTACAAAGGACTGTTGTCAATCTCAAAAAGCGCCAGAACAAGAAAAAGCCATTATTATTGGATTTACATTCGGAAAAAGAAGGTGGTGCTATCTTTTTTAGCCCTTCCAAGGTTCAACAAGCTCGAGATCTACAACTTCAAAAAGACAAGAATACCGCGCAAGGACAAGCCCGTAAAGATGATAAAAAGCTTCAACAAAAGCTTGCAGCCCAAAAGTTGGAAAGGATTGAAAAGGCTCAAATCCGGCAAAAAAAGCGAGAACAGCGCCAACAAGAGGCTGCGGAAAAGGAACGTCAAAAGGAGGAGCAAAAATTAGCTAAGTTAGCTGATTTACAGCTTCAAAATGATGTCCTCACTACTACCAAGCCCCTACGAATCAAAGGAACCCAAATTCGAAGCAATCCAAGCCGAAAAGCAGTAATGAGGCCAAAGAAGAGGTTATTGAGGAGGTTATTGCTACAAATCGTAGGGGGCGGAAGATTCGGCTTCCTGTACGCTATCGCTAGATAAAATTGACACTGTTAGATTTCCTGTATCTTATTTACTAATACACTACAAAATTATTATATTTTATTATTATATGGTGTTGTAAATTTTCAAAATATTTCATCTGGTGGTCCGCCAAAATCGGGCATCAGGTAGTAACGGCTATCAGGCGGTGAAGGACGGTATCCGTCCCGCCAAAGATCTCCACGGGTCATGTGACTATTTCGCATCTTCACTGAACTCTTCCAACGAGAAGGTATTATTATTAAGGTATGAAGCACATAGCTACAACAAATTATAGGTTGGTAATCTGTGCAAATATTGATCCGTCATATATTATTCTCGCCTAATAAGAGGCAATCTGACTATACTAGTATACCTGTGTATTCACCTTCCGGGAAAAGTAGTAGCACAGACCTAAACATGTTGATTCGCCATATTGACAATACAGAAGAAAGCTTCAGTACATCTGATGTATGCAACTCGTATGTACAGTCCAAATCCAACGCCACGCCATGCCATTTTGAGATCCAGCTCAGCAAGAAGGTGACCATTGCTGGCACTAAGCAAATATTTCTGTGGGAGAGGAAATAAACAAGAATAGAGTTGAGATCAAGTCGGCTATATAGCATGCACAGGGGAAGATCGAGTCTTAAACCTATCATTCGGATAGATCAATGGTTTGGCTGAGTGCCATCAACTGGGTCTTGATGTTTGGCCGAGGAGCCCTTGCCCCGCCACGTGGATACCGCTGGAATATTGGCTTTGAAGCGCTGCTCCTCTGTTCCATATGCCCTGGGAGTCAGTTTGATCAATGTGTGGAGCGGGACCTCCATCCACGGACTCTGCTCTTGGGACATATTATGGAAGTAGGAATAAATGCATCTCAGGACTGCTTGGTGGGTGACAATTATAATGTTGTCACTGCGTTCCAGCTCCATGATAATAGGCTCTAATCGTATGACGACGTCACGGTATGACTCTCCACCACGGTAACGGTAGTTATATTTATCTTCGTCTCGTGCGGCAAAGTCTTCGGGGTATTTCTCAGCAATCTCTTCGTATGTCAATCCGTCGCAAACACCAGAATCCAGTTCATCCAGAGCTTTCCATTCGAGCTTATCATATCCTGTCTCTGCAGCCAAATGACGTGCCGTTTGTATTGTACGTTTCAGTGTTGATGTCCATATAGTGAGTTTGGCACCAGGAGGAACGCCGGATTGCTTCAATAGGCCAGGAAGTGCGCGTGCATATGCTTCTCCGCGTGTAGAGATATCAGAATCACCGCCGATCTTTCCAGTCAAATTGAATTCCGACTCGCCATGCTATGGACATGTATTAATATTTGAAACATTCTCAAGCAATCAATATGAGATAGTAGATAACATACCCTAGATAGCCAAATAGACCGAGGTTTGATATGGAGATTTTGAATGTAGTAGACAAGTCTACTTGACAAGTAATCTTTGATCTGATTTATAATAACCGTAGATCCTACGTTTATCAGCTTAACGTAGGTGTAGGATTTTTCGTCATCGTCAATGGTTTCATAAACCTTCTCGTAATTGCGGATGCGATTTCGAAAGTCCTGGGCCGCTACCTCTGGATCTTGTCCTTTATAGTCGGGTGATGTCGTCTTGACCTCGAGTATATTATGCATTATAATCTCCTCGTCGTCGCACGACGACTCCACGAAAAGGGTCTCAATTCCCGCCTCAGTGCAAGTCTTATGAATCCAAGCCCGTCTCTGTTTTGTAGAGTTGGTGGCGTCAAAAATGCCAACGACACCATTGGATTCTTTAAACCATTTCAGCATATCCGACACAGCAGCCTCAGCTGCAGCCCATCTCATTTTCTCGCCTTCCGGGTTATGTGGATCGAAAAAGTTGGCTAAAGGATGAGGCGACAGTTTTCGACGGTATGTTCCTACATTAAATATGCGCGCGGAGATTCCGACCCAGGCGAGGTATCGCAAAGCTAATAGGTGTCAGTCATAATCACGAAATTGGCAGGGATAAACACCGACCTTTTCCCGCAATGAGACTCTTGCCTCGGGCGGGTAATCCAACCATAACAACACATATTTTCGTATCGTCGGACTGTTGAGAAACCGTTAGTCGCCATATTTTGGAATAGAGAGTAGTCGTGATTGAAAACACATTGTGCAAGTCAACGAATAAGGGTTCTGGAAGAAAACATGATTCGACACAGTGTAGTCAGGAGCGGTAGTAGTGAAAGGGATAGAATCATCATTACAGGAATGTGAAAGCGATGGTTATTTGAGCTGACAGTGCCAGCTAGACGGGTCATGGTGTTGATCGTGTCGTGAGACATTCGGTTGGGGTAAAGCTGGAGCCCCATGAGGTCGGCTTCACGAGCCAAACACAGTGATGTTCTCTCAACTAAGACGAAGGTCGAAGGTGGGTAATGGCGACTCGCTTTCAGCTTCAAAACAAAACTGAACCATATGATGTTCAAATTTCAAAAACCTGCGGTTCATGGATCATAACGTAGGACGGGGGCCCGAAGCTGCGCGACTGAAAGGTCGGATCTGGTACGTGGCTCCGGCGTGGATTGTGAGAAGATATAGGGGGAATAACAACGTCGAAATGCCATTGACCCATCACGAAGGCCGTTGTCATTTGTTGAGAATTATGGGGCATTTGTAGTCCACCAGAGTAACTTCTCAAAACAATAGTATCATCTGACACGACACGAGCGGCGATTAATAAAGAATAAGCAACGTCGATGCTGGCACGAAGTCGCACCGAGGCCAGACGTGTTGTTTCGCGGGTAGACAAGGCGGAGGATAGCCGATAATGGACAGCACGAAGCAGACCACCACGAGTTGAACCCGGCTAGAATAGGAGTAGATTATGATGGATTGATGGTATGGCGTGAGCTCTAGACCTGAATTCCTCGGTAATTTGTAGTCATCCACCGTAGGGCGGGTAGCTTCATCGGTTTTGGTCTGGGTAAATTTGTTCGGGTAAATGGGCGACGCATAACCATCTCCCAACTCCATTCACTGCTTGACGTGCTCATAATTCATTCATTGGCTTTCTCCAAGACTCCGACTTTTTCTGCCATGCCAACCATGTGATGTTCTGAAATAAACCTCGCAAAGAACAATCGAATATCACGAGGACTAGGCCATAGGTGATAATGCGGGGTGTATACCCCGGAAGTAGCGGTAGTAGGAGGGAGACATAACGTGACAGGAAAAGGAAAACCGAACGAGACAGGGTAGACATGTATTTCAGGGCCGAGTTGAAAAGCAAATGGAATTACTTACGCTAGCATAGAAAGTCTTGCTGGCCGATTCTGTGCGACCAGATTCCCCGGACGACATTATGGATGAAAGACTGGAGTCGAGGGTATAGGTAGGATATCACCGTGGCGTAGGAAGAAGAGGCTCCAAGGGTCGATGTCTGGGGGAATAATCGGATATCAGGTGTGGTCACGACTAGGAGAAGTTGATTTTGACGTCGAAAAAGAATGTTTGTTCGGTCAGTGGGTTTGTTGAGCGACGGCCGCCAAGAGAAGGTTGAAGTAGTGACGTACAATGAACTCGGAGCGACCGGGGGCGAGGATGGCAATGAAGCTGGCCGTGGATGGGCATTTACTGTAGATTTTCGTTATTGATCTTCCGGAGACATGGAGCGTTGTGTAAAGAGGGTTTATCCGATATCTCAAAGTAGTTGATGAGGTCGCGGGGCAAACCCAGAGGAAGGAGCTCTAAGCTGTGGCGGGGAAGCTACACTACGGAGTTGATAACGAGTCTGATTATCTTCACCACTCTCTATTCTTATTTTATAAAGGAACAACGACTGAGATATTGTGAGAAACTGAATTTCATGCCTTTATATTTCGTTGGCGATTATTTTATGCAACATATGCGAAGACAGATCAAAATAAATGCGCTATGAGATTACGCAGAGACAGTCGCGGTTTCAGGAACCTCGTTCTGAGAAGCCAACTTCTGCCTGTCCGAAATCATCTTTGTAGACTCTCCACGAGCTCTGCCCAGCCGTAATTTTCCGCCCCAGGGCCCGTTCTGGCCATCGAGGGCGGTTTGTGCTGCTGCGGCGTCTTCGATGGTTGCGAAGTCGACAAAGAGGTAGTAGTGGTCACCGGGCTCGAAGCGTTTTGAGGGATGGGGAGTGATGAGCTTGGAGATTGCCTCGCTGGAGATACGTCAGTCAATGGTCGATTACCAGGGGTATCAGCGGTCACAGTGATACATACAGGTTATATCCTTTGAAAAACCCTTGAATATCAGCGTCGAGGGCCTGCTTGTCCATTATCTTGGGAAGACCTCCGACATATAGACGACGGCTGTTCTCAATGTCATTTCCCTTGGTGTTGTTCGAAGAAGAGGTGTCTCTGCGTTGCCAGCGATCGACGAGCGTAGAGGGGGAACCAGTGTTATCGTTGAGCCGAGAGGGAGAGTTTTGTGGAGAGCGCGTCGATGAAGAGCGGTCCTGAGCTGACTTTGCAACACCAGGTTTGATCCTGACGGGTCGGCCCTGGAGATCTTTGCCATCCAATTCCACCATTGCTCGATCGGCTTGCTCCTTTGTGGCTAGTTCGACGAAACAGTACGATGGGTTGCGGCCTGTGAAAGGATCGATCGAAATATCAATGCGTTCGCTATGGATTAAAAGGTATCAATCAGCCGACGCGCGCACTTCATATCAGTAATACCCCGCACATTGAATATTCTCCTGCTTCGAAGATAGATTCCACGTCCTCCCTCTTGGCCGTGTAGGGCATGTTGCCAACATAGAGCCGTCGACCCTCGGTGATAGATTGGGGTACCGGTTGCCATGACTTGTTGTGGAAGGGGGAGCGAGGAGAGTTACTGCCGGACTGGTGGTTGAACCGGGGGCTATTTGTGCTAGGGCTGTCGTCGCTCTTTACCCGCCAGTTGGCCGAGTTGAATGCTCGACCGGTAGTGCGGACGCCATTCGACTGCTTAGTTGGTGCTGTTTTGTTTAGTACGTATTCTGTTCGAGATTTTGAAAGATGGCGTCCATACTCCAAGGCTGTTGTTCGTTGGTTTGTTCCGAGGTGTCTGCCATGTTGACTATTGACTGTTGACCGTCTTAGCAGGGCACAACAGTCGTTGAGCGAGGTTTCAAGTATTCTGGTGACTCAATGCAGTAAAAATCAAAATAACTAGGCCATCCACTCACCTTTCACTGTTCTAAACTGACAGAATTGGCAATGCCCGCTACGAGAATGGTACAGTGGCCTCTTTCACGGCACTAGAGAATGAGATATAAAAAAATTTCCCGCCTGGGTGAGATTAATTTGTCGGCCCCGCAGGGATTTAAGGTGAAAGTAAATATACCAAGATAAAATCAACCCAACAAGCACGTAGAACCGGTTATATACGTATATAGTAACTATTTCAGTGATACGAATAAACAAGATTCATTCTCGAAATCATATAATTCCTTTTCCCCCTAAATTCCCATTTCTTTTCCTCTATTTAGATGTAATGCTTAAACTGGGTTAGCGTGGGTACTTAACTTGTTTTGGCTTAGTATAATCGTTGGGAGAATTTATCATCAATCTTTTCTCCTATTTCTCTTCTTATCTTAATCGCTGCAACGTCCTTGATCATAACTATAGGACAATGCCACTGTAATGTCTCATCGCCCAACAATTACAACTAGCCAGGATGAAAATCTATCTCATCCGGCATGCTGAGACTGTCCATAATGTGGGACAAGCTTGGTATCGTCTACCTTTCTCATCTCTACTTACCGTTCGCAGCATCAAGACACAGTGATCATTGACCTCTTCTTCCTTTCTTGTAAAGCAATATAGGGCTGGAACAACAGACTCCGCACTTACGAACCACGGCGTTCTGCAGATTCAACGGTTAGCAACCCATTTCTGTTCCGCGGCCGTCAAGTTTGAGCATGTTTTTGTTTCGGATTTGACGCGGGCGGTGCTTACGGCTGAGGGGATATGCAATACGAGCACTTCTGGTATATTGCCAATCGTGACTCCCTTATTGCGAGAACAGCATTTCGGATCTCGCGAGGGCCTCCGCATTCATGCGTCCACAACTACTGCGTCGCCGCCGACAGTAGAACCCGAACCTACCGAGTCAGAAGCCTCGATGCGAACACGAGCAAACAAGTTCTTGGAAGAATACCTATTCCCTGTTTTGTTGAGTCATAGCGGTGATCATACTGAAGTAGAGCCGGCACTTGCCATTGTGGCACACGGTATAATCCTTCGTGTATTATGGAACTGTCTTGTGCATGCATTTTCGCCGGAAAACGTATCTTATTCTCCCGAAGTGGCTACACTGTCAACGACAACGGGAGGGGTATTGATTCCATTTTGGAGTAATACGGGTTTTATGGAGTTATCCGTTCATCGCTCACTACCGACAACAAGTGCGGAAGTAGAATCGCTACTTTCTGACTGGACCATGAAAATATTATCAGTTGATAATAAGAATCATCTAAGAGATCTGCGACGCACAAGGGGTGGAATAGGAAGTTCGCAGCACGACTCGAAACAGAGGAGTATCGAGTCATTTTTCAAGCGATAACTTCTATACCATACATTACAAAGTACATGCTTTGAAGACAATGGGAAACTCAACATGATGACACCTGTTTCACACAGACCTGTTCCGAGATGAGAACTTGGTCTCGCCATGCGGAAAGTGAAATATCATGTCCAACTGCTGTCTGACTGAGTTCCCTTTTATCAAAAAGATGGACGAATCTAATATATTTATCATGAATCATAAATACATAACTCAACCCCAAAAGTTATATCAACATTCCCAATTCCCTATAACCATGCTGTTCCGTATCTGGCGGCGCATTTGGATCCTCCTTCTCATAAAGGACCTCCGGCTTTAGACCCTTCTGTCTAAAGATGTATCGCCTAATCATATAGGGGATTTGCCTCAATCCCCACTCAGCATGGAACCTCGTTGGTACGGAAAATACCTGATCTAATTCCTCCAGTGTTTTTCCCTTTGTCTCTGGCATAAACATTAATATCAGCCACCAGCCCACCACATTCCAGGCGCCGTACCAGGCGAATCCACCTGCGGCCGTGAACCGGGATGACAAGGATGGCCACGTCATGGCTAGGATAAAATTGAAGAACCACGTCGTAGCAGTCGCGAGGGACATGCCGTATGATCGAACATAGAGCGGATACGCCTCCGCAGAATACGTAAACGGCACCGGCCCTTCACCGGGAGAATACACGACGCCAAATAAGAATATCCCCAATGCAATGCAGCCTATTCGAGCTGTGTGATGGGATTCGGGGATATAGAAACTAAACCCCGTGAAGAACATGGATATGGCCATCATGGGGAATGTGGAAAGTAGTAGATTGCGTCGTCCGAAGGTATCGATTGTGTAGATGGCGGGTATTGCAAAGAGCCAGTTTACTACGCCCCAGCCTAGGGAGGCGCTGAAGGCAGAGATTGGGGAGAAATTTGCCTCGAGGAATATCTGTGAGGAGTAGTAGGCTATTACGTTGACACCGCAGAACTGGTCCTAGGTTAGTGGGATGTCTGAATTCAATGGACAGGGAAGAAGGGGAAATACCTGTTGCAGGAACATGACGATTTCAGAGGCAATTAGAGCACGACGATTGCGTGGCACAGTGATCATTTCGAGGACTTTATTCTGACCCAGTTTCATACTCGTCTCTGCTTCCAATAGCGTATAAATGTAATATACGTCTCTGGCGGCCTGTAACTTCGTATACCGAAGTCGACACATAGTCTGATATGCCTTGTCATATCGTCCTTTACTCATATACCATCTCGGTGACTCAGGACAGACAAACACAAGCACACACACCAGAATCGCCGGTATACATGCAGAGCCCATCATGAGTCTCCAATTGAAGCCACAGATATGAGGCGGATCGGGCACTTTGAAAAACGCCAAATCAGCAGCGTAGCCAAACATGATTCCGAACGCAGTCCACACCTGCCATTGCATAACAAGCGCACCCCTAATGGCGGGCGGACTTGTTTCGGCAGCGTAGATAGGAACAGTAGCTGATTTGGGCCCAATACCGAATCCCAAGACGAAGCGAGCGACGAACATGTGCCACCATGTGTTGACGAAGCCCTGCCATATGCAAGCCAAGAAAGAGATGACGCAGGTAATAAAGATTGTGCCACGGCGGCCGAACCAGTGGTTGAACGGGATAGTGAGCCAGCAGCCGGCAATAGCGCAGCATAGGTAAGGCGCGGAATTGAGAAGACCTAGAAGCCATGTAGAGCGAGGGTCATTGCCGTCGATGCCGAATTGGGATTTGTATAGGACTTGGGCTCCGTTGACCACGGTCTCGTCTGAATTCTTGTCAGAACAGAATATTTAATTGTGAACAGAAGGAAACATACCCATCCCCTGCACAGCAGCACAGATAGAACAAATCCCAATAACCACATACATCAACGCAGGCTGCGACCAACGATTCGTAAACTCCTGCCTCAACACCTGCAACTCCTCATCCGTCAAGCCCTCAATCTCCTCGAATTTCTCGGGTGCCTGCGCCAGCACAGCCCCCATTTCAAACGCCCTTATATCTTCTTCATCGCCGACTTGATGTGTAATACTGAACCGGAGACCTTGCTTTTTCAATTCATCATGCGTGAATCCAGCAAGTGGATTTGCAAGTTTTGCGTTTAGATTGCGGCGAGCGCGTTCGGCGGCCGTGAGATTTGTACGATGTCTTTGAGCTGTGTGGAGGGTGTCTTGCTGGGCGACGAATTCGAAGTTGTCGTGGTGATGATGTCGCCTATCGGCTGGTAATGGGAAGTGATCCCATCCGAAGGTCGATGGCATTTCTATTTAATTTTTTTTCCCCCTTTTTGAATATAGTGTCCAGGTTATATGAGCGCCATGGAGCTTTATTCTTTTTCTTTCTCGCCTATGTCAGTTTTGTGTGTTGTTGACGGTGCTCATTTCAAAAGATTGGATGATGTTTCACGGATTGCCGTAAGAGGGAGGTGCCTCAGAACGTGGTATAACCCTGTTATGTCAAGCGTCTGTGACGGATGGCCTCAATTTTAAAAGAATAAAACCAGTGGACTTTCAACTCCATCAACGATATACACAAGGCACGTATAAGTTGTAACTGAGAGATAATTCAGCAAGCAAAGCAGACCGAGAGTAATCCCGGAAGAGACGGTTAGTCAGTCGCCAGGGATGCTATGATCGAGTACGTATTGATTCAGCGTTGAGTCTCCCCGAAAAGCTGGATAAGGCTCAAGTTTAAGTTAAGTTAAGGATTCTTCTTCCCAGACTCCAATCCTTCTGGAAGTCCATAATCCACCAACTAAATGGCCAACAAACTAGCGGGCCAACACTTTCGGCTTGGTCGGTCCTTGACTACATCGGTGATCAATCAAGAAATATGGAGAACTAACAGGGCGATGTGCCCAATGAAGTAGTTTTTCGTACGGAGTGCAGGTTTACTAAACAATGAGCTAGAGAACTAGCCTGGAGTTAAGTCTCCAAGGCCGGGCGAAAGACTCAACCCCCCTCCTCGCTTAGGGAGTCATATTGGTTGGATTCAAAACGATTGACTACCCCATTACTTCGCGTAGAGCCACTAATTTGCTATGTGATACAATGCGGGGGCACGGGCTGACTTGGTCACGGAATCACGGCCTGCTGTTGACTATGCGGTACATGTCAACGTGTTGGTTCTGCACTACTAGTACATATTCGGGCCCTATTACTAATCATTTACTCCGTGAAATGTGAGTTGATACCGATTAAATCGGGGCCAGAATGAGGACTAAAGAGCGTAGAGTGGTGAATGGCTGCTTGAAACATGACTCGCGAATTCCAGAAGCTTTAAGCTTTAGGTTCTACTTAACCTTGTACGTAACTCTTACGGATTAAGCTGATGTCGATCGCTCTGGTGTCTTTCGTGTATGGTTATGTGTACTACCTATCCCTATCATAGAGTAGTAGCCAGGTGAAATGAAAAATATGAATCAGTGACGAAAAGAGAAATAAAAACAGGGCACAGGTCATGTGACTCTCCCCAGGCTTCCAGAAACCCCATAGAATCCGAAGCCCACAATAGCATGTCAATCTTGACGTTGATTGGATAATCCTAATCCGACTGTCCAATGAGAGTCAAGCTGGGGCCCCGGTCGGCTTCTGGGGGCCGAAATTCTATTTTCTCGACTGCGCTAGGCTGTTTTGGGCAAATTATGTTTATGTAGATGCTGACTCTTTGCTGTAGTATGTGCTGACAAGGGGTATGTTGGTTATGGATTTGTGCATTGTTGGATCCGATCCAGAAAGAAAATCTTTCTACCGCTATGCTGTATGTACTATGTAGTACAAGGATATTAAACTTAGCGACTACAAAGACTTCCCGACAACCGTCCAACTCGCAACGTAACACGCATTTATGCAAGCCAATACGAAGACTGCGCTGCTAGCCCATGCATAAAACAAACTAAATTTAAATCAATTTCATCTAGACATAAATCTAAGCTAGGAGGGGTATATACGGAGTATAAGAGTGAAGCATAACAGAACATGTGACAGATCGTATTCCGTCCGATGCGAGTCGGGAGAGTGAGGATCAAATAAACGCCGAGATTAATGCTTTTCACTAGTCTTCTTTCGCGTTTGGTGTTGGGTTTTCATTGTTTTAGGATTTCGATTTGGACTGTGTGATTGATAAGCGATGGGCATGGATATATTTCAGAGTAGCGGGGGTGTGAATCGGTCTGCTTTGGGGTTGATTCATGCGGATAGAGAAAAAGGACGCGCCCGTTGGAGTTTGAGAGTCGAGTTGGGCATGAAGTTGACTGGTGGCTGTATCCATTGTCGTTTCCGTTTGATTAGACGGTGGAAGAAGGACGAAATGATGGCCGGAAAATGATTTCGAAAGAATGGACAAGATATATTTGTCTTCAGCTTCGTCAGATGGCAAGTCGGTCAAAAGCCTGATGAGCCATGACATACAAATGCCACTGACCCAACGCAACGGCCAGTCCTCAGACGAGTCAAGTCAGTGGAAAGAATATTTGCACTCTGCACAGATTCGTAATGTTATTGTAGTACGCCGACCTATCATAACAACCATTCGTATTTTCGTAATTGTCTGCTTGCTCAATGTTCATCAATTGCCCTGACTGGCAAGACACGTTTTGGCCATCCCCACAATTTTTCAATGGAACATTCAACTGATATTCTAGCCGAATCTGTAGTTCAGAACTTTATGCAGTATTTGCTTTTTATTCCTTTGCAGCATATGTTTTGCATTCAGCCAACCGGGTCGTGACTTTGGATTAGATTTGTTTATTGTTTGTTCGCTGTGTTTGATTTATCCTTGTTGTTGTTTGTCCCTGATCATGATTCGATGGATGGATGGCTGGCATTTGTGGCCTCAGGCTCATTAGGGTTTGCGTGACCACATGACAGTATCCATATGTGGCGCTTTCACTCCATCAGGATTCCCATACATTCAAGAAATCACGCGAGCGACGGGTGGCGATTGTCGCGCGACCTGACTAGGTGCAAATCGACTAGTGTCAATCTCTGATTTTGGCGTAAGATCACCCAGGAAAACCCACCATGCGCTCTAGAACCTCAATCTATTCCTTTGGACGATGATTTCCATTGGTACTCGAAGTTGACGAGAATGGAAGCCAGAACAAATCTCGAATCAACCAGACAATATACAAAATACCGAGAACATAAAGATAGGCGATAATCTTATATGCGGAGGAACGCCAGGTGACTCTGCGTCGGAGCTGGTGGCCCGGTGGCCCTTCTATGGGACCTCGTCGAGACATTTGTGAAGAGTAGGATGATGATGAGTAGTAGGCGTATGCCGGATTGGAGGGCGATGTTGTTGATGAGAGGGATGGTTCACTTTGAGAGGAACGACGCTGCCACATGATGATGCTGGATTGAAGAGCTGTACCCAGTTACGGCGACCTCTAAGGATGTTCAGATGAATGAATTGAGCGACGCTACCTACTCTCGCTTGTTTGCTGGAGCCGAGATATATATATCGATAGAATCTGAATTGACGACGTGACGATGCAGGATAATCGTGGGAAATTTTCCTTATCAACCCTTTCGTAACTATGGACTCACTCGCCTCTGCAGGCCCACCGCACAATTCACCTAATTAGTCGAGATTTGAATGCGCCAACGTCGAGCTGACAGCAGGCAACACGGAAGCTGGAGTGGCAATTTGAATAATCCTTGTGCCAATAACGCGTCGTTACGTTTTGGCACCCACTTTTCTGGCAGTCGAGCGTATGTTTTTCTTTTCTTTTTCTGCCGTTCATAAAAAGACCAAGAATATATGGTGCAGGGTGATTTAGAATCCGATGAAGATGGAGCGCTCGGATGCCAGACAGGTCGAACTAGGGAGCTGAGCTCTGGCAAAATCTTTTTTTTTTCTCAGCAGCACGAGGTCGAAAAGCGACTAGACCTTTAGCATTAATCGTACCACTAAGCTGTCATGCGCAAGTCGTGACAAGTTCCAAGATTGACAATGGCGGTAAGAGAAGAGACCGAGAAAAAAAAATAAAAGGAGAGAAATAAAGAGAAAAAGAGATTCGGGATTAGAGTTCCTAGCAGAAGTCGACAGCGACAGGATGATGCGGAGCCAGGATGTTGTTTAGTAAATGGCGTTGCGAAGGAGGTCCGGATATTGATCCTGATGAAGCTGAGATGTCATATTTTCTTCTTCTATATTTGATGTTCTTCTCTTTCAAGCGAAAATTTTCCTTCATGCGGTCAATAATCAGACAATCAATGTGCTCGTTTGTACATCATCATCTCCTAGAACCTTCTGAAGTCGGTCGATAAAGCAGCTCGGTTGACGGACGACCAGGAAGAGTGCGCGATGTGGGCAGAGTCCAGTTGGCAGGACTCCACTACAATGCAAGACGCTGTAGGCGGAAATCAAAAGTGTGTCAAGTGTCAGTCTTGACACAGTTGTCTGTAGGAAAAAGATTGAAATAAATGAGTGGATAAAAGAGTGGGTAGTCCTGTTACTGCTCTTGGCTATGTTGTTGTGTTATGGCAACGTGGTAAAAACGGCGTCCCACCCGATATGACTATTTGTTGCGCTTTTCCGTGGTTCCAACTGTAGAAGTGTAGAAGGAAAGAAAGAAAGGACGGCGATGAAGATAGTCTCCAAGTCTAGAGGGTATCGTGAAGCGCGGCTCTAATGAGCACTAAGAGTCAGGGTGGAAATGAGGAATTACCGAGTTCGGCCAGGTGCTGAACGCACGGTTACTCCTCTTAATGTGTGTGTGGGAAACTATAATATCGAAGACTGGGACTGTCAAAATGAACGGTGAATTCTGCAAATACTCTTTGCTACTGAGTAGAGCGAACTGGACAGCATTTTCAAACTCCGTATTCAATTTGAACGCGGGGTCTGGCCCGAAAGATTAGCCGTTACAGAGCAGGATACCTCCACTGCCCAGTACGTGCTCAGATAGGCTCCGGTATCTCCAGAATACAGTGAGCAACTAACAAGTGGATGTTTGCAGGGCCATTGGCTGCGTACTTTATTAAACCTTTGACGGGCCGCCGGAGGTCCAGTTCCGTTACGCTACATGTCACTAGTATCTGTTGGTTGAAATGAGTCCAGTCCCCTATGCATACACACTCTGATATTCGAAAATAACAAAGTACTGTCAATGCATTGATCGGCGCATCGATTTCAATCATACTGTACACGGCATGCCTCCGATAAGGCTGCCTCCAACAACAGAGGGCTTGTAGATTGCTTCATCACCGAAGACTATGCTAACTCTCTCGGTGATAAAAGTGCCCGAGGTGTGATTGATTTCGGGATCCTAAAAGGCTTAACTACCTTATGTTCCATGTCACCCATACTTATACCTAGGGTATCAACATCCACCATTCTAATGATCAATGGTCCTAATGGGGCCTGGGATTCAGGTCTGCGCAGGAAAGTATCCATCCATGGAAATATACTTCCCGTCTGTAGCCGGTATGCCTATACAAGCCATCGTGAAGAATTCCGGGGACGACTCATCAACTTCTATGCTGCCCTCAAGCGGTTGCAATACTTGATCTCGAGAAAACAGAGGTTCGCACGATGCCTTTCACAGGATCACCATGATAGACATCTGATATGATCAGCAGAATACAAGAGTATTGTTCGAGTATCCTCCTAGGCTCCTAGATGTGAGAGCATGTGACTCGGTCACGTGCGTATGACATAACAGCGAATATCCGACAACCGGATTCACACTTGGTGCATCAACATCCTCGTTCTTTTCCTCCTCTCCTTTCTTTCATATTGACAATAAATATCTCTCTGGTTATTTTGCATCCAAGTGACCTCGGTAGACAGCCTCGGCCTTTCATCCGGACTGGGGTGATTGACCACTGAGAATTGGCGGGGAGAGCTGGCCCCGTTTTGGTCCGACCGACAACCGGCGGTTAAGCAACAACGTAAGGTTAAGGTCAGGCGAGCTGTGAGTCAACTTTTGACTCAGTCGTACGACCCGTTCAATTCAAGCTTGATTTTATCCTTGAGTCTTGTCATCATTGGAATTGATTTGACATCGGGCACGACCTGATGGCCATTGATCGCTCATCATGTGGAAGGCGTCAGATAAATTGATGGCCACCATCAAGCACTATGCAAGCTTCCCCGCAACCGGTGTATCGCTCCGCCAGATGGTGCAGTTCGGCGAGACACCGTCGCCTGGTTAGTACTGAATCAATTGATTAGACTTATAGTCGGGGTGCTGATGTGTATAGGCACTCTGTTTAGAGCTTCGCAGTTTCTCTCCGAAGAGCTGCCCATCCGTCTCGCACACCGCGTCGAAGAACTGAACCACCTTCCGGATGGATTGAACGAGATGCCGTCGATTAAGAAAGTGAAGGATTGGTACGCGCAATCGTTTGAGGTGTGTTATCTATACGGACATATTCTACAAGATTAGACAAACTGATTGCGTCATAGGAAATTATCAATGTCCCCAAACCCTCTCTCAGCGACGAAGTCAAAGCACATCTCATACGCCCAATGCGCAACCACAAAAAAGACTCCAAACCCCTCAGTGAGACAACATGGAATCCGAGCATACGAGAAGGACAATATCGATCATCTCCAGACTCCGCCATCACAGCCAACGGCAAAGAAAATCGGGACCCGAACCACAAAGGGACCAATGGAAACGGCAAAGCAAAATTGACCCTGTCGAGGCGGTATTTCGTGCCCGCCGACGATTACGCGGACTGGCCGCCAGAGATTGATGCATATAACCAGCGATTCAAGAGGACTCTACAACAGATTAAGCGAAGACACGATGGAGTTGTCACGACTGTGGCGCAGGGTATATTAGAATATAAACGCAAGCGACAACGGTTACAAATAGACTCGAGCATACAAGCATTCTTGGATCGTTTTTATATGTCGCGGATCGGAATCCGGATGCTGATCGGGCAACATATCGCATTGACCGAGCAGACACACGCCCACCACCCGAATTATGTTGGAATCATATGCACAAAGACAAACATACATGAAGTTGCCACGGAAGCGATTGAGAACGCGCGATTCGTATGCGAGGACCATTATGGATTGTTTGAAGCGCCCAAAGTGCAGTTAATCTGCAAACCAGATTTGAATTTCATGTATGTGCCAGGCCATTTGTCGCACATGTTGTTCGAGACCCTCAAAAACTCGCTGCGTGCTGTCGTAGAGACGCACGGCGCCGAAAAAGAAGAATTCCCCGTCACCAAAGTCATTGTTGCCGAAGGTCGAGAGGATATCACAATTAAGATCTCGGACGAAGGTGGCGGTATCCCGCGATCATCCATTCCCTTGGTATGGACATATATGTATACGACAGTTGATCAAACGCCGAGTTTAGATCCAGATTTCGATAAGAGCGATTTCAAAGCTCCCATGGCCGGATTTGGCTATGGATTGCCCATCAGTCGATTATATGCGAGATATTTCGGCGGAGATCTAAAGCTAATCTCCATGGAGGGGTGAGTCTGTCCATTCTACTGTTCATATTGAAAGACGTACTAATCATTAAAAGCTACGGAACCGACGTCTACCTCCACCTCAACCGATTATCATCTAGTTCTGAACCTCTCCATTGACAATCACCAGTCATGAGGGATGGCCGTGCACGATTCACATCATTTAACCGCTTACACCCATTTTATCCCGAGCCTGACGTCAAACGTACAACAACAGACTCGAAGACAACAACGAAACCTTCTCGCGAAGAATTCGTGGCACGATCATCATCCCAAGGATTGACGCTTATGAATGCACAAGCTTTACGGCAAAGACTCAAAACTAGAGAGGTTTCGGAACGAAAACAGGTTGCAGATGTAGAATCTACGCTGCATAGTGATAATCAGGATTCTGATTGATATCATGTCAATCAGTCCTGATATCTCTTTATTTGAATTATCTTTTTGGTTGGAAAAAGGAATTGGATAAGCATGATGATATCCTCATTATTTTTTTTCGCTATTATTACAAAGTGTACATTAGGACCTGCTTAATAGGTCTATATTTATGCATCTTATAAGTATGCATGAAAATACCTTAGTATGAACATATGAGGTTGTTCTCGTCCACAAGCATCTATCTAGATATATGACCAGTTACGTATCATATCTCTTGCTTCGGCGTTTGTTAGGACAGCCCCGTCTTCCTCGAGGAGAAACCAGGCTGATAAACCTAGCTATGCCGTGCCTAGGTGATTATATGTACCAGGTTTCCTTTGCCCGGGGTAGGGGGGTTTTACTCTCTCTCAGCTGCCGCCGCATTTGGTCAGCTTCATTTTTGCGAATAGTCGCTTGCTTGACTCTCACACAAAATTAACATGTATTTCATGATGGATAATTGCCTTCGACCATTATTGTAGTAAAGAAAATTTCCAGAGCCAGAACTTGTAATACCGTAACGATTTTCTGGTGAAGCAGCAAGGTCTGGCCTGTACATCTGATATATTAATCATCACAAGAATGGGAAAATGAGTCCAGGCTTACATAGTAAGACATCTTGCAGGTCTAATATCTTTTTATGGAAAGCGTTCGCAGGATAAGTATGTCTGAAGTAAATTACATCTTGAAGGCAGGGATGTTACGTGGCAAAAGAATTACTGGTTGAAATGGTCCTGCTTTATGACAAGGCTCGAGTGGCCAGATCAATGATAGCTCGCCACGTCAAAGACAGTCCAGATCAAAGGTATTCCTATTTACGACGTAGCCCGTAGGATATAACAACTGTGAGGGGACTTCCTGCTTATATTGATACAACCTCCTCTGTGTCTTGCTCAATTAACTAAACAATTTTATCTTGAGAAATAGTACGATACCTGATAGACTCTTGGACGAAATGGGCACTAATGACCAGCTTCCTTCTCAACAAATTGTGTTTCATGACAATGGGGACAGGGAGGAAATACAACGAGAGCTTAGTCATATACTCAACAGCATCCAACATGATATCACACTACAAGGAGTCTTGTCCATTGGCAAAGATGGAGTTTTACGCTCCCTGACAGCCGATCGGAAGGTCGTCGATGCTGTTGGGCTGCGACCTGAGCTGATCAAAGCCATGCTTGACCGCATGCCATTTGACTCGCAAAACGAAGCAAACTATCGCGGAGTTGATGGTACTAAAGTCTCGGAGGATCAGTGGTTTCATCCCGACAAGGATCTACTCCCGCCACCATTACGTGAGGAGAGAGTGAAAGGACCTTTGTCAGAGGAGCAGTTAGAGAGAAATCGCGAGTGGCTCCAGCGGAGGGCTGAGAGAAAGGGCTGTCCCATCCGTATTCTCTCTGACCATGATTTGGGTTTGACGAAATCAACATTGAGCTCCCCAGATTCAAAGAAAAGCTGAAATTCTTTCATCTTTGCTAGCTAGTGCTTAGCGTGATTGGACAAAACTGCTGAATGTGTATACTGTTCGAATGCCATACAAGATATTTATTAATCTTGTACATTGATAATCGTCTGTGCGCTGGCTGTCGGTTTAGCTGAGAAGCACTCCCTTGTATGCACCGCCAGAAGTGTGGAGGAAGGATTTCTTGGGATCTTTCTGATTATCGAAATACGATCTGCGTGATTAAAGGAGAGATCCCTGGGTAGCTGGGTTAAAGACGAAGAGGGCCGGAAGCGCGATGGAGGAAGATCCGGCCGTAATGACGCGCGTAGGACGCGTCGTAGTGCCGTCAACGAGAGCTCGAGAAGCTCTGGAAGGTGCTGACAGCACCGATGCCACCACTGCGACTAGGAGGACGGCGTCAAAAGTGAAGCCAACTGCAGTGAGGAAGGCTGCTAATCAGATTGAGGAGAGACAGTGCGCTCAGGACGAAAACCAAATGATACTTAGAAAGATGTGTTAGTACTTGGAGGGCACCTATCGGGAGGTCAAAATTTTAAAAGAAACACTCAGTAAACAGGAAAAAACTATCTAGGAACAAAACAATATGATCAAGGGACTACAGGCCTAAATAGAAGTAATCCAAAGCCAAGCTGCGGAAGACTACAAGCAACTCCGGGAGCAGCTAGATACCATTGTGAAAGTGTCAGTTAACGCAGCTCTCATACAGACCAAATCACAGCCATCATTCGCAGACATAATCAATAGCTAATCTATTCACCAGCAGGGTATACGCCTAGGCCCTCTCGGCCCTCCAGTGCCTCCTACAATGGCTAATACACTATTCTGCATAATTGACACGTCTCGCGTCAGAGAAGAAGACAAAGCCAAGACGCAGATAGCTAATGTTAGACAAATGATTGAAAAGGAGATATAGGAAAATGAAGGAATAGAGACCTGGCGCTGTGCAGTAGTAATTAAGGATCCAAAGAATGCTGACCAAGTTAAAATTATTTGCAGACAGGAGGATGAGATTCTATGTGTCAAAAAGGCTGCCCAAAAGTTAAATATACTGGGATAGAGGGTGTTATGAGACCAGCTCTACCTAATTAAAATCGACAATGCTAACCGGACAGCAATCCTGGATATAGATGGTAATATCCTACTAGGAGCAGCCGAAGCCCTAGGGAAAGAGAATAACATTGACATTGCCAAGATTACCTGGCTTAGCAAGAGGGACTCTAATAAAGCGTATGGATCTATAATGGTATATATCACTAAAGGGACATACGCCAAACGCCTGCTAGAAGGCAACTACTTCAATATAGCAGGAGAATCTGCATACACTCGAGCCTTTAAACCACGCATAGGACTATTCCAATACTATAACTGCTAAGAGATAGGACATAAGGCTTTTTCATGCAAAAAGACTTAGACATATAGTAAATGTGCAAAGGAGAGACACCATCATAGTACTTGCCAGGCCCTAGTCCTAAAATGCATTCCTTATAGAGGACCTCACGAGTTATTTAGTAGAAACTGTTAGGTTCGCCTCTTACAGTCTGATGCATAAATTACTTTACATCCTATAACTAAATGTTAGTAAACAAGACACAGTACAACAAAGCCTAATAAATGATGATAAAATTAGAGACTACAGAGTAGTGGCAGTATCTAAACTATACACACGGGTAATCAAAAATACCGTGGTGACAAGCCCAATAGGACACTGCTACTAGACAAAGATGATACCTATAGAGAGATATAATGGAAGATAGCCGATTAGGAGTATGCTTTGGGTTTAGAGTGATATTGAAGCTGAATAGATCCCAGTAGCATTTCCAGATCTAATAGCCACGATACTACAACTCCCAGACCGGGTAGTGCTAGTAGTGTCGGTCTATGTAGAGGGGAACAGTGAGGAAGCATTAACATCCACTATTAGATTGCTACGCAGCCTAGTAGCGGATATCCAGGGTAGGGGAGGAACACAGACAGATATGTTGATAATAGGAGACTTCAACAAGCATGACCAACTCTGGGGAGGAGACAAGATATCTTCTGCAAGACAGGGAGAGGCCGACAATCTAATTGACTATATGAGCGAAAACTCTCTACACAGCCTCCTACCTAGAGGCACGAAAACATGGTAATTAGGGGATAGAGAGACAACAATTGACTTAGTACTAGCATCAACAGAGCTAGTAGAAGAGATGGTACAGTGTAGCATACACTATACAAACCATAGATCAGATCATTCAGCAATTGAGACGGAGTTTGACATATCAGTTCCAGATCGACCAGTCAATGAGAGGCTACTCTTGAAAAATGCGCCTTGGGTTGAGATCAGATCCAGAGTAGCCAGCAATCTACAGGTGGTTCCTCTAGGCGGCTCTGTACAAGAGCAGATGGACCGTCTCATAACAGTGATCACAAAAGCAGTCCTGGAGCTAACACTGAAAGCAAAGCCCTCACTATACGTCAAGCGATGGTGGACAACAGATCTAATATAACTTCGCTGTATATACACCTACTAGAGAAATCAGGCTAGATCTTAACGCAGAAGAGGAAACATAAATCCGGAGCTTGAACGACAGGCCAAAAATGCAGCAAAAGAATACTATGATGTAATCTAGAAATAGAAGAAGGCACACTAGGAAGACTTCCTTACTAATAATACTAATATATGGCAGGCAACTAAGTATCTAAAGCCCAGTGGGAGCTCATTCAGCAATAAAATACCACCATTAATGCGGTCAGATAGGTCTACTACTAAAGATAAAATGGAACAGGCTGAAGAGCTGCTTGCCACGTTCTTCCCACCTCTCCTAGTAAGAATTAAGAATAAGAGATTTTAACAATAAAGAGAGCCAATACACATGCCAAACCTAACTATGGAGGAGATTAAGCAAAAAGTGTTTGAAGCTAAACTATGGAAAGCACCCAGAGAAGATGGCCTGCTAGCAATGGTATGGAAACAGCTCTAGCTAGTGGTCAAAGATAGGGTGTTCCTTATCTTCTAAACATCACTTAAAGATGGTGAAATCCCTTCTCAATAGCGGAACGCTAAGATTATACCACTTAAAAAGCTAGGGAAGGATAACTACGCACTAGCTAAATTATGGAGGCCTATATCGTTGCTCTCAACACTAGGTAAAATACTTGAAGCGGTTGTTGTAGAGAGGATATCATATGCTGTTGAAGAGTTCGGCCTGTTACCTACAAACCATTTTGGAGCGAGGAAGAGGCGCTCAGCAGAACAAGCGTTGCTACTACTCCAGGAAGAGATTTACAAGGCCTGGAGAAACAAAAGAGTGCTTAGTATGATCAGTTTCAATGTTAAAGGCACATACAATGGAGTCTACAAGGAGAGGCTACTGCAGAGACTCAAGGCAAGAGGGATACTAGAGTATATAGTTTGGTGGATTGATGCTTTTTGCTCTAACCGCACAGCAACTATTGTGGTCAACGGGCTAACAAGTAAACAAAAAGAATTACTATAAGCAGTCTTATTGCAAGGGTCGCCACTATCCCCAATGCTGTTTCTATTCTTCAATGCAGATCTAGTGCAACATAGGATCAGTGCCTCAGGAGGCTCAATCGCCTTTATGGATGACTTTACAGCCTGGGTAACAGGCCCAACTGCTAAGGCAAATCAATCTAGCATTAAGGTCATAATTAACAGCGCTCTCAACTGGGAGAAGCAAAGTGGAGCTACTTTCGAAGGCAAAAAGACAGCTATTGTATATTTCACTTGAAAATTAGATTGGTCAAGCAGAGCTGCATTCATGGTCAAAGAAGAGTTAGTTAAACCAAAAGAGTATGCCAAGATTCTTGGGGTAGTTATGGACTCTCAACTACACTACAAACAATATATTGCTTGAGCAGCAACAAGAGGGCTAAAGGCTGCTATGGCACTAAGAAGGCTAAAGGCACTCTCCCTATAGACTACAAGGCAACTATTCATAGCAACAGTGGCACCTATAATAGACTATACCTCTAGTGTGTGGATGCATGCCTGCAAGACACATGGAACGCAGTGTCTAAATAGAGTGCAGAAGATAGGGGGTATAGCAGTCATGGGAGTCTTTTGGACAGTTACGATGGCAGTCGTAGAAGCTGAGGTAAACATTCACTCATCTAGAGAGCAACACACAGAGAAAGCAACAAAACTGTAGGCTAATATCTATGCACTTCCTGGAACGAACCTACTAAGGAAGCTGAGGGTCACATTAACTTGGAGGTTTTCCTCTCCACTACAGAGTATAGCGCAAATACTAGGAAGAGATGCAACAGAAGGTATGGAAACTATCAACGTGTACGCGGTATCACCTTGGACAGATCGACTGCATATAAGAGGTGAACAGGATAGAGAGAAAGCCATTGAAATTGCTAACAGTGCAGAAGGGATCTTTATTGCTACTAGCTCGTCCACTAAGGGTGACATAGTAGGCATGGGAGGAAGCATTAAGGATACCCAGGTTAACAGTGTGGGTGATATACTGACTAGCTACTCTACAATACTATTAAGTTGAACAGAATAGAACCCATACACAGCTAAGCTAGAAGCAATAGCTGCAGGATTAAAACATATTCCGCTATAGGTCTTCAATAGGTAAGTGACCATTCTCAGCAGCAATCAATCAGCATTAGCTGCTATTGGACAACCGCGTCAACAGTCTAGCTAGAGAGTAATTCAATAGATATATATAAAGGCCCAGCTTCTTCGGGGAAGGGAAAATGTGATCAGCCTACTTTGGGTCCCAGTATACACTGATTCTATATTAAGATTAAAGGCGAAAATGGCCGCTCAAAGATCAACGAGAGAAAGATATGAACCAGAAAAGCAATCGTACCAGGCTAAACCTACTACAGTGAGACTTGCCATCACTAAACAATAGCACAAGAGAGCCCTTCCAGATGGAGTGGGTAAATACTCAAAGACTATTGACTCAGCGTTGCCAGGAAAGCACACCAATAGCCTATATGATAGGCTAAAGCGGAAAGAAGCTGTAGTTCTGACGCAACTCCAGACAGGAATGATTAGGCTTAACAGCTACCTGAATAGGATAGGAGCCATAGAGTCAGACCTCTGCGTTTGTGGTCAGGCAAGCGAGACTATAGAGCACTTTCTATTTCGCTGCACAAAGTGGGTAGGAATGAGAGAAGGCATGCTACAGTGTACAGAAATGAGAAGAGGGAGTCTATCTTTCTACCTTAGAGGAAAGGCACGATCTAATCCTGAGCAATAGCGATCAGATATTAAAGTAGTACGAACAACAATTAGATATGCAATATCAATAGGAAGACTTGACATAGAGTAGGAACAGGAACCAAGTCAATCACAGTGAAGCCAGCACTAACTAACTATTCCCACCCTCACATACGATAGACACCGCTGCAGCCGCTGAGAATAGGACACTACATACTTAAAGAAGACAGCCTTTAAGCCGGTCTATCAATTCTTTTTAACACACAAGATGTTGGGAACCACAGGCCACGGAGGCCTTAACTCCAGATACCAAGATAATTACATTGAAGCAGGAAAAGCAGGGGCTTGTAGGAGGAGAGGTCGGAAACACATGAATTGTATATATCTAGAGCACTAGTGCCCTATAGGGTTAGTCCCTCCGGGCGTAATAAATCATCATCATCATCATCATTATGCACCGCCAGCGTGTCACGAACCTGGATCCATCTTGGCTGTACAGAGGTGTGTTGAAATATATTTATTATTAGGTAGATTGGATTATACATAGGTAAAAACTTTCCTAGACACTACTGGAGAAAAATCAGTAACAGAAAACCACACACTAATTACATGACAGGTTACCATAGACAACACGATAACAAACTCACCTGGGTATCGACTTGGAAGTCAGGCGGTATTGTGATCGAATATTTAACTGATTGACTAGGCAGATTGCCAAATACCTCGCACATATATATAGAAAATGGCATACACACATCTGCTGCTATGAAGCTAATCACCTGCATTAGCTACTCGATATAAAGAAACATATTGGATGACAGGAACACATGATAACAGGATCATGATTGGACAATCAATAAGTCACGTGATAATAATGATAAAGTATACCGCTATCTTATCAGAGATAAGGGTATGCGAAACCCGTGATATGATTGGGCTAGAAAGATGTTGGGCTTTTGACCAACTAGACCAAAAAGCTGCGCGCATACTAGATGATCTAGTATGGATGTAAATAGCTGGCAAAGGTGATATGTGATGTGAGGTGATATTCCCAACAAAAGATATAGTAACAATACTACAGGATGTTACTACGATTATGCGATATACAAAACATGAGAGACTGGATATATAAGGACGCTCATTTACCATCATGTATTTAGTTTTTCATTGCTCTTTAACCTAAGTCACTAACATAAGTCACTTGAATACTACAGCGAGAGTCAGCAAGGCATTCTAACTCGTACGGGCACCAAGCTGTACGGGGATCTCTCCTACCTTTGTGTTTACTTTTGCAATATATCTTCTCTTGTAATACGTCATTCTCCCCTTACCATTGTTTACTCGTGTTGAGTGGAACGCGTGTGTGGTTCAACCTTTTTTCAACGTATCTCGACACACTTCTGTACAACGACAACTCAGGTGGATCCAGGTCCGCGACACCAGGCTGGTTGTACGCTTGCTCGTATGCTTTTTTGAAGAGTGTATTGCCGCGACTTCGGGTCCCAAAGGCAGATGCGCCAGTTAGGTGTCGTGTATGAGCACCAGCGGATTGAAAACAGGTTATTGAATGACGAACAGGGTCGGATCATGATCATAGATTTCCACCGGTCTCAAATCGACGGCCGCCCGACAGGAGACCGGGTTAGATCTATTGAAGAGACAACTCAATATACAGGCGGACCGGTCCAAATGACCTCGCATTCTCTATACATGAGCATATTAGTTTGAATAGGTATAGTCTATTCATGATAACGGTAGTTGAAATGCTTCACTAGACAGGATTATGATTTGTCTGAACTCGAATTGGATTGTAAAATGAGTCCTAAATACCCCATGGTGACTCTCTCCAAAGTTTCTCCTCCACTTCTAGCTCGTCTGTATAGTCCTGATCAAATGTGTCGCGCACAATCTTCTCCATGGCCTCATCATTGATGATTCCATACATTGCTTTCGTGAACTCCCAATACTCAGGATAATACCCTGCACATTCCCAATCTACCAATGCAACCAGTCTGCCTTGGTCAATGAAAATATTCGACCAGTTAATGTCCGCATGGGTGAAGAACGACGAATGATGACGTGAATGGATTGGGGTAACTGCTCTTCTAGTTTCGGCTGGCGTGTGCTCTGGGATAAGGTGTTTATGGAAACCTGATGCTTGAATGAACGGTCCAAATTTACCGACACGGTGATCGAAAAGGGCGCTACCTAACGTATTCGCGAAACGATAGGGTGTTTGGTTTGGAATGCGCCGAAGTTCACAGATGATTGTTTTTAAATCCTTGGAGAGCTGCTCGCGCTCTTGATAAGATAGTCTGTGAAAAACGCTCCGTAGCGGTTGCCCCCGTACTGAGGTCATAATCAAAATTATGTTTCCATTTTCCTCGTAATCATCGATCCAAAGCGGGGCTGGAACAGATGTATATTCCTCAACAAGTTGTAAAGCCACCGCCTCATTCTGTCCGGAGCGTGCACAGGATTTCAAGTATAACCCGAAAGGGAGCCGGCGGACCAAGGCATGGTCCGACGGGTAGAAATACTTTCCTACTTTTGACATGATATGGTAGGAGTACACCCTTATAATTTTAGGCACAAAATGTCAAAATCTCCGCATTATTTGTTGGGCAGGTTTACTCTAAATAGCTGTATCAGAATACTGTTTAGTTCTTGCTTGATTCATCATACTGAGAACAGAGGCAACCTACCTAATGGAGCTGGTGGCCAGCTGTGGCAATGCAATCTTCGATAAAGAAAAGATGTAATGAAGAAGCAATCATATGGTGTACATGAAATAAGAAAGGACTGGGAAGGCAATGAGTGGCTGGATTGTCCGTATGGACTGTGAATGTATGAGAATACGCAGAGAATGGGGTCCCGTCGCTGAAATAAAGGCCCATAGGTTCCTCTGGACACTGCCGGGCAATGGTATACTGTAGATATGGGAGTACGTAAGTAAGAAAGTAATATATCTTCCATGGGAGGAAAACCAACTTGAACTGTCATTGCATTTTCCTGATCATCCTCAGCCATGTTCCACGTTCATCGGCCAGTAGATGGAATAATTTGAACATGGCCATTCCTAAAAGCAGAATGGATGCTTGGTGATAAAAGCCAGAGATTCCTTAACATACGCGCTCCATTTCTATCGCACAGAATTTCCTGCAGTTGCCATGTTTTGGCGGGCGTTAGGAAAGTATTTAAAAGAGAAAAGAGTGGCCTCTTGGCATAGAGGTCAGCAAGAAAATACTTTGGGTTTTTTAATATTAAAAGAAGACTGCCTACCCGAGGGTCCATCTGCTCATCATCAAAGAATTTTGGTGGTATGATCCATGCAGGTTCAATAAGAGCGACATTTATCACGTCTAATTTATCCTTAACTGGTGCTAAACAGCAGTGTATGCCATCTCGACTCTTGACAAGGTCTGCTATTTTTGGCGATATATCTGCTGTCTTGGAAACTAACCAAAGGCGATGATAAGCTTTTGATATGCCGATAAAGGCTATGCTTACTCACACTTCAGAACTAGTTGTTTCCAATCCTGTTTTAATTCTCGAAGGACCTCTTCTACATTGCGATCTCCGCTGTTTTCGATTCTCAGGGAAATGCATCGTGCTGCATAGTCAGGATCGACCGCTTCACTAAGAAATCCCTTAAGCAACAAGTGTTCTGTAGGAGTAAGTTTTGCAGATGTAATAAGGTCAAGAGTTGAGCCAAGAATTCCGATATTTGTTGCCATAGACCCATCACAAAAAATCGAAATGCAAAATTCCTTGGAGAAGAATAAAATGGTCAGAGCCTTGAGGGTTTTTTTAAATGAATATCGTTACAATTACGCCTGTACGTCAGCCTATGAAATTCCCCAAATCAGCCTTCCCAGGCGCGGATTAGTCGTTACGCTAAACCTAATTAGTATGGGAACATTCTAATATGTTTGACTATTATTGATGTTTTTACGAAAGGCTGTCATAAAGGCCGGTGGCTTTACCGCCTCGTTTGACACTATCCCCGTGGATATGCAATCAGTTTGTTAAGATTCTTGAGGAAGATCTGGTTGCCGAGGATTATGAGCAGTAGTGGAGATATCAATTGTACGCTCCCCTTTGGGGATTGATGGATTCTCGATGGAGCGTTCTCAACGTTCGTTATTCTCCTTCTCGTTCTCTAGGAAACTATCTAAGGAGTGAGGTGTTCTATCCCGTACGGATAAATATCGGCCCGAAGGCTATAATCTTTACACAGTTAATCTCGTGGCTTAGACACTGGCTGATGCTGAATGGGGTTCTCCAATCAACCAGATAGACGTCGAGTACCTTGAATCTCCCGGAGACTTGAGAACTGTTTCCTAGAACATGTTGCAGAGGCGTTTCATGTACCAATTTTGAACGACCTGATAACGAATCCAGGGGCAATCACAAATTTAGAAATATCTTCAGCGTGCGCTGGCTTTGCTCACCCTGAGACTCTGATGGGGGTTATTGTTGGTTTATATGTGCAATCGAGATTCCTGGCACCGACGCGAACCAAGGAGAGGTCACGGGAAGGTACACGTGACCTCGTCAAGCAAGGACTATATAGACCGTGTCGGGGCCTCATTAAGAGAAGAGACAGACAATCAGAATAATATGACTTCACCAATTGGTTACTAAGCTACTTGTGTGCACATGTGCAGAAGCGCACCCACAGTTATCAACATATAAATAGGGCAAGTATCCAGGCAAATCCCAGGCTCTGTGAGTTCAAGAATTCACTTCAATCAGAACATATTACCAATCTACATTATACTATTTCTTCTTACATCTATTATTACTTTGCAATCTGAGATTAATGGCCTTTATCTCCTGTTATCGGAACGTGGAGATGCCTATACTTTCTACTGGGGCTTTTACCTTGGTAAATCCCTAAACGACGGCGAAAATTTTTCCATCTCATCAATCTCGAAAATTCAACTGCTTGGAGATACGAACATAAACTAAGCAAAAATGTCGGTTCGTCCAACAGACTGCTTCTTGCGCTGAAAGTAGCAGTCATGGATCCAACATTACATGATACTTTGCGATCCTGCCTCTCGCAGATTACCATCCAAGACTCGATCCGTTTTCGCGAAAGGATCACCTGCCGTGTCTGGATAAAAGAGGCGCTATTTGCATTGGATGAAGAACGATATATAAAACTCACCGGGACTGTCAATCAAATTGAGCAAGAAGCTAAAAATACAGCAATGGTGAACAAAAACGAACGCAGGAAGACAGTTGAGAAAAGCGTACTAAGCCAATCATGAACAATTCGTACTGATTACTATTTGAATTGATGCTGCCTCTCCTTTTGGGACATTCTTTATTATTTTGAGGTGGCTGCGCGATTTTAGGATACATGGACTGAGCTGTTATTTTCCTGGAATTTGCCTGTGTTTTGTCGATATGTACCTGTCACCAATGCGTCTCGTGGATCAGGAATGGATATATGCATTCCATACCATTGTCAGGGTGCAGATGAGTAGATGAGCAGCCATGCCCACAGGTTTCCATTCTAGCTGCCTCCGTTAAGCTATAGACGTGCGTTCCTGCGTTCTCTGCGTACCTTACTGCCTGATTAGGACGAGCCATACCTCGACTTGTACAAAGGCTGTGCTAAGGATGGGTTAATACTAGCACTTTCTGTTCATCACCATTAGTCTCGGTTCTCAATGGCTAGGTTTCTCCCTTTCGTTGATTGTCACATGCAATCCTACCTTGCACAGCTGCTAGCAAACAAGTCGTATTACAGCGGCATAATTCATCCAATTGAGCTTCTCTAAATACTCCATTCTATCAACACACAGCTTACACTTTTGATCATTTAAACGCTTTGGTCAGAAGTGCCTGAGAAGACTGATGCTGAACATACATTTTGCTACACTGAAAGCAAATTAGTGGTTTCATAGCGGTCCTGATGTGCTCTTGATATTGGCCGTCCTTCTTCTTTCCAATATTTTGCTTAATATATTCCAATTCTTCGATCTCTCTAGTTACACTTTTCAAAGGTCTGCCGGTTTTCCTCATATTCCACTTTCGTTTCGGCCGCCCTCATAGCGGTCCGCTTTCCTCGAAATCACTATACGAGGTAATAGCTGATACTGCTATGTTACGTCGTTGCCAGCCTGCCACTCCCCTTCCGGATCCCACATACTGAGAACGGCCATAAGTGCTCCACGAGCATGATCTGCTCCGGTGGTGTATCATCCTCCAGTGGTGATTCTAGTGATTCCTCAATCGAACCGTGTTCTGCCTGGATAGTTCCAGCGAGCCGTCCATTAGTATCATGGACTGCTTGGTCGTCACTAAAAGCCCGCCCAACTACCTTTCTCCTACTGTATTGTAACAGCTGCCGGGTATTCTCAAACGTTTCGTTCTGCTTCCACGACGTCGACCGAGTGTAGGGACCGGGCTTTGCTCATGCTAGGGATCTCGCTTAGTAATAGCTGCCTGCAACGCTGGATCTGATGACTTTACACAAAAGCTTTCTGCGTTTCATCGAGGTAACGCGGTCATCGGGCATCTACATAACGTCTAGCGCTTATCAAAGCTCGATCCATCATCTCGTCCGGCTCCAGTCCAAGCACCGTTTGTTACATTTGAGCTGCCTTGGACGATAATTTTAAGAGAGATGGCTCACTGGCAGTAGTCGCATGATTGAGAACCAAATTGCGTTTGGAGGCTATCAGGCATATGCTGATCGTGAAGAATCTATGGCTTTCCATCGGATGCACTAGGCCCACTTTACAGAACAGAAAGTAATCATTCATTTCTGCCTTAGTGACAACGTACGGCAGTCTATACGTACATAGTAGAACTGCAACACTATTCCCTCGTCAACCCCTCTCTCTCCACAAATCCAAAAATGCCTAGCGACTACGCCCTGAAACGCACCCACGGCCAGGGGACGGTGATAATCCATGCCGCTGACCTGTATTTCCTGGTAATCACATGAAATTCCCTCAAATATGAAATTGAGCCATGATACACTAATAGGTTTGTCTGCTAGGATCAATGGAAAAACGACCGTGCCATCTCGGACGATGCACAGCGCTCGGCGATCTTTAGCAAGTGGCTAGAGCTTGGGTCGCGTGGCCGCATGGTTAGTCCATCTCACGTACCCTATGTGCAGGAGCAATAGCCAATCATTATTTGAAGCCGTATGTGGAGCGACTAAAGGAGATGTGTCTCAACAAATATGATATTACAGAGGACGAGAAGAATCTCCTCGCTCGGATCCGCAGTGCCTCAGACCGCCAGGGAGTCAGCTATACACGTCTCGTACGCACTTTCTACGGCGAAGGCTCGGAAGGAAACCTGGCCAAGCTGATCTTCGAGGCTGAATACGACGGAACAGTCTTCGACGATGCCGCGCTTTACGACGCGGGATCAAACGACGGCTTACAGTCGCTGCATAATATCCTGACTCATATCCCGCAAATCGTCGAGCAGACACCAGAGTTTGCCGCTTGGTACAACGAGAGGAAGCGGAAAGCGCGAGACGAGGCTATTGAGGTCGGCGTGGACAAGCTTGACTATGCTTTGTCGATCTTTCACCTGGCGGCCAAATGGAGCCATGTGCTCATCTACGACAAGGAGGCAAACGACGGCCCGGGGAACGTGCTGCTCGTGTATATCGACGACCGTGGCTGTGTTCTACGTTACTCCTGGTTGGACGGAGCTGAGGACTTGCAGGACGCTGATGGGATGCTATGCTCGGGCCAGGATTTCATGCATGCTTGGTGGGAGGGCGGCCGCTACGGCGAGGACTGGGAGCCCCACCAACTTTCTAAGCGATGGGACGAGGTTGATCATGAAAACACCTGAGTTGGAAGCCTGATGGAGGGTAATCTCGGAGAAAAAAGTCAATGTCGTTGGACATAAGCAATTAAGCGTCCGATCTGACCGTAAGCCAATGTAAAGAATATGATCATAAGGTCATGTGATGACTAGTGATTGTCGGAACTAAATTACCACTTCAACAGAAAGAGGATGCCCACTAATCTTGTTCTCTGGATTGCCTCCTTCGTTACTGGGCGATCAGTTCAGATCCGACTCGATGGAGAGATTGGACCCTCAACAGACATTGCCTGCGGTCTTCCATAAGGATCCCCAGTCTCTGGCATTCTTTTCATGCTCTACATAGCACCTCTATTCCGTCTAGGAAACCCAAGGAACAGATTTGGTTACGCGGACGACGCAGCTAACCTGGCGATCTCGACATCTCTTACTACTAACTGCGAAGCCTTATCAGACTCCCTCCAAGAAGCTCTTAACTGGGGCGCTGCAGAGGGCATTACTTTCGCACCAGATAAATATGAGCTTCTTCACTTCTCCCGACATAAAGCAGACCAGGACCCAACCTGCACACCTTCAGTGAAAGCTGGATCTATCACAATATCAGAAAACACTAAACGGCTATATCTACGTTGTCTAGGAATCCTCTTTGACAAAAAGCTAACGTTTAAATGGCACGTTGGAGAAACAGCATCTAAAGCCCTCACTGTGGCTAATGCCCTCCGCTCTCTAGAGAATACTGTCCGAGGAGTCAAACCTCATTTACTATAGCAGGCTGTATCAGCCTGTGTACTCCATAAAGCATACTATGGCGCTGAAACCTGGTGGCCAGGACGTACTCGCCCTAGGCCTTCCCAGACTTCAAACCGAGTTGGAGAACATCTTGAGAAACTAACTAAAGTAATACTAACAGGCGCAAGAGCAGTCCTTCCAGTCTTCCGCATAACCCCAATTCCTGTCCTTTATCGAGAGTCTGGATTCTCTCCACCAGATATTGAACTAGATCGAATAGCCCTTCTTGCAACTATCCGCTTACGGCGTCTTGACCCTTATCACCCACTTCGAAGACGCGCAGAACAGATCACTAGTAATGGCCGACAAACCAGCCGTTTTGCCCGCCGTATACTGGCCCTCCCTAACTCTGAACAGATAATCCCTCTCCAATACGCCCCCTAGCACCCTCGCGAGTCTCGCGAGAATGCCCAAACTCGAATAGGAGCTCCCATGGGACGCACTAAGGAACAGGTAGCGGCTGATTTCGCAGACTTCCAACGCACCATCCCTAGCTCGGATATTGTAATCTTTTCAGATGGATCTAGGCTAGTAGACGGATGTGCAGGGGGTGGCTATATTGGACTTCAAGCATACCATCAGTTCCTCCGCTCCTCACTCTCATATGGACACGGGAAAGAGGTCTTCAACACAGAAGCAGAAGCAGCTCTAGCTGGTGCTCAAGCAGCAATAGCGTACCCAACAGCTCAATTTGCTACCAACCTATAGATCTGCCTTGACAACCTAGAAGTTGCCACACGCCTTCTATCTCCCTCTACAGGATCTTCCTAAGAAATCTTTGAATCCTTCTGCACCCTTGCAGCCGCCTAGCCACTCCGCAAAAGGCTTCCTCACACCAAAGGCGGATCCATTTAAATCCGATGGGTCCCTGGACACGCCAAAATCCCTGAGAACAAAGCGGCTGATCTCGCCACCAAAGAGGGAGCTGCCTCTATCCCTCCTGCTCCACACAAGTCCTTATACGCCTCGCTAAAGAGATATGCCAAGACTTAATCCCTATCCGCTGCTCAGTCACAATGGCAGAAGGTGGCACCACAGAGTTATTAAGATCTAAAAATAACTACTTCCCCTAAACGCCCTGGGAAGCTTCAACTCAACTGACTTGACCTCAGCTGTATTATTGCGGCCTGTACTGGTCATGGAGACTTTGCAGACTACCATGAACATTTTAACCATGATGATGCTTACCTTCTCTGCCAATGCAGAGCATAAAAAGCACCTCTACACTTCTTCTTCTACAATATAGCTAAGAGATAAGCCCCTCGGCCTCCTAGGCCCCCTTCTGAGGTCATCTCTTTTCTCTTAGGCACTGCTAAAGGAGCACAAAAGCTAGCCATATGGCTAGCAGAGACCCACTTCTTTGAGGATATCTGTCCTCGCCAACCTCTCCTTAGCACCTAGCTAAGACAGCCCTACTCTTCCTTTACATTTCTCTTCTCCTTCTTTCTTTCTCTTTCCCTTCTTTATTTCTCTTCTCTTCTTTCTTTCTGTAAAGATTATATAGCCTTCGGACCGATATTTATCCGTACGGGATAGAACACCTCACTCCTTAGATAGTTTCCTAGATAATAGGAAAAAGAATACGAACGTTGAGAACGCTCCATCGAGAATCCATCAATCCCCAAAGGGGAGCGTACAACTGATATCTCCACTACTGCTCATAATCCTCGGCAACCAGATCTTCCTCAAGAATCTTAACACTTTCCCTCTCTGCATAACTTATTGTTTAGTTATAATAGTGGTGGAGTAATAGGTCATGGAGTGTAGGCGGACCATTGCAGCTAGCAAATACCCAAAACCCACTCAAAGTGGACCTCCCTGTAAGACCACGGCAGCTATGGAAATGCGCCAAAGAGTCTCTTATTTGTACATAAATCTGATAGGACCTGAAACCTGAGGCTTACCCCTCGGCGGCCTATGTCCCAGTAGGGATCGGTGGGAAGCGTGCGAGTCACGAACCACGGCCGTTAAATATACACACACACACACACACACACACACACAACAAAAAGAGGATGGCGAATAACCTCACTGCTGGCCGTCACAACATTCAAAACTTTCCTGCTTCCAGCCCAAGATTATCTATATCAAATAGTTAGAGGTCCGATTTCCTCACCCTCTCCACTACCCAGCTTCTAGGAGTGCGGCCTTTGTCGCGTCACGACGCGTCCGGCAACACCATGGCGCGTAAAGGCCCTGGTACAGATGGCCCTCTACAGACAGCCCTACTGGAATCCACGTCTACAGCCACGACAAGAACTTCCAAAGGACAGAAGATCTTTAGCCCTATAGCTGCTTTCCTCGATAAACACTGCAGCCAAACCACTAGCCTTGCCCCTCACCTACTGAGAGCCCTCACCGCTCTAAGCGATGACCTCGCCGCAGTAGCCCAACAACATTTCAACGCCTATATCAGTGGTATCTTGATGACCTCTATTCTACCTGCCCTGTCCTCTTCCCCTTCCTCTTCCCCCACTCCAAATTCCTTACCCCTTTCACCCCCTCTCTCACGTCCCTCCTCAGGTCTTAAACAGTTAACTTATACAACTATCACCCAATATGCCCCGGTCAAATTAACTCCCACTACTTACTCTAAAGCCCCTGTTAAAAAGCCTATACCTCTAATGAAATAACCCCTCCCTGACAACCGGCTCTTCGTATATCTCCTAGCTGATCATGCAGCTAGAAAAATGGAAGCCTACACCATCTACTCTAGCCTATGGTCTCAACTAAACTCAAATAGTGCAGCACTAAAAGAAGTTCAAGCCACAAAGACTGGCTTTGCACTATGTCCCTTATCTCCAGAAGCCCTTCTAGCCCTTGAGGCCCAAAAAGAGATTATCTCTGCATTCTTTGTTAACTACTAGATAGAACGCAGCTCCTGATGGGTCTTGTACTGAGTCATCAATGTGCCAAGAAAAATTGGCCAAATCTTGGATGGTCAATACTCTCTAATCCCTGTCAATCCTATACTACTATCCTTAGAAATTAGTGAAACTATAGAGCTCAAGCCTATATCTATTAGCGAGACCACTACGAGTGCTGCTAACCCTGATACTCTCTTCTCAAGCTGGTTTGTTAACTTCCCAGAAGGCATGAAATTACCACTGTCTATCCAGCTACATCTTTTTGGCACTATTACTAATACTTGCCACCTCTTTAAGAAAATAATAGTTATTTAATATACACAATGCTGGAAATAGTATAATGCACGATCCTATACCGGCCCCTCTCAATGCTGGCTATGCGGCTCCTCAGAGCATACTAAAGAGAGCCATGTTAATCACTGTACAGCCCTGGAGCCTCATCAATGCCCTCCTAGATGCATATACTGCTATAGACTACATCCAGCTGATTCCCTAGAATGCTTTTTGCGCCCTAAAGGTAATACTAAACACACTAAAGCTTAACAAGCAGAGATCTGAAAGTCCTATGCCTTAAACCTTGCAAAAGCTCGAACTGAAGGAGGATGCAGCTCTTAGCTCTCCACAGGCACACAGGAAACACCTATGGCATTAGACAAGATGCCATCTCAGCCTCCAATCTAGGAGATTATCTCTCCCTTCTGTCTAGTAATCTCTCCACCTCGCACCCCAATTATAGATCCTCCAATCACAGCTCGTGCAGTCCACTTTACAACCCTTTAACTATAAAACTGGTTTGCCCCTCTTCTTGAACAGGAGCTATGATATATTACTACCTAACTCAAAAGGTGCCCCTTAAAATCCTACAGCTAAATGTAGGACATGTGCCAGATGTACATGAAATAGCCCTCACATTAACATACACTAGTGACATTGATATTATCTTAATCTAAGAACTATATATATTTAAAGACCTTAGCTAACAGATTATAAAAAAATATCCATTATATGAATGCTTCTCCCCAACTGATAGTTAGGTAATAAGTGGCCAACCACGAGTCCTCACTTATGTCTGAAAGAAGAAAGGCATTCGGACCTCCCAGTTTTGCCTCTTCACAACTGACACTAAAGAGGCCTCAGATCTCCTTTTCCTTTAGATTTTCTCGCCCACAGGAAAGTCTGCTCTGATAGTTAACATCTATAATGCCCCAGCAGGCTCTATTAAAGCAGGTGAAGCCGTAAAAGCTCTCACAACTCTGCCAGAGGCGTATCTCCCTCAAGCAACAATACTTGCAGGTGATCTCAACCTACTACATAATAGATGGTAGCCCTCACTATATCGCAGCCCCACATCTTTCGCAGAGCCATTTATTAACTGGCTGGACCTCTAGGGTCTAGTACTCATCTCTGATATAGACTGTCCCACATATGATAGGGGTAACATGTTAGACCTCAGCTTTGCCTCAAGCCCTCTAGCACTTATGGGAGCTAAAGCTAGCATAGTGAGTTACTTAGATGCAACCTTAGACTATCGATCACTAATTACCACTGTTCTGTAGGACTAGAGATATATAGAAATAGCCTAGAAGCTGAGATTTGATACACTAGACCACACCTGCTTCCTCTCACTTCTTGCCTCTAATCTCGCTGAGATCAAGAGCTTAGCCACAACAGAAGAAGACCTTGATGCCCTCGCTGGAAAACTAACATCTGCAATCCAAGGAGCATATTGAGGCTCTGTTAAGAGAATTCTAACACAAGGTATAGGACAACCATGGTGGAATGAAGACTACAAGAAAGCTTTACATAATTACTACTTAGGCCTCTGCTCAAAGACAGACTTCTGCTGGATAACTAGATGGTCTTAACGATAATTTTGGCGAGATAAGCTCTCTATGGTAATATAAATGAAGAATGTTTTCAACATAAGTAAATAGTATAAGTCTATAGGCACATTCCAAAGCCCTCCACTGAAAGATCCGCTAGGACCTAACGGCCTCCCAGCAGTTGCTGTACACAAGAAACGAGATGTACTAGTCTACAATCTTCTCTAAAACTTGGCTGAGGCAGGAGATATACCTCTAGACTTCCCAGCAGTCCCTTTCACTAGTCTCTACTTCCTAGATATATTGATGTTATAGGTGGAGGAGTCAGTACTTCAGGCAGGAAACACAGTCCCTGGTGCAGATAAAATTCCAACATGCATACTCAAAGTGGTATGGCCTTTAATTAAGGATAAGGTACTAATGCTTTACCAAGGGTGCCTAAAGATTGGTTATCATCCTAAATGTTTTCGACATGCAATCTTAGCAATTATCCAGAAACCTAAGAAGACTGATTGGTCCTCACCTAGATCATATAGACTGATTGCTCTCCTCTCAGTTCTGGGCAAAGGACTTGAGCGCCTAGTAGCATAGAATATGGCATGGATCTCTGTATACTATAAAGTACTAGCAAGGCAACAGTTTGGGGCTCTCCTACTAAGATCTGTAATTAATCTAACTACATGACTAACGTATAATGTTGAGCAAGCACTAAATTAAGGTATGACCGCCTCACTTCTTACCTTAGATATCAAGGGTGTCTTTGATGCCGTGCTCTTTGGCAGATTAATCTATAGATTACGCGAGTAAAGCTGGCTTACTAATTTTATTCTCTGGATCGCCTCCTTTGCTACTGGGTGATCAGTTCAGATCCGACTCGACAGAGAGATTGGCCTCTTAACAGATATTGCCTGTAGTCTATCATAAGGATCCCCAGTCTTTAGTATTCTCTTCATGCTATACATAGCGTCCCTATTCCGTCTAGGAAACCCAAGGAACAGATTTGGTTACGTGGATGATGTAGCCAACCTGGCGATCTCTTTATCTCTTACCACTAACTGCAAAGCCTTATCAGACTCTCTTCAAGAGGCTCTTAATTGGGGCGCTGCGGAGGGTATTATATTTGTACTAGATAAATATGAGCTTCTTTACTTCTCCCGGTACAAAGCAGATCAGGATCCAACCTGCACACCTTCAGTGAAAGCTAGATTAATTATGGTCTTAGAAAACACTAAATGTCCATATCTATGCTGGCTAGGAATTCTCTATGATAAAAAGCTAATCTTTAAATAGCATGTTAGTGAAATAGCATCTGAAGCCCTTACTATGACTAACACCCTTTGCTTTCTAGGGAATACTATTTGAGGAGTTAAACCTTATCTACTATAGCACGCTATATTAGCCTATGTACTCTACAAAGCATACTATAGTGCTGAAACCTGGTAGCTAGGCTGTACTCGCCCTGGACCTCCCTAGATCTTAAACTGAGTTAGAGAACATCTGGAGAAACTAACAACAGTAATACTAGCAGGCGCAAGAGTGGTCCTTTCAGTTTTTTGTATAACCCCAATATCTGTTCTATACCAAGAGTCTGGATTCTCTCTACTAGAAATTGAACTAGATTAAATAGCCCTCCTAGCATCTGTCCGCCTATAGCGTCTTGATCCATACCATCCACTCTGAAGACATGCAGAACAGATAGCTAGAGACAGCTGACAAACCAGTCGATTTGCCCGTCAAGTGCTGGCCCTCTATAACATGCTTCCTGGTACTCTCGTGAGTCACGTGAGAGTGCTCAAGCTCGAATAGAAGCTCCTATAGGACGCACTAAGGAACAGGCGGCGGCTGATTTAGTTTTTCAATATACTATTCCTAGCTCTGATATTATAATCTTTTCAGATGAGTCTAGACTTGAAAATTGTTAAGAAATAGTGGTCATGTGACTAGTGTCAGAGTTTTCTCTGGAACTCCATTCTGTAGATAACTTCTTCTACTGAGCAAGTCAGCTAGTATCACCGAATACCTACTTGTTTCCTTCGCGCCTATCGATCCTAAAATCTTTACAAAAATGGATATGCTAGTGGTGGCTATGTAGGATTTTAAGCATATCACCAGTTTCTCTGTTCCTTGCTCTCTTATGGACCGGGAAAAGAAGTCTTTAATGCAGAAGTAGAAGCTGCTCTAGCTAATGCTCAAGCAGCAATAGCATACCCAACAGCTTAATTTGCTACCAACCTATGGATCTGCCTTGATAACCTGGAAGTTGCTACACGTCTTCTATCTCCCTCTACAGGATCTTCCCAAGAAGTCTTTGAATCCTTCCGCACCCTTGCAGCCGCCTGGCCACTTCGCAAAAGGCTTCCTTACATCAAAAGTGGATCCATCCAAATCCGATGGGTCCCTGGACACGCTAAAATCCCTACGGCAGCTACGGAAATGCGCCAAAGAGTCTCATATTTGTATATAAATCTGATAGACGATTTGAAGCCCAAGGTTTACCCCTCGGCGGCCTATGTCCCAATAGGGATCGATGGGAAGCGTGCGAGTCACGAACCACGGCCATTAAATAGACACACACACACCCACCAAAAAGAGGATCCTCTTAATGGGCCTTTCTGGTCATGGTTTGTATTCTGGCGCAGGTGTTCCGTATCCGCTCGTACTGTGATCTAATTTCTCCTCGTGCTTATAAGCTACAAGCCCGAACGCTACTATGCGAGTCGTCCAACGGTAGTTAATAAAGCCCGAATCAAAAAAAAAAAATTAAAAATTATGCTAGCCACTAATAACGACGGTGGAAAAAAAAGGAGGCGGGGGAAAGGTGGGGAAAGGAAACAAGAGGACTGCTGATCTCTAGGAACTGGATGGGCAGGATGAGCTCCTTATAAACTTCATCCAGCACATAGTAGGGCTTCCAAATCGGCATAGCAGATACCGTCGAACAAAGAATAGCGAGGCTGTGCTCGTACAATGTGAGGCACTATATGTAGCAAGCAAGAAAGAAGAACAATAAGAAGTTATTCCCGAGTGCCAAGATCCGAGTTAGGGTTGGAGTGAGAGCGATCCCTAATAGAAATCATTAGCGCTGATCTAGTAGAATCAAAACAGCGTTATGAAGTGTGGACTATGCTCAGTAAGCGGATCAGACTGCTCAGCTTTAGCTCACTGATCTGATCAGCGCGCTCAGGAACGTGCTCAGTTCTACTCAGTGAATAAAAGCGGCCAGGGGTGAGCACTAAATGAAAAGAGAAAGCCTAGGAGCGTCAAAAGAAATCTGGTACAAAGGTAGCTTTTTTCCTCAGCGAAGAATAAAATGCACACTCAACATTTTCCCTTCGGAAACCAGGGGCTCGACCCAAAATGATCACACCATCAACTAATTCTGCATTCTCGGTAAGCATAACCTGGAAAAGTAATAGAGATATGGTCTGACACGTACTTTTAAAGAAAGATTCTAAATCAAAGTATAGGCAAGTGGAGGACAGATATTCCGTCCTGAGCATAGCTGCATTGTATCGTATGTCTAGTATGGTATACCCTCGTTCCCTAGGATCGACACTAGAGGGAACAGACAGCTCTGATTCAGGTCTACACCACGGCCTCGAAGATATCCCTCAATATCAGTGCAATCGAAGTACTCACCCCCGAGGCCGAAGAGTTCGAATAGCCTTTGAGAGCCTTCACCAGGGTCGTCTGACGTGACGCTTGTGATAATAGGCAAGGTACCTAATACCCTCTTCGGCAACCGCATATTCGAGGGATATATTTGTCTTCCTGAGTCGTCTGTCCGAGGGTAGTGGGTTCCTACACCGCCAACACAAGAGAAAGGGAGAGTAGGGAGCTCAAGCGTATCATGAGCTCTTCCAGTAACCAGTCTATGGAAATAAGGGTACTTCTTCTTCTTGTCCCGAATGCAGGGCACGAGTCTGAAGACGCGGTAAGTTGTGGAAGGAGAGGAGGAAGGGTCGGTGAATAGACGAAAGGCGTATTCTAGACAGTATCGATGTAGCTTTCGGACGAAGGTGTGTTCTTGAAAGCTGTAGGTGATGTGGTGAATGCCGCTGAGAGGTCTTTCAAGCTCGTCGATGAGAGTCAGTGCTTTGTCCCGAGTCTCCTGAGCGATGAATGGTGGGTCAGAAGATGTCTCACTTGGAGAGTAATGGAATCCAGGACTATAAAGCTCGCCCGAATTTTCAATAAGCAAGATAGCGGATGACTCATTCGGGGGTCGATGTCTAGGAGCCGCCAATACATCACACAAATCACGATCCCTGCTAGTCACAACAGCAGCTGGAATAGTATTTCCCTTTAAACCCTCCTTCCCCGCCGACTGGGACGGTTCAGACGTATCCAGAACCGTTCGCAACTTTTCAACAAGTATATGAGGACTCGGGTGGCTAACGTCCAACCCTAACAGGTAGGCTAGTCTGTAGAAGTTGGAAAATGCACCTCTGGCTCTCTCCAGCTGTGCTTCTACCTCTGACAGCCGGGACACTGCATCTTCAAATGTTGATTTCTGTTTAAGCAGGTGCCTTTTCTGGGCTCGTCGTACTTGGTCTCTCCGCTCCTGAACTTAATGTTAACATGAGTATGAAGTGTATATGCAAGATTTTGTCCCACCTTGGACAATATTGCTACGCCGGGAGCATCAATCCGAGGCCTTCCGGAGGCACTGTGACTATGCCGGGGGCTGTTGAGTCTGCTCTTCGACGTCTTCAGCTGTAGATTGGTTGGCAAGGATTCCGTTATATCCACCATCTCGATATTGGCATGGCATGGGAAGTACCCTGATCCAGCGCTTGATCTTTAAAAAAGGGTTTGTATGTTAACGTATGGATGTGGTGTGAACTCGAGATTAGACTTGAGAAGGAGACTCGGCATAATTATAAAATATGAGATCTATTCTCCTGTCAAGTTCCATGATATTATAATCAATTGCAGCGGGCCTCGGTATCTCATTATGTGTAACGTGTTGGGTCTAGATCCGGTATGTATTACTATAGGGTTTGTCGGGCCCAACAAATCGATATTACTTTTCGAATTGAGAATTGGCCTATGCTCTCATAATCTGGTGGGCTTCAACCAACTAGACCAAAAAGCTACGCGCATACTAGGTGATCTAGTATAGTGATATTTAATAGCTAGGTGAGATGAGTACGTGGTGTGTCGTGAGATTCCTAAGATAATCTTTCCATTTGAATAAGGCTAAGGATACTGGGAATCAGAGATTTTAACCATAATGCTTGTGGTTGGCTTAGCTGAGAAAATAACCTGAAAAATAAATACCTATGCAACTGTATCGGCAAAACCGCGGTAGTTTGATATTATAATCATGATCCTGGGAACTGGAATGTAGATAACACCTCCCAGTTAGAATTAGACGGTCCAAATTTATAAGCATGTAAGTAGGTACTGAAAACATGGTACGTAACCGTGTCCTCTTCTTAGTCGTTTCAAGAAGTACTAAATTATGCTCATTTAATTGAAAGCTAGGTCCCATGCTGATATATTAATTATGACCGGCTCGTTTACGAACTGTTTCTGTTTCAGCCTCTTTCTGGTGTTGGTAACTCGACAGTCGGCTATCAGGCCCGGATTCCGTCATCATGTCTGATTAAGAGCAATACCACCAAGTCACGAAACTCATTTTGCCTCGGTACTAATGCTTGTTACGAGTATTGACTTGCTCCTAATATCCTTGATGCAGATTCAAAAGTCGACCAGCCCCATCAATACGGGTAATTTCTCAAGACATACTACTCTCATAAGCTTTCTCGCGCCTCTTTGATTGAACCATCTTGCAAGAAAAAGACAAGACACCATGTCTACACTCAGTGACCAATTAGCAGTTGAGCATATCAGCCCTGGCTGCTATCGTTCTGTTCTCCCTCCCATTCGAATGGGAGATTGGGCTTCATTCGCCTTCGGCGGAAATACACTCAGCGTTGCAGTAAACTCGGCATATCAGACAGTTGAACCGTCTCATCATCTCTACTCCATCTGTGGTCATTTTGTCCACGCCGCAGATACAGATCGCCGGCTCATCTGTGAAGTTGAAAGCCTCAAGAACACCCGGTCGTTCCAGACGCGCCATATAAGGGTGTTCCAGGAGATTAACAATGGCGTTCGGCAGCTATGTCTAATTGCTTCTGCGGACTTTCATATTCTAGAGCCCAGATCCATGGTGGTTTACTCCACGTCTCCTTGGAGTAGGAACTTACATGGTACGGAGAGCAGCAACGATGGGATATTTGGTCTAGCACCCAATGTCCAACCAACTGAGCATGGACTCTATAGCCACATTGAGCGGCTCGTTGAGATAAAGCCCATAGCGATTGCCGCAAACGCAGGAATGGAATTTGGCAACCAGGACAGCACTTCAGACCCATCCTCCCCTTCTTTAAAGATCTCGGCAGAAAACTTCAAAATCCGGGGGACCTTGAATACCGAAGCAGAACGGATCACAGCTCTCGCTTTTTACATGGACAAAGGACTGGCTTATATCCCCGCTAGTCATAGCGGATATTCACTTATAAACGCGAGTGCTTGCACGACTTTGGATTTCTCTCTTCGCTTGTTTACGCATGAGGTTGATCTTCGCGATTGGCATCTTCTGGAATCAAGGACTGCCGTTGCAGGAAATGCTAGAGCCTTCAGTGAAGGGCGCGTGTGGAATGGGAAGGGCCGATTATTGGCGAGTATGACGCAACAGACGCTTCTTCGTCCAAGGAAGGGGTTTAGTCCTCGGATTTGATAATAAAAATAGTATCAATAATAACAAGTAAAGGTATTCGCATGCAAATAGGATTATAATATAATAAAACCTGGATATATGATAGATATGTGATAAGAATTGGTGTAACAGTACTGAAACAGTACAACATGATATCTGTGACAAGCCACGCCAATTAGATGGGCACGTGAGGTCTCCTGTCAACGACTCACGCATGCATAAGAAGGAGGTTCCATGTAGATAGAATTCTTTTCCTCTCAGGCTCCAGTCTCTGTATGTTAGCAACCGTACCCTTGTTAATGAAGATTTGAAGACACCGAAAGCTTTTGCCATATTGATAATTCCTCCTGCCCGACTCTTGGACTAACCTCCTATTACAATTGGTTGTATTAGGAGATAACAAGGCTCAATTCGAAGAGCGTCTTCCTAATTAGGCATATTGTACACCTCCGCTGCCTTATTACCTAGGTGGCAGCTCAAGGCCTTCTGTGTTGATGTACCATTTAGATATACATTGTGACGAGGAGCAAGCAGCACGAATGGTATTGGTCTCTATGTACGAGAATATTAAGCATGAGGAGGAAAACAAACAGTAGGTGACGCGCTCGCTCAATATCAACACTATGAATCGTGTGGTTTTGGTCATGTAACTCCCCAATCGGGAAACTAGGGCAACGTCCATAGCCCTACATTCACCTATCAGCTACGCCGTCACATATATATATAATGTTGGGAATATCACCTCACATCACATATCACCTTTGTCAGCTATTTACATCCATACTAGATCATCTAGTATGCGCGCAGCTTTTTGGTCTAGTTGGTCAAAAGCCCAACAGGTTATGAAGCCCTCTTTCTTCCTTCGATCAATGCAAAAACATGCAAATATTTTACGGCAAAGGACCCGGTTTCGATTCTTAACGACGACAAATCTTTTAAGGTTTAATTAGATTTTCCTATGAACGAAAAAATCTTCAGCCATGCGAAGCCGAAAAAAGCCAGATAAGCCAATTATAGGCTGTGAGCTACGGAAACCATGAGCAACTAGAGCCTAAAAAATAGGCCAGTCATATTGTTCGTACGTTCGATATATATCCCGGAGAGTTGTCCAGCCAGTCATGATTGTTACTGCCTGTGGGGGGTGTGTTGGGAATATCACCTCACATCACATATCACCTTTGCCAGCTATTTACATCCATACTAGATCATCTAGTATGCGCGCAGCTTTTTGGTCTAGTTGGTCAAAAGCCCAACATATAATATCTATCTAATTTATTTTGGGTGGTGATCTAGCGACACCCCCCTAGTTCCAGCGACACCAGGGTGTCGTTCTAGCGACACCCCCACGTGACTCAGTTATACGGATTGGATAATTTTCACGTGTCATGTGATTAGAAAATCAAATTTCCTTCCAAACATTGCCATATTTGGCAATGGAATCTAGGGTTAGGGCTAGATTAAAGCGGCGCTCAATGGTCTTAAGGTACTCAGGCATGCAGTCTTATTGTCACACAAGATGCAGGTCGTCAAACATTTGCATCCTTTATCTTATGGCATAGCGACTTAATGGCCTCAAATCAGTTATTAGCGTCCCTCCTCCAGGGCTATGAAAGCTCTGGAGATGATGCAGAACCTCAAAATGATCTTCACAATCGAATTCCACTTCCCCCTCGTCTAGAAGAAGAAGTATTTGACTCACCTGATACTATTATTGAATTTATCAACAACTTTGCCCAGAACCACGGCTATGCGGTTTCCAAACGGCGCTCAAAGAGAGCTAAAAATGGCCATATCAAGACTGTGTTTGTGAAGTGCTCTCTAGGAGGGGAGTACCATGATCGTGTGGTTGAGCGTACGCGACAAGGGAGCACAATACTTACTGACTGTCCCTTCTCCATTGTCCTGCGACTTCAGCAAGATGACACTTGGCTTGTTAATATCAAAGAAAAACGCCATAATCACAATCTATCGCCAATATCCACTCATTCAGTCCATTGTCATCGTCAAATACTTGAACATGCTACCCAAATCGAAGCCCAACTAGAGAATGGAATTGACACACGCCATATCATTGCTTCACTTAGGAAGAAGCGTGGAGATAATGTTGGGATAAAGGACTGAGATATATATAATTTCAGACGCAACATGCGAAAGCGCTTCTTAAATGGTCGAGAGCCAATTCACGTCCTTCTCAGCTCATTCCCGGAGACTGGAGACTGGGTTGTCAATTACCAAACCCATGATGATATTGTCACAGCTGTGTTCTTAACCCATAAGAGCTGTTTGGATTTACTATAGCTTTACA